TTCACGTGCCTGTTCCTACACCACGGATAATATTTAATGAATTACCCCAAACCCATTTTTAATTTTATCAAACTTTAAAATATAATATTAAATCAGAGTTAAATAGTATTGAGAATAGGCTTGAGAGGTTAAGGAGCGAGTGTTTTAAATCCCATCCTGTCCCCCATTCGAAACTCTTCTCGATAGCGTTAAGTATAACTGACGAAAGTCTGCTTTAGCACACGATCGCTATAAGAAAAGTGTAGAGATTTTTATTGTTAATTGCTTTTATTGAATATTTTATGGTTTAAATGAAAATATAATTCATCAAAACTTTTGTCTATGCAAGCATGCTTGCAAGAATTTCAAGCTAAAAGTGGAAATATTTTGCACTTAATTTGTTGCAATTGGGTTAAGAAAATAATGAAAGTTGATATAAAAAAATGCATGAATATTTTTTCTAGTTTTTTCTCATAATAATCAATTTATTCTTTAGAATTGCTGCCTCTACTCTGCTTCCTGTTAAATTCCTTAATTCTAATCCTTCATTTTATTTTGATAAGATAGAAGTATCTAATTAGCGAATCAACCTTATGTTGATAAATTTTGCATTAAATCCTACAACGTGAGATTTCATTAATCCTGCACTTCAGTTTTTAAATATCGAATGATTTGGTTCTATTGTTTTAAGAACATTGACTGCCTATTTTTTATCACTCTACCTAGGCAAAACAAATAAACTTATTAAACTTTCAAGATGCAATTATCCTAATCGAAAACCTAATTGAAATTGTTACTAAACATTCAATGATTTGCTTGCCTAAATTATTATATTTCTCAAATATTAACATAATTCATTTCATTATTAAATTACTTTCACTAAAATTTAATATAAAAACATTCAAAATTATAAATATAATTTAAGATAAACATATGGAAGTCGAATTCAAATGTCGTTTTGAATAACATGAAAATGAACCCATAATTGGATTTTGTCTAAATAAGAATTGTCCTAAACCATCCTAATTCTGTTACGAATGTTTAAAATAAGAAATTCATAATGATCATTCAAATGATTGCATGAGTTTTAATTCATTGGAATAATTGATTAGCCAATTAATTCAAACTCATAATGAGCTCTTGACTAAGCTTTAAGGTATTTACGATTAATTGAAATATTCATTTGAAACTAAATACAAGCAGTTGGAATCAGATATTTTAAAAATACAAGAAATAGATAAATCTTTGAAATGCCAATTATATAACTCTATTAAATAATAAATACCATTTGTTAAGGATTTCTGTTTCAAAGAAAAAAATGAAGGTAAATAAGTGGTTCTATATTCAGGATTATTTCTAATTAAACTGAAAAAGACAGCAGAGACTCTTAAAGAAAAAGAAAATCATTTAAAAGACTCATCATACTTAGCTTAACTATATTAAATTTTAGGAGACTAACTATTTGATCAAGACATGTACAAAGAAGCAATAATTTTGTTTGATGATTCTTTAAATTATGATTGCAATTAGTCTCAAGTGTATAACTTAAAGGGTAAATTCGTTAACTTTCTAGTAGGAATGGCTTTAAGGAACCTTAATCATTATTAAGAGGCTTTAGAATGTTTTGATCAAGCAATTAAAATTAACTCTAGTTATAGCGATGCTTTAAACAATAAGGGTAATTAAATTAATGATATTAATTAGGTAATGCATTATTTAATATGTGTCATTATTAAGCTGCTCTTCAATGTTATGACTAAGCAATTAGGATTAATTCAAATGATAGCGATGCATGTTATAATAAGGGTAAATTTCTCAATTTATATATTTTATCTAAGGCAATACATTATTCATCCTAAATCGTTATTAGGATGCTATTGAAAGTTATGATCAAGCAATTAAAATAAACCCAAATTATATTGAAGCAATATATAATAAAGGTAAACAAATTCAAATTACATCTTCTTAGGTATTGCATTATTTAACTTGAATCGATTTTAAGATGCTATAGAATGCTATGATCATGTTATTGCAATAGATTCAAATTATAATGATGCATATTATAATAAGGGTTACTCTTTATCGATAAATTAGGGATTGCCTTATTTAATTTAAATCGTTATTAAGAAGCTTTAGACTGTTATGATCAAGCTACTAGGATCAATCCGAATTAAAGTGACGCCTTTTACAATAAGGGTTAATTATTTCTTTGAATATTTTATAAGGAAATGCCTTATATATTTTGAAACGATATGAAGAAGCTTTGGAATGTTATAATCAATCGAATAAAATAGATATAAATGATAGCGACTCATTCTATAATAAAGGTAAGTTGGCCCTTTATTAATAGGAAACACACTATTTAAATTGAATCTTTATTAAAATGCAATAGAATGTTATGATAGAATCTATAATAAAAGTAATAATATATAATGTATTTTAGGTATTGCATTAAGCCGCTTGAACCATAATTAAAATGCTTCAGAAAACCTTAATTAAGACATTTAAATTATACGTAGATAAGGGGACAGAAATTAATGGAAAGGTTATTAATTTTCAATATATAATTTCTAAAGGAAGTTTATTAAGAAAATTGAATCGTAATTATGAGGCAAAAAAGTTGTATGAGCAACCAATTAAAGTAAAAACCTAACATAGTGGGGGACAGTATAATAGAAGTTTAGATATTGTCATTTATAGAATTAGGTATAGTCAAGAAATTTCAATTTAAAATTCATCTTATTTTCTAATATTTAAATAACTAGTATTTTGTTTTGTGGTGTTTCTTCCTTTTAAATTTAACTTATTTATTGAGTATATTTTAACCATTTATTTTATAATAAATTTTCAATGTTAGAAATCATGTTTTATTTTTTAAAATTTCGTAAACTCTCCTTTTTTTGAGAAAAATGTATTAAATCAATTTTTTTATATTTTTAATAAAATTATAAAATTTGGTATAGCAAAAATTACCGATTTAATTCAGATTAACTTTCAATGTAAACCAGATAAATTCTTTTGCAGAATCTTATTGTTGTGGCAAAAGAATGAATATAGAAATAATAAATTCAAGAAAAAGATCAAAAGCTAATTTATGAAGAAAAGTTAGCAATTTTCAAAAAAAAAGCATAAACGAATATCAAATTTTAAGGGTGATTTTCAGATGACTCTTAATAAAAAGAAATACCAAATGATTGAATTAACTTGTCTTGAAGAAGCAACTGGAAATAATTAGGAATGAAAATTCATTTATTGATGAATTTAGTTTTAGCAGAGATAGAAAGTTGAGTTATATTAAAAGGGATTTCATTCCATTAGTAAAAATAAACCAAACACATAAAATGATTAATTAATACATTTAAATCTTGAAGCTAATGACTTAATCTAATTTATAAGCAATTTCAGAAGAGAGCTATAGAGGAAATGGAATAGATGATTCTTTATTGCAATATAAATACAAAAATAATTATTTAATTTCAAAATGGAGTGATATTTATGAAAATTATTAAATTTAATGCTTCTTATAAGTTTAATAATCATTCTGACTTCACAGATTAAATCTTTCGTCTAATATTAATCGAATAATTTCAGGGTTTCAATCATGAGGATACAAGAATAAATCAAATAAAGTCTAGAATTGCCCTTCTCAAAGTTTGAACGTTAGAATTATGCTGATTATATTGTTGCAAAACGAAATTTGGTTGTAAATGTTGGTAAGTTGTCATAGAAGATGAATATTTACACCGAAATAGGAAAGAAAAAATTGAGATTGGACAATACAAAATTGATAATGTTCATATATCTTATAAAATTTTTAATTGATTGTTCCCATTCTATAAGATTTGTGTAAAAGAAATTTCTATTCCTCACAATAATAAATTTTATAGTTCTTTTTGAGATAATATTCAAAACTGTATTTAAGCAGTTAATTTGCAGTCTCAAATCCTAAATCTAATGTTAATTTTCAACTCTGACTATTTTATTCCTCTGCTTAGCAATTTTGGCTCTCATATAGTAAATAATTTTCTAGATATATAATTTAAATTTCTAAATATGCTAAATTTAAATGATAAAATAAAAAGATAGTTTTAGCTTATTCAAATACCTTTAGAATGTATTGTAATATTTTTATATTCCATCTGCAAAACAAAGTACATCTCTAAAATTGTTTATGGATTTTCATTATACTATTTATTTAAGATTATTACATAATGTTTAGGCTTAATTCATTTTGAAATGCAGAAAATTAAGTTTATATTGATACTTATATTATAAATATGTATGATGTTGAAATAACAACAAAGTCAGATGATGAGATTCTTTCCTTAATTCGAGCATATTAGTAATAAGGATATTAGGTCTGGCTGTAAAAGAGATGTTCGGATAAATTTTTGATGTAGGCAGATTACAATGTAAGAATTATAAATTATAACTTAGACATAAGGAGTATTAGATCTAGATAATTCTGGGATATTTAAAAACTAAACCGTTGATCCTAAGCAGTTTAATGAACCATCAGTTATTTGCAGCCTTCGCAAAAATGTTGAAGATGGGCACAAAACTAGTACTATGGAAATTAAAGACACTATGTTGATATTTCCTAGAAAAACCTAAACTGACCTATATAGTTTACTAAGCCCTAAATTAAATTCAGAAAGAGAGGATCTAGTGAAAGGGTTTTACGAATAGTTGAAAGAGGCCTTGCATTTAGAATAGTTTGGACAGGTGAAAGAGTCGATTGTAAGAATAACCAAGTAGTAATTATAGGCTTTATTGACAAATCTGATAAATGAACTAGAAAATCAACTGATTGATTCATAAATATTGCATCTAATATTCGTCGAAAGTTTATTAACTCTTGGAATACTGAATGCATAAATAATGAAATATTCTGATGCGAAAATGTAATATTGATAATAAAAAAGGTGTCTAGAGAAATGCTTAAGATTATTCGTGATAAAAGATTAAATATTGTTGGCCTAAATATATCGTAAATTAGGACACTATTCCTAATCTGTTTTTAGTTATCAAAAATCTATAGACTACTACAACTAAGCCTTAATTATTTATGAAATATACAATTTAACACCAGAAGTAGCTTATGCAATGATGTCAATAGCAGTTATTTATTCAAAAGTGAATTAATTTGAATTGGCATAAAAGATAGCGCATCATGCTTTAGAAATCACTGGTGCTCAAATGAACAAACACACAGCAAGTTTATATTAGATGTTGGGGGAGGTTTATTACAATTCTGAGAACTATACAGAAGCATTAGATTATTTTGATACTTCTTACGATTTGAAGTAATCAAGTCCAGATGCACAATCTCGAATCAGAACAATTAATTATATTGCAAGTTCTTGTTTTCATTTAGGTGAGTATCGAAAAGCATAAGAATTATTTGAAGTAGCATTAAGTTAAGTGGATGATCAAAACTCACTACTTGAAGCCTAATTATTAAATAATTTGGGAATAACAAAAAGTGCTTTAAAGTTAGATAGCAAAGTTGAATTTGAAAAATCTCTAAAAATTTTCTTATAGTTTTACCCACAAAATCACCCTTCAATTAAGAGAGTACTCAGAAATGATAGCCATTGATAATATTGTTTATATTTTATGTAAAAATATTCTAAAAACATGATTCTCATTCACATGGGGCTCTGATAGCTTCTAAAAATAACTCGTATATCATTTCCTTTCCTTTTTCAATATTTTATTAAGGGTTATTAAAAGTATTGACCTTAATTCTTATTTCATCTTTTCCCTTATATCTTGGACCAATTAAATAAATAAATCGATCTCTTTATTTTGGTGTAAAGTTCATTTCGCTTATGTTGACAAAGACTGCAATCTAATATTAAATTTCTGAATCAATTTACTTCACTATTTTTGTGTAAATTATCTCCCTTTAAATCTGGAATGAAGGAGATTTCAGCAAAAACTTTGTAAGAAGGAGGGTTTTGTTTTAACTACTCATCAATCTCCTTTTTTGTTCTTAATGGGTAATCAAATGGATCTCTAAATGTTTATTTCATGTAATGGGGAATTGCTTGGCTGACTTTGGGTTTCCAGAAATGTGCTTAAAAAATGGTACAAATATATACATTTATGAGCTAATCTGAATGTTGGTAAGAATGTGTTGAAATTATAGAGTGACACAAATTGTTTCATTCAATTAAAAATTCTTATTATTATTATTTAATTTTATTCATAAAAAGTGGTGTGTCTGCTTCTTCTTCGTTTATAATATCTAAACCGTTTGGAGGACTACTGCTTGCCTTAATTCTATCATCCAAAGAGTCCAAACTAGAATGACTATCACATTTTTAAACAATGTCAAAAAATTCTTTAACCTCATCTGGTTTAGTTGATATGGATTGGCATAGTGAATTAATTGATTATTAGAAATGGATTGACCTATTTCTCATTTGTTATGAAGTGTCTTTATCTGTTTAATGAATTGCATCAATAAAACATTTATTTTTAAAATCATGAGTTACATTCTGGTGATCTTCTTATGATTGCTATAAATATTTAATTGCCTGACTTGAATGAGCAGTAATTTAAATTTTGTTATTCATCAACATATCATCCTTTGTATATTATTTCGAATTTAATTTCATATATTATAATTGAGATATTGAATAGGTTTAATACAACAAAGGGTGCACTAAAGCTTCTAGAATAATTGATAAAATATATATTTACATGAGGCAGTAATTCTTTTATTTGGATTGAATGATAATAATCTTTTCAGTAAATCCTGGGATAACGAGTCCAGAGATTTGAATTCAGTTGACAAAAGATATTGTTATTGATTTTCATTTTCATTAAACTCCATTCTATTTTCATTGGTGATTGGTAACTTATGACATAACATTTAATAAGCAATGACTCCTATTGCCCAAACGTCTATTAACTCATTGTAACCAGAACCGCTCCACAATTCAGGTGCCCTGTAATTTTCATTTCCAGTTATTGTCCACAACAATTAGACTTGAATATCTCTCTATTAAGTTGTGATAAATCTTTTGGATACTCCAAAGTCAATAATTTTAATAGTAGAAGTGTCTTAATCAAATAAAATATTGTCTGGTTTAAGATCTCTGTGGCATAGCCCCATCCTATGCAAATAGTGAGTTGCTTCCAAACATTATCGTATAATTGATAGTTTATTCTCTTATGTAAGTACATTTTGTTTTAGTAGTTCATGTAGACTAGGATAAGGTAAATATTCCATTACTAAATAAGAGCATTCCGTATTAGTGTCTATATATAACTTATATGTTCTGACAATTAAAGGATTGTTTAGTTTCAGCGTATTTAGGAAGGTTTGCTTCATAATTCCCATAATTTCAGGATCCCCATTACGAGTAATTTTGACTGCATAAGTTTCATCTGGATTTGATATTTACCAACACTATCTAACAACAGAATGTGCACCTTCACCTAATATTTTGCCTATTTAATAATCGTCTTGAAATTTTCTGTTTCTTTAATCTATTGAAATCTAAAATGTTTCCTCCATCAACTCGCCATGACTTGAACATTAAACATATTCAAGAATTTAAGGACTTAATTTTTGAATTGTAGCCTCTTCGTTGTTCTAAACAAACAACTCTTTTTTAACCCTATCATGTAATCTTAATAGGTTTTCTTTTTTGTTCATTAAAATAATAATTATGCCAAAAAAACGTCGTCAATAATCCGATTTTTGGGATACTGTCCACGACATTAAAAAACTAACATAACCACATCTAACACACAATAAAAAACATTTTATAGAAAAGCCTGGCAAAAAAAAAGTATTTATTTTATCAATATACTTCCCTATAGTAAAAAGGCTAAAACACCCCATTACCTATTTTAAATGGTATTAGGAAGAAATATATAAGTGATGTCAAACAAGAACAGGAACATAATATTGAGCATAACATCTAATATAGGTCTGATTTGAAAAAAGACTTAACTTTGTTAAAAACCATGAAATAAAAGAAAAATTCCTTTTAAAAAAATCAATATAAATTTAAGAATATGAGAGCCAAAGGCGCAGGTAAATTCGAGGATGGCACACTCAAATTCACCAATAGAGATCTTAAGAAATTTAATAAATCCAAATGATATTATTATATATCAAATTATAAAATATGGAATAACAAATAATATTGTTCTTCTAATCAGAATTATTGTACCAATCATTACAACAAATGATTTTATACAATGAATTAAGATCAATTTAATAAATAGTAAATAAATGATTATATAGAATTATATAAATCAATCAGATGGAAAATTAAATTCGGGAATCTAAAAACTAAGAAAAGGTTTTCGACACAATAAGACAGCAAAGAATTTAGATGATTAAAAATACTTTTATTCTAATTCTTGTTATTGAAAGTGTTGTAATCGTCAGTATGCACTTATAATAATTCAGGCCAAATTTTTATGTTAACATATTATCAAATGTACACACCCAATAAAAGTGAGTTGTATAGACTTTGGATATCCTTTTATTACAGTTGTTAGGGAAATATTTGTTTTGAAAATAAGTAAGAAATAAAATTAAGCAAGGAATATTTGCAGCAATCTTTCTTATTAAGAAAAATATCATGATGTCTATTGTTATAATACTTCAACCATGAATATAATTAGATATGTGTTAAGTTCCATTCTTATATTTATCATACTTTTGATGTTCTTTGATATTTATAGAATCATAAAAATCAAGAACTCCTTAAATAATCGAATATTATCTTAGGATCTCGTTAATTAAGCTGAAAAATTTCAAATTGTTATTACTTTATTATTAGCCATATATTATGGGATATTAATGATTTTTATATTTGTAGTAGATGGGGAATGTAATTCAATTTTTTAGTATTAGATGGAAGTGCATTAGGATTGTCATTCTATGTTGGAGGTGTAGGAACAGTAATTTACATGATAATTATAATTTATTCTAGATATGTAAGAGGAAGGTTTTCAAGGACGACTTATTTTGAAAAATTGCTTAACCAATAACTAAATGAATCAGAGATATAATAAAATTATGAATTTAAAACTATCGAAGAAAAAGAAGAAAGTTTTTATTCAGCATAAGAATGATGTAATTTAATTTATATGATTAATCGAAATTCACTTAAGGTAGTTATCTATTATGCTTACGATCCAAATAGAACATCCAATTACTAATAATAACTTAAAATAAATTAATCACTAATTCAATTTCATAATAATCGTATTTCTTATCTCAAAATTAAAATATAACAATTATATCAGATGCAATTTTTTATAAAAATGAAATAATGGAAAAATTGATTTTAGGTTGAATGAAGTAAACTAAAAAGACTGCAATCCATTAGCTTTTAAAGAAATCAATGTTTTAAAAAAATAATAAGTTTCATAATCAATCAAAAGAGACCTTGAATTTAAACCGGTTCATTTTGATGAAAAATCAACACAAGAATAATAAGGATTGCTAAACAGAATGATAGCAATTTTAGAAATTCATTTTGCTTTTCCTAAATGAATTTGCCATAGATTTCTTTGGAAATCGAAATTCTTTTCTATTTTTATACTTTTTTAAACTCTTCAATTGTCATTAACTTTTGATCTTAATTCTTAATTTTATTACTCTTCATAATCTCTCTATTCTTCTCCAAATATTGTATATTTTAAATTTATTTCTTCATATTCTTAGAAAATTCATGATTGTTTTATTAATTAATCCTCAACTACCTCATGTACATGGGTTTTCTATAGTTTGTATTAAAATCACTCAAATTCAAATCTTAATATTCGAAAACTTGTGATTAGGCCCTAATGAATGATGAAATTTGTGATTATTTCATTACTTTTGATTATTTAATAAAGATTCAATTAATGGAATTTTATTCTCATTATTATTAATTATATATTCAGTAATGGTATATAAACTTTTCATTCAGTTAATCTAGTGTTAATAATTTAAAATTTTATTGTCCATCTTACATGTCTGAGTACCGAAATAAGTTTCTTAATCATTTCTTATTACATATATGATCATCAAATATAGTTTTTGGATACTTTGCATAATGCATTAAGAAAAATTATTTAAATTTTTAGAAACAACTAAGAAAAACTAAGTTTTAAACATTAATTTTATTTATTTAGCAATAAAATTTATTTAATAAAATGTACCTATCATCCAGAACACAAGGAAGATTAGCAAATCTAATTATCACAATAGCTGAAGGGGAGAAGAAGACTGAAATAGCCAGATAAGTGCTAGCTGAGTAGAAAATGTTTGAACCCTACACAGCTTTCAGAAGATTAGATTAACTTAGGTCAGGTGAGTTAACTGTTGGTGACATCTCTGACTTTTTGGCTGATAATAAGATCTACCCAACCTAAGTCCAGCTTGAATATTTATTTAAAAGGTTGGATTTGAATCACGACGGTAGAATCACATACCCAGAGTAAATTATATAGAATATCATCAAGTTTCGTTAAGGCCATATTACCAAAAGAGGACTCAAGATTAAGATAGATCGCTTCATTAAGAGATAGCTATTACATTGAAGTAAATATGCTTCTCCCAACAGAAGTTGAATGGGGACTTTCAAGAGTCTTACAATAAGAAATCTAAAATTTTAAGTACTAATTAAAAATATAGTTTTAGTTCAATTACAGCAGCTTAAGAAATTTTGACAGGAAGTGCAGATTTTACCTCATTAGATGCATTTAGATGCATTGATTAATTATATATAGGCTATATAACAATAGAAAGGTATCTAATTTTAATACATACGTAGCTTATAAACTTTCTTAAGAGGTAATGGGGCTAAATTGACATTTGATGAATTGTAAGCCTTCTTTAGAGTAGTGGACTCTGATGAAGATGGTAGAATCACTTATTCAGAATTATTGGAGGCCATTACTTTTGTGCCTGATTATTTCCAAAAGGAAAGATTAATAGCAAATGAATTAAGAAGAAGCAGAGAGAGAATCACACAATTAGAAAAGGAAAGAGAAGTGCTCGATGATTTACAAAGAAGCAGAGAGAGAATTGATGATTTAAGAAGAAGTAGAGAGAGATTAGAATAATATTAAGACTTGTAAAAGAGTAGAGAGAGATTAGAAGATTTAAGAAGAAGTAGAGAGAGATTGGATGATTTGAGAAGAAGTAGAGAGAGATTAAATCAATTAGAGGAATTATAGAGAAGCAGATAAAGAATAGAATAATTAGAGGATTTGAAAAAGAGTAGAGAGAGACAAGCATAAATTGATGAATTGAGAAGAAGTAGAGAGAGACTGGATGATTTAAGAAGAAGTAGAGAAAGATTAGAACAATTGGAATAGGAAAGAAAGAATAATGAATAATTAGAAGAACTTAGAAAGTCAAGAAGTAGAATTGAAGAGTTGTAAAAGTAAAGAAGAAGAATAGAAGATTTAAGAACAAGTTAAGAAAGATTAGATGCTTTGAAAAGAAATAGAGATGAATAGGAATTGAGAAGAAGTTAGGAGAGACTTAATGATTTGAAGAAGAGTAGAGAAAGATTAGAATAGATAGAGGCTTTAAGATAGAGCAGAGAATAATAGAGAGCTTTGGATGAATTAAGGTAAAGTAGAGAGAGATTAGACTAATTGAGAGTGTCATAAAATAGAATAGATTAATTAGAGAATGAGAGAAAAGCATTATAAAGGAGCAGACAAATAGAGAGAGAGATTGAGTACGAGAGATAAAGAAGTAAAGATAGATTGGAGAGACTAGAGTTGGAAGCATAACTTGAAAGATAAAGAGAGAGAGCATTGGAATAGGAAATAGTAACACAAAGCAAGATTGTGTAAAGTAGAATCTATGACACACCTTAAAGATTTTATTGATTATTGAGATAATAAAATAAAATAAAATTTTGTTTAATATGAATATCATTCAATTTTAATTATTTGAAAACACGGTTTAGGTGAGTATGACTTTATTTAGAAATGCTATCTAATGTGTAGTAAGCGATACTAAAAAATTTGGTAGTGTTTTGACAGCAGAATGTGAAAAAATGGGTGAAGATGAAAACATTTATGATGTGAAAACTAAATTTGGATCTAGAGAAATAGTAGAATATGAATATTTTGCAAGAAAGATAATTGAAGAAATGTACAACTCAAAAAGGATTGTTTCAGAGATGTAAAAGAAATATCAGACATAAGAAAAACAATTCAATGTATTTTTAGGTAAAAAGCTATTGTTATTCATATCATTGAATGATCGAGAGAATATCTAGAAAAACAAAGCCATTATTGAAGATATTATAGCAAATCTAACTAATTTGATATGAGTATAATTAAGTGTTAATTATTTATTTGAAATTAAAATATGATTAATATACAGCCAAGAACAAGAGAATAAAGAGTATATTATTAAGATTATTCACTAATAGGAAGCCCAAAGAGATAAGGATCTAATTGAAAAGACAAGGATTGATTAAAGAGGTGAAAATTATAATTTATATCATAGTTGGGTATGAAGCAAGAGGTTTGGGAGTTGGAAACCTGATACATCAAGCACCACCATAATCATCACTCTATGTTCCAGGTACGTGTCTTAAATATTTTAAGAAAATGAGAGATTTGACAAGGATTTTGCTATTGCTGATAAGAGATAGAGAGAAATGTAACTTTAGCAGAAAGAACAAGTTATCGAAAAGAAAAGAATTGAGGGATTGGATAGAGAAACTAAAAAATGGGAGTATCAAGAGAAACAAGAACAAAAAGATTAATAAAAACTAATCAATCATACTTAAGCTTTAACCTAAGGAAAGAGAAATTAAAATGGGTAGAAATTCAAAAATATTCTTATTAGATTGGCATATAATCCTATTACTTTATAATACGATAAGACTTAATAAGGAAACATATTAAAGGAATAGGATGATTAGGCAAAGGTTCGACAATATGTTAGGGCCTAAAATCTGGATCAAAGAGGGAATGCTGGATTCAATATTTTGACCGGAGAATCACGTAATGGAGTTGATTCGATTGTACCTAATCATTTGAAGAATCAATATTAGTAGAAACTAAGAGATCATGAGTAAAACTTAAACATCAAAACTCATTCTTAATTTAATAATTGAGAAATAGAATGAAATTTATATATATATAATAAATAAATGGATTACTACAAGGTTTTAGAAGTGCCTAGAAGTGCAACAGAAGCAGATATCAAAAAAGCATACAGAAAATTAGCATTGAAATGGCATCCGGTAACTGTTTTTTCAATGTTAAAAGGATAAAAATCCAGACAACAAAGAAGTGGCAACAAAAAAGTTTAAGGAAATTGCAGAAGCTTATGAAGTACTTTCAAAACCTGAGAAGAAATCTCATTATGACAAATATGGTCATCAATAACCACCTCCCTCTCCTAATTATTAACAATCTAACAATTATGGAAATCAATATTAATAGGACTTTGATGACTTTTCAGATTTTTCTTCTGGATTCCAGAATAATTTCAATACTTTCAATAATAGACCTGGGTTTAATAAATATTCTGAATAATCTTTTGAGTTTCCATAATTTAATAGAATGCCTGATTTAAATAAATTCTTTTTCGGAGATAGTTTTGATCCATTTGAAGTTTTCTAGAATTTTTTTTAAAATGATCCATTTTTTAATCAAGATTTCTTTGGAAATACCTAGTAACCATAAAAAAATAGCTTGGCAAAAGCAAACTCTTATAAGAGTGACTTCGATGATGACTTTTTCAAACCAATCTATCAAAATGGCTCCAATCAAGGAGGCAACATTATAAGAGGATAAACTCATAAAACAGTATAATCTACTACAACTACAATGTATATTACAGAATTTATAAATTTAGGAATGGTTAGCCAGTTTAAAGAGTGAAAACAACTATAATTCATCCAGATGGAAGAAAGGAAGTGAAGGAAGAGATAAAAACATTATCTTAGCTATAAAAACACAACAGTGCCATTTACTGATAAGATTATTATATAATTAGAAATAAGATATTCAACAATTTTGTTATTAATTCTTTTTTATTTATGGTATTAAAATATTAAAAGAATGTCCTAAGATAATAAATAAGATTAAGATTTATCAAACTTAACTCTCGCTGAATTATAAAAGATATAAGAGGAAAAAAAGTTAGATAAGCTTTTAGACTAAGAACACCTAAATAGACAAAAGAAATCAATTCATAATGAGAAAAATATAATAAAAAATGAGGAGTCATAGCAAACTATCAAATTATCCTCAGATGATCCTGCTGAATTGTATGAGAAGTTAAAGCAGAAATGGGGACTTGAAGAGAAATAGAAACCGCAAGATGGAAGTAAATTATGAATATATTATATAATAGTAAGTGCAGAATAAACAAAGAGCAAACTTGAGGTGTTATTAGAAGAGAGAAGGAATAGAAAACCACCGAAACTGTAATAAATTCAGAATGATTACATGCAACAAATACAGGATGAAAAAGTGGTTGATTCTGTTTATAGTAAGGAAGGACCTATGCCGAAAACTATTTAATAAATGCTGACAGAGTATTAGGGAATAAAAGGAGCTGTTAATATTGGGTAGGAGTGGACTGATATTATTCAATAAGGTGTGAAGACAAATCTAAGGAATCAAGAATAAGCTGCAAATAGTAATAGTTCAGAATATCTAATTAGATTACTTTTGGTTGATGGCAAAGAAAGGACGTTTAGGAGTGGATGGATTTGCAATAGCTTTTGGAATATTTGGAATAATCCTTCTCCCGATTTATTTTTATCAGAGATAAAATCGAAGGAGAGGAGCCTACAAGTAGGAAATCAAGATAGTCTCTGGAGTGAAAGACTGGGAGAATTCTACTCTAGATATCGATGATGTTTCAGTGTAACAAACATATTATACTTTGTTTTCTGATGAGATATAAGAATTAATGAAAAAGAAGATGCTAGTTTAATAATAGATCAGCAAGCTATTGGGAAGAGAAAAATGATAAATATCAGATTTATTTTACATTAGATGACATTGATTTAAAATATTTTATAATAAAAACTTTGATTATGAAAAGAGTTGTCTAAAAAATATAGCACTTGAAGAATATATCCTAAGTGATAGCTTCGGGTGATCATACTGTTACAGTTAAAAATGTATTGAATGCTTTAGAAAAATAAACTAAGGAAGATTTAAGTTATTTGGAAAAGAATTTGTTAAAGATATTTCCTCTTTTTGGCTTGATAAAGAAATCCTAAAAATCCTAATAAAAATTTAATGAACTCATATCCTAACTATAGATTGAACACTTCTAAAACAATTAAGTTATTTTTTAGAAAGGAGATATCGGAAGAAAGATGTACTTTGTACTGTCTGGCCATCTTCTGAGTTTCCCTTATGATTGTAGAGATATAAGTATTTAAATGTTTGATTAGAGATAACCATACCGCAAATAAAGAACTTAATGTAGGAGATCATTTTGGAGAAATTAGTCTTTAACATCGAATTCCAAGAACTCTTACAGTAATAAGTAAAGGTGAAGTCATTTTATTAAGCGTAAATTATGAGACATATTCCAATTATATCTAGTCAACAGTAGACAAAATCCTAACTGACTAGTACAAATTCATCAGAACTTTGAGTATCTTTTAAGATTGGAATGAGTTCACAATATAATTGATCTTACACCACTTAGAAGAACAAAAGATCTAAAGAAACTAGCATGTTTACAATGAGGGGAATAAGGATTAAAATTTATATATAATAAAATTCGGAGAGGTCATTCTATAAAAACAGTATACAGTCAATTAGAAAAAGAGTGAAAATGGTTTGATTTGTTTGGGTTAAGGACAGTGTTTTGGAGATTTTGAATTCATTGATAATCAATCTTGGTTACAAAATAGAAATACTATTAAAGAAATAACCAGATAAATGGATGCAAAATCAACAACTGAATCCTTGATTCTCTCTTTACCATTTCTAACTTATATAAGAATTTAAGAGGAATATCACAGTTCAACCCTACATTCTTTTTTATCCACTTCAAAGTAGGTTGTTATTTAGAGAATGAAAATATTACAGTAGTAAATTATAAATAAAAAAATAAAATTAGATGAAGAATCTGAAAGGAAGGAGGAATTGTCTGAACTTAGAATGTTTAAAGATTAAAAATAAGAAGAAAAATAACCTTAGATTGTAAATGACACATCTAAAATTCGTCATTCCAACAATCCTTACATTTCATTAATGGGAACAATTAAAAACAATAAAAACAAAGAACATTAATAATAGCCATCCTTATAAATAGATTAAATTGCGAATCACTTTTCTTAGAAATCTATACTAATGAAATTTGATAGAGGACACAAAATATTATTATTGAAGAAATTGCGAGATGCCTCAATATTGCCAGATGTTAAAGACAATTTCATCTATTAATAGTCAACAGTAAGAAGTAGTTGTTCCAGATTGAGAATGAATAAAAAATATTAATAGAATAATCAACAAGACAGTGTTACCATAATCAAGCCCTTTGTTAATTCTAGATCTCACACTCCTGATTCCTCAGTGGTATTGCAAAATGAGTTTAAAACATAAAATGAAATCAATAAGTGCTAGAGAGCATTTACATTCAAACTTAATGATTTTCATAATTTCAAAGTTTCATCAAATTCTGTTGGATATTCGCGATCAATATCATAAATGAGTATAAGTAGAAGTAGTATTAATCGCAAATCCCCGAGTAAATATAAATTCGAAATTGAATATGAAAAAAACTAATCATAATCTCCATAAAAATAACCTAAAGTTGAGATTGACTTATGCGTTTATGGGAAATAATGATCTGCCTAAATATATTTCTAGAAACTTTGAATAATTATATATATATATATATATATAATAATAATGGTGTATTATAAATTATTGTTTTCCTGTGAGACCAAAAATGTTGAAGCAATCTCAACAGGAGGAACAAACTATGAGTAAGACTATAGTTAATTTATCAAAGGTGGCACATCTCTTTGGTTTGTTCTAGTTGCCATACGGATATTAATGAAATCTATTTTAGAGGAGATGATCAAGTGGATGTTGCCAATTCTAGAGGGCAATGTAATTTTTAAATGAAATGTAAATCCTGCGCTAAAATGATCAATATAACATTAGAGAAATTTCCAGACACAGTCAATGTGCAAGAAATAAGTATATTCATGTTATTAATTTGTAGGCAAAGATATTTAGATTGCGTTATTCGATTGCAGAGGTGCTGACCCAAAATCATGGAATTTCTAAGGCCTAACAGTGATTACACCTAATGGAACAGTATTTAATGATGCTGATTTGACTGATACATGGGTAGAGTATGACGAGAAAGCTGCAGAGGAGGTGTTGATTGATAAATTCAAGGCTTATTTCTAAAAATCAAAGTGAATTCATAAGTATTATTAAACATCATATCAAACTTTAAATTATTTTAAAACCAATTCTTAATTGATTATGAGCGCTGCCAAATTTATGAATATCTTAGCTCAAAGAGATCAATAGTAAATAACTTTATTAATCACGTTTAGATATCTGGAAAATCCATAATTCAACTCTTATCAGTAATTCAAACAGGCGATATAAACACTTGGTTTTCAACAAACCTAATCTACTATAATGAATTTTAAAAACAAATGTACTCCACCTACATCCGATAATTCACCATATTTCTTTTCGAAACAAGAATAATGGCAAAAAAATTAAGACTTGCTGGCTCAACAAGTCAACTCCAGTTCCACTAAATCTTATCGAGCTATATACCCAAATAAGAAATTAGCATCTCTAGAGGAAAGATACTAATAACACAATTCCTAATCTTCTTTTATGAATAAAGTGTTATCCTCTGAGCCTAGCCCACTTCTATAATATAAATCTCAAAGTCCTTCGTTAAAAGATAAAGACTAGAGTGAAATGAGCTAGATTTAATAATAGATGTCTCATCCCATTTTAAAAAAGTCGAACCTTAAGATTAAAGTCGATGAGGCAGGGAGAATCAAAAAAAAAAAAACTGTTTAAATAGTCGAAATCCAATTGGAAAGAGGTAATTAGAAAGAAGGCTAAAAGAAAAGCCCAAAAAAAATCATAACGAAAACAGAAATCAGAACTGTGTAAGACTTTTTAGTTGAAAATTCAAGCAAAAAAACCAAATGAAATTTATCTTTTAAAATTTTCATCATATACAACATCATTCTTACTCATCCATGTGTACCATCGATTCTTGGTTCTTTTTTTATTAAATTTTTTATTAAATCTAAAATCTGTTAGAAAGACTTATTTCATTCTAAAGTTAGTAAATAGTTTTGCATAAGGCTCTCCTCTATGCAAAATCATTATTGTTATCTTGTTTAGGACTTGTCAATAAGGTTTAAATAGTAGAATTGAGTTTTTTGGATTAAGGTGTTAAAATTTATCTATAATTATTTTACATAATATATTTATATATAGAGACACAGTTTCATATGAATTATCATTAAATTTATATTATTGTGAATATTCCTAGTTATTTAATCAAGAAATCGTGATGCTAATTTTGGTGAGTAAATGAAATGTTAACTTAAGAAGCTCTTTTAATTCTTAAGGATGAACACAAAACATTAAATATCAAAAAAGATATATTTATAATTATTCAAGTTATTATAAAAATATTAGAATTTTGTTAGATGTCAAAAAGAAACCTTCTAGAGAAACAAGATAGCAATCTATCGAAAGGATCTTTAGCCAGATAAAACACAAATCGAAATCTCGCTGGTTAGAAATCATTCTTTTCCAAATTTTCTAATACTATTTCCAAACCATAAGATGAAGGTTATATTTGAATTCTTACTTTCTAGAAATATAGTTTTTGGGTAAAGGGTAGGACTCGTGTATTCGAGTTTTATTTTATTTGCTTTTGAATTATGATGGAATGGAGTAATATTTGAAAAAATAATCAGTCCTTACCCCATTAAATTCATATACTCCAGTGATGAAAAATTGTCAAGACTTAAGTCCTATTAGAACGTAATCTACACATATTATAAAAGAGAGTTGATTTACTATTTTTAAATAATATCCGTAAGAGATTTTCACGACTTTTATGTTGATTTTTATGCTACTTTTGATAAAAATAAAAATTTTTCCCTTGAGCCCCCTGAATTTAAATAACTCCTAGAAGTTGCAATTGATAAATGCGTAGGTCCTAAAAAATTTAAGGTTGTCACTGATATCTTTTTGAGTGAACCTTCATCGTATGAGAACTAATTAAATCCGAAGATCTTAGGAGAAATGATAGAAAACTTTAGAGATTTGGATAAGGAATCTAAAATTGATTATTTGCTGCTGTTTCCTTATATCCTTAGCTTTTTCATGGAATATACTTACTCAGAAATAAAATATAGGTAGGGTAGATTAGATTTGATGAGAGGCACTGAAATAATAAAGGGAAAAGAGGTAGAGATAAAAAACATTACAAGTTTAGTTACGATACTTAGAGAGATGGGAATAGATTATCTTCGAGATAAAAGAACTAACTGTTTGACCTATCGAGATGTCGAAAACGTTTTAATTAAATTAAAAAATATTTAGAAGTGGATCACATTTGACATAATCAAATAGATTATTAATTAATTAGCCAAATTGATGTAGGTTGATCCCAAAACTTAGAATGAAGGCAAACCTTTGAAGTTACATAAAATTGTTAATTTTTTAGCTTTGAAATTATGCATTCATCAAAATTGTTTGCACGTAAGTAAATAAGACAAGGATAAATAGAAACCACCCTCAGCATATTTAGAAGTCTTGGTCTTATGGAATACAGCTATGTATGGATAAATAATGAAACAATCAAATTTTGATTTATAACTTAAACAATTTCTAGAGAAACATTACTAAAATGTAGAAAGTTTTAATAGAATTGAAGCCTTGAAAGTATTGGAAGCGTTTTTTAAGAAGAAATTTCAATTAATACCTAAAGACTTAATTAAGATAATTTTAGAGCAGCATTCATCTTTTTAAAATAAGAGGGTTATCATTTAATCACCAATTACAAAAGAAAGCTTACAAAATGAGCTATATTAAATGATGTGTAAAGATGGATATCGAAAGCTACAGGAATATATTCGTATTAGTTATGAGGGAGTGAATAAATCTACAAATAGTGATAAGATTAATTAATATAAAGGTCAGGGCAAAGACTTTAATGATGACCCTCAAATCAATTCTCCGATTTCAAGTGAGAGACAATTAAAAACAAAATAAGTTGCAGATCCTAAGAAATAACAACAATCATAAAATAATAAAAATAATGAATCTAATTCAGATAGTGAAGGTGAATAAGAGGTCAAACCTAAGCAAAAATTAAAACGAGCAGTAAAGGTTATAAGCTCAGAATAAGCATTTGCATAAAAATTTGATTAACAAAAAGATGTTTTGAAAGCATGCTTGATTATGGATAGCTTTCTAAAAAGATAAAATTAAATGCACCAAAAAAATTTGCAGAGTAAAGTATCTAATTAGGATTGTGAAACTCCATATAGATAAGAGAATTTAACAGAGATAAAATTAAGTTAAAAAGATATTTAAGAATTTCAGGGGGCACCTTCTGAGTAGAATAATACTAAAGGTAATACTAAAGTTAAAGAATCTAAGTAACAAAAAGAATAATATGTTAATAATAAGGAAGATCAAAAAGAATCATCCAATATGGAAGAGAGACATAAATTATAGCCTTTCCTATTGGTTAGACCAAAGATAATATTAAAGGATATCAAAAGACAGTCTTAATCTTAATCAGGTGACATTTTCTCAGTCGCAGGAAAAAATGATAAAAATGTTGGGCCTTCAAATTTTAAGAATGCTTATTATGGAAATTTGAATACATAATAGGATGCATCAAAAATAATGAATTGGAGTACTTCTACTAAGAGTCAAGTATTCCAATTGACAGATGAAGTAATAAATTGTTAATTATATGGTAGGATTTTAAGGATGATGAAGGGAAGTTCCAAGTTGTTATTGATGATGTTTAGTTATAAACTTAAATTTAGATTTAGTAAACCCAAGGGAAAAATAAGAGACCTAAGGATAGATCAACGTGTTATTATTGCTCTATTTATTGATTTAATCTTCATAATTAAAGATCATTTATTTACACTTATATGTTAACTTGTATATTCTTCATCTCACAATTTATTTATAGTAAGTTGAAAAAAAAAATAAATGATTTCTAGAAAAGCTACTTAATAATCCCAATAGAATGGCGTTGATGAGAAGGATAAAAGACTACTGAATAAGTAATCTTCTTTTTTTAAATCCTTTACATCTTCAAAGAAAGGAGGCAAGGATGGTGAGGGTAGTCAATATTTTATTTAGAATAGAGTTTCAATTTTTCATTCGAAGTTAGGATTGTGCATTTCATACAATACTGTACATGCTTGTCAATTTTTAAAAAGCAGATGAAGATTCTAAAAAAAAGAGCTTTTCATTATTAAGTAATTCTAAGCCAATCATGAATATGGAATCATATAGGGACCTAAGTGAACTGAGACCGTAATTATGTGTGTATTTAATTTAGAGAGCTCATATATTTTTTTACCGTTATTTCCGTGAGGGATTTACATGATTTTTATGTCGATTTTTATGCATCATTTGATAAGAATAGAAATTTCAGTTTGGAGAAGAAAGAGCTTCAAAAAAATGTTATTTACAATGTTGGAGCTTATTGGACATAGGAAATTTAAGGTTTTTAGTGATCGGACTTTGATTGAAGGGGAGGCTTTTGATGGTATATTAACCTAAAAGTTAATGGATGACATAGGGGAAAATTTTATGTTGCCTAATGAATAAAATAAGGTGGATTATTTATTGATATTTCCATACATTTTAAGTTTCTATTTGGAATATACATATCAAGATATCAAGAATAAATAAAAACGACTGGATATCATCAAGGGAACTGAGATCATTAGAGGGAAAGAAGTCGAAATTAAAAATATTACAAGTCTTATTTCAATTTTAAAAGAGATGGGAATTGATTATTTAAAAGAGAAAAATACTAATAAAATTTCCTTTAGAGATGTTGAAAATATTTTATTAAAATTTAAGAATATATAATAATGGATTACTTTTGAAGTGATCTAATAGATTTTGTAATCATTAAGTAAGGTCATGTAAGTGGATGAAAAGACACAGGAAGAAACAAGGAAATTAAAGATTCACAAAATAATTGATTTTGTAGCATTAAAATTATGTATTCATTAGAGTTGTCTTAAAATTAAAAGAACAAAAAAGAATCCTAATTAATCTTAGTTTCTGGAAGTAAATCTTTATTATTAAACTAGGCATTAGTGTTATGGAATTGCGCTTAATTTGCTAAATATGCAGAAAAATAATTTTTGACTTTGAAATTTTAGAGATTTCTTAATGAACAATATTAACAGAAAGAATCATTTGCTCGATAAGATATGTAGAAGTGTATGGAAAAATTTTTCAAAAAATCTTATTAGTTAATGCCTAAAAAGTAAATATATGAAATCATTCAATGTCATCATCTTTTTGCAGATAAAAATATCGTAAAGAACAATTCTATTGAACGAGAAGACTTTAAAAACTCACTTCATACTATGATATGTACTGATGGTTATAATAAGTTAAAATAATACGTCAAGATCATTTTTGATGGAATTACAAAGCATACAACAACAACAATATAATACCAAAATTATGGTAAAGACTTAGATGCGGAGAGTAATTAAGGTGGAATATCGTCTTAGAGGTAATTAGGAGATAGATAAAATACATCATAATTAAACATATCATAATAATAATAATAAAAAAAAGAAAAGGAAAAAGAAAAAGAAGTGAGTAGTGAATCAAGTAGTAATGAGGAATAAGTTATTACAGCAAAGCCTAGTCAAAAATTTAAGACAGCAGTCAAAGCCATTTAATCAGGAAATTTAATAATGAGAGAAAAAAATGAAAGCAAAGATATATTAAAAGCGTGTTTAATGATGGATAGCTTTCTTAAGCGTTAAACTTAGAGAATAAAGAACTACGTTAAAGTATCCAAATCTGTAAACATTTCTGTAGTTAAATCTGATGTAAAGCAGTTAGATAAATCATTAATGGAAATGGATGAACAAAAGGAGTTATTTGATCCATCCGAAATGTTGAATAGGAAAAGATAAGAACAGAAAATTAAAGAAACTCATAACATCAAAAAAGAAAAAGAAACTAAGAATTGGGAGAAAAACAATTTACCTTCGGATAAGAAATCGGAAGAAGATATAGAGGGAGTTAGTACTTAGGTTGAATAGCCTATAGAAAATACGAATGAACTCAAATTCCCAGATTCTAAGGAGAAGAGAAAATTAAATAGGTTTGAAGTAGCTAATGAATTGTAAATGGTTTTAGGGAAATCAAATAGCGATTTTGGACCAACTAATTTTAAGCAAGCCATCAGATTATAATCAGCAAATCAAATTGTTTAACCTGTAAGATTATCTAAACAATATGATGTAACTAATATCATATTATTTCTTAGGAACAAGATCATTTAGTAATAATAGATGAAAGTGTTTTAGAAAATTTAATTAGACGTAATTAATAATAAGAAAGAGTTAGGAAATCGACTAGAGATGACTGTCAATGTTTAATTTATTGAAGTTTTAATGTATGAATATAAATTAAGTATTAAACTAAGAAATATTATTCTTTATATTCCAATTAATCACCAGAAAGTTGAGTAAAATTTTAAGTAATTTATATTCCATTTCACTTTTGGTAATTCGAGAAATAAAAAGACTAGCATTTAGATCAAAACAGAATCCAGACTAGAACAATAGGTATATTGTAATGTATATGCAGATTTGGAATAAATATAATCAATAATTATTTAAATGAATTGTAGCTTTTCATAATTTAAATTTCCTAAGTGTTTCAAAATACAAAGACAATTCTTGCTAGAGAATCAAGAGTTTTTATTTTTATTAATCTTCTTCGATCATCACATTCTTAAACTTTCTCAAATATTATTCTTCTCGATTGTACATTGAACAAGAGCAATCCAATGAAGTATTGGTAAATAAATTACAAGGATCCCCTGCGATTGGCATTATTAATGGGGTCTTTGTCTTAACAAAATAAAACTCTTCAATAATTGGCATTTTTCTATTCATTACTTTAATTAATTAAAACAAATAAGAAATATAAACCAGAAATCATAAACTTATAGAATTCTTACAAGAATACAAAAACGAATTAAAATACTCTTTATTAAATAGGAATCCTAACAAAAAATTAAGCAACATTTTTTCAATACTAACCTTTTTTTTATTCCCAATATCAATCTAATTACTTAAAAATTCTCAGTTATTTTGCTTAACAATATTTGCTATTATTTATAATGGTTAACAAAGCAGAATTAAAAATTTGGCTAGAAAAGTGAAAACAATTATTCTTCTTGATTAATTAGCTTGCTGAACGGAGTTAATAACATATTTTTAAGAGGACTTTGAAGTCTGTACATAAATGTTAATGTTTTTATATATAAATCTCAGAGCAGAATTTGCTCAGATATTAATATATAAATAATTAAAATGCCTCCAAAAAAGTAGAAGATTGATCAATTTTTCGAATCAAAGGAAAAAAAATCAGAATAAAAGGAATAACAATAAAATAATGCTTCTAAAATTATTGAGGAGGAATACAAAGTACTTCTTTTCATAAATGTATAAGCCTGTCCCTGAAGGTATTGTTCCTTTTGATGATTTTTATAATGGCTTGTTTAGTTGGTAAAAGAGTTTAAAAAGCTAAGAAGCCAACCTCAAACACATTTATGAATTCATCAAAAAAGAATATTAGACTAAAACATGTTACCCTCCATTTGAGAAAATATTCAATGCATTCCAACTTACGCCCATAAACAAGATTAAAGTGGTAATCGTTGGATAAGACCCTTACATCAATTAAAACGAAGCTATGGGGTTGTGTTTCTCCGTCCCTCGTTCATAGACAAAGATACCTCCCAGCCTAAAGAATGTTTATAAATTACTTCAGACTGATGTTAAAGGATTTACTACTCCAAATCATGGTGATCTTACCAAATGGGCTCAATAAGGAGTATTTTTACTTAATACTGTATTGACTGTTGAAGCTGGGAAGTCTAATTCACATAAGGATTGCGGGTGGATCAAATTTACGGATTAAGTGATTGAAGTTATCAATAGAGAATGTAGTGGATTAGTTTTCTTATTGTGGGGATTGCCAGCCTAAAAGAAGGCCAAGGGAGTGGATAGATAAAAACATCACATATTAGAAACAGTTCATCCAAGTCCATTGTCTGCAAAAAATGGTTTCTTTGAGTCAAGTAATAAAATATTTAAATGATTAGATCACTTCTCAAAGTGTAATTAATATTTAATTCAGAATGGAAAACAACCCATCGATTGGACTTTGGATTGATAATATAAAATTATAAATGAAAATTTGGTATTTTGGATTGTTCTTTATATATAATAAATTTAAATTCATTTAAGTATAAGATTTCAATATTGTAACTAAAATAATCTGTGCATGTAATTTACTTGTTCTAAGTGAAATAGCATTTAACTTGTAGTATGATATTAACTACTGGGTATCTAATGGTATGTTTCAAGGTGAAGATTAGATTGAGATTTAAGTGAAATATTGATGGCATAACAGGCATTTCAGAACATAATTGATTCAAGAACTAAACTATTTTTATGGTTTTTCATAAGACTCTTAGAACTGAGTTCTTTTAAACAAATAGATATTTCATGCAATTTAAAATAAAATAATCTTAGAGTACATAAATGAAAAATCAATTATTATCAAAAAATCAATATCCATTGTGGAATTGCAATAGAAATGAGCAGAAATTGGAATAAATTATGAATAAATAAAGGTATTGCTTTTAATATGAATATGGCTGATAAATTTTTGACTATCGTTAATAAATTTAAAATATCAAAATGGATGAATACATTACGGTAATTAAGTATTAATAGTGTAGTAGAATTACAGGGAATTGGAGAAATTGATAGATGGAATTCCTGTTCCAGATATTACAGTATCTTCCATGTCACAATAATCTGATCGACTGACTCCTTAATCAAAGAAAAAATAATCTCTGACAAGGGAACAAGTCCAACGCATTCTAAGAAGAACAACCGAGTAGACTCAAATCCCCATAAACAAATAGAAGGTCTTTACTATGCAGACCTTTAATTGTAAGGAGAATTCAAATGATGAATAAATGCTTAAAATTATGAAATAAAAGGAAGGAAAAGGTAATTCAGAACTATAGATATTACAACACTAAATTAAAGAATAGCAGAAAGTTATTGAGCAATAAATTCATCAAATTGGATAAATAAACATTAAAATTGAATATCTGACAAATGAATTGTAGGATAATTAAGAGAAAAGACAAGCTGATGCCAAAAAAGTGTTATAATTATAATAAGTTAATGAATAGTAACAATAAATAATTGAAGATTTACGCAATGAGTTGTAGATGGCAAAAAGAGTTAGTTCATAATAGTAAAATAGGGAATAAGATTCAATGAATTAAATTAGCTTATTGAAATCGAAAATCAATTGTTTAGAATCAGAGATCAATAGAACTAGGACCACTTTTACACTCACATCTCCTAAAAATGATACTATGCAGACAGACGTATTCTCAAATAGAATTGACCCAGAATTACTTAGTGAAGAAGAAACTTTAACTGTCTTGTTTAGTCTATTGGGTAGGGTTTCAAAGAGTTAAAGGATGTCATATTTATTAAATAGAAATGCAGATTTCAAATTTTTAATTAAATGTAAACGAAGTCAACCAAGCATGAACAAAATCTCAATTCTATAAAATAGTAAGTCCATGTGCGACAGAAAATTATCATACAATCATGAAAATTTTAAACAGATAGTTAAAAATGTGGGTATCAAAAACCAATGAATTATACTTTATCTATTTATTTATATTTATATTAATAATGTTTTTAGATTGCAATATTATTGAAAACAGTGATGAGGATGAAACACCAAACATTTGTTTAGATACTTTCGGCTTGAGCGAAGAATTAGATTAAAAAGTATAATTTATTTAATTGATAGAAAAGTAAAAATAAGTCCTCAAGAAAAATAAAAATTATACAAAAAATCTAGGAGTAGGGAATGCTTAATATGAATCCCATGATATTGATTTGAGTGCATTTGTTATCGAAAAGCAAACTTTTATATAAGATAATGAATAATTAAGAGGATCTATTGAATTAAATGTAGACCCTTAATTATTTGATGTTGCTTAATTTGATCCAGTATAGTAATAAGAAGAAGAAGATAAACATGAATAAATTACCTAAACTATATTTAAATAACAAAAAGAAGAAAATAAACTAAATTTATAATAATAACAATAATAATAATAATAGCAATAATAATAACAATAACAATAAAAGATATAAAATTAGTAATAATAATAATAACTATAGCAATAACAATAAGAATCACAATAATAATAAGAATAATTGGAATGCGTTATTGATATATGTAATTTTGAAGAAATTTCTGTTCAAGATCTAATAGCTATTCCTCCTATATCTCCATATGCTGAAAAAATTACCTAAATACATTTGCCAGATTATTTACATAATTTTCTTATTACTCCTATCCCCACAGAAGGAATGTTTTAATGCACAATATAAAGAGACAAATCTGGACTTAACAGATTTGTTCCAAAATACAGAATGTATTGGAGTCATAATGGTTAATTTTTGCTTGCTGCAAAAAAGGTTTTAAATAAAAATAAATATATTGTCACATAGGATGGAGATTTTAAGTAGAAAGATGAGTTGCTGATGTTAGGTAAAGTTGTATAAAGCTAATAATCAAAGGCGGATTATAATTTATTTGATAACGGAGTAAAAAAGAAGGATCAAAGTAAATTCAAAAAATAGAGGACATAATTAGGTAGTGTGTTTTTTGATACTACTTTTGAAAGTTAGACTCGACCAAGGAAAATAGTTTTAGCATTAAGAAAAAGTGAAAAGGAAACCCTATAATTTGTTAGTCGTAAACCTTAGGTTATTATAGCAGGCGCATGTAAGTATTTTAGAAATTATTAGAAAAATTATATACTCTTGATTTCTTCGGAAGAGTGAAAAAACCATCAATAAAGAATTTTTAATTAGTCCTAAAAAATGATGATAAAGATGTGATTTATGTTTAATTTGGAAAAATTGATAAGAATCGATTTAATTTGGATTTCATGAGTCCTTTAAGCCCTTTAATAGCTTTGTAGTTGGCGTTATGCAATTTGAATTTCGCAGGGAAAGCATGATTTTATATTTTTGAATTATTAGTATATATATAATCTTGTAATACATTAATATATAAGATAAAATGGATGAATAAAGGCAAAACAAAATCATATTAAAAGTATTATGTTCTTAATAATTAGATTTTAGTAAAATAAGCTTTGATACAGTAATATTTAATTAACATCAATGTGTGTTGTCTTTTGAATGATTACTTTTACACCATTGCTTTAAATGGTTTAGCAATAATTTTCATAGCTTTTGTTTATCATATAGTACCTTTGAAGAGTAGTAAGATAAAATACATATTGGAATATTCGTTGTTGGCTGGTGTCCAAGTAAAAATATAGGAGATAATAGGTTCTTGCTATTTTCATGAAGGATTTACTAATATATTTGGCAAGTTCATTGTTAGGCCTATCTATACTTTCAGTGCTTTTTAAGATTTGCAGAACTTAGTTGAACGTTGATCAATCACTGGGACTTTTTAAATTAGTAATTATATAGTTTAATAGTTGAAAGTGTGTAGGAATGTTGAAATGTTTTTTAAGTTTGTAGCTTTTATTTTTATCACTGCATTTAAATTCTGTATTGCCATGGAGCTGGATGTAGATATTTGTTATATTGTGGTTTATTTTAGTTTGTGGTTTACTATTTTAAATTTGCATGATTTTGAATTTATTGTATAAGACTTTGAAAAGATTCAATTATTCTCTTGAAAGAAGAAACAGCACAAATTTAAAATATTATGGGGGTATTTGGTATACAATATAATTGCATTGTCTAACATTCAACCCATTCTTTACTTTATTGAACTTTTGTCTCACAATGGACTAGAATTTCACTATGATCTACCTTCCGATAATGTGCATAATTGGGTGGGTAGTAATGATGATCGTGTCATTCATTATTCGTAAAGAAGTAAAGTAACAGTAAATAGACAATAAGATAATATTATTAGTAAATTCACAATATGATCCCATAAGTCGGCACCTCCGAAAACGAAGTATTCATGAATGAAGGCATTCCCAAATATCTAATGAAGATCTCTTCCACTTATTTCCAATAAACTGACAAGCCATTTGAAATTCTATCTACATCTCCTCGTAAATCAAATGATGCTGATATGAAATGTTTGATATGTTTTGAAAATGAAAGTGGATACGTACTTATGAATTGTGGGCATGGTATTCATATCAAAGTATATTTACAGGTGGTTTATGTCTGAAATGTGCATCCAATCTTCTCTTGAAGAATAAGGAATGCTATTTATGTCGTTAACCTATAATGAAAGTATTCTAAATCTAAAAGAACAATTTTAACTTCGTTGAAGTCATTGGAATAATAGAAACATAATGAATTAGATCTTTATTTAATATATATATATATATTGAATATATTCTTAATAAACAACTACTCTATCATCTTCTCCAGATATTAAATACTGTTTTGCTACTTGCGATTACACACCTAGAAAATCCATTAATACACACTTATGGCAAATTCACAAATTCATTATTCACTTAGATTATATCATTCACATTGTTGACATTCCAGATTCTTATTGTGTCATCCCAAGAGGCAGATGCGATATACTAAGAAAATGGAGAAAATCCACATGTCCATATCCCTCTTTAATGTCCTTCAAATTACTTCAACAAAACGAAATTTCTTGCTGACCATAATTTAATGAATTTATCCTTTCCTGATGAAATTATCCATTCATAATCATATGAGAATTCTACACAATATCCTTCATCATTATGAGCCTACCATTTTCTTAAGATCTTTTGATTTTTGTATAGGATTATATTTTTATCATCACCAATTGTTGCAATTATCAAATTAACATTCTAATTTTCTTTATCCATTTCCATTAACCAATTCCCTCCACCAAATGAACAACCATTAACAGCTTATGCGTGTCCATTTAATCGATATTCTTATTTATTAGTTTCAATGTTCCACACTATTCCTTATCTATCACCACTTACAGAACAAAAATATCTAGAATCAGATGAAAAGCTAAATCTATTTATCCCTTCACTATGTCCTTTGAAAATTATTGGACGTTAATCTAAATTATTGATATCCCACATCCAAATATCAGACTATCTACCACTTCCAACCAATAACCACTTTTTATTGGGTGAAAATTTCAATGCTTATATTCTATCGGATTAACAAATGAAACATTTCAATTCAATCATTGAATCCAAATCATAAACTACTACTTTGTTATTCCAATTAGAACCACCAGCAAAAAGTTATCCATCATTGGTTACATCAATTGCAGTAACACTATTATAGTAATCTAATTTCAATTTAATTAGATTCTTATCACATAAGTCGAAGCTATCCTCATTTACATTGTTTTTAACTTGATCTTATGCTTATTCATATTACAATTTTTCTAAGTTTTCTAAGTATTATTTTAATTAGTCTCTTTCTTAAGATTACATAATAATCGATTATAACATTTCATTTGATTTTTAGGCTTTACTTAACAATATGTTTAGTGATTGCATTTCCAAAACAAATTGTTTTAATTGACTTATTTGCTTCTAACCAGAAAATTTTAGACTCAAAGATCCGGCATCCAATCTTGTCAATTCTTGTAATTCTTAACCCAATTTTTATAAGACTACTTCAGTGACTTCTTCACATTGAATATATGTCTTGTATATACTTTACACTTAATTAATCTCATCCAAAATTTAAGAAAATTGAGATCCATACTTCAAAAAATTCTGACCTATTTCTTCTGTTATTGTTTCGAAATCATTCACCAATTACTATTTTAACTTATTTTAAACCCATCTTTCTTAATATTCAGTTATACATTGATCGATTTTGGAGATGCTTATGACTTTATGATTAATATGGGATTCTTTTGCACAAATAGCACAAATAGCCTTTTTATTACTAATACATTTTTCATCCAAACACATCACTGAGATTCCTAAACCTAAATCAGAATGGTGTTTGATATGACATTTAATTGAATTGGCTTTGCTAAATAAATCGTTCATTTTATGGATTAATTAATATAGATTAAAATTGTTTACATACTTTTAAAACATGAACCAATATTATAGAGATAAAGATATGAAAATGATTATGAATGAAATATTTTAAGAATAAATGCAATTTTCCTGTATAATTATAGTATTAAAAAAAAGAAAATCAGTCTAAATATATTTTATAAATAAGATTATTTAATTATGCAATAGAACAAGGTTTGGAGAAAGATTAATTATGACATTAAGGAGAAGCCTATACTTTAGTTCAAATTTCAGAAGGTTGGCAAGAAATCTAATGACATTTATATTGGATGTTTTAATGAATATCTCATAAAATATAAAGTAATACTACATTTATGGATTCTAGGATCAATTCTATACGACGCCTTATAAACTATTTGATCTGGAATTCACTAGCAAATTTGAAGTGATAAGAACTCCTCCGAAATTAAAATAGGAGAAACATCATAGCAAAGTTAGAGGAGAAGAGATATTAGATTTAGGGGAAATAGTAGCTATTCGTTTGATTGTGGAAAATATTGAGAAACCCTATGAAATTTAAGGAAAAACTGAATAGATGCACCAATTAAGGGACTTTTTGGGAAAAAAAATAAATTAAATTGGATTTCACAATTTATTCCGTGTTTATAAAAAAATTGGGAGAGGAAATTTCGCATCTGTTTATTTGGCTGAAAGAATAGAAGACAATTTAAAAATGGCAGTGAAGGCATTTTCAAAACAAATTGTTTATAATGAAGAAAAAGGAAGAGTAAGTTTAGTGTACTTCATTTTAGGAAGGATTAATCAATGAAATCTAAATAATGAGAGAGTTAGATCATCCTAATTTAATGAGTTTGTATGAAGTGTATGAAACAAAGAATTCTATCTATATGGGTCTTGAATTATTAGAAGGAGATCAATTATTCGAATATTTAAAAAAGAAAATCTCCTTCACAGAAAAACAAGTATAGAGTATAATGGTTGGGTTACTCATGGGTCTTAAACATATGCATTCAAAAGGAATAATGCATAGAGATTTAAAATTGGAAAATATCTTATTTAAATAACAGGGGTATATTTATTAAGATATTTAAAGCAATTTCGATTCTGTGGTTATTGCTGATTTCGGATTGGCCACTCATGTAAATAAGAAACCATATTTATACTAAAAATGTGGTACTCCTGGATTTGTTGCACCAGAAATCATTAATCTAAAAAATGTATATCAACCTTATGATTCAGTTTGCGATGTCTATTCAATGGGAGTTGTCTTTTATATTTTGTACTTTTCAGTATTATTATTATTAGATTGACTGGGAGACCTGCCTTTACTGGCAAGACTTATAACACAATTGTGAAACAGAATAAGGAAGCCAATATTAACTTTGATTCCCCACATTTCTAAAATGCTCCAAAAGAAGCTTAATAACTGCTATTTCAAATGCTTTAAAAGGAGCCTATATCAAGAATCAAGAGCAGTGAAGCCTTGTTGCATCCATATTTGCAAAGTGCTTTGCTGATTGATGAAGATGAGGCTCATATCTCAACCGATGATGATCCCAATCTTATGGAGAGAATTAAAATGCTAAACAAATAGTTACTATATTATCATTACACTATTTAGAACTGAGAAAGTTGATTTTACCAGAATCAAAAGATAAAATAGTTAGAATGTTAAAGAACTACGACTATAAGCCACTTAAGAATTGAAGTAAAATTAGACGTCAGATGAAGAACTTAAAATAATCATGAGGACACCAGTTATTACAGGAAGAATTAATTCTGTTGAAAGTATTTACTAAATTAAATTTAGATTCCCCTATGCTGAAATGCCTATCACCATTCTAAAGTACTGGTTATGACGAAATAGCCCAAGATTAATTGGTTTTGTAAAGATATTCTGGAAAAACACTAAATATTTGACTTTTTTTTATATTTTTCTTTAAATCATTACGTGCTATATGATTTGAATAATTTTTTATTCAAATAAATATTAATTATAATGGATTCATAATTTCTAATCTTATAATAGATATAGTATCATAATTAATGTAGATTATTTTATGAAGAATAATTTATCATCATATTGAGTATTTTCCCTTTAAAATATTAATATAATTTTTTCATTTATTTAGAGGAATTAATATGTATTTTTTTACTTACAGAACTAAAATGCCAACATACAATATATTATAGGCCAATACCTTTATTAAGATTGATAATATTATTTATAATTATAATATTTTAAAATATTATAATAAGTATTTTAGATCTCTTTATATTATTAATAATAATATTAATAATGAGATCAAATGTAGCTTTGAGATTGAGAAAATCAGTAGAAAAAGAAAAGTATGATTCTACTTAGAAATTCTCATTGCATGCATTTAGTGTACATTAACCACCAAGTCCAAAGAGAAAGGCTTTTTAAACTCCAATAAGAGGAAAATACTAAATACTTTAAAAAAAGAAACTAGTCAATAATTAAACATTGAATGACAAGACTCAGCTTTTAAAGAAAATTGAGTACTTTAACTCAGTGAATCTCACTCTAGAAAATTAATAAATCAAAGACTAGGATAAAAGTATATTATGTAGAAGGAATTACCGTTAATAATCAGAAGATAAGATACTCGTATATGATATATTCAAAGAGGTTGGGTACTCTTACAAATTATATGTCTGAGGAATATTCAAAGCCTGGCGATTAAAAAGAAAGACAGAACAAAAAATAATCTCTTCCAATTTTGAAAAAAAGATCGTCTCCATCACCTTAATGTTAAGATTCTCAAACTATTCCACCGATGCCAACAATAGCAGAATTAAATTACACAAAAATAGCATCAAGTAATAGATGATATAAATATTAGATGGATTTAATAAAGTTTAATCTAAAGAAATAAAAGAAGTCTCAGAATCAACAGAAAGAATACTTGATTTATTGTTACTTAATACCTGTGATCTCAAAAAAGTATTCCAATAATAAAAATAGAAAAAAAGAAAAATAATTGTTTAAGGAAGAGTCCCTTCAGATTTCTTCAACATATTGAAATAATTATGATCATATATAAGATATTTTCTTTTATTATTCGACTTTATAAAATATATAATAAATTCGCCCTAAACTATAACAAATTTCATAAATAAGGTGGATTTTAATTATCTATGACAGAATCTAAAAAAGATTCAATATTTCTGATTCAAGAATTTTCTTCGTTTCTATAATATATATTTCAAGATTTGAGTGAAATTATTATGAACTTAAATAATTAATAGAGGGATCATAATATAAAAATATCAAGTTTCGTGATGTAATTTGACATCAAATTTTTTCTCAATTATTCTTGAAGTTAACATTTATTGTTATGCTTCATCTATCCTTTTCATAATAGGTGAAAAACTTACCAACCTATATTTATCTATTCTTAGTTTTATTACTATATTTACAATAATTAATTATATTAAAAATCATAAAATTTAAGAATTATCTCTTTTTGGTGTGCAAATTTATAACTAAATCTGAGTATTCCATATGCCAAAAATTTATTTAGTAGTAATATTAAGAATTATGTTAGTATAAATAGCATTATTATTTAAAAAGAATTAATATTGAAGTAAGTTAACTTAGTTATAATTATTCCTATTTAATGCATAATCATATTGATTGATTTGTAATAGATTTTAATAAATTCTTTTAGAATAAATTGATTTTTTAATATATAGAAAATAAAATATACCAATATTTTCATTAATTTAAAAAACTATTATGTTACAAAACTAACAAAACTATTTAAACGAATCATTCCATTTTACAAACTTTGAATAGATTTCTCCCATATTTTAAGAATTTCTTAGGATAATTAATCCTAATGCTTTAGATATGCTTTAAAATTCAAATTCTCTTAGTGATAATATCAAAACAGAAGGAAGTATCAGAAACTAGGATTCTCAATCCAGTAGTCCTACCTAAATTTATAAATTGAAGAAAAAATGGCATGATAGCACTGTTGTCAAACAAAAATAATTGTAACAACAGATAAGTTGTTAAAATAATAATTGTTAGAATAAAAGAAAAAATTTAAATGAAACATAGATCAAAGGAAAGACTGTACTTTTATGTAATAGATGTCTTAGTAATTTTCACTCGAACAACTATTGTGAGTTTTGCATTTAAGTATTTAATTATCAATAATTTAAGATATATGATCCTAATCTAGGTTATGAAATGGACGATAAATAATGGATTATGTGTGAGAAATGCAACAGATGGGTAACTATTATTTTCTATTATAGAACCATGTTGAATGTGAACAATCCTAAGGAAAATAGAACCTGATTAAAATTACCCATCATACAAAATATAGATGCTCCTAATGTCACAAAAATATAAAACAATAAGCTAAATCTAAAATATAAAAAGATACTTTTTTAGATCAGGAATTAATAAACACAAAAACTAAATAACCCTAAACAATATTAAAATTATCAAATAAAGAAATATTTGAAGATATATCTCTTCTGAGGTCCCTGATGTCAGATGAAATATAAAAAAAAGTGAAAATAGATTGAATTTATGATTTGTTAGATGTACTCTTATATTTTTAAAATAAATAATTTTAAATATATTAATTCATATCAGGGCTTCATAATTATTAAATTAAAATAATATTATTCATTTATAGCAATGGAGAAATTATCGAAATTCATTCTATATCAGCAATTAAAAATTTACTATTTCTTTTATATGACTTGGTATTACAGATCCTTTTCTACAATTTTGTTCTCTTTAAATAAATCTTCTAATATATATATATTAACTAATGTATTTGAAAAATATGAATAATATTAATTATTTATCACCCTTTCATTGAATTTAGATTTCCTTATTTTTATTATTTAAACTATTCAAATTCTTTAAGGTATTATTAATACGATAAATCTTGGGAAACTGACATGTCTAAAACACTTTGATCTCCAAAATTAATCCTACTCATTATCAAAGTTCCTTCTATCTCTTATTCTAATTTATCTAATTCTTTATTTATCTTATTCACTTCTTTTCTAATAGTATCAATTTCATTAACTGATTTATATTTATCAATATTTGCTTATTATTTATCATTTTTTTTCTGTTAAGGATTTGGTTGACTATCTGGTTCTTCTTCGCTTTCATTTTTTTCAGTATCATCGTAATCATCCTCATCTTCTTATTATTCATCTTCATCTGATACTTCTTAATTGTCTTCATCCTCTTCTTAATCATCTTCTTCTACTTCTTCTTCTTCATCATTTTAGTTTGATTTATTCTATGCTTTCCATTCATCATCCTTTTCTTTTTTGTAATTTTATGTCATTCTATTAGGTTCTTATTACTGTTATTGTTTATTTAACAATTTTTGTGCAACAGGTTGATTGGCATTTGATTATTCTTATGAAAATAAAAACTATGGTCCTCTAAATTTTTATCATAATAATACTTTGCTGGTTATTGTTATGTATTCGCTTGTAGAGTAAAAGGATTTGGGCTACTTTTTGGCAAAATTGAATTTAAATTTTGATTATTCTTTAAATTATTTTACACATATGGATTTTGCTATTATGGTATGAAGGGTTGTTATTAAAGTGATTGTTGTGATCGCTAGCTTGTTGTTGAATAGGTTTAACTAGTTGTCTGAGGATTATTGTTATATTAATATTATTAACGATATGACATTATTTTAATTATATTAAATTAATATTAAGAAACATTTTTGTAATAGAATCAAAGAGAAATTAGGTTGAGATTGAATAGTCTGATACATGTTTTGAAGTAAAGAAGTTTGATAAATTTCATAAAATACAAAAATAATTTATTAAAAATATTATAAACTTTTTTCGAATATCATGATGTATCAATAATGATAGATATTTTTAGTCAAATGCCAGAATCATAAATGGGTTCATTGAGAATGAGACCTTCCCAATTAAGAATAGAAATGACAGATGATCAATAGCTTTCCACAAGACGGAGGAATTTTATGTCTCCTACTGCTTTGCCATTATTCAGAGAATTGTATAAAATAAGTTTCATATATATATCAGATAATAACAAACGACTAGACAACATCATTAATAGGGAATGGCTCCTTTAGCAATGAAAGTACGATTATCAATCTAATATACTAGCCTATGTCTAGTCAATCATAGATTACAAAATCCTTACTGTTTAATTTATTTTTATAAGGTTTCTTTATCAACTATTATGGTTATCTATTTTGGTAATACAGTTTTCGCTACGTTTTACTTTAATTATGGATCTAAGATTTGCTCACAATGTTCATATTGATATATTATAATTATCGTAAAGGAGAAGATTGTATTTGGCAATTAATAGAGGCTATGTTTCTATTTTTTTTAAAAGTAATTGAATCATTTAACAAAGGTTTTTGTAGTGTTTTATTATGAAATACAGAAATTCAAAATATATTTTATTACAATTATGATGATTTCACTATCAATATTAGTGTTGTTTATGCGAGTAGTTCAAAAATTGAAATTTCAATTATAGAACAATCAATAAATTGTAAGTATTACATATATAATAAGATTATACAATTTATAAAAACATTATTATGCGTTTAGATGACTCTAATTGCATTAAAATGGGAGGATAAAATTGACTGGGTTTGGTCCTAGATCTTTATAATTTTATGGGTATTTTTGGTAGTCCTTGCATTATTACTATTTATATCTTTCATAGGATGCATTGAAACCTTCATTAATCTCCTAAAAAAATAAACTAGTCAAAATTATTGTATTCCTTATATCTATTATAGTAATAGGAAATATTTGGATATTTATCAATATCATAGGTTATACATTGTTGCCATTCTCATTTTTGTATAGATTGACTCAACTATACGACAATGGGCAATCTTTTGGATAGGATGAAATTATTTAACTCATTGTTTTAAACGCGATTTACATGGCCTTGGTAACTGTTTATACTACTTTTTTTGTTAATAACATAAGGTAATTATGACATATAGGAATGTAGATTGTTTTTAAAAGAATTATAAGGAAATGAATCATACTCTACAGGAATGCCTCAATAACCAATTTAAATTCAATAAGATCAAGAATAAAGAAATGATAATGTGCCTGATTCCAATGAAACTTTGTCAAAGAAAAAAACGAAGTAGCCTTTTAGATTTGTTAAATTAAATGCGCCATTATATTTAGTAAAAATGTCATGCACATTCTTTGCTATATTTGATAAAATACACTTTAATCAGACAAATCCTAAATAAACAGAACAGCTTTCTTAAAGAGCATTAGGATAATAGTCCTCAAATAGAATGGAATTTTAAAAGGAAATCAAAGCCAATAGCAATTCTTTAGATGAAAAGATCAATAATATTGGAGCATAAGAATAATAGAAAGAAATCGCTGAGGAATAGGAAAAGGAAAATGGAACATCCAAAAAAGGTTCAGAATTACAATAAAAATCTCAAAATTCCATTAATGAGGATTAGTAGTCTACTTAGGATAAATGTTTGATTTGTTATGAAAATTAACCAAATATTTTATTTATCCCTTGTAGACATGGGGGAATTTGCGAGAAGTGTGCAGAAGATATTGTAGTTAAATCTAATTAATGTTATTTGTGTAGAAAAGTATTTAATTCTTTTTATTTAGAATATTAAATAAATTTTGAAAATAAACACAGAAGGGGGACAACTAATTGTTAATGAGATTAGTAATATCAAGTAAAAAAGGCAGATTTAAGCGTGAAATTGTAAATAATTTTAAACTAATTAATCTCGTGCAATAATATATATTAATAACAATTTATTATCTAATCTATTTTCATATAGCTTCATTCTAATCGGCTTATTATATTCTATTATCTTGAATCTATTCACTAGGTAAAATATAGTTTGATAATTTGGCTGGAACATACAATGAAAGGATTAAACAAATATATATATTAATTGCACTTTACTCGTTAAGTGCATTAAGAGTAGTGATGGTTTTAGGTTGAAAGAAATTCAGATATTAATTATAGAGTAGAGAAGCAAAGCATATAGTTGATAAAATATGAAGTAGTTTATAGTTTTTTAAATATGACTTGGCAACTTTTTGTTGTTCTTGTTCATCGAATATTTCGTATGATTTCTCAACACTAACATCTTATTCAATATTTGTATTTGGCTGTGTGTAATTAAATTGTTTATATAAAAGATACAAGTAGTTGATTGTGTAAATTGATAATGTTAGCATATTTAACAATCGATAGTAATTATAATAAGGTACCTCATTTGTTACATCGAACTAAATCCTTGTATATTTCTTATATGAAATATAAAGATTTAGACCTGCTTGTGGAACTGTGTAAAATACAACAATACAAAATTTAATCAAATGATTTATTTTAAATTTATTCTTATAAGTAGTAATTTCTTCATCCTTTACATTTTGAAGTTACTAAAATTCAAAAATGAGAAGCCAAAAATAAAATAAAGAAATATATACAACTAATTATATTATACTTGTATATCCTTAAACAAAATTGTAATGAGTTGATCTAAAGATTTGAATCGGCAGATTATAGAATATCGTGAGTATTAGTAAATATGGGACCCATCTAAGTATTTAAGGCCATTTTATTCTACTATATTCTTTGAAATGATAAAGGAATTTAAATAATGAGTAACTTGTAATCAAAATGAAAATGACCTATAAATAATATATCAAATTACTTAATGGATAAAAACAAGTCTATAATACTTTGTGTTTTCAACTGTTGCTAACACATTTTATATCTATATGGATTAATATTAAGGTGGTTTTTGTAAGGTTACTTATGACAAAATTAATTGTTAATTATTTAAATTAATTTCCTTAATCTCTCCTACACAGTCATATTGAGGAAGCATTAAATTGCATTAAACTTTTAAGTTAAAATTCTCATCAAGAATTAATTGTTCATACTATGAACTATCTTTTATTGATCTTGTTTTAATGGTAATTTTTACACATTATTTAATAATGATGCATTTCCATAGAGGATGAGATGTATTTTGATATTATAAATTATGAGTTCTGGGGAAAGTTTAGTTTTATTAAGTTTGAAAAGATCTTGCTAATGATTAACAATAGACGTACATCTTAAATTGAGAAGGCTACTTCTATAAATACGTAGTTATTATCTGGACTATAAAATCCAAGGGAATCGCATGATTATGTGGTTTAGTTCTCAAGAAGAGTGTCATTGCAATTCTATTGATAAAATCCATATTATTAGTATTTATTCTATCTGATAGTGATTACTTATAATGTAATGTAGAAGATCAACCAAAATGTTAGTTTTATGGAAGTCTGAGTACGAGATTAAGCATCAACCTATAATGGAATATATTAATCAAATAAAATCATATTAATATCATTATTAATTATGGAAATAAATATGAGTGAGAAGAGTAGATATAGAGATTGAAAGTAGTATTGATAAAATAATAAGAATATCAAAGTGGTTTGATTTCTCTTTTGTGATACCTTGGAAAGACAAAAACAAATGATTAATTATTGATAATATTATTTTTTACTCATATGACTTTATGTTCCTTAACTTCAACCCATGGGAAATTGAATGTTGTTGGTTATCCCCAATGAATACCAGTGAATGCTGGAGTCCAACTGAATACTGGTTATTAATCGGTGGTAGGTCCACTTTAAATATAGGCAATATTTTATGGAACAGAAGCCAAGGATGCTATTTTTCCATCAATTGATCCATGAGCTTTTGGATTAGTCTAAAATGATAATATTTATTACTTCTAATAAATCTAATCTACTTGAGATGGCATTTCCAGGATTATTACCTGAAATTGCATCATTTTTGTAATCATTATATCTGATGAATCTTTTCATGTCATCCAAACTCTTAACTTTGGGAGCATCTCTGTTCATCATTTATCCTCTTGGACATTATTCATATGAGTATTTTATTGGATCCTTTTTAACAGCTTCAGTATAACCAGCTCTGTCATAAACCTCAGTTGTAAAAGGAATGTTATAACTCTTCCAGTAATTTCCATTTGAAATCACTTTGGCAGTCACATCCTCGGCAACAGCAAATCCTGGAACTGTTTCAGAAATCCAAATGAAGTCCTTAGCAGGAGGTGTACTGAGTATAAAAAAATACTTTACTTTTTCTTGACTACTTTAAGATCAATAACGATATATTGATTATTATATGTTCCTGAATTGTGTTTTATAAATGTGCTTGTCCATTTCTCTCCCCCGTTTGAAATTGCATGAGCAATTGGAACTCTTTACCAGGTCAAGAGTGTAGTAGGTACAATCAAATCATAGAGTGTGCTATCCAAGATTGAATTTGTGGTTTCTATGACGACCATGTTCGCATCTGGTAAAACATAGAAATCATCTTTGGAATACAAAAGTCCTGGCTTTGATGAGAAACTAACTCTATATGGATTTGGACCAGAGAATTGATAGTATTTATAAATTCTAAGCATATTCTAATAACTTGTCCATGTGGTGTGAGCCATCCAAACATCACTCCAATCATCTAATGCCTTGATTAAGGAGGAACAAGAAATTCTCTTTTCTCTTTCCCATTCAAATTCTTCTGGAGTCAACAAATGCCATTGAATTCTCTCAGCTTTTGGTTTCATTGCTTCTTTCAATTCATAGATGTCACCACATGCTTACAACAGTAGTAATTGCACCCAGGTGAGTCTCTTATTGACTGGAGCTTTATCTTGGATTGCTTAAAATAATCCATCATTTTATGCTAAGATTCTGGCTAAGGCTTCATAATATTCATCCGATTTGTTGTCTTTGACTAATTGTCTTGAATATTCATATTATTCCACTAAATATTAAGACAATTCATTGCTCAGTTGTTCCTTTCCAAAAGTAAAATCGTACCAAGACCAGAAGTGATTGTAGATGTGTTCATAAGTCAATGATCCTTCCAAATATCCTATGGGATATGATTATATATATACCGGCAGCATAGGATGTCTTTAAACTGTACTCATGGGATTTGAAAGTGTCACTTGTCCAGATGTACAATTTGCCCCATCCATCTTACATCACCTCATGTTTATAGTAACCCCATGCCAAAGCAACAGGAGACTTACCCTCGCTTATTTAGTATTTTCCAACTCTCTGATCGACTGAATACAATGTGACATCGTCACAAAGGCACAAACAAATTAATGCCAACAAATAAATAGCTTTCATTAATATTAATCTATATTGATTTTTCAATTTTAGTTTTAAAGGGAATTTTTTCAAGATGATGCAATGCCATAAATCACATGCTTTATTTGAAATTTATCCTTATTTGATCTCAAAGAACATAACCATGTGAATACGGAAATTCATTACCAAAAACCAAACAACATTTTAGTAAAAAGAATCGAATTGTTCTTAGAATTCTGAAGTAAAAATTATGAAAGTAAATTAATTCATTTTCTTATATTTATTAGCATTTACCATCCTCATTAGTCTTTTAGATATTTCAAGATTTTTAGATGCCTCTGAACATCAATTACAAAAAATGTTGAGGTGATCTAAACACAATAGCTGATTAAAACATGTTAGTAATAATAAGATTACAAGTAAATTAATGTAAGTTCTGTGAAATTATTTAGAGTTATTGAGATATAAAGATTCACTCATCTCTTTTAAAAAAAGGTCAATTTTAATTATAGAATTAATGTTTAAAAATTCTGATAATTTATCGTCGAATGTCCAAATCAAATTACTCTTTGTCATAATAATAGAATATTATTGTTAATTAAGGTTGTTAATGAGTTTCACTAATTTATAAAATTAGATATAATGCTATCTAAATTATTGTGCATTATGTGAAAATTGATAGTTATGCATAAAGAATTACTAATTTAATTATAATTAAAATAGAAATCTTAAATTATGAATTTAATAAATATATTTATTAATCAAAGTTTGTATATAATATCTAATTAAATTCAATGTTTTTATCATGATTATGACATGAGAAATAATTACTATTTCCATAACTTTAGGATATTATCTAACTATTATTATATAGTATTAAATTTCTCCAAATTAAAAGTAGCCTATTCTTTACATTACATTTCTTAGATTTAATGCTTCAGTTAATCAGACTGTTGTTTATTGATGCATTCTTCTTTTTATTTGCTAATTTCTTATTTCTAATGGTTGATATTCTCAAATTTCAATTTTTTCTAAATTTCCGTGTTCATCAATTCATTGTTTAATTAAATCTATGGTTTACTTTCTTATTATGTGAATGTGACATTGCTTTTTATCATATTTCTATGAGTTTTGAAACTATTTGAAGAAGCATCATTTTTGCAAATTCTAAATTTCATATTCTTTTTCATCCAGAAGATTAAATTGTTCGATATTGATTCAATGTCTTGATTGATGAATTATTCAGTGCACTCTTATGGATGACGAAATTAATCTTGCTATTTGAAGTTACTAATATTGTTAGAATGAATCGAGGATTCTAGAATCAACACATTGGATGTTGTTTATTATTGATAGAGATTCACATCACCAGTTTTGAGATCAATGATGACAAGAATTTTGTTTCTCTTAAAATATTGTTTCTTATTTCTTTTATCTTTCTTCATGCATCTTCCTTATTATTGATATGTCTATACTATACCATTTGCTGTAGAATATTTCAAACCATATTTTAACGCTGTCTAAAGGATAAAACTTAGAGAATACTTGTTTAATCGAATTTTCTTAGAAAACTATATCGTAAATCACTTTTTCCCTGATTTCATTCCCTATTTTTTAATATGGTTGTCTAATAGCATTATGTAAAGATAATTTCTAATCCTATTGAATCTAGGTTTAGGCCATATAATTAATAAATATTAACAGAATACACAAACCTTTTATTCTTATTTATATTCCAAATCTTATAATTTTAAATACATAATTAGATTACGAGTGTTAATTGCAATAAATTTAAACAAATTATTTAATTTGAATTAAAATATATATAAAACATATGAGGATAGCTAAAAACTAATATGTAATTTAATTACATAATTCAAACTTAAGCATAAGATTCCACTCTTTAAATTCTCATACCATATTTATTCTTATTAAGCTATTAAATAATTTTGTATAGATTTTTCTGCATTTCTCTATCAAACCGGTTTGATATTTTTCAAATACAGGGAATTTTCTTGGCTTATTCATATATTCTGACAAACATGCTAAAATATATTTTAGAAATGTGTAAATATTTTTTTGTTTTATTATTTACAACATCTTTTGTTTCATTTTCCTAAAACAGAATTAATAATAATAGATGAACTCTCTATTCATAGAGAATTCTTTCATTAAAGGTAATTCTCACATTATTCTATATACTCTAATTGAGATCGATGCCTCAAATAAGTTCTATTAAGCCATATTATATCATAATAACAGTTTTTGCATACACTTTATAAGCTTTATGTACTAATGACCTTTGCAAATAAATGTTTCAATTTTTTCAGATTATTCCCAACTTTTCATTTTTTTTAATATCTGCCAGAATAAAATTAACTTGATTAGCATATGTATAATTTAAAAAATATATCTCTCCTTTGAAATGATTTCAATTAAAATCCTTGACGACCACTTTGTAGGGGTGAAATAGGTTAAAAATAAATTGATATTAGCTAACAAATAATTTTATAGTCAGTAAGAAAAATATATTTAATCCTAGGACTTAGAAGAACCAATGGAAGATAGTAAAGTTTGAAAATACTTTAAAGTGATAATGGATTATAATTGAATTAATGATATTAGTAAGGAATTGCCTAACAATTCAAATAAAAATATCATATAACAATTCTCCTAGAAATTAGATTGATTAAGATATTTTGTAAATAACTTTAAATATAAAATGCTTCATATTTGTTTCATTTGTTGATGTTATTTGAGTAATGAGGCCATTAAAAATTCCGAATCATTACAATTTCTGTAATTGATTTGATACCACGGTATTTTACTAATTTTCTACAAAATAAACTCAGAAGTTTAAAGTAAATTGCTACATTTAAGTTCTTCCAACAGAGAATTCAAGTCATAGTAACTTTATTTTGTGCTATTTCTTGCTAGAGTAATATTCCCATCAGAGACATCTATGATAATATTAACATTAGAGACAATGGATTTTTATTTACTCTGATTTTGTTTATGTTAATCTAAATTATTCCCTTTATTTTTGAAATTCTTCACAATGTACTTAGCAGTAGAATATTTGATTTATAGTTTCTGTGCTGCCTTAAATAAAATAATTAACTACTTGTCTTGTTGATAAATTCTCTTGCAATACCAAATTAATTAAGGAATGCTTTTTTTGGTTATCGATTCTCTTATGATTTCGTAATTTTGATATTGATCTGCATATCAAATTTATGTTGGACATAATAACAAATAAATTAAAATGAATTTGAGGAATCAAATATTGAAATTTACATAATTAAAGTAAATAACTTCTAAAGCATTTTTTACAAATAATCCAAAGCCTGGTAATTTCTTTATTTAATATATATGCACTACAAAGAGAATGACCTATTTTGTATTTATATTTTTTGAGAACTGTCAAGTACAAATTAGGAAAATTCATAATTAATTTACTTTATTCATTTTTATGGCCTTTTCTTTTTTAATTGCTTTATTTTAATATTCTTATTCTGAATCAACATATTAAATCAGTTGTCCATTTTAAATTATTGAATCAGTAAGTTATTAATCGAGCAAATACCAAAATGAGTGAAAAAATAAAAGTGATTTATGATCTAAGTGTTCTTTGAAGACTGCTCAACAATTTCTTCTAAATAATGGTTTCTAATCATTGTTTATATAAAATGAATATGTCTTCGTTATCTATTTTGGAATCTCTCTCCAATTAAATGTCATTTTAAATTGCATAGATGATGCTTTCCCTACTGAAATAATCAACATTTTTGTCATTTTCTCAAATATTCGATTATGCTCAAGACTTGAATTATTATAGGAATCACTCCATCTTGAATTCTAAAGGTTTAGTAATAAATCGGCATATAAATTTTAAATTCCTAAATTCTTGTTTTTTGGAAAAATATTAAATGGAATACTTTAAATAATTTGTAAATCGGATATAAAATTTGAGCAGATAATAATAGTATAATATGCAATTTCAGATATCTTAACGCTATCTTTGATCTTGATAACAAAATATTTTAAATTTATTCTTTCGATCTTAGGATTATATTATCAAGATATTCAATAAATACAAAGCATATCATGTAAATTAATATCATTAAATATTTTTTTAAATGAAAGCATAAAGAATTTTGATATTGATTCTGAAATAAACTCATCGTTATTATAAAATTTAAAATTAATATGTTCAAACATAAATCAGCTTCATTTCATGATGCAAGCATTGATACCCAATTGAAATTTAAGCCTCCAAAACCAGAATTAATATCTAATTCCACTAAAAGAAATTCTGAAGTGCTATCTCATGTAATTGATTTAATCGCTAGATTAGCCTCCAGAATTATTAGCCAAACTATATTAAACCAATAGGCTTTTAGAATAAAATATTGTAAAGCTAAATGAAACCCAATAAAAATTGGCCTAGAAAGAAGAGGAGATCTTGGATTTGAAATAGAAACTTAGATGTTCAACTAAGGATTTAAACGAGAAGAATGACAAAATTGCATAATTAACAGAACAATTAAAAGGATTCAAAATAGATATGAGAAAAACTAGTTCTGATAGAGGTAATTAAGAATTACAATAAAAACTGCATCATGTTTCTTAACATAATGAAGCCTTGTTTCAAGATTATCAATCTGTTCTTTTGCAGAATTAAAATTATCAATAGTAAATCATTGAACTTCAAGACTAGTTGAATTCAATATCTTATAGATTAAGAGAGTCAGAATAAGCAATATAATTGATTAAAGAAACAGAAACTAAAGTCAATTATCTAGAATTAGATGTTGATAGACTAGAGGAAAAACAAAAGAAGTCCTTACCTGGATTAATGAAATAGAATCAGCAAATGAAAATCTAATACGAGACCAACATATAACTTCTTAATTGCGGTGTAGATTATATAGCTACTCAATTCTAAAAATCGATTACAACTCTAACCAAGCAACTTTAGATGGTTTCAAAATTTTCAAAAAGAAATGTTGTTTTATCAGAAACATAATTGAGCTTTTATGGATTAAACACATTGGCATAATAAACAAACTCAAAGAGAGTGTAATAAATACTTTAAAAGATGAACATAAGCGAAACTCTTTAAAGCTGGTTAGAAGGGATTGTCACATTTCTTATGATTAATTGTCAGGAAATATTGTAAAAAGAAGTGGATAAAAAATTAGATAAATTGTAAAGACAAATTTAACGAGTCCATGACATCACTATTCAATTAGCCACTTCCTATGATTTCATGAAATTTGGCAAGAATGTATGTTATACTTCTTAATTTAGAGATGCAATAACATGAGTGCTTACAGTCAAAAGTCAAGCAGTTATTGTTCGAGATTATAAGATAAGGAGAATGACGAATATAGTTAAAATATTAAACTTAAAGATTTCTTGGATTTGACATTAATGTATGAAAATCATTCCTATTCTTCATAGTAAATTAGGAGAGCATTTGGCTTAAATCTAACAACTAAACATTGAGTTATAAGTATAGAATTTTTAGAATAAATCTTCGAGGGAGCTGCAAATTGGACTTAAGGAATAATTGCATTTGCACGAAAATTTAACAAATTATATAAAAAAGGAGTTAATTTCAATTAAAAAAGAGATCACTAGTCATTCATAGAGAGGATAAGTTAAGAAATATAGTTACATGCCTAAAATAATATGATAACATTTTTCTTTAATTAATTATTTATGATAATATAAAGTTCTTCACGCTTAGAAGGAAGGCACATTAAGAATAGTAGAAGTGCTTAAAGACTCACTCCTTCCCACAATCTATATACTGAATCTTCTTATATATCACAAATCTTAGCTCATTAGTAAAAACTCAATGAAATTCCAAACTTGAATAAAAGAGCATTGAACTATGTCAGTCCTTTAAATTTTAATTATAGAGAAGGCAAAATTCTCTAGAAAAACTATTTACAAAATAAATACTCATAACTGTTAGAAGGGAATCAAGTTCAAAGAGCTGGCTGGAAAAAGTATTTATTAGATGGATTCAAAGAAAAACTTGAGAACATCTTAAATCAAAACAAGAAAGGTTCAAAGTTATTCAAAATCAAAAGATAATACCTTACTAAAAGTGTTGCTTAGTTGCCAATGGTTATATAAGATGATTATTTGACAGTAGATGCGTTGATTAAAAAACAGGATCCTTCTTATGATATTGAGGCAGTCTAAGATAGTTTAATATAATAACATAAGCAATATTTAACAAATTAAAAAAACACTGATTATGACGAGAAGTATGAAAAATAATAATATTGAGATTATAAAACTTAGTAAAGTAATTTGAAATAATAGTAGATAGGATAGAAAAGGAGGCTTTTAAAATTAAAGTTCCCACCAATTTCTCAACAGCAATGTAAAATTACAATGATTTTTATGATGTATAACTTGACTCAAAAAATATATACAGTAGTGTTAAAGCAATTGATTTTAGTAAATTTGAAATAAAATAAAGTTAAAAATAATCATATGCTTTAAATTTTTGGGATTAAGGGGAGATTGACGAAGAAATTGAACAATAAATATAAACTTGTAGAGTCTCAACTTAAAGAGAATGCAAAGAAGAATTGTTGGAAGAACTCAGACAATATCAAGAGAATTAACTAGTTTAACAAATTGTAGATACTCCTGCAGAACCAGAAGAACCTGTACAATAAGAAGTAGAATAAATCTAAACAGAATAAGTTGTTGAAAAATAAATAGAAATCGAAAAACCCAAGGAACCTAAATATATAAAAAAAAGAAATCTTAGATATAAACAGAAAAAATAATAAAGTATAAACATAATAATAATTTATAAGGGAAAACTAGTAAACCAAAGTTTGATCATAAATTTGTTGATTACATGTTATAATTAGAAGATGTTCACGAGGCAGAACTTTCTCAATTCAAAGTAAACTAAGTTGCAGAATATGATTCCTACATATTTTGTGATCCCAATGAAGAAATCGTTTACAAGCATCAAGTCGATTGGAATAGTTAATTAGAATATTTATTAAGAGATATTAGCTGAAGGAATAACTTCTGCTTAAAATTTTCTATATATATATATATATATATATTTTTTGCATTAATTATCAATTACATTATACTTTAAGAATCTTATATAAATAATTTAAATCATTTATAGAAAATTTAAATCCGACTTCGGTTTATTCGAAACCCTTTATTTTTCCTATATAAACAAAATTCATATAAAAAAAGATATTTGATTTATTATAATTATATATCATCTTATAATAATTAGCTACAATCACTTTCACTACTAACATTTTGGACAAACAAAGTTTAATAATTTTTTTGCTTTTTCTCTGGTCAAATCTACACATTTTAAATGGCACCATCCTTAGCATACTTCACATTATATATACCTTAAAATCTTTAATTATTTAAATTACTTCAAATCTGGATTTGGAGGTTTCTCACATATACATGTAGTTGTCCATTGATCTATGGGAGGTTAAAAAGCTCGATTAATATAACCAGCCCTCGTAAAATAAGTTGTATCATCCATCGTTTCTAATTTATCAAATTCCTGATAAGTAAGAATAGAGGCTAAACTCACTATGCTTTCAATTTCAATATAATCGTACTCATTTGTCTTGAACACTTCATTCTCTGAAATATAATCCAATTAAGTCACTGGTAAATCTCCCAATTCAAATTTTCTATAATACCATTGAACTTTTATTAAAGGGTAAATTTCATCATTAGTATCAACAAGCTTGACGATCTTAATGAGTTTAGCGACATAATCTACTCTTCTATCTGCTTTAATGCAGAGATTCTAGCCAATCTTATAGATAATCCCATCGTACTTTAATTTTTTGTAATATGTTCTTTAACAATATGTTAAGTATATACCTGCTCTTTTTGTTTTTCTTCAATAATTTGTAGAGATTATTATTATCCTTATTTTGAATCAGATTTTAAATTTTGCTCTATAAAAGTACATTGTCCTATTTTTCATTGAGCGATGATGTTCTTGAAATCTTAGGTTCTAAAGAGGCTGACATATTAATCTTGCTTAGTCTCAATTTAGAAAATAAATATTAAAAAAATAAATATTATTATATCTTTTTATATAATATGTATTTCAATAATTTTATTCTTTTCTTCTAGATCTCTCTCCATTAAACTATGCATTTGCACTAACAATTGAAATAAAGCTTTAGAGGAAAAGCCTTCAGTATAGTATTGGTCAATAATATTTATTTTAATTTACATATATGTTTTGAAATATCATTTACAAAACAATAATTTAAACTATTGCAAATTATACCATCAAAACCTTAAAAAATTTCAATCATCTATAAAAAATGTATTTTCTTCTTTATCTTATGAATCAGTTCAACTTCTACTAAAATTAGGATCATATTTCTAATAATTAATTTATAAAGTATTAAAAAATAAATCTTTAGCGATCAAATTCAGGCATTCATCACAAGTCTTTCATTATATTTCCCACAGTGTTAAAGAAACAATAAAAAATTTATGTGAGATTAAAAAAAGCCTACTGTTATAAATTTAAAAACACAAAGGTTTCTGCTCAAGAAAATTTGTATATAAATTAAATATGAATTATAGTTTGAGCTAATGGCCTACTGTTTTTAATTTGGAAATAGAAACAAAAAATATAAATACTTTCTTTTCAATATTGACTAGTAAAAACAGATCTTTTCAAATTTTAGGAGTATATAATTGTTTTATTCTTAGAAATTAAAGATTAAATAAACGACGAACTTTATGAGAGGTTATGAAATTCGGAAGTATCGATAAATTACATAATTCAGAGTTCGAATTTAAATTGGTTTTATTGTAATCTAAATCAATAATTTTCCTTAAATTGAATCTTAAATTTTCTTCCAACCTACTATTTATGAAAATATTATATAAGTAAAATCATCCAATTTTCAAATTCTTATAATTTCTAGAGAAATTCGTAATAACATATCGAAGTATATTAGACAGTACAATAAGTGTTATTTACATAGAGTTAGTTTAGATCAAGAATATTTTTATATAGAGATTCTAGGCATTTCATTTTGAATACTTAATTCTTCTCATTTTATATAAGTTTGATTTTATTATAATATATTAATAAAATATATATACACAATTTTTAAATCAAAAAAAAACTCTATTTTTATTGAATTTTTGAAGCAGTATTTTATCTTATACTTTATTTCACCAAACATTTATCTTATAATAATAATAAATGCTACTTTTTCATCTATGTAAGATAATTTATTTTGATAATTTAATTATAAATGTAATAAAATCAGCTTATTCATAATCTCAGATAAAAATACTTTTTAATTACAACTCTATATGTTTCATAACATTTGTTACTTTTATTGTTTTGAATTAAAATGATGAATCTAGTTCTATAATTAGATTTTTCTTAATTAACTATGAGTAATATACTTTATTTGTTAAATTAATTTTTTCTATTAATGCTTCACTTAATTGTGGAGGAGTTTCCAACAAACAATCCTATTATATAATTAATATATTAATAAGTATAATATTATAGATTTGAGAAATCCTTACTATAATTTTGATGTGAATCATAGAAGTTTTATAATTAGAATAGAGTGATTATGATGGGAGATATAAGTATTAAGTGGGATATATATATAATTAAAAGTAATAAATATAATTAAAAATTACTCTAACTGATAATGTTGCCATAATAAATTATTTATAGATAAGTTAGGCATTCCCCTTAAAGTATCTATTAAATGAATCATAAATAGAAATTTTAAGATAATCCACAATTCTTCCACATCAATAATTAAGAGCATCAACTCCGATTAGACAATAAAGATCGTACTCTCATTTTGATTAACAACCTTAAAGCAGTATGAAAAAACAATAAGAAAATTTTGAAAGGGAAAATGATCTATTAAGAGAAAAAGTAAAATAATTGAAGCAATAGATAGCCACTCTTGAACAAAATTATTAAAATAATGCAGAAGTAAAATGTTTATTCGATTTTAGGTTGAAGAATAATATATAGTTGCTCTAAGGATATTTTAGTAATTGAAAATCGAGTCTGAATAATTAAGATTAGAGCTTTCTTATATAAAATAGGAGAACAATCTGCTTAAATCAAAATTAAAACAAATTAATTATTGAATTATTTATTTTCATTTTTAATGTTATATATATTGATGAAATTATCAAGAAAATCATTCTTAAATTCTATCCTAATTGATATTTAGGATAGAGATGTATGAATATATTATGCCACATTTATGAAAAATAAAAATCCTAATCAAATTTATATATATTATGAATAATATGTAAATATAAACAATAAATTCATAAGACTGTGTCTTACAAAATAAAGCTATGAATAAAGACTAGGTTATTCACAATTTATAATCTGCATAATTATTTATATTGTGATTCATAGCTTATTTTTCTTAGAATATTATCAGGCGTTGTTAGTAAATTTTGTTGAGCATCCTGGATTTTTACTAAAGACTTATTTCCTAATAGTTTTTGAGTGTAAATTAATAATAATTGTTTAGAATTCTCATCCAATTTAAGAAATGTTTTTTTGCACTTCGATAAAATTGTAAATATTCCATAAAGTTGAATGGCCTATTATTCTATAAAAGATGATTTGAAAAATGTGTAGATTTCATAATCTTTTGTTTTGTCTTATAGTTAACTTATAATTAAATAGAGCAATAATTCATTCAATTTAATTTATTCTCCTACGTATTCCACCGATTCTTTTAAATTTAGAATTCTGGATATATTTATGTATAAATTGAAGAATAAGTGAAATATTTCAAGGAGAATCATTTCGCCAAATAAAATTTAAATATCCTAGAAATCAGGGAAAAAGCTAATTTTATCTTTCGATTTTGGAGGTGATTATTAATTTTATAAATCTACCTATTCTATTAAAGGATCTTAAAATTGAAGTATTAAGAGATCATCCTTTAATTCACCATTGGTTTATTGATTATTACTATCGTAGATTACATATTTAAAATAAGCATCAAATAAAGGGGAATTAATATTTTCATTAAAATTTGAATTTATCTGCAAAAGCTGCTATTCGTCAAATTAAAATGATGCAGAAAGAAAATCTTTAAATAAAAATGTCATCCATATATTATGTTAGTTTTAATGTAACTTTTTGAATAATAGATTTAAAAACAAAAATTAAAATTGTAACACAGTCTAATTTTGAAATTGGAATATTTAAATAGGGGGAAGTATTAGGTTTTAAATTTGTTAGAGTTAAGTGTATTATTATTCAAGTTATTTAAGCCAGGGAGGTTAAAAAGTGTGAAAGTTGATTGTAAATGCCTATGATACATTTGTCAGCATTTCACTTTGCTTAGTTCTATAAAAGGAAGTGATAAATTATGAGGACAATTTCTCGCTTTCAAAACTTAATCGATTGTAATATTATTGATCAATAGATAATTGATGTAGAGTGTTTTCTTATTGTTAGTTATCTTCAAGAGCCTTTCTTAAGCTTTTGAGTTACACGATTTATGCTTTGAGAGCAGTGATCAATTCGCATTGTTAAGAATCCACAAAAGATTTATATGCATTGTAGCTGTTTAAGTTTAATTTTTCAGTTTTTTTCAGTAAAAATTTTAATTGTAAGATTTCGACATCTATATTATGACGTTGGTCTTCAAGATTATATAGCTAATCATGAAATATAGTTTTTGTTTCGTATTCCTTATCACAAATAGTAGAATTTTCAGGAACCCCTTTATAAATTCTATTTATATCAATATTCATTTTATATTTTTGCTAATCATCAAATTCTACATAGGAGGATTGATTCAATCTTTTCAGAGTAGATATGTCTACTTATGAATGCAAGCCTCTCATGGTTCCATAATTTTTTAAATTTTGATGCAATAATTGTATATTTACAGATTATTTAGAGATAGATTCATCTTCAATAATTGAACTAGCATTTGATTATGAAGAATAGTATTCATAAAAACCTTCGTCTTCAAGCAACTATTGATATCCTTCTTAAATATCCCTGGAGTCCACTTCACTAGAAGTGCGACCAAGAAAAGTTGTCTAATACATAATAATAATTATTTTATATGAAAAAATAATCAAATCCTGTAATTTAATTTTGCAAATAAATTTAATGGCTTAAATGAAAAGTACACGAATTTTGAAAATGTAATCTTATGTATTTATACTATAAATATAATAATAAGAGGTTTTCTGTTAGTATTAAATAGTTTAATTAAATCTTCTAGTTAATTATTTATTTCATATGATATCATTTTTTTTTGTATGGGTGATCATAACTGCATTATGGGTTTTTGCAATGAATCCCATGCTTACATTGCTGATGGACATAAATGCATTGATTTCCCTTGTTACAATAAGGAAAATATTTGCACTAAATGGATATTAAAATTAATCTACTTTAATTTTTGGATGAATATATTGACAATGCTTGTTGGTACAATTGGGAAAGTACCTGCATCTTTCATTGATGATATTAGTTTTCTGCTATTTAAATTTAATAATAAATTATGTACTTTTACCTATGATTGAATATCTATAACTTTAGATTATTGATTTACTGCTGTCAATAGTAAGAGTAACATCAATTAGTCAGCTTAACTAAAAATTAAATTCAATTTAATTCTACTTTTAATTTGATTAGTTCTCATCTGACATAGATTCAGGCTCATCTTCTATTTCTGGTTTCACTTTTTGCACATCATTATTATTGTCATCTTCATTGTTAATTTTCACTTTCTTATGAACTGGCTAAGAGAGTTCTTTATTTTAATGTTCATTCTAATCTCTAGCCTGATCATTCTTGATTGCTTATATTGATTTGGTGAATAAGCTTCTGTTTTTTAATTATTAAAATTTCTTGGCCTATTAAATGCAATAATCCTCAAACCAATCCAATAACTCAACATATTGTAATTCACTCAATGGTTTCTAAAAGATGATTGATCATGAAATTACATTGGCTATCTCTTGGAGGGACTTCACCATTTGCTTCCTGTTCATCTTATTTGTGCCCTTATACAATCGAATAGCTTCATAAAGAAATCTTGTTAGCTAGATCCTTACTGTATCCCATACTCACTGAGATCATGAACTAGGCTAGTCTGACAAAACTTCACATTCAAATCTCTCCTGAATTGTGTTTCTGATATCATTTATAATTTATAATATATAATTAAGTTCATGGCTTTTTGGAAATTATATTGCATTTTTCTAGAATGCTTCTAGCTTTTCCAGAGATACTCCTTTTGGATTGTTCATCATCGAACATCCTTTGCTGGACAGTCAGTGATTTCAATCCTTTGAAATATAGTCTGTCTTCTTAAAAGAAATAAATTACATTTTTTTACTTGGCTCATCTTATTTGTCCAATTTCCTTTTGACTTAGATTTTATCCAGATTTATTCTCATATTCCTTTTAATTAAATTAGAATCTATGATAGTTATTTATTTTTATCTATCTCTTCTTGAATCCATCTTTTTGGGATTAAAAGTATCTAGTATACTAAGTTCAGAAGTATTAGGATTTTGAATATCTTCAATAGTTTCTGTTAATTTATGTTTAAGTTACTTTCTGTCACTGAGATATCGATTATTTATTTTATTGTTTTAATAATATTCCAACGAATGCAAGGCAGAAGCATTCAGCCACCTTCTGTTGTCATTGCTTGTTGATCTTGATTCCTTGATATATATGGAATCATGGATAACATAAGGTTTTTGTGACATTCGTTCCAAAAAACTCATGATTCTTTTATCGTAATTAGTAGCCAAAGCATTATTAATTTTTTTTGTTTCTTGAGTTGCATTCTGTTCCTATTCCATTTTTTTCTCTTTCTATTAGGTTATCTGTTGGAACTTCTCCTTCCTGTAATAATTATACATTTATATATTATTAATAATATTATATGAACCACATTATGGCATATGCCTTAGCCAAATGGCAAACCGCTTCTACCATTGGAGTAATATCATTAGTACCAAATGACAATCAAGTTGTATTTGATCTCTAAAATGCCTTGCAATTTCTAAAAAATGAAAACATTAGTCAATTCCAAAAGATGTAAGTATACTAATACCAATACTAGTAAATATATCACAACCTAAGGAGGAAAGTGGTATTATTTGCCATTCAACAAAGAGGTAGTACAACTGGTATTGACTGCAAATGATTATAATTAAGAGAATGTGGAAATGCTCATCAATTCCATCAATGCAAAAATTGTATATTCTCTATTTTATTCATTAGTTTGATCACAATCCAGTAACTCCATAAAATATATCCATATAATAAAAGCAGAATATCTATAATTTGTTAATCTACTTCGATTAAGCCCATGGCAAAGAACCTAAACAGATATAATAAATTCTATAAACTTTGGATAACACTAAGCAAACTGTTCAGCAAAACATTGAAAAACTTATCAACAACAAAGAATAGCTTCTGAATATTGAAGGTTGTATTCAACAATATTGATATCATTAGTTTAATCACTAGAATTGGATAATAGTTCATAAGTATTTTTAAACTCAGCGTAAGAATTGCACAGAAAATAAAGAATGTAAAAATTAAAAACTAGATTAATTATTGGATCAATAATCTTAGTTGGGCTAGCAATCTCATTATATACAATATTTGGTTGAATTCATAAATAAATAAATATTAATCTAATACAATAACCTGTTGAACTACTTTCTCCTATGTCTCTATCTAATTTTACATTATATTACTTTCATCTTTCCTGTGAATTCATTTTAATCAAAAGTATAATCTATACATATAAATTCTATCGTTCATAGTATAAATATATGTATCTAATGCAATATTTACTAAGACTAATAATTCTTGATATATTCATCATCATTTTTATTATGGATATTTATTACATGCAATTAATACTTCAAATCATACCTTTAGTAGATTCGATAGGGATTAATCAATCCATAATAAGATAGAGAATAATATACAAATTAAATTTACTAAATTATAATATATTATTTATAAATTTCTCAAAAGATTCGATTTTAACTAATTGCAACGATTTGATCTTGATTAATGTAAAATGTATGTCAAGGTTTAAAAAATTAACAATGTTCAGGTATTTTATAAAAAACTAAACTGTATTTAAGGCATTACTTTCTAAATGATTTTTAGATTATTTTATTTTCAAACAAATTAAAATCTGATAATTACACTTCAAACACAATTCTATCTTTAATTTTCGTAAAAAGAGAAGGTTTATATAATGTATTTCTATTTAAATTATTTTTCTAACTATTATCCCTCAGATTCAACGTCGCCCATTAAAAACAGGCTTTTAGATTTTGAACACAATATTATTACTTATACTAATCAAAAATTAACAATTTTATTGAAATTTTGGGTTTAAAAAAGATAACAAAGTAGTAATAATTTTCTTACTTCTCTAACTTTTTAGCATTTTTAGTATAGATATGCTAGAATCTAAAATGGATTGTGATTGGTTGTAAAAATTAGACAAATATTGGAATATAATACAAAAATATTTCAGATCAAAGGTTATTCCGAAACAATTGATAATCTCTTTTATCTTAATGGGGACTTTGTTAATAGTAATGATGATGTTTTAACTAACATTGGTGGTGTCATTTCTGATCCATCTGTATCGGAATCAAGTGAACGATAGGAAAATATTAATTGTTTTTTTGCCTGCTCAAATTTAAACTATTTTTATTATGGGTCAGTCAAGAATGTTAATTTTAATTCCTACAAATAACTGATGATATCTTTTTCTTGGGAAGTAACTTCATTTAAGCAATCATCGAATTCGATTGTATCATTCATTTTAAATAAAATATTTTATTTATTTATTCTCCTTTTACTCATTTACCTAAATTTAAATATACAATAAAAGTTAAATATTTCTCTCATTCTTTATTTCTTACTAATTTTGATCTACTTTTTAACGAGCTTCAATTAAAGGAAGAACATAATTTATATAAAATTATTTATGGATGATATATGGTTACTTACTATCAAGTTTTAATTGATTATTTAATCAACGCAACAATTATCTTAATATTAAAATGTAGAGAAGCACATGAATAATAGTCTGTGTTATAATTTTCATTAATAATTAATGAGATTCAGACTTGATAATACTACTTATAAAAATCAATCAAAATCATATTGAAAAAAACAAATAAATAAATCGTTTGTAATTGATTAATAAATTTTCTCTTATTAAAATAAAAAAGGAATAAGTTTATAATCATTTTTCTGTTAGCTCCCTATAGCCTTTCCAATTGTTTCTTAAGTATGGCTCTTCTTTAATGACTCTTAATAGAGTATTGCTTGGACCGTCTTTGTAGTTTGGTAAAAAATTCTAAGATTTAAATCTAAATTAAATACTAAAGTTTCTTCAAATATAGCTTTTGCCTAATCCCAATCTCCAGATAGGTAACATGAAAACCCTTTGTCCCATTTATGATAAAATTCCTAGATTAAATTTGGAGATGTACTTTATTAAACAGAGCACGAGATTGTTTAATGTTGTTGTCCTTAATCCAAGTTTCTGATATTGCCACATGATTCTTTAATACAGCCTACTTTAACTTGTCTCTTTTCATTCTTCTCAAGACCTTCTGCTTTTTTTTTTATTTAGATATCTCTGATTCTGTAAGATGAACTTGTTTCTATTTTTCCTTCTTATTGAAATCCACTACAGTCTTCTTTTTATGAACTTTTCTAATTAAAGTCTCAACATTTAAATCCACAGTGTAAATATCCATAGGTTCAATACTACCTTTGACAGTCACTCTATCAATATGTCTTAGATTCTTTTGGGTCACTTTAGTAGCTACATTTCTTAGTTGTCCTGAAATGAGTATCATTGATCCAAATTGTTTAGTGGCTGCCTCTAATCTCGATGCCATGTTAACATTTGGACTCAAATACGATGCATCTATTTTATATTCTGATCCTATTGCTCCTTCTATAGCCCATCCAACATGTAATCCAAATCCCATTTTAACCGAATAATTAGGGATTCTGTTATTCAGTCCCTCATGTTATTTATACTTTTATAACTTTTACGAAAGTGTAACATTAGTAATAATAGTAACAAATGATAAAATGGACATATCGGCTATTTATGCAATATGTTCATATGACTTTAAACTTAAGTTGCCATCCTTATCCTAATAATAATCACTTTCAGCAAATTTCCAAACTAAAAGAAATGCATCACCTATGTTTTTATTTGCACTTCCTGAAAATTAATCCACAACTCCATGGACGATCTCTGCAATTTCATTCACGAATACCATTACATCTTATTATAGAACTTCTGTGGCATCTGTAAAGTTTCTTATATCGCAAAATCCAAAAATGGCCATTACCTTTTTGCCTGGCAACATAGGATTAATTGAAGCATTTGCACCCATGTTTTAAGCTATAATTTGAGATCCAGCTTCTCCAAATCCTAATGCCAATAAGGTTCCAATCTTAACAATTAATTTCTATAGGATAACTGTTTCCAATTTCTCATCTTCTTAGTCCTCTAAAGCTTTCATTTCACCATTTTCAATCATTTAAATAAATGCCTTATTTTCTTCTTCTTATGCTGCAACCAATGGATTTTCTGCTATTTTCTTGACTGTTTCCAACATTTTCTCAACGGGTGTTAAAATCAAGTCTTAGACATCCCTACTAAACAATACTGCCGCTACAGAAAGAACTATAGACACAAAGATTGTTCTGATTATTGATAAAATAGCATTTAATTCATCATCTGTAATCGTAGTACATATAGATACTGCATCCTTGCCTTCAGAATCTGTTGTTGTATAATATTACAATGAAGTTGTTCTGTAATCTTCATATTAATAAGGGTCATCCTTTGGATGTAATATGGTAGAATTGATTTCAAAAAATACTAATCCAGTTCTCAATGGTTCATGATATGTGATAAAGTCTTTAATAAGATAATCATATATTTCAGGGTCTTTGGCCCAAAACTATATTGCTTATAACCCAGTGGTGAAACTTACATTTTAGTCGACATAAGTACTGAGATTCAATATAGGGACACTAAACAATATGAGCATGACAATAGTAATGACTCTCTTATTAGTTAATTCAGTCAATTCTTTACCTATATTGGTTTCACGTATTTCTCCTTCATCTGACTAATGAGGATGTGATGATTTATTTGGAGATTGCATAATAACGGATTTTCTTTTTTAAATAGTTGTAAGTGATTGAATTTAACCAGACATAACAATTTTCCTGGTTTATCTTCTTTAAAACCTGTGATCATTTTCTTGGCTGATCTAATTATTATTAGATGCCCCATTAAACATCATAATAGAAGTTCTTTATTAATTAGCCTACTAAACTGGTTATTATTGTACAACACTCATTCCTGAATGTTTAACATTTCTTTCAGATGATTCAACAGATCTTTAAGAAGAAACGGCATCATTTGGTTATTCTTGTCTTTGATGTTCTTGATCTTAATTGTTATTCTCCATTAAATTCTCCTCTTTCATTTCTTCTGCCAACAACTTCTCTGCTTCCTTCTCCAATGATTGTTTGGCATGTTTATACAATTTTGATAGTCTCACTAATCTTACTACTCTTACTATTCTTCCGGCTCTTGTTCCTACTCTAGATGCTCTTCCAGCCCTACCAATAATATTTTACTCGATCTAACCTTGCCAATGAAACTGCACTCAATGCTGCTCCTCCACTAGTTCCAAATATTGCATTACTAACCCATCCAATGTCTAATAGCATTGAAACTGTTGACAACAAATCCAACCAAAAGAAGAAACCGATAAAATATCCATCCTTATTTTATTGTCAATATTTATACTTTACAAATAGAGGCAAGCACAATTTCAATAAAAAAGAGACTCATACAAATTGTGGTAATTACCCAAAATACTTCATCACCATCCTGATTATTACTGAAAATACCTTATCTGTAGCCAACACTCGAACATCATCTCCAAATAATGCATACACTGTTACAATTGTCATAAAGATCATATAATTAAAGCTCTCCAAAAATATCTCAACTTTATGCTACATAAAATATTTCTTATTACTCTGAATCCACGATTGCTATCTGAACTTGTTCTACTGCTTTTGGCTCCCAAAATAACTGATTTTCTATGAGTTACTGTTCTTGTTGCCTAATCCAATTCACCTTGACTATTTTTCTTATTCGGAGAAGATGCATCCACTCTTGAATAAGACTACGACTATTAACCATCTTTTACTCTCTATTAAGCAATTCTTCCCTACTCTTCTTCTTCAATATTTTGATCCATAAATTTTTATAAATAAATTTCTTATTACAACAATGGGAGTTGCGATAAACATAAATAAAAACCGAACTGAAATACTTCACCTTATTGAACCGAAATCTTTTGCATAACCAATATTCAGAACATCAAAAGATATCAATATACAACTAAAATCAAAATTACAATAAAATAACTTATTTTTCCATACGTAAAACATCTTTATGTGATCAATATAAAATATACAATTGAGGCTACTCTTGAAGGCCATTACTGAAAATATTATCTTTTAAATAATTAAAATGTTGCATAATAATTAATTCTAATAAATAATATCTAATTTTATCATATTCACTCTTGCATAGGAAATCTTCAAATACACTATTTTTGATACAGGCCAGAATTTACACTTCGAATAATGTGTAGGGAAACAGGTTTTTGTCGTTAAAAGAGATTACACTCAAGTTTTCAAGATTAATTTCTAGCAATACTTGCCTTAGATTTGATAAATTAAATTAAATTAGAGTTTAAACAAGAAGAGAAACACAAATATTCATAATGTTGACAGAATATCGAATGATTTAATGTCTATACATATAAGGTATCAAAATTATCCAATAATGATAGCATGTATTAAATTTATAAAAATATCGAACTGAACTCTGAATAGCATTCTTAAATTACATATTAATTTAAAACTAATTAGAATTAAATAATAAATTATGACTATATAAGTTAATAAGACAGAAAAAATTCAAAGTACTTGAATGCTTTTGCTTAAATATAATTTTTCAGGAATTTAATTGAAATTAGTTTTATTAGATTAAATTTATATCATTATATTATGATAAATTTTAATTATTTTATTGATGAACAATTACTCTAAATTTATGGAAAATAAGACAAGCCCATATTTTAAATGTATTTCTCACAGTAATATACTAATTCGTACTAAATCATTTTTCAAGAATACAGCCATTTAAAAGATAAATATGCAATACTCATAGCTAGGAATAAGACAAATTATTTATGATTAAATGTTACAGAGCTCTCTTGGTTGAGCATTTAAATATCGAATTAATTATGATTAAATTTATGTAATTACATTAAATATTAATAATATCTTTATAAATCATTTGAATTTAATTGCAATAATAGAACATTAATCGTATAAAATAACAATAACAGCACATTCATTCCTTAATAAAAACAACTAAAGAGTGCTTAAAGTATAAAAATTATAAACTATTTATTTATGAATTATTCTTAACTTATTTAATAAATTAATTGATTAGTTATGTTTAATCCTTTGAATCGAGCCAGGTCACCATAATACAATGGGTATCCCAATCAAGCAAATCCAAATTCCTAATTTGGAGGTAATCCTTATCCATTTATGGGATAATAATCACCAGTGAATTAGCCTTTGGTATATAAAAATTTAACCCAAAGACATAGAGATCTTTTCCTTAACAATAATATCCCCAGAATACCCCTCCAAAGGGCTACCCATTGTAGCAATCATAGAGAAGCAATCCTCCTTTCGCATAACAACAATAGTATCCACCCAACCAGCCATCTGTGTAATCTATATAAGTACAATAAAAAATAAGAATAAAAGCCTCCTCCTCAATCGCAACCCCCCTAATAAGCTCCTTAAACAAATTATGTATAACCTCCACAGCGATCACAAAAACCAATGGCACCACAATCAATAGAGTAATAAAAATTACCAACACCTTAAATAAACTTATAAGCCTAGCCATAATAGTATGTACCTTCTCAGAGTTCTGCTTTGGGGTTATCTGGTTTAAGGTAGACATATACACCTCCTACTTTTGTTCCTCTTTAGCCAGTGATGACTGTAAGAATTAGGATTGATTTAGACTGTAATTTAACGACCAATCGAATTTGTGGATTTGGAGAAATTCGAGGAGTTGTGGGATAAGAGAATGAAGGAATTGGAAGATAGAATTCGTTAATCTTAACCTTAACCTTAAGTTGTAGAATTGAGGTCTTCAAATGATGAGGACAAGGATGCTTTAATAAAATAATTGCAAGACGAGTTGTACAAGGTGAGATGTGATAATGAGGAGAAGGATAATAAAATATCTGATCTAAAAATAGAGTTATAAACAAACGTCGATCTTGTGGAATACTTGAGATGTATAAAAATAAATGATAATCATAGAGTAATTGGTTAATAGCAACAACAGTGATGAAGTTGAAAAGCTACAGAATGAGATTCAGAGATTGAGAAAGTAGGTCTAGACTCTGGATGCTCAGGTCAAGTAATTGAACCATGATAATGCTGATTTGAAGTAGGAATTGGAAGCTTTGAGACAATAAAAATAGTTTTTCAAATCATAATGTGATGATAAAGATGAACACATCTAGAATCTAGAAAGGGAAATCGAAGAACTTCGTTAGCAAGTCGACACTTTGACTGAAGAAGTTACGACTAGTCAATCTGTTAAGACTTATGAAGAGGAGGCTAAGATATGGAGATCTAAATTTAAGGAATTGAATGATACATACCATGCTTGTTAAGAGAAATTGATTTTGACTGAAGCAGAATTGGATTTGTTGAAGAGACCTTAAAGTTAGTAGAAGATCGTGACTACTTCGACTACAGTAGTAAAGAACAATGTGTAAACAAGTGGAACCAAATCAGTAAGAATCTTAATAAATTACTCTAGGACTCTGATTATCTTTCAAGTAGCCTAACTTAATAAGATGTTGAAAGAATTCAAAATTTATCAAAGAATATTCCATAGATTTGATTATTTGAAAACAAGTTATTATATTAAAAGTACAAAATATCTATAATCTTATCTAAGCATTATTGTGTTATTTTATTTATTTATAAAATGATATCTCCTCTCTCTATTGAAAAGTCTTCGTTTGATCACTAAAAACGCAAACCCTTCAGTCCCACTGAAATAACTCAATAGTAAAATCTATTATAAAGAAAATTGCAACAACAATAATCAGACAGCATTTCAAATATTCAACCTAAAAAAGTTCACTTGAATAATAATTTTCAGCATGGACTATCAAAACTACTCAAAACCAGTCCCTATGGGTAATTAGTTAAGCAAAAGTCTCAACTTCAATTATTCAATTAGGACAGTATCTCGTAAAACTATTAGAGTGGTTGTTCTCCTCCATTCTAAACTTCTCATAATTTTTTTCAAGCAGATTAAAAACAATCCAATTCACACACTTAGAGCAGCATATAAAGACGAATCCCCTCTAATTGTAAAGTCACTCTCCATAAAAAATCGTTTGATAATTCTTCCCAATTAATATCCTGTAGAATGAAGGATTAATAAACCATATCGGCTCTTCAATTGATATTATAAAGAACAACTCACATATTACAAAATTATAAGGATGAAATTCTCAAATATGAAGTTGAAAATGCTAAACTCAAAGAAAAAATAACAATTCTGAAAAATTCATGAATGAACAATATTTATTTACTTTTGTTTTTTATCTTTTTCCTTAAGTAATTTATATTAATTGTAATTGCCATGGCCTAAAATAACCTATAAGAAGAGTAAAATTAATGTAAACTAACATTTGATATGTAGTGGCATAAAGATTGTTGCTAGAGAATCCAAAAAAAACACATCTAGAATAATTTAATCATTTATCTGCTCTTTCAGAAACCAACTCTTAATATATAGAATCCAATTAAGGGAGTGGATACTTGGGATCCTAAAAATGTAACAATATTGTTTACCATCATTTAGAGTCGTAATTTAATAGTTCAAGGAATATGAAGATTAAAAATAATAGAGCCATTGGATCACTTCTAAATAGTGATGTATCAAATCACAATCTATCCGATGATGAACTTGAGAATGAAGACAGGTCAAATAAGGAATAAGTAAATACTATAGAAGAAGAAGAATAAGACATTGACTCTAATAAGGAAGTATCAATATTTTTCATCTAGATTTTTTAAATCCCACCTGATATTGAATCGCTAGAAAAACCATTAACTTATGATGAGTTGAATAGAAAATGCAAAAATTTGGAAGCAGAAGCGAAAAAAACAAAGCAAATAAATGAAGTATTATTGAGTATTATTTTACATTTAATAAATAGATTAGGTTGAAAATGATAAAAGTAAGATTAAGAAATTTGAAGAACTAGAAAAACACTATACTGACTAAATATCCTAAGATGCCACAAAAATATCAAGTTTGGAAGAGCAACTTTCATCCTTATCATAAGAACTAAAAGAGTAAAACAATAAATAAGAATTGATTATATAAAAATAAAAAGAATCGATAATTCAGATTCAAATTAAGTTAGAACAATAAGCACAGCACTATAATCAGCAAAGACAATAATTTTAAGAATAATTAACTCAATATCAAAATAGGTTGAGTACTTACGAAAAGGGGTAGAAAACTAATGGGTAAAAAGGAGATTTAATATAAAACGAATTGCTAAGTAAATAAACTATGATTAATTTTAGAAATTAAAGATCAGATCATATTACATTTATAAAATGAATTAGTTTAGTTTAAAGTTTCTTAACAACAAACAAAGACAGAACCTTTAAATAAGATTAAAATTAATACAAACCCCAGTAAATAAGAAATTAAAAATTATAGTATAAATCAAAATAAATAGAAACTAAAAACTCAAGATCAAGTTTTATCTAAACCTCCAAGTGCAAAAAAGTAAATGACTCATTATGATTAATAAAAACTTCTTTCATCATTACTCAACCCTTAACATAGGTAATGTAACTCTTGGATAGCATAACTTAATTAAAAGAATAAAAATATGCTACATAGCTACACAAACTCTCAAAAAAATAATTAATCATTAAGCAATCTGAATTGCTCAATAATAGAAAATGTAGATTAAAATTGTCAAATAAATGACAATTAACTGATTTTGAATGAGAATGCTTGATGTTAATATAAATTTTTATAAAAGAAATCCCATATTGCTTTATTTTATATAAATAAATTGAATCACCACCTCACACAACAAAATTTATGTCTTCATCCTGTTCCCCATTATCCATTGGCTTCAACATCTCTTTAACGTGTTTAATGATTGTCTCATCTCTAGATATGAGCTGCTTGCTTTTCTCATGTAATTAATTTTTCAGATCTTAAATCACTTTCGTATCTTTTACAGCCTTCACTCTCTCTTTAGATAATTAATCAGATAGGATATAAATTTGTTTCTCCAAATTTTCTTGGGGACCACGTTTATATAATTTTTCATTTAGATATTCTATTTTTTCTTTCAGTTCTGTTAAGACCTTTTCGATTTGTTTGCTTTCAAAGTAAGTAATTTTTATTTCTTTACTATTTAATAAATTGCTGTCTTCCAATTGGTCACAATAATAATTTTCTTGTGTATTTTAAAGCTCCTTTTAAGTTTCTAGTTACTTTTCGTTATGAATTTCTTATAATTTTTTTCTTGCCCCTTGAAGTTATTAAACAAGAGTTTATATTTCCTTATATACTTTCTCTTCATCAAGATAGCGAAGAGAATTCTCAATAATCGAATAATTTCCAGAATCGGTATTCATAGTCTGCATTTTTTAAATATTAATATTAATATTGATTTTATTCCCAAGATAGGAATCATAAACCTGAAATTTTTATATTAAGCCGATAAAAATCTTTATTATTTTTTTCCATATTGCTAAACTTATAAAATCAACTCTCTAAGTATTCATTAATACAACCTTTAATGATAGGAAGAGCTCAGAATATTAATTAGGTGAAAAATCTTAAAAAATCAATTAATATTAAGATTATTACTCTTTGATCGCATAAAAATTTTAATTTTAATAACAAGAATTGAAAATAGTCTACTTGATATCTAAAGGAAACACTATGCTAGGGTTTTAATTTTAGATACACAATTTATATGATAATTAAATATTATTAAGTAATATTTAATGGGCAATGGATGTTCTGGTTAAAGAGAAATCACTGAAAGATCTGAAACTATGAGACAATCTTCAATTACTTTAACGAAATTTATAGAATAAGACAAGCAAATCAGTCTAGTTCCCTCTAGTTAGCTAACATAAATAGAGATTCCAAATGCATTACTTCCTTCCCCATCAAGGTAGAGTATTTAATTTGAGGCGGTAATGACCTCAAAGGTTAGAGTGCCTTCTGAAGAGAGTTAGTTTTAGAATCAGTTTACGTAGATCAAAGAAGTCAAATTGACTAATAATTAACCACCTCGTCCTAAAATAAAGATCCCTAAAAGAGAACATAAAAAATAGGAAATATATGAAGTTGACCATAAGTATCACTCTTCAAGTCCAAAAAAATAAAAGCGACAAAAATCAACTTCGCCATTAGGAAATTCAAAATAATAATAACTTTAGGACTGTAAGATAACTAATAAAAGCTACAGAAAGAAATCTACATCAAATTAGTAGAAGTAATTTAATGAAATTGAAATCATTTCAAGAAGAAAATATTCTGATCTGCCTACTAGAACTGAAAAGACTTAGGTAAGAAGAAAGATTAGTAATTCAATTGATGATCATAATTTCATTATTGGAGCTGATTGTATTTCTAAGATTAAATCTTTCACTCCAAGTCCAATTTTGAAAAGAAAGGAGTCTGATTGTGAGACTAGTTCTTTTTAGAAAAAAATGGTACGATTCAAGGATATCAATTATAGAAGACCGGGCTTTGTTAATTGATCTTATAACTTAAAATATTAAATAGTTAATTTTCTTTGATAAAGAAACAATCAATAATTATTTCAAAGTAATTGTTCCAATAATCCATAATTCATCTATCCAGGCTTTCTTTCTATTAGTAATTCAGGGGAGGAGGCTTTTTAGAATTATTTATAGTCTGACCAATTTTCTAGAGTTTTCGAAATCAATTATTAGTACCCATAGAGACCAAATAGAATGAAGGAAGGCATTTAAAGCTAAAGGTATATATCATCAAATAATTTACTTCTTCAGGCAATAATTAATCTTTTTGACCTGAAATGGACTTAAAATTTTATTTAATTTCATTTATACTTTATTTTAAGTATTGTAATGCAACTTTATAGAAAGATTCATTTTCTGTGATGTCATTATTGCAGAGATTACCAATCAATTAATCTTTTTAGAATTCTTAATATCAATTACAAAAGATACCATTCTTGGATGCAAGTTTCAAAATCTTCTCAAAATGCCTCATGTATTTATCATTGTATTCAGAGATAGCTTAACTAAATTTGCTATGAGATTCACTCTTCTTGTATCCTTCAAAATCATCTAACTAAAAGATATTAACCTATTTGTTTTCCTTATCCAAAATGGTCGCCAATTTATTGATTTTAATTGCAATATTTTTACCCATCAAAAATAATAGTTTATCTCTTATTTCAATTGAAAATATTTTTGCAACTAGCAAGGATTTTGTGAAAATTTGTATAAGAATCTACAAAAATTGATTTAACTAAATAGAACTTCATTATTTGATTTAAATTCCAAACTAATGGTTTTTTACTTCTAAACAGGAGGTTGTTCTTCAAAAGCACTAGTCTTTGTAATTTTTTATGGCTAAAGTGCCTACTATTAACTAGAGGATCTCTAAATTTGTTCTTATAATTTCTTCTGTTTGGCTTCATGTTATTTTTTCTTATCTTCAATTTATTAAGTCTTATATTCTTTGGCTGGAGCCTCCTTGACTCCTTGACTCTGAGATCGTTTAAATTTTTAAATCTAGGAGGGTTCAGTGGGAATATTTAAATTCGAAATCTCTTCGAAGGGTTTTCGAGCGGGAGCCCTTTCAACAGGCGTCAAGGCTCTCTATTCGATTATTTCATGATGCACCATATCTTTAACTCGTAATCTTTTGTTTTCATCAACGGAGAGACATTTCCTTATGAAATCCTTGGCCTTGTCTGAAACAGGAGGAGAGGAGGGAATCACTAAAGACTAGTGCATAATGTTGGATATCAAGGCGGCTTCTGAAGAGGCATTATATGGTGTTCTGCCTAGGAATTAGGTTAAGTTGATTACCATACAGCATTTCAAAGAAGACAACACCAATAGCCCAAACATCTCCTTTTTCAGTGTGACCTTGTTGTCTCAATGCTTGGGGAGACATGTAAAGTGGAGTTCCTACATTGAAATTCTTCCCTTACAATCTAGCTTCATGAGCTGGCACAGCAAATCCAAAGTCAGCTAGCTTTGGAAGATTCTTATCAATAAGAATGTTTGCTGGCTTGATGTCTCTATGAATGTATCCCTTCTGATTCATTTCATTGACAGCACTCACGACTGATTGCAGGATTCGGATAGCTTCGTTTTCGTCAATTCTGCCCTTCTTTTTGATGTGATTGTTGAGATCTCCCTGAAGTACATATTACAATTAGAATTACCGAATCACAAAACTCAGTTATGATGTAAGTATTATTCTATGTTTAAAAGACATCGCAAAGTTTCATTATATTTTTACTATTGAATGCCTTCAAAGCATTTATTTCATTTTTCAGTAGTTGTGCATGAATCGATTGTTTAACCATCTTCATGTCAATAACCTTGATATAGAATCACTTCTTACTTTGACTGCTACTGGCTCGAGTGTGTTTTCATCTCTTCCTTTATAAACGCGGCTACTGAACCCTCTGCCAATTTCATCATTGATTGCATAACTATAATGATCAATGGCCTTTCTAGTTTCACTCCCTCCTTTATTATGAGCTTGAGTAGATGACACTGAATACCACGATTTTGAGGGTAAGTGGGTAAATGAGGACGAGTATGGAACATTTTTGTATTTTGAAATAATAAAATTAACGATTAATTAATGACTGGTGATCGTAATATTAATCGAAAACATGTCAATTACAGAAAGGCAGGAAAAATCAAGAAGAAACTTCACAAATAACAAATAAAAAAGGCTGCTCTCTCTAACAAGACTGCTTAACCAAAAAGCATAGAAGACATGACTAAGAAAGATCGTAGAGAACTTGTCAAAAAATAAAAAAAATAGGATAAGAAATAGAAAAAGCGAGAATTAAAAGACGCTGCCGCCAAAGAAATAGAAGAAGAGTTATGATAATATATATAACATTTCTGTATAGACTATATATCTATCATTTTCCATCTGCTAATCTATTCTGTCTAATCTAAACTTTATGTATCATACTCCCATTATACCTAAATAAGGTACCTCTAAACTAATGACAGTATATCAAAGATTTAGTTAATAGATATTTCAGCAAACCAAGAATAATGGCCATATAATAAATATATTAGATCTATGTCAGATTCATTTTATAATTGTTCTAACCTCTTTCTTTTACATATAGCGAGCACAAAATAGAACAGTCACAAACAACAAATAAAATTTAAGGCAAATCAATATTCATCATTTTTTATATCAGAGAATGAAAAAATGGCTTGGTTGATCATCTTTTTTAGATTTATATAAGATTCTTATATTGAATTCACAGTTTAGGCAGAGTTAAATTTTAAATAATAACCATAAGGCCAACTTTTAGATTAATTTCTAGATTTTACGCAAAAATATTAATTCTGTATAAAAGACTGTCTAAAATCGAATAGTTTATTAAGAATAAAAAAAATAGCTTTTAATTCTTATTAGAATATCAAACATAAGTTTTGAAAATAAAAGGGGGAAATTTTGTATGAATTCTACTTATGTTAGTAATTTAATATTATAAGTGATAATTATATATCTAACTTGAGAATTATTACAATGTTAAAAATATTCATATAAACTATCTTAAATTGTTTGATAAAGTAAGAATTTAATTTGTATTTAAAAATTTATGATTGGTTTCACAAGTTAAATTGATACAAATTAGAAATGTTTAGTTAATGAATCAATTATTGAGCTATTTAATAATATTTAATATTATTATTTGATCTTATAAATAAGTAATTGGTTGATAATTATAAATCTCAGGAAAAAGTAATTTTTTTATTAATATTTTCTTTTTCTACACTATCTTATTTCGACTTTTTTATAGTTAATTATACAGACCACTTCTTCTTCTCTGAAGATTAACCTGATTCTAAAACTTATGAATTTTTGTCTTTAAGGTCTACAGTGTTAAATGTTATGTTATACTTTATAAAGTTAGTTACGTTCTCATCCTGTTTAACTAAATGAGTAAGTATTTTTTGATAGGTAAACCTTATTGCTGAGCTGCATACTACAATTTGAATTTAAGGAATTGCAGGGCGGAAAATTCAATTTATGGAAGATCTCTGGATTTAAGAATCCAATTGCAAAGTAAAATGAAAGCGCTCAATTTTCTAAATGAGAGAAACACAACAGAAAGCTATTTCTTTTTGTGGGTAATTGTCAACAAATATTCAGGGTAAAGATCATATTTTTTGAGTGCTTTCATAATTTTATCATCAGATTGTTGGTATTGAAATGAAATTTCATTTATTGGTACTAAAAAATTGGATTGTGATACTTTTTTTGAAATTTTTTGTCAAAGGAGCATCAGAATATCTGATTTCTTAATAGTTATCGTTGATCCAGATATATCTTGTAACTAATTTTTTATCAGTTTAGTTAATTTTTAGTATCTCTTGCCTATTGCAAATAAATTGTTAGATTGCCTATTGTAATTTGATTTCATAATTTTTGATTGCATAATCTAACCGATTAATAAATAACTTGTTAAAATTGTTTAACACTATTTTATCATTAATCACCAACTTTTCTTATTTGTATTAGACTTTAGTATGATTATCAATTGGTGTTCTAGAAATGACAAGATTTCTCTAATAAAGAATGAAAGCAATTTTACTTTATTCAATTCAACTAAATCTCCTTTCATCGTAATGAACATAGTTAACTGAAAATTTTTATGTATTTATAAATAAATAATTAATCTAAACGACATGATATCAAAATTATTGTCAATACTATTTGGAACAATAAGCACAATGATTATAGGTTTCTATTGGTACTCTGTTATATTTCGAGATCGATATATAAAAGATGCTAAAGTGAATATATTGAAAAAAAAGTAAAAAAATTAAGAAAATAATCAACCACTACTATTTGAATTAACAGGAAGATTTTTATAGGCATGTTTAATAACAATCTTTTACAATTTGCTAAAAGCTAAAGTAATGTTAAATTAAACAATCATAGGATGAACATGATTTAATTTTGGCGCTTTCTTTAGCTGTGTTTTTCTGTATTACTTTTCAAGTGCAATATTACACATCGAAAGTTGTTTGGGAATAAAAGACTTGGAACTATTTCTTTATAAAGGTGTGTGAACAATTTATTTCGCTGTCCACACTTTCCATAATTGCTTTCATTTTTGTAAAGTGAACTATGATTCAAATTTTTCATATAGTTGAAATGCTATTTATGTAATTTTATCTGATTTTCTATTTTGAGTCATAGATGTATATTTTTAGTCTGTTTTATCTTCGATATTTATTTTCTATTTTTAATAAATGCGCCAAAATTATTTGTTTTCTTCTGGGCACATTATCTGGCACAGAACCAGGTTTTTATTTCGATGCCATATGTTAAGCCAACTCTGGTGGAACATTTTGCCCACTTTTAATTAAATACTCTTTTTTGGATCTGCTAAGGGGAGCCATTATCAATGCATATGGTCCATCTTTACAAATCTTATTATCCTATTTCGGGAGTGTAGATAAATAAGTGATTAATGGAATTAGAAATGCAGCAGATTCACTGTATCCAGTTGCAGCAATATCAATCATATCTTTGTGTTCTAAACTAATTGGAAAATTTTGCATTCAAATTGGAGTTGGTTTGAATAGTTTTAAATTTCGAATAGAATTCCTTTAATTCTTAGGCAATTATACATAGTTCCATCTTTAATTGGATTTAGAGCGCGACCCCCTTTAATTATAATATCCATATCTCTTCTGAATATTCTCGAATCTCTTGGCTACTATACTCTTTACGAATCTAAGCTATTTAGTATTATCTTCTCTAATTATTATTTATATTGCTATTCTTCTAATTTTTACTTATATTCATCTCTTTGTTATTTAGAGAGGAACCGAGGTTTAAAAGTAGACTTTCCATTTTGTATCAATTAATAGATATGCTTTTCTTCCTCCTCAGCTATTTTCTTCAACAAGAATCATTTTGTTTTATAAATAAATTTATATTATATTTTGATGTTATTATTCTTATTTTTATTTTAATTTTGAATTCTTCATGTTAGAAAATATAAAGCTTTTGAGATTCCTAAAATGATGCTTAAAAAATATAATAATAATTCAAATTTATTTTTTTAATATTCTAAATGAGGTACATTATAAAAGGTAGAAGTTTCTTTTTAAATCAAACTAGGTGGTGTTTGGAAGAATAGTGAGGATGAAATTCTTAAAGCTGCTGTTATGAAGTATGGGCTCAATCAATGGTCACGTATTTCATCACTGCTGGTTCGAAAATCAGCCAAGTAATGTAAACAGCGTTGGTATGAATGGCTTGATCCATCAATCAAGAAGACAGAGTGGACAAGAGAAGAGTAAGAGAAGGTCCTTCATCTTGCCAAGATATTTCCAAGTCAATGGAGGACCATTGCACCAATAGTTGATCGTACTCCCATGCAATGTGTTGAGCAGTATGAAAAACTATTGGATCTGGTATGAATTTGATTTGATTGTCTTTTAGGCTCAAGGCAAAGATCTAAATGATCCAAATGATCCCAGGAGATTGAGGCCAGGAGAAATCGATCCAAATCCAGAAACCAAGGCTGCAAGACCAGATCCTATTGATATGGACGAGGATGAGAAGGAAATGTTGGCTGAAGCTAGAGTCAGACTTGCTAACACCAAAGGTAAGAAGGCCAAGAGAAAGGCAAGAGGAAAGTTGATTGAAGAGGCTAGAAGACTGGCTTTGTTATAAAAGAAGAGAGAATTAAAGGCTGCAGGCATTCAATATATTAATCACAGAATTGAGAAACATCATATCAAGTTGCAAGATCGCAAATACAAAGGTATCAATTACAATAGAGAATTGGCCTTCGAAAGAACGGTTCCTGATTTCGTACATGAAACAACAGGAGAAGAACCAGAACCTGATAAAAAGATTTCAAATGTTAGTCTGTAAGCATTGGAAGGGTAGAGAAGAGATGAAGAAGAAGAAATTAGAAGGAAGATCGATTAAAGAAGAATTAAGAAATTAAAAGAGAGAGAGTTAGATTAAGCTGTTTCATTCTAAAACAAATATTAAGTTAAATTCACCCCTTAAACTAAATTATAATTGCCATAACCATAATTGAAGGATTAAGATTTAGAATTATTGGGTAAGATCAATGCAGTCAATGAAATATCTGAACACACAACCTCTGCTACTAGAGCACTTGTAGGCAACTACTCAACAAGAGATTAGAGTTAATCAAACATGAGAACTCCTAGAGCACCTAATACAGTTTTAAGAGAGGCTCAAAATATTATTGCTTTATAACACACAGAAACTCCTCTTGTTGGAGGAATGAATAATCCTATTGACATTACCAAGAAATATTGGAAATTAAACTCCAAATCAATTGGGCTAGCCTAGTTAAAAGAGACTCCAAGACGATAGGTTGAATCATCAAATGATGCCTTTGGAATTAATATCGAAGAATACGAGAGAGCATGGGAAGAGCCAAGCCAAAGTGTAGCCTATGTCAATGCTGAATAAGAAAGATAATAACAATTAAAGAACGAGTAGAAGTTGAAAGAAATGATCAAGCAGAAGTTAAAGTCATTGCCAAAACCAAAGAATGAATTCACTATTGAAATTCCTAATGTTGACAATGAAGAGCAAAAAGAAATGGAAATTGTAAGATATTAATGTTATTCTTATAGGGAAATGGATGCTGAAGACAAACTCAAAATCTTGAGACAAAAGAAATTGATTGACTAATAGAAAAAATTCAGACAAAAGACATAGGCTCATTAAAAGAATTTACCCACACCAAAAGAATTGCCATCAGGACAAATTTATGAATAAACTTAAGATTAATTTAGAAATGAAATTGAAGATATCCTCAATTACACAGTTATTTAATTGATTAAAGAGGATATTTATGATAATTCAAATGGATTGGGAGATATTTCTGTAGCTAAGGAATTATTATAAGATGAAAGGTTAAAATTGTTGGGAGATCAGAATTTGGATAATATTGATTAGATCTGGAATAGAGTTAGATAATAATTATATTTTGATTACGAAGAAAATAAGTTTATTAATATTGAGAAATTAGATGAAGAAGTGAGAATGGCTATATTTACAGAATATTTCAGAAGAACAAGAGTATAATACGAGAAACTAAATAAAAAATAATAATTCTTTGCCAATAGAATTGCTAAATTAATGAAAGGGTATGAAATGAGAAATACCCAATTAGAAAAGGAAATTTAATAATTGAATGATAAAATAGGCGAAATTGAAACGAACAAAGAAGTGTATTCATATTATAAGAATAGAGTGGACGATGAGAGACACATATATAGAGATAGAGTTTAAGAATTCGTTAAATATCACGACATGTTGTCAGTGAAGAGTAATGAATTGTAGGATAAATATTAATATTTGACTAAATAACTATAGGAATTAGAATAAGAATAAGAAATTTTAGCGTGAAATATATTATTATTAATATGTTATTATTTTTAATTTAAGTAGCATAAGCCATTACTTTCTCAAGAGATGTAGCATCTTAAATTTTTGAGTCTGGTAAGCCGGCATTGATATTGTTTTATGAAAACTCACATTAAGATCAATTGATTGAATTTAAGAAAGTTAAAAATCAAGAATTATTATTGGTTGAAGCAAACAACTCAGATAAATCTGTAAAGAAATTAATCTAAATACTTTAAATCCATCAATTACCAGCTATAAAGTTATTGAAATGCGAGGGTACAACCTGGCAAGATGTCTAAACTATTAATTATGATGATCAAATCCTTAATGATAAATTGAATAAATTTATTGCAAGATATTAAGATGGCTAATTGTTTTACGATATTCAGAGTGAAGATGTACCAGGAAGATAAATGGAAGAAGGTATAGAGATTGTTGTTGGCCATAATTACGATGAACACGTTCAGGACACAAATAGACATTATTTGATTTATTTTTATTCTTAGGATTGTGATCTTTGTTAATCGATGCTTCAGAACTTAGTGAGACTCAATAATCAAGTTAGGACAGGAAAGACTTCAATTAAGCCAAATCAAATGAGAATTGGTAAAATAAATGGGGAATTGAATAAAATTCATGGACTTAAAGTAAATAAGTACCCCTCTTTATATTTATATAAAATGAATGATAAGGCCCCTATAGAGTACAAAGGAGATCGAACTAGTGAAGGAATGTTAATGTGGATAGAGAATATGAATAAATGATATATTTATTTATCAATTAAAATGGCTAGCAAATCTCAACCTCCAATTCAAGAGAAGACTTTTCATGAATGGTCCAAAAATAACTTTTATAGGACAAGTTACATCAATCATTACACTCAAGTAAATGAATGAGCTTAATTATCCAGTTGCCTTAAGAGCCTAAGAATTCAGCTGTGCCTGGATATGCAGGATATGTGCCATATGTTCAATCAGAAAATCTATATGGAGAAAGATTCTCTGAAGTAGCAAGAAAGTCATTTGCAGATTCTAAATTGGGCAAGTTTAATAGATTGTCTTCCACAGGATTCAACTTTGATGCTAAAGAATTGATTGATCCTCATAAGGAGGCTTATTCACACAAATATGGTTGTCAAACCATTCTTAAAAACCATCCTTGCACTCACATTGATAAAATGATCACATCTTATCAAGACGGTTTCAAGAAGCCTTAAAATCTTGTTGCTCCAACGTAAGAAATTTAGAAATTAATCGAGATTTCGAAAGACTGACAGATATTTGGAAACTGCATAAGCCTAAACAAAAACCTCAGGTTTCTAGAAGAATCATATGCAATTCGATGGACCAGGTTGGATTCCTCATGAAAATATGAATGGTCATAAATATATTTTTATTATAAGGTGACTAAATAAGAACTGAGTATCGTATTTAATACAATTAAGAAAAACCTTTCCATAGGAATCCCGTCCAATTCAAACTTAGAAAGATGAAATAAACAGAAATGAATTATAAGCACACCTGATTAATAACATATTTAAGGATTTATATTTGGTCTAAGATTAAATGTATTTTACAATATAAATCTATTAAATAAGAAGCTATCTTATACAATATATACTTAGATCTAAATTTCATTTGAATCTCACTTTAGGCAACAGATAATCACACAAGGTGATTGGAGAATCTTTTTTCAATTCCTCCAATTTTACCCATTTAGTATATTCATCTTTTATCAAAAAGATGATCTCCCCATTAATTCTCTTAATGCTCAAAATCATACACTCTTTATTCTGTCTGGGAAGATGAGGATGCATCATAAATGTCTTTAGCAATTATTAATTAAGATTAGATTCTAGAGTTTATGGCATAATATCTTAAGGTAAAACTGCATTAGATTGGTAATTACTTTGCTAGAAAGACTCACTTGGAACCTCTTGAATTGTCTTAGGTGTCTCTTACATTTTGAGCAAAGATATTTGGTCGATTTTTGTGACATTTTTAGATGGAAGAGGAGGGAATTCATTTGAAGAGGATGCTTCTGTTTGATTTAGTTTCACCTTCTTCTTGGTTTCATAGTATTATTTCAATTCATATTGATGCACAAGTTCTAACAATTAAGGTGTCAATTGACTCATGGGTTCAATTGAGATGGTTCCATTGTTCCACTTAAATTTATAGGTAATAGTATTATCTTGCACCTTCTTTTTTATTAATTCTATTGGGAATTTAGTGTTGTACATTCTTATGATTATTATTTTAAAGAGAGTAGCAGTTTTGGAAATGGAGATTGGGATGATTTTTGGCATCCTTTTTTGAATTGCAGTAATACATAATTGAATTGTGGTATAGGATAATCAAATATTGTTAATGAAATAATTAAATGTTATAATAATCAGATAAGGACTTCACTCTTGAATAGGTGGTGGGTACAGGAACCTTTGGAATGGTGTACTTGGTAAATTTGTTTAGGGATCAAACTAGGCTACTGATAACAGGACCAAGGAGAAGGTAGCAATAAAGAAGGTGTACCAAGATCGTAGATATAAGAACAGAGAGCACCTTATCATTCAAGAATTGAATCATCCTTGTGTAGTAATGTTGAGACACTCCTTCTTCACGCCAGGGGAAAATGTATATCAATCACACATTCATCCTTTAGCCATAAGATGTGTACCTAAATCTAGTTATGGAATATGTACCAGAGACACTTTCAAAAATGATTAGACAAATGCGTAAGTAGAAGCAATGCATTCCTGCCCCCTTGATAAAGCTCTACAGTTATTAGATGATACGAGGCTCTATTGTATTCTGTAGGGTATTAGAGAAAATATTCATTCTAGCGATTGGAATTTGCCACAGAGATATTAAACCTCAAAATATCTTGGTTAATTTGGAGACCAATGTTTTGAAAATCTGCGATTTCGGCTCAGCTAAACGACTTGTTGTCGGCGAACCCAATATTGCATACATATGTTCACGTTATTATCGAGCTCCTGAATTGATTTTCGGAGCCACAGATTACAATACCTAAATCGATATGTGGTCTATTGGTTGTGTGATTGCTGAAATGGTCATCCTTGAACCGATATTTCCCTGGAGAGAGTGCTTAAGATTAATTGCTTTAAATTATCAAGATACTTGGCACTCCAACTCCAGATGACATCAATTAAATGAATCCTTCTAAGGCTGATGTCAGATTGCCCACGATTAGAGGGAATCCCTGGACCAGAGTATTTGCAAGACAAAAACCAGAACCACTCTTTCTAGATCTCATCACTTAAATGCTCACGTATTCGTTATTTGTATATTTTAGGTATTCGCCTAAAACAAGAATCCAACCAATTGATGCTCTTTTACATCCATATTTTGATGACCTCAGAAAAGAAGGATTCTCTAATCAAAATTTTAAGACCCCCAATCTTTTCGACTTCAATAAATAGGAACTAAGCATCAAACCAGAACTCTATTCTAAATTAGTCCCACAATGGTATTAAAAGCTAAACAAATGATGAAGATTCTTCAAAACAATATTATATATGTTATTTATCTTCTTACAATGATTTTTTCATACTCTTTTTTGCAATTGCAATTATGTGAATAAAAATTTTCAATAAAAATTTATTATTATTTTTAATAATGTTAGACCCATTTAGAATGGCAACTGTCCGTAGATAATCAGAATTAATTAAATCCAACAATCAATTGATAGACTAACAACCCAGAGGTAGATAATAATGTGCCAAATCCAATCAACATTTAACAGATATAGTCAACTAATGCATTCAACGTTCATAACATTCAATAGATGCGCTCTAATAAATCAGAGCCAGATCTAAAGACAGAAGGAGTTCCTATAAGAAAACTACCAGGTAGTCCACTATTAGCAGTTTTAAAGGATAAACATCCCCTAGTTTTAGACAGGACGATCAATCTGTCACATCATCAATCCAAGAATCTTAATAAAGTTAATAACCAGTGAGATTGTTTAGTTTTATTGAAAATGAACCTAGTTTCAGAGCAAAAGACATGCCCTTACAAATTAATAAATCAAGTTTAGAAGCAAAGAAGAAACCACTCATTTAACTTAAAGAAAATCAGAGAAGACTCACTAATATCGATCAACTATTTTAAGAAGCACTGCGTAAGAGTCAATAAATTACAGAAAAGTTTTATTAGTGAATACTTATAACTATATATAAATAAATAACTATTACTTTAACCCAAACTTAATTAATTTTTATAGCTTTTTTAGAAATTTTAATTATATTTTTATATTTAGTTTATTAAAAGTCTTGAGATTTTAATTCTTTTATGTAATCATTGGATTCTAATTTCACATTTTATAAGTTACACTACATTTAAGGAGATGTTAATAGTCTAATAGTCTAGCTAAATGAGACTTATAAAATTTACGATTAGCTGATTTGATAAAGCTAAGAATAACCATCTAATTAAATTACAAAAACTATAATGAAAATTTATAATATAAATTAATAGAAAAATAGAATCATATTAGAAATTGAATGGGTACTACTTTATAATTTATAATGTTTAAGACAATTAAATGTTAGAAAATAGTTCTTATATATTATTTCAGTGTATGGAATGAATACAAATTTTGTTATCAAAGTATTTTGATGATTAATTTACTTTTCATTAATTTAATTAAATTCATTAAATATGCTTATTAAAGGAAATTGAATTAGTAATTAATCATGTATAACTTATAAAATTAATATCAAAAAATAATCATTTATTAGATACCTTATGTTGGTTGTATTTCCTTTAATTAATATGATTCTATGATATTTATACTTTATCATTATAATCCAATTTCGCTTAACTCAAATTATGGTTGTAAGTAATCATGTACTTATTTGAGGGTTATGAATCCCAATCCAAGGATTCTTTCTTGACAGGTGATTAAATGGTAAAAATCTATTTAATCTCTTAATCGGCTAAAAAGTCATCAGGATCATATGGTATTAGATCTTTATTTATATAAGGTTACGACATCGATGAGTAGCTCTTGTAATTATTTTGTTGAAGACTTTGACTTCTTAGATTGTTGTGATAATATTTTGGTTATTGTAGATTAATTTGAGAACTCATCTCAGCTAGCTTAGGTAATAACATGTTAGAATTGTGTTTGACTTGTTTAGCGGATTCTATATTTTATTTAGCCCAATAGGATTTATCAATTATTTTTTGTTATTATGAATAGAATTAAGACTATTTTGGATCCACAATCTCTTTTGGCTAGTAATTGCATATTGGATTGTTGCCTTAAAGTTTTTTTTCAGCTGAGATCAACCAAAAATTGTTGTTGAGATATAAGTCAGCATTTTATCTATACGCCTAGTAATCATTTTGTTGAAGATCATTTATTTTTTGTTTTTTTGGATCATTTTGTTTATTTGTAATTACTGATAAATCCTGTAGATTTAGTGTATTATTACCATTTTTGAACTATTCAATGTCATTGTCCTTTTCTTTGATTATTCTTTCTAAATCTGTGATTCTGTCATTCATTTGCTAGAGCTTGATTTCATAGTTCCTTTGAAGTTGAGTGATTTATTGATCTTTTTCAGTTTACTGTTTTTTTAATAATTTAACTTCTTCTTATAAGTTGAGAATCAATTAATCTTTAGCAATTAATGAAGCTTAGAGTAAACTAATTTTCATGGATGTTAATGTTTTGGAGGATTTGGAAGAATTGTATGACATTTGTGTTTACTTCTTTAAATCGAGATCATTTAATTGAGCATCTTAATCTTTGGATTCTAATTTAAACTACTTCTCGTTGGTGAATTGATTTAGTTATTGAATGGACTTTCTTTGAATGGTTTTATTTGTCGATGTCTGAAAATTAGATTCTGTTCGAGATGGTGTAGGTATATTATTTAATAGCAATCTGTTTTGTAATGAGTCTGAATCCTCTTCTAATTCCCCATATTCATTGTTTTCTGATTGTTATTCATTTTATATTTCTAAATTATTCATCATTTATAATAATTTTATATTGTCCTAAAACCCGTGCAATATGATCTATAAGGAATGTAGGGTAGAGTTTGAAATTAATAATGGATGAAAAGAGATTTAAAATTTAAGTAAATCAAATATTAAATCATAAGAAAAGGGACGAAAGATTTCATGCTTTAGGTTTTCTAAAACTGCTGTAGATAACTTTTTGTTTTTTATCGAAGGTGACTTTTTTAATTGATCTCTGGGATCCTGCAGACTCATTGTCTTTTTGGGCGTTATTTGAACTTGAAGAATTCGATCCAGCCATCATTTTGTTTTTAAGAATGGACTTGTGCTTGACTATATATAATAAATAATAAGCTAATGTACGTTCTTGCAATCCACTGTTGGAATCATCTTTAGAACTGTTAAGAAGATCTAATTGATCATTACAGCCTAGAGTGCAATTAATGTCTTAAGGGTCTGGTTTCTTCTGGTTCAATTCTTATCTGGTTAGGGTAATATCCGAAGAATTTTGTTTAGGTAGAGAATTCATTCGTTCTTTTTCGATCCAATTATTTTCTTCAGGGAACAGTAAATTGATTATTGGTTATGGTTTTTGTATTTAGGGAGGTTTGTAGATGTTAACCTAGACTATCTTGCTGAGATTGATTTGACCGTCTTTTGACTCTTAGATATTCTGGCAAATTTGAGAACCCATTGCGATTGTTATATCTTGGGTAATTAAGAAAGATGATAATAATAATTGAGTGCAAATATTTTAGAGATTAAGAATGAACAATTATTATAATAGAACAAAATACTTAAGAATTTAATTCAGATTTTAATCATAATTAATAGCATGAAGTCTTCATTGACATTTGATTTGATATTTAAATTTCGACTTAAAATTGTTGGACAATAAATGTAATTAAAACAAAAATAAATTAAAAACGATTAAATTATCACGCAACTATCTAGAATTTTTAAAGTTTAGAAATGTGAATTTTTTGACGTAGATTAAATAATGATTTCGCTTTATCACACCATACAGTAGATGGAATAATACCTTTGCTAATAATCTTCTTTTTTTGAAGTTACTCCTTCGTTGTTTTCCCATTGTAAGCCAAACAAATGTGGAAACAAACAAACACTAAAATACATAGAGTCAATAATATCGTCGGAATTCCCAAAGCGAATAACACTATCACTAGGATAGTCTAATTCTAAATCACTTTCCATTTATTATATATAATTACATATGCCATCCTTCCCTGAAATACCCTCTCCGAAGTTCCCTATAAACAAGATCAAAAATCCTCCCAATTCCCCTATGGCCAATAAAAGCAATGAAACCAGAAAAGCTATAAAGAATCTGTAATTTCTCTGTCCTATACAGTTATTTACAAACGGACAATGATGGTCAAAGACTTAAACACAATTGCCACAATCTTTGCAATGAGAACATCTTAAGGGCTTCACTATTAAACAGGTCGAACATATTCTTTATTCCTAATTTTAATATTTCTTCTTCCTTTTGTCTGGACAACCACCTGTTCCTTCTATTTTTGCTTCCTCCTTACTAATAAAATGAGTGTTCTGATCTGATAATTCCAGGACAGATTTTCTTGGTATTATCCCTGGATCGGAAAACTATTTAAAATATAATTATATAATTACTTAAGTTAACACTAAAAATAGTATTGTACTTAAGAATAAATAAATTACAATTAAAACATAGAGCCAATGCAATTTTTACCAAACATAGGGAGCAACGATAACAAAAAAACAGGTACTGATACCTATTATCATTATCCAAGTGAACATATTATGGTATCTATCACCTTTAGGTCCTGTCATGAATCTCCCATAACAAAAGATCTAATTGAATGATGGCCAGAATTCATACAAAAATCTGAAGCTGACACTTTAAATAAATTAGCATACTTGTTTTTCTCCGATTTCGGTTCAAATGGAAATAATTCTAAATCAGCAGGCTAAAATCCTTTCAAATCAACTTTATTACCAAAGGGTGGTGTTACATCATTTATATGTTCCGACATCCCATTTAAAGATGAGGCAACAGAATTGCTCTTATTTTTTGAGAACTCTAAGTTCCCATTAAAATCAGCACTTTATCTCGATTAATTGTACAATCCATCAGATGGCGCATCCTCTTTCAGTTTACATCCTGAGTTTTGATATTTACTATTCATAAATTTATAATATAAGTATTTATTATTAAACTTTCTACTCATTAATCGTTTTTAAACTCACAAATCAGAAATTAGAACAATTTATGAACAATAAATACTATTAATTATTTATTCTTAAAAACTCAACCATTCAATTCCACACTACAATCCCCAATTTAAACCTCACTACAACAAGGAACACTCAAGAATCAAGTAAATTCATATAAAACAATTTCCCTTTGCAATACTTCATCTCGAGATAAATATTTGTTTATCGGCTTATCTTCTTAAAGAATATTCTATTTAATAACCAAAATTTATAGATTCCCTTTTCTTATAATCTAATTAACAAACAGAAAATATTCGTTTATTATTAACCTCGTAAATCTGAATGGTTTCGAGGATCTCTAGGTGATCCTTCAACTTCAAATTACATCCTAAAGCTGCATGGATGAATAGAATTAACTTAAATTGGAGTTTTATGGAAATGTTCAATCCTTGTTAAATTTGATCTTTCAACTGTAAATTTCATTCTAATTTGCATCACATCCTTACAGGAATGGGTAATTAACAGAGCTCAATTTAAATTGTTAAGCTTTCTGATAAATAGAGAGAATACTAATTTAGTTGAGTAATTATTAAAGAATAATTGTGATCACTTAAATTTGAGTTTTAATAACAATATTTGACTTGAAATAATTTATTATGAGTAAGTAATATAACAAGAGAGGCAATTATTAGCCTCGTAAAGAAGTATATGAATACGTAACAAAGGAGGAATATGATCAATAATAAATAAAATAGAGTAAGGAATAATAGCCTAGTAAACATAATCCTCAAAATAAATAATAATAGTTTAAGAAAAGCTAATAAGAATACTAGAAACAAGAATAATTTTAGTAGTTGCAGAATTAAAATCACTAGTATCAGAAACAAAATAATTAGAAGGACAATCGAAATTATTAGAAAAGATTTGAATAGAATGTTGAATTAGATGATAATAGAAGGGATGATGAAGAAGGTATTTTAATCAAGTAATATGTAGATGTTGAAAATTTTGATATAACAAAAGTAAAATAGAAAGAATTGACATCAACCTTAATAAAAATGCTTAAGTATAGAAAAATAGAATGTCCAGTATGCTATGATAAAATTAATCCATAATAGAAGATATGGAGTTGTACTTAGTGTTATTCTCCATTCCATTTACATTGTATGCATAAATGGATAAAGAACTTAAATCCAAAAAATATGAATGAATAGTATTGTTGGAGTTGTCCAAAATGCAATTTATTGATATAAGATAAGTTACCAGAATATAAATGCTTTTGTGGAAAACAAGTAGATCCAGAAGCAGATTTCTATTCTATTCCCCACTCATGTTCATAGAAATGCTTAAAGAAGAGAGGACAAAATTGTTCCCATCCTTGTCCTATGGATTGTCATCCTGGTCCATGTCCTGATTGTCTTTTATAAGGAATTGAAATCAAGTGTTTTTGTGGCAAGAAGAGTAAGTAATTGTAATGCAGTGAAATAAAAAAGGATTTTTCATGCGGTTAACCATGTGGTAAAATGTTGAATTGCACAAATCACTTTTGCCAAAAACCAGTAATAAATCATATAATAATATTAGTGTCATAGTGGAAATTGTTAACCTTGTATTGAGACTCATGAAGTAGAATGTCATTGCGGAAGTGAAAAGGAGACTATAAATTGTGCATAGAATTCATATTCATGTGGTAAAATATGTGGGTAAGTACTTGATTGTGGTTAACATCAATGTCTAGAGCAATGCCATCAAAAGTGTTAGCCATGCAAATTAAAACCAGAATTAGTAGTATATTGTGCTTGTGGCAAATTTAAAATTAATGATTTAATCAAGGACTAAAGAAAATCCTGTTTAGATCCAATCCCTAATTGTGGAACTCCAATAGAAACAACTCTTACATGTGGACATAAAAGCAGAACCATCTGTGGATCTGATTATCCTGAATGCGTGTAAAAAGTAAAAGAGAAATGCAGATGTGGAGATTCTACTAGAATAAAATTATGCAACGATAAATCAATATTTGTGTGTGATGATGTATGTAAAAAAAGAAAATCATGTGGTGTTCATTTCTGCTAAAAGGAGTGTTGTCCACCTGGAGATTAAGATGCTCATTTATGTTTGAAAGTATGTAATAAACAATTACCTTGTGGTCAACATAAATGTGATTAATTTTGTCATATTGGTGCATGCAAACCATGTCCAATTATTATTAACTAACCATTCTATTGTCCTTGTGGCAAGAGTGTTAAAAATCCCCCCATTAAATGTGGGACTGCTCCTCCATCATGCTTAGAAGTATGTAGCAAAATCTTAGAATGTGGTCATATATGCAAATCATTGTGTCATCCTGGGCCATGTCCTAATTGTATGGAGTAAATCGAAAAATTATGTCGTTGTAAATAAAACTAACCTTCAACCAATTGTTCAAAATAAGCAGTCTGTAGAAGTGTTTGCAATAAAGTATTAAATTGTGGACATAAATGCCAAGAGATTTGTTAAGCATAAGAGGAATGTGAAGGGAATGGGCCTGATGGTTGTGGTTAAAAATGCAATGCCAAAAAAATATGTAATCATTTATGCTAAGAAATTTGTCATCCAAATTAATCATGTCCCAAAAAACCTTGTAAAATCTAAGTTAGAGTAGTATGCAGTTGTGGTAATAGAGAGTCCTTTGTCGAATGCGGAATTGTTGATGAACTAATTGAAAAATCATTGGAATGCGATTAAAAGTGCTAAAATATCAAAAGATTTGGAGCATTTTATAAAACTAATTCTATGGCAGATACTGAAAAATCCTATTATTATCCAGATATCTTAATTAAATATACTCATTATTATTTATAGGAACTCTAAAAAATGGAGGATAAGATCTAGCATTTCTTTGGACATTCTAAAATAGGAGAAGCATTAGATTTTTTAATCCCAAAATCCGAATGGTCTGACTTTTAGAAATCAGCTCTATATATTCTGTATTCCAGAAATTATAAATTCGATACCCAAGTTTTTAAGACATAAAATACATAATATTTGCTTAGACTTCATAAGACATAATAAACTTGCATCCCTAAAATTAAGCTATCTGAATACTTTTAAAAAGTTCAAAAAGGTTTAATCAAAAGAGATCATTTACCATTTAAGGCTAAAATCATGACCTAGCTTGAAGTTTCCTCAACAGATGCTAGTAATATTGAAAATGCCTTATCAGAATTCAAAGGAGAATTTTACTTTGAAAGGCAAGCACAATAATTTTCAATCAACTTTTGGGAAGAAACCCACACTGAATTGGCTCTACAAAAACTTAAGAACTCAGTTGAATTACTTAATTTTAATTGGGCTTTAGAATTAAATCAATAATGTTTGGATGAATCAAAAAAGATCATTGAACCTGCCTAAAAGAATGACACTATTGTTAAACCAAAAAAAATGAATTAATATGAATATGAAGATAAAACTCTAGAAGTTTAATACTCATAATCGTAAAATGAAAATTTCACTAAACTCCAAAAGGAGTATTCTTAAAAAGCCAAATTGAACAAAAAGTGCGATATTGAAGAAATAGAAGAAAGAATTAAAAATTAAAAATTATCCATTTTTGAATAAGATGGATTTTATTAATATGAAATTAAACCCATTAGAGACAATATTATTAGAGCCTACAAATAACAACAAAAACCATTTGTACCTGAATATGTCAGAACTCCAGATACTTTGTGTAAAACTGTTGATTTTCTCCTTCAAAACTTCTTGACAGCAGATGATCTTGATTCAGATTAAGATTTCAAGAAGCCTATGGAAGGAGGTAATCCAAGGGACATTGTGTATGAAGATATATACGAGTTCATAAATGATAGATTAAAATAAATTCAAGTAGAATTGAATTACCTTCAATATGAGGATCAGAGCATTTATGGTATTAATTATCATTAATTATTTTAGTTAAGATTATTCGGTTTTATATTTTGTCTCATTCTTAATTATTGGAAAATTAAGAAAATCTTAAAACTTTATGCGGATTGTTATAGACATTCAAAAATGATGAAACATTATAATATACTTTAATATTATCTTGTTTCAATGAAATTCCTGAATTTTCATAATTCTATTCGCAAATGTTAGGGATTAAAGAATAAGACAATTTAAGTCCTGTTATTTAATCCATGATATGCTTAGCAACTTAAGTTAATTCAAAGTTATATCACAAATACTTTTATTTCTATCATAAGCAAGAGAACTTTTTAATTAAATCATTGATGCATGGATTTCTCAATAAAATAATGATTTAAGTTAAAGAATAATTCTAACAAATTGCTTCAAATTTAGAATAAAATTAAACATTTATTCCTGTTAATAAACTATTAGAATAATTATAAATAGATAGCAAAGATAATTTAATCTAATATTTAAATTAATTAGGCTTGGATGATCCGTAATTTTAAGTTTCACAAGCTGACTCTGAATTTGAAGAAATAAATATCTCATAAATTTAATCATAATTATAGAATATGAAGCCATATGATATTCTGGATCTTGATAGATTGGAATTGATAATGTGATGTTATTATTTTATAATTTTATTTGTCCAAAACTATTATATTAATAATATATTCCGTTTATTCTATTCATTAAAATGTATAATAAATATTTATTCATTTGTGTATTGTTAACATTGACTATTTGTGAGGGTGGATATCAGAATATCAAAATAAAGGAATTTATGAGCTAGAATAATGAAATTTTTACATATATAAATGAAGTTTTAGACGATGAAGCTGGTCCAGAATATTTCCTCTGGAAGATCGAAAGTCTTTAATAGTAAATTGTTTCAGGAATCAATTATAAGATGGTTGTTGACTATTAAAAAAAGGATGACCCTAATCAATACATTCAATTTGAGATCATAATTTACGATTAGTAATACTTTAATAATAATTGATTCAAGACCATAGACTAATACAAGAAAAGTGACCGCTTTGGAATAGAAGAACCTTAGAGTGGATAACAAAAAATCAAATAATTTGAAATATCATGGTTGGGTTGATCTAGATACAAAGCAGTTTAGCCAAAAATTTCCCTAAATTTAAAAATTATTGCTTTCAAAGTTAATACCGAAATTTGAATTAGAAGATAATACCTCTATTATAGATATAAAATCAGTTAAAGAGTAATTTATATCAGGAAAAACCTATTTAATCTTTGTGTCATTATCTGATGGGAAATAATATAAGGGAACATTGTATGAAAAGTATTATATTTGATATAAATAAAGTCCATGGTCTAAGAAAATGGAAGTAGTAACAGTAGAGAAAGAAGAAGAAGAGTGATTCTTAAATTTTATTAATAATAAATGTATTTTATGAGAATCCATATCATCAGAAACATAAATCAAAATTTCAAGTTTTCCTTTGACCTCAAATTCTCTTTATATTGTTGTAGGATAAATATTGTGATGATTTTACTTAACATTGTGTTTTAAAAGATGTATGCTAAATCAAAGAGATTTACTTTCTATGTAAAGAAGTTTAAAACGAAAATATTAACTTATAATATAATAAAATTAAAAATAAATGAACTTTTTATTGTTGTCTATGATATGTGTCATTTCTACATTTGACTTACCAGGAATTCAACAAAAGATGTATTCTGAGGGAGAATAGATACCTGTTTTAATAAATGAGATGACTTCTGATTCTACTCAGCTTCCATATGATTATTATGATCTTGATATCTGCAAACCAGAATCTACTGAAAATTAAAATTAAAATATTGGATCTATGATATTAGGCACTCTAACATAATAGTCTAAATATTAAGTAATACAATAACTAATCTTTTAGATATTTATGAATTACGAATTAATTGATGAAATAATTTGTGTTAAAAACTTTACATAAACAGAATAGAACAATTTAAAATGGTTCATTGACCACGACTATAGAGTCAATATGTAAATCGACGGCTTGCCAATATTATCCAGAGATTATTTGAACAACACTATAATTGGAGTGCCCTTGGGGATTAGAAACATCAATTAGTATTCCTTTTACAATCATTACAATTTCAAGATAGAAATCTATAGGACTTCTAAATCAGAAGTCAATTAGACTTTTAGTATTAATTCTATAACTGTTGATTTTGAATCTAAGTGTATGGATAGTTCTGAAATAGATTCTGGAATCAATTGTCCAATCAATTAAATGATGAATATCACTTATTCTATCAAATACATAATGAGTAACTCATCGAATAGATGGTCAGCCTATTTAAATGTCGCCACTGATTCTGATTAGTAGTGGGTATCTATTAGCATAACCTTTGCTATATCTCTTTTCCTAAATTTTCTGATAGCTTGGTTTATTAGATTTACCATAAGAAGAGACGTGCTGAAATTTGAAGCATTGCCTCAAGAAGAGAGTGATATATTGATAGATTAAATGGGATGGAAATAGATTAGTAGAGATGTTTTTAGACCTCCATCAGGCATATTATTTTTGAGTGTTTTGATTGGTACTGGCATTCAATTTACTATTATGACCATATCCATTTTCTTTTTTTCATCAATAGGGTTCCTCTATTCTGCACATACAGGACATTTAGCAACAGTCGTGATTGTTGTTTATGTTTTTACTGGCAGTTTGAATGGATTTTATTCCTCCAAATTTTACAAGTATTTCAAAGGGGAATATTGGTTATTGTGTACTTTGGGTAGCAATTTAGCATTCCCAGTTATGGCCTTATTTATATTTGGAATTGAAAATATTGCACTGATGTTTGAGGAATCTTCAAGTGGATTGGACTTCAAAACTGGTATAACTTTCATTGCATTACAACTGGGTATTCAGACTCCTCTAAATCTACTTGGATCATTTATAGGATTCAAATTTGAATCTCCTAAGAATCCATAAAAATATGGATAGATTGCTTAGGAAGTTCCATAGCAGCCTTTTTATTTGGATTATTTTTACAGTTGTTTGATTGGAGGGCTTGTGTGTTTTATGTATGTTTGTAATTTCTATATAGATCCGTCGGTCTTGAGATTAGTTAAATAATGTAATTAATTTGGAAGAATTCTTATTATGAATTCTTTGTTTCATTGTTTTTTACTGCCATTTTATTGATTATTATAAGTGCTGAGGTTTCAATCCTAACAGTTTATTTACTACTATAAAATTAAAATCATAGATGGTGGTGGAAGGCTTTTTTTGTACCTTTTACTTCAGGTGTATATTTATTCATCTATTCAATTTAATATTATTTGGATTCTTTGCAATTTACAAGGTATTCATTATAAAATAATCAGATTTTCAACAATTTTGTATTATTTTGGTACTATGTACATGGCCTCTTTATGTTTGGGATTGATTTGTGGAACCGTGGGATTTTTAGCTAGTCACATATTTGTTAAAACAATATATTCAATGATTAAATTAGATTGAACTGTGTAGATATTTATTTTATTTTATATAAATAAATAAATATTAAATATAAATAGGTAGATTTTTTATTGCTTTATTATCAAATATATTAAAATATGAAAACTACAAAATGAGAATATATCTTAAAATCAATAATTCTGTTATTATAAACCATAGTCTCTACTTGTTTATTTGAAGTATATTCATATATTGGTTTTCAAAATACAATCATAAATCCTCAATTTCAATAATACAAGTTATACATCTTTTTACATTTCATTAAACCAACATAATAAATTAGAATAATAAGAGAATTTAAATAAAATACTTAGATTCTTAAATAACTTAAAATATGTTATCAATCTTCATTCTTCTCCTTTCAAAACTTTCAAATAACATTTAGCTGCATATTCATAATCAGCTATTGTATTATATAAACTGGCTGACAATCTTGTCCAATTTAATTCGTCATACTTAAATACAACCAAAAACACATTGTATTTTTCATAACACTTCATATTCTATATTATATACCTTTTTTTGACATTCTCTGCAGTAGTTTTGGTCTTCATGAGGTATTCTAACATTTACCATTGCAGAATGCATAGATTTATCATTGACTAGTAATTCTGTTTACCATATTTATGCAACTAAATTAGCTCCTTCCCAAGCTAAATCTACAGAATATTGAATTATTTAATTTAATCCATGTTTTTTTATAAAATTAACCCCATCTATTAATGATAGTGGAAGGCTAAAATCTTTTGTACCAGAATATTCAAACTCTTTTGCCAACCCATTACCATAATGAATTGATATTGTATTATGATGGATTTTATCTAAATATTGCTCTTTCAAATATAGAATGTTAACTCCTGAAGGGCAAAAGGCCCATTTGTTAAAATTAGTAAATAAAAAGTCTGGATCTAAGTCTTTGATATCTAAAGCAGTGATTCCAGAACCATGTGCAGCATCAACTATATTGATTGTATTATATTATTTGCACAACAATATTAATTCTTTTATAGGCAATTTCAAAGATGGCAACGCTGTTATATTGTCAAAAACAGCAACTGTTATCTTCTATGTTTTGAGTTGTTCTATGAGTTATAAACAAATATGGTTACCTTCAAATAATGATAGGATGGTTTACTTGTCCAGATGTTGTCTTTTTAATTCAATCTTAATTTCCTTTACATTATAATTGGTAGTCATGAATTTGATTGTATTCTAAACCATTGGATAAGCAATACTGAAATATAAGATTGTATCATTTTCTGTAAGTCCAAGATCTAATGTAAAATTGAGAAAATACTTCTTATGATGCTATTAAAGGATTCTGCCGAATTACTAGCCAACATGCATTAGTTAAAATCAGTATTCAGAAATTCTGCAGCTGTCTTTCTTATTTCTGCTGTGTATTTAGGATAATCAATTTTTACGAATCTATCAGGGTTTTATAAAAATTTTGTATAATGTTCTATTCTTTAGGAAAAAACCTCTTTAGGCACAAAACCAAAACTACTGTGATTTACACATACAAATCCATTTTCAATAACAAAATCTTCTTTTATTTTTAGACCAAAAGTGTCCATACAATTATTTCAAATTAAAATAATATTCAATACAAAATTATTCAACCAAGTTTGCCGATGAATAATGAATTAGTTTTTAATAAAATAAGATACTCAATGGGATTGTTTGAGAGTAGGAAGTAGGCATTATTCTGTGTTCTCACTATGTTGTGATAAGAATCAAATAAGAAAAAGGCTTATTACTATATTTAGTAATAAATATTGAAGATATTTAATAAATTTAGAATATTGGTATAAAATTTGATTGTTTATTAATACTAACTAAAATTCTTACGATATAAAAATTTAGCTATTCAATTGTATCTAAATTCCTCATGATAGCTATAATATGATAAGAATATCAGTACAATAAACTGAGAAATTGCATTAAGTAGAAAAAAAACAAAGATGGCCACAAGAATGTGAAATTGACAATTTAACTAAAATGAATTAGTTTAAGAAGATGAATCATAAGTTTATAATCTCATAGATTTGAAGGGGGAGTGCTTTTTAATCAAAGAAAAATTCTGTATTATATTTTTCTAATGAATTCCATACATTAATAATTATTTAATAGAGATACAATAATCTAATTTGTGATAAATGAATTAAATTAATATATAGAGTCGAAGAAGTCAACTTTGTGGAAGAATCACTGTAGGGATCTATCGGAAGACCTGTTTTAATTTCTTCTTCCCTTTATTTAGAGGATTAAACTTTTAGTGATGTGACCTGCATTAAGTGGCTGTTCTTGTCGGTATGAATTAACTCATGAGTTTGAAAATTTTCTTAGATTTTTTGTCGTATTTTGACTTTAAGATGGATTCGTGATTCCTCACAAACTCTAAATACTATAAATGTTCTTATTATGTCCAGTGACCTTGAAATTATAGCAATTTTTACCATTTGCTCTAGTTTGAGAGTCTTCTTCTCCTAATTAGTATTTTTCTGAATTTCCTAACTCTACTTCAGTTATATGATTATTGTAGTTGGTATTCTTGATATCAGGAATATTCTATTGATAATTTACAAAGTTATTTGGGGGTTAGCCACTCCAATCATATTTTAATAATGGAAATTGCATCGGAACATTCTGTTATTAAAATATCACTTTAAGCTAATTTAAACTGTTAGTTACTATATTGAATGAATTGCTGTTAAAAGTTTGGAAACTGTGAGAAATAATAGGCAGTAGACTAGTATGGATGATATAATATATCTGAATTCATCTAAAACTATGATTTGAGTTATTTAAAAAAATATTTTATTAAATAATTTGAATTCTTAATAATGAGGATCTTAAATATTCCTATATTACGAGGACTTAATCCTAGTCAGTTATTAATCAAGTCCGAAAAGTAGTAAAACTGGAAATAGAAAATCGCTTCTTAAATTATAATCTAATTATGACGATTAAATAGTTTAGCATCTTTTCAACAATATTTAAAAATGTAAAAGTATGCTAAATCAAATCTCAAATAGTCTATGATTTGATTTGAGCATTGATGTTCCAAGGGAGTTATCTTTTATGGGATTACAAAAAAATTCGGAATTTCTTAGTATTTTATTATTATTATAAAATAAATATAGTATTATGATTGTCATCTTAATGAGAAATACCAAATTTGATAAATTCTAAATTGAATATTTAATTTAAAGAAAAGAAATCGCTAGATGATCAAAGAATATGATTATTTGTTTAAGTTAGTTATTATTGGTAACTCCGGAGTGGGAAAGAGTTCATTATTATTGAGATTTGCAGATGATCAATTTAGTGAATCTTACCTAACAACAATTGGTGTTGATTTTAGATTCAGAACGTTGCCCATTGATGGCAAGAATGTCAAGTTGTAGATTTGGGATACTGCTGGACAAGAAAGATTTAGAACAATCACAAGTGCATATTACAAAGTATATAACAATCATATTCATTTTTAGGGTGCTGATGGAATTGTTATGGTGTATGATGTCACATAAGGATAATCATTTGACGATATTGATAAATTTTGGCTACATGAGGTAGAGTCATATGGGGAAAAAAATGTGCAATTATTAATTATTGGAAATAAAAACGATTTAGATGAATAGAAATAGTAAGATAATTATATATTTAAACAAGAGTTGAAACATCAAAGGCTGAAGAGTATTGTAAATCTCATAATATGCTTTTTATGGAATGTAGCACTAAAATTAGCTGACCATGTAAATAATGCATTTCTTGAACTCTCAAGAAAGCTCATGGCTAAAAAGGATGCCTCCTAACCACCAAAATCTACAAATGTGACATCAAATGCATCACAATAATCATAATCTAGAGGGTATTAATATTAAATATATCATAGAGTAACTAGTTCAAGCGGTTCACAACTGAATAAACTGAGTGCTAACACTTCAAACTAAAAAAAATAAAAAGATGGAGGATGTTGTTGATTAATTATTAAGAATAAAACATTGTTAATTTTTATTTTTTCTATTACTTTCTGATTGTATTTATTTAAAATCAGTATTAAACAATATTTTTTAATAACCTTATACTTAGACTAGTTAATTGAATTTAAATATATTAAAGGATTAATCCAAATTTAATTCAATGTTCAATATTCCCATCTTAAAATAAAAACCTATAAGTTTTCTCTTATTTTTAAATACATTTCAGGTCAATTAAGCTATAATTAATTCGATAGTTTAATAATTCTTTGTTATTTAATCAATTAGTTAGATTCTGATGAAAATCACATTAAATAAATTTAAATACATTTTTATGTAAAAACATAATCAAATATTTGGTTCTTTGTATATATTCCAACTAACAGGATTATACACATAAACATATTCTCGATTTTAATAATTTGAATGAATAAACTTATTTCATTATGAATGAAGTTAAATTATATTAATTAACGAATGTTTAATAATTTTTAGTTGAAAAAGAAAATGGAAACACATTAACCTCATCTTAATTTAAAACAAAAAGGATAGGTTATTACCTAATTTTAGAAAAAAAATATGCCATCAAATTAATAATGCCAACAAAAAAATCAATCAATTAAAATGAACTCAATTGTCAAATCAACCTAAATCTAAAATTAAATAGTTTAAAAGAGTATCTCTAAAGATATATGGCATAAAAAGTCAGTTTCTTTAAAAATGAAAAATGCAATTTTTAAGAATGGATTCAAAATTTAGTGTGGGTAATTAGTGAAATACAAAAAAGGAAATCAAATCTACGCTTTTAGATGTATTAAAGACAATATGAAATAATTCAGATTAAAGGAATTGAGATAAGATCATGATGTAGATACAGATGATGAATAAATTTAAATGGCAACCAAATAAATGTTCATGAGTTTAACATAATGTATTAGAAATGAAATGGCAAGCATAGAATTTCACAATCACTAAAATTTATGCTAAAAAACTCTGCCTTTAGTTTAAGATGATATATGATATAATTACTAATAAATAAATAATCTAAATTGAATCACGCATCCTGTTGTACAAACAACTTTCTAAAATCCTTCCAAGACTAATCGCTCTAATAATGACAAAATATTTTACTATTCCTCTCTTAATGGTATCTTCTACGAACTTTTAGTAAATTTCTGGGAGTCGATCCTTAAAATTATATACTTGACATTTTAAGAAAAACATGTCTAAACTGCAAAATGAATTAGTTAAAATATTGATTAACATCTATAATGAGTTGTTTCCGATCGAGATTCATCCTATCTTCGTGTTGTAAACATAAAATTCCTTAAGGATTCGTACCGAAGTATTGAGATCTCTAGGGTTACTCTTATGAGAAATTGTAGATATTATATGTTTCATTTATGATTGCCTTGTCAATTTTCAATAAAGAGTATCCGTTTGTTATTCCCCCTTCCCAAAATAGAATCAAAGGTCCAGTTCTAGTTTTTCTGATCTAGTTCATTAAATCTTTTATGTTTTCACCATCCGTAAACCTTTTGAATCCACATTTACTTATGTAAAATGACTCTAAAATTGCTTTTCCATAACTAATGATTTTACATTTCACCCTATCCTTTTATATAGAAGTATGAGTAAATGATGGAGAGAAACTAAGTTATGAAATATATTACTATGTTATTAAAATGAAAACATCAATTGGGGAGGTTCTTGAACAATAGAAGCAATACGATTATAAGTTTCCATGCTTGAAGTTTGGTGCAGAACTATGAAATAATGACTTGTATTTAAAGTATCCCAAGACTAATAATAGTAATCTTCCACTAATATAATTGTGCAGCAAGATAATAATTCTCATAAATTTATGAAATAGTATGTGAAATTCAAGTCTTTGTATTTGGCGAAATATCAAATCATTTATGATAACTATTTCGACTATCAGAAAGGCAAATAAAGGTAATTTAATAAAGAGAAATAATATGTCGAATGCTATCCTTACTATTGATTTTTAGTTTGTTTGTATTGGTATAAAGGGATCCATATTATTGTTTTATTAACAAATTAATTAAGTTGTATTTGCAATTTAGAAATATTATTTATCAGTATTTGATGGGTTTGATAAAATTAAATAAATAAATATACAAAACAAAAATAAACAATTCAACCTCGTAAGGCAGTATCAGGAATTGTAATGCATCTTAAAGTATCTAATTTTATTTCTGGAGAGTCAATGTAGCAATTAACGCCTAATGAATTTGCGAAATGATTAAGTTATTGCCAATCATCATCTCTTTTGATAAACAAAGAAGGATCAAAAGAATTAATTGGTATTAAATGGAGATCCTAATTCATACTCTTATAAATAAAAAATTAAATTTTGTAGAATTGCTTACCTATCTTTCTAATAGTCATTTTATCAAATGGCCCTAAATTTCGAATTATCAATAATGAAATAGACATATCAAGTTCTAAAGGCCGTTTATCATTCGTTTTTATTTCTTATAAGGTTTTTGGATTTATAATTGGAAATTGTCTAAGATCCATTTTAGTACCTTTTAAATTTTTGAATAGAATTTAAACATTAATTATAGGTTAAGGAGGATAGGATTGATCAAATCCTTCATCTAAATCTACCTGGATTTCATCTGAATATTTCATTGCAAATTTAGTGACATTAAAAAATAGCTATGAGATCTGCTTCATATCAGATTTAATATTCAACTCTTAAATCTTAGTTATTAACATAAAAGTTCTAGTCATAATTTAATCAATCTTTCTATAGTATTTAAGTTTTTCAAATAATTCTTGAATGACTTGAATCAAATTAAACTTTGTGATTTGTATTCTTCTAAACTCAGAATTAGCTTAAAAATAATCAGATATATTATAAAATTAATTGTATGCAATATAAAGTTATGAGTTTATATACTTAAGGAATTGAATTTCCTTGTTTTTGCCATTTGTAATTTTCTAGTTCTATTTGTATTTTAAAATTCGATTAAGAATGATTAAAGCAACTCTTATTTAAGTTGTAAATATATCTGAAAAGTAGTTTAACAATTTCAACGTAGCTTTATTTTACAATTTAAGTTTGTCAACAAATTATTGTTTCTATTATTCAGTTATCAATAAGATAGCACACGGTTCAGTATCATAACATTTAATAACTTTGATTATGTAAGACTCTTCAGATGTAAATCCATAGATATGATGCTGATAGTCTAAGTATTTATTTTCATAACTTTGTAGGCTTTGTAATTTCTTTCTATCTGTAAACAAGTAAAATAAAAACTGCTCCAAATTCATTTTGGCAGATCTAATCTTCGTTAATGTTTGCTTCTCTATATCTGAACTAGAGGATGAGATATTAATCTTGCGTAAGAATTATTAAAATGCATATTGATCTTCTTCATTCAAAAATTAGTTGTAATCGTCTGATTTAAGGAGAAAGGATCTTTTTTTCTCTATAAAATTCACAACATAATACTTCATATCTAGATTCTCTCTGATTGTGTTCTCAATTGTCAAGTGCTTAAAATATTGAAGATATGTTAATCTTAATAATTATTATTGGTATCTCTATTATTGGTAGTAAAGAATGATATATAAGAAAAATTTAATTATTTACTGCCATACCGGTTCTGCCTAATTGGGAATCATAATGATATATATCAGATAAATAAATAACAAGAGGAAAGCTTTTTGTATTGTATCCATCATATTAATCATTCTTAAAGTAAAATTAAAATCTATACGTCAAACTTAAAATGGCTAAGAAATAACCATCAATAAACTAATATCTCTGAGGATGCACATTCAAATACTGTGAAATAGCATAGAATAAATTAAATAGTAGAATTCCAATCATAATTAGAATCTCATACAATCTTATGCACTTTTTCTAATATTTAAGGCTAAACATCACAATCAGTCCCAAAATGACATTCAAGCTCACTACAATCCAGCTTGATGAAAACACCTTTTCAATAGTGTAATAAATTAAGAGTGGGAGTAGAATTACCTTCTATATTAGTTGAAACCTGATTCGAAACTTTTTCAAGTATTTTTAAAATTGCCCTTCAAATTTTTCAGAAACAAACCTTTGAGACAAAAATTGCATTTTTGTATTTAATAAATTATAATATATAACATCTCCAGATTCATAATTAATAATTATAGTTTGTAGACAAATAATATATAAATGAACTACAATTTTAATACTAAAAACATCTATCTTATTGATTTTATTATTAAGAAAATTCATAATTGTCCAAATTTATCTAACTATATTCTTGGACTGAGTGCCATTAGATCCAAATAAGCAGCATGTTTGCCATGAATGGAAGACTTTGCATTCATGACAAAATAATTAATGGGATGTTGGGATTAGAGTGGCATTAAATGAAAATCTTCATATAATTCTCTAAAAATTAGGAATTCTAGATAACTATTACCATTTTTATTTTATTTAATATAAATCTTATTTGTGGGCCCAAGTTTTCTAACAATAACCACAGCCATGGGTAAATTTAATTAATAAGTTTTTTCTGCATTATGTCTTAATTCTGAGATTGTTACTGGATTTATAAAGGGCAATCCTTTCAACGCATCCTTGCAAAATCGCAAGCCTTGATATTCCAATCTAATCCGAATAAAAGCTAATTTTTATTAAGGACCATCACTTTCTTCTAAATAAATAGTAATATCTTGGCAGCGTTCGGTAATAAAATAAAGAAGGTTTATGATCAGCTGTTTTAGTTATTTTTAGTCTTGACAGACTGTCTCTTTTCGCAATCTGCTTTTAATTGAAAAGGTGAATTGTTTGCTTTAATAGAAATAAAATTAAATTTCAGTTAAAATATCATCTAAAAATGTAATCAGATTAAAGTTTTGAATAATAGTTCTTTGGAAAGAAGTATTTAGATTAAAAAAGTCTTTAATGTTTTAGAAATCATTATAGGCTTTAGCGATCTTGCTTTAAACCTTTTTGTAATATGAGATATCCTTATTGTAGGATTTTGTTTTTTGATATTTATGCAAAGCTAAGAGATAGACAAGACTCATCTTAATTTAAGTGGAAAAGATTTGATCAATAGTTTCTAGTGCTTATTAGAACAATTTGTATCTTAATTTTAGTTCCTCTATAAATACGTCTTTCTTGTTTTAAGATATTAGTATAATTGCGCTAGGGAGTTCATCAAAATACTTGAGAATCTGGATGTTGTAGTTTTCTGAATTAAGAACACCTTGTAACTTAATGACAGATTCGATGGAGGGTTATTTCATGTATTCTTTGAGTTTTTCAGGACAAGTCAAAAAATAATATAACAATTTTTCCAGAGTCATTTTGGCATCTTAATTTATTCCTTCTTGAGAGAGATAATTCGTTTATGTTTCTTGATCCTTTATTAATACTCTCATATTTCTAATTTACATTATAAATTATTATTGATCTTCAAATTTTACTATTTCTTCTTCATTATTTGAAGTTAATAAAATTTGATTGGAGTCTCTTTAGTAGGAAATCAAATATGATGTTATACCACAAAAGTTGATCATTTATTACTCAGCTTTTTAGTGTTTTGAGGAACAAAGGTAGTCTTATCGTTGCATCTTTTCTATTTCATAAATCTGAAACAAACAAAGAAAAAGAAAAAAAATAAACTAACTTATTTATTTCCATAATTCTTCTTGAGTAGGTTTGAATACTTGCAATATAATGTAAATCGATCCAAGAATAAAAGTTTTCTATATAAAACTTCCTTAGTATATTACTAATCATAATTAATAACTCATTTACATGATATCGTCATGAGTGCAAACATATAACCGTCTAAGTAATTGGGATTTATGGCATTATCAGTGTAAATATTTTATAATGCTTTGAGATAATTGAGGAAGGTCACACTTACTAGTATTGTGTTTAAATAGTATGACTTTTAATTTCTATTCATATCCATTCTTATAGATACCAGCAGGATGACCATGAGGAAACACCCTACAGTTAATGTAATCCATGTACGCCTTAAGGCACTTACAATTATAAAAATTAAAAGTAACACAATAGCCAGAATCTATTGAACTTTTTAAACTTTTAAAAATTGTTGTTTTTTTGTCTTCTAATACTTAGATTCCATCAACTTATCCTTAAACTCTAACGAGTATCTGTACATGAAATTAAAATGTTTTAATGATTTAAAATGTTATATAAAAATAATTTAATCGAAAATATTATTGAATGAGAAAAAAAAAATTACTGTCATAAGTTTTTGTCTGCTTTGACGTTTTTGAGTAAAACATAGCAAAAAATAGACTGAGATATGCTAGTACTGGTTTGGCATGAAGACTTCAAGGAGGATTTACAGCATTTTATAAGAAAAGCCACTATTTTAAGTTCCTAAAACTTCAAATAGTACTGCTTGATAAAATGTAGAATTGATTTTTATTATAAATTTATTTGGCAACATATTTTATTAATTAATATTTTTGACTTTTACGAAAAACAAATTATTGAAATGGAGGATTCACTCTCATAAATAGTGGAATATTAGTATTAAAAAAATAAATGAAATAATAATAATTATATTTATTATGCATAGATTTACTTTGACATTCTTGAACAAGGATGTAGAGTAGCAATACTAATCTATGAATACAAAATAATCCATAGAATTTCAATAATAGTAGAAATGGATATTCATAGTAATGGGACTCTACTTTACTATAGTTAAAATAATCGAATAAGAGTGGGTGAGTTTGGGATTCATTGTATTTACCTGGCTCGTAGTCATTTTTAGTTATAGATTCATAGCTCAACGCAACAAATTATATGATCTCTTTCTGACATTTGTAGTTGTTAGTTATAACCTTTACTTTCCATTAACCAAATACTTTTCATTAACTTAAAGTGAAAGCTAATATGTAGACGGCTACTTTATATCTGTTGGCACTTTCGGGTATATCCAAATTTAAATATTTTAGCGTGATCAATATTTTTAGTTTTAGATTCAAAACTATTATAATAGCCATAATCTTTACATCTTTAGTTAGTTTGAGCATGATATCTGAGGAGGACTTTTGGAATTAACTTATCAAATCCACTCTGTTTACATCCCTTTATTTATAATATTTGTATTGTTTTGAGAAGCATAAGAAGAACAACTTTCTTAACCATTTGAAAAGAACAACAACTTTGAAGGGTATATATGACTTAACAAATATTCAAACCTTCATTATTCATTATAAAGCAGAAACTAAAAAAATAGAATTGGTACAGAAGGATGATTAATAGGAGATACAGAAACAAATTTTGGATGATTTCGATGATTATTTAAAAAATATGAATATTTAATAGTCTCGGAGTTTGGGAAAGTTCTCATCCATCTTGGGCTAAGATCCTGTAAATTAATCTGTAAGGAAACAATAATTAAAATCATATTTATTTGAATTATTTCTGAGAGATCATAGAATTTAATAAGTTAGGAGTGATGATTAATTTGATAATAACCAAATATAAGGAGAGGCAATTTATGAGTAGGAATATTATTCGATTTAGGTTATGAAAGTATTTGATATCCATCCCTGTTTCATTTTAATACTGTAGGAAAAGAAGAAGGAAGTATAGCTGGAAGAATTGTCCCTGAAGAATAAAATGTTAAAAAAATCTCTGGATCAGACTTCATTTATATTCAAGCATCATGTTCGTGTTTCATTGATATACTTTTAATGGATTTATAAATATGCTAATAAAAAGGAGGAAATTTTGCTAATTAACAGATGTTTATAGTCTATTCATGGATAAATTATAAAGGCCAATAATGACTTTTAAAACATTATTGATTTTAATACAATAAATTCAGACTTTTAACGTTCCATTGTTAAATAATTTAACATTATTGATTGCCTTAATGAATTAACTAGGACTATATGTTACTATGACATAAACAAAGATATCAAATTTAATATAATAAATTAATTGAGCTCAAATCAATAGAAAATATAATAAGACGAGAAATAGTTTAAATAATTATTATACAATTTGTTATTCTTTGTTTCAAATTCTTCTCAAACTGTAACAATAACCCTATAACATGATACTCATGGACAGCCAAGTAAGTCTGTTATTAAGATTAAAATCACTTATTAAGGCCCTAATTTGAGTAATTAATAATTGTAAGGATTGCAGATTATTAATCCATAAAATTTGGGAGAACTTCATCATAACGCATAAAGGCCTCTGGATTTAGAAATACCATTATCATTGATGATAATCCGTAAGATAGGTCCCTATGATAAAATGCGTCTATCCTAGAATAAAAAGACTTAGAATTATATCGAATTTGTTATTTTTTAAGTATTAGAAGAACAATATCATTTAATTCCTATATATCCTTTGCATCCTCTCAATTGTTTAATACTTAAGGATAAGAATAGATTGTAAACTAAAAAATTCACTTCGCTATATGAAAAATTATTGACAAGTCCTCGCTTACAATTCTAAAATTATAATGATTTTTGATACACTGAAGTATTTCATAAGGGTTGAGTTAATGAATTCATTATTTTTTGTCACATTAAGTTTGCATTTCAAAGTATAATATAAATTTAATTTATTATGAATTCTTTAACCTTGAGGTTTAATGATTAAGAATTTGAGAGGCACTATAAAATATCTAGATAAATTTTGCTAAATTAATCCTTCTTCCAGCAGAAGATACTCCTTATGATATTACTTATTTTATAGGTTGCCGATAACGCTCTAAGTGAATCCTGGGTTGAATTGATTTATAATACAATCGGACTGATGATCATTTTGCTCAGCCACTATTTCAGATTTTACTTGCAGGAATTTCAAGAACTCTGCATTTTGATCACCATTTTGATATATAACATCTAATAGCCGATAGATTTACTCCTAAGAGGTAGATTGATCAACAATTATTTTTCAAATGGCTACTTCATTTCTTTAGCCACTCTTGGGTATTAATAAATTATAATAAAGAGTTATTTCTCCAATGGACTTTCTTAAGAAGTTATCGATAGCGATTATAATTTTGATTGTTCATTTAATCTCGAGTATTTAAAATGATTTATCTTGGAGATAATTGATAATTTATATCATATCAGATGTGATAATAGTGTATTACTTTTATATTTCAGAAAAAGAGTCACGAATAACCTATATAGGAATTAAAAATAAGAATATTATAGAAGAACATTTTTATAAAGAAATGGACCTATAATCATTTATAGTTCACTACAATAACTAACAAAACTCATTCAATCTGATTGAATAGAACTAAAATAAGGAGATAAATGAGGAAACCCAATTCAATTTTATTTAGTTGATACGAAAAATACGGGTGATGGTAGGCTATTAGGGGACCAAACTTTCTGAATTTTATTCTTAAGAGCAACTCAATATTTGTAGGAAATTGAATCTAGAGTAGTTCTTATTCTACCTCTTTACAAATGAAGAAAAATTATAATATTTGATTTACAACAAATCCAAAACCTAATTTTATTAACTTATTGGATTGATTGATTCGGATGTCAATCACATTAAAATAATCAAAACCTTTGACACTGAACCTTGTGTCATTATTCTTATCAAACAAAACAAAAAGGAAGCTCAAAAATAATAAATCAAACTTAAGCTCAAAATTGCAAATAAACTTATTGATCAAGCTTCTCAAACTGTACAACAATAATTGAGATTGTCACTCATATATTTGAAACAACTACTAAATAATCAAATAACTCATTAAATTTCATTACACAAATTTGATATTAATTTGTTGATGAAATTAATAAATAGTAAAGCAATAAAAGTATATAACGATTTAAATAATATATCAGACTTTCATGATATAAATGGAAAATTTAATAAAATAGAATCCACATAATTCAATATCGAAAAAATAATCTAAGAATGTATAATGATTATCAAATACTACAATTCCAAACAACAATTACCTTTGAATTTTCTTTCCAAACTTAAGCAAAAATGGATCTTCTCGGATCAGAAAAAACTTAAATAATTAATCTTAAATGTACTCTTTTTTCTTTCCAAGACTTGTACAAACATAAAAATCAATTTGATTGAAGATAACTGCAATCAAGAAATTAATGTCAATGAAACTATCTTATTAATTGACATTCAATTCTAAGGTCTTGCTCTTACTTAAGAAAAACTTAATAACTTTCCCATAATTAACCCACAAAACATAGAGGAACTAAAGCATAATAATAACAAACAACTAGAACTGGAGATACCAATTGCCCTAATGATAGTTCGATAACTTGGGCCATTCAATTAGATTAAGTTTAAATAAGGAACCAAGAATCAAACCAATTTCATACAATTTTATTTATTTTAGGAACTTTAAGAGTTTAATCTTATACCTATCATTTCACTCCATCCTAAAGAATATTTGATCACTCATTAAAAATTTGTGAAAAAGCAATCTTAAACCTATAAAATATTAGATCTACCCAATAAGACTATTGAAATACAAATGAACACTTTTAGAAACTTAAATGATAAAATGATTACTAGATTCTGATATAATAATTATATTAATTAATTTTAAAATAATGTTTCTGATTTTATCTTAGGATGATCATCCACTCTATGAAAGAAGGTTTCCTTTAAAAAAAACCACTTTAGGAAGCTAACAACTTTTAAATGCTCAATTTATATTACATGCTTCTTTAGATGTGTTTGAAGAGAAATACAAATCATCAAAAGAATTGTATAAATAGATTTTATAATAAGATTTCTCAAGGAAATAGAATAAAAACAGGATTATAGAATATTTGGATATGTGACACCATCAAATATTAGGTTTTTGATTTTGACAGATTAAGAAGAAGAAAAAGTTAAAGGGTTTTGTTAATTGGCACATGAGTAATTAATTAAAGTATTGATGAATCCACTTTACTAATTGGGATCATCGATTTCTTCTTCTAATTTTGATCATGTAATTTAATAATTGCTTCAAACCAGATTAAACTAATGAGTTGTATAATTTTATTTAATCTAAGCAAACAATAAAACATGATTTTTTTAAATATTTGAATAACAATTCATTAATATAATCTTCAATACCTTAATATACAATATCATTTTAATAACTAAAATTTGTTGCTATTTTTATATATCATAAATATTAAATAGAATCAATGATCTTCAAATAAGATTTAATAATTCTTCTAAAGAGGCATTTTCTGTTTCTTCATAAAATGCATTGAAATCAAAATCAACTTATTTGAAAAAATCATATGGATTCAAGCAAATTTTCAAGTAATATATACCAGAATAGACATCCTTTCCTAAAGAAGTAGAAGCAATCTTTAGAGTTTCAATGGCTTTAGATATGATCTGTTTATATTATCCTAAAAAATCCTTAACATTTTCGATTTTATCAAAGAATTGGTGGAACTATGGACATTTTTCCCTTACTTAAACAAAGACATCTTTAATAATTAATATGTCATTCTTAATTGTTGTAAGCAATCTTGAGCAATCCTGAAAATCATATGAAAATTTACCTTACTAACTATGAATCTTCCCCACAATTCCTGATCAAATTAGTCGTGTTTATTTGAATTCAAAGCAGAATTGATTTTATCTAAATGTAATAACTGATTTCTAGCCAACATAAATATCAATTGCAGAAATTATTCTTTAACAAGTGTAATATCCCCAAAGGTCTGAAGCTTAATTATTCTCAATTAAGTATAATTGATAAAAAATGCTACATTCCTTTCATAAAGATAATAAGTGTAAAATTTCTAGAAAGATTCTCTCCTTTTCATTTCTTTTTAATATTACGACAATATTAGATCAGGCTAAGATATGTAAATAGATAAGATTACATTTTCTTCGTCAAACATTTGCTTGAGTCCATCCAAATCATTTTTGCTATCATCTCTATAATCTTCAATTTTAGTATGTAAATATCCAACAACTTTGTATTGATCCAAATAAATTTTATTTAAACTCATTGATTTGGTCATTGGATCTTCTTTCATAATTTCATTCATGTTTTATCTGACCATGTCTTCATTCATCTTAATAACTTGGTTTTCAAATATCTATTACCAATTCAATCTATCCTAATTGTCGTTAATAATTTAATTACTTTCTCTTCTACTTAAAGCATCATTGCAACTAATTCTTTTACCTTTTAACTTCTAACAGGTTTAGTAGGAAATTTTAGTGGTTTATTTAAAATCAATTATTCTAACTAAATCTAACTTTCAGCTTGCCAAGGTGTTTTTCCATATAACATCTCATAGAAGACAATCCCCAATGACCAAACATCACATTTAGCTGAGAATGGCTATCCTCTTAATATTTAAGGCGACATATAGATTGGAGTTCCGTTTCTGGAAAACTTTCCAGGTTCTTAATAAGAAATTTAAAATTATAATTTACCATCCATTTCAACTTCCATCACTCTAGCAAAGCCAAAATCTGCAATTTTAGCAATTCCATTTGAGAGTAGTATGTTTTCTGGCTTGATATCTCGATGTATAATCTTCTTTTGAAACAATTCTTTAAATCCTTCAACAATATGCTTTAAGAAAATAATGGCTTCCAACTATAAGGAATTATAATCATATTAACTTCAGATAAGTGCTTTTCCTTCTTGCTCTGCATAAACTTTCTCAAATCTCCATCCGGACAGAACTCCAAAAAGATATAAATATAATTTAATGTTCGATTGGCATTATAAAGACGAACTATATTAGGATGCTCAACAGCTTTCAAAATGGTTGATTCCCTTTTTATCAGATTCAATATTTGTGGAGATTGTTTTACTGACTAGCCATAATTAATGTTATTACATCCATAGGGACAGTTTTGACAGCAATTCTAACTTGATTCTACCCAGTGTCCATATACCCCAGATAGACTGTTCCATAAGTGCCTTTGCCTAAGATTTTATTTAAAATGACAAAATTATCTATTTTTTTTTTCTTCCAGTCTTCACTCATGTGTGAAATATTTTAGGACTCAATAAATAAATTATTCAATTCATTTATGAATTGTTATAATATCTCTCATTTTTAATATACTTTAATCATATACTCACACCAAAATCAATCTGCTGAATTAGTATTCAATGTTCTGATACTTGAACACATTTAGCGATTCTTAACCCTACAAATTATTAAAAACATAATTGTCTAATTAAGTTCATATGAATAAAAATTTTGAATTATGGAAACGTAAATACAAAACAAAATAAAATGATGAGGAAAAACTAAATACAAATGCAAAATTAACTAGTAAATGACATACTTTCAAATAAACATGATTGAAATGCAGTTGTGTTGTAGTTTAGGAGAAAATTATTAATGTTTTAGCTTTTCATAAATTTGAAATAATAGGACATTAAAATAGAGATATCAAATGCAGGAACAGCTGAACTTACAAATAAATAATTAGAATTTATAAAATTGAAATTATCTCAGGGCTAAGATATTGATTTTAAAAAGACTGATTTCAAAAATAAAAATAATATTAAAATAAACTATTATCGGTTCTGTTTAGATATTTTACAACTCAAAAGTTATATATAACTAACTATCATGAAGGATTAATGAAAACGATTAAGAAAATTGTTCAATCACGCATTTAAGAATTTATTTGATTGTAGAATACTTAAAGCGAAATTAAGTTTTATTTTTTGTCTATTTAGTGCATTCACTTTGGTGCTTTTGTCATTCTTTATATAGGATTGCCTTTTTTTAGATTAGTATTTTTGTAATTGATTATATTTCCTTTGTTTTTTCTTACTCGCTATGCAAATAAGAAACTTGACTTCTATTATACAAGGATTATCAAAGTAATTTTGTTTTAAGGGATTCATCTCACATTCTTAATTAAACCTATATTTATCTAACTACGGATGAAGTTCTCATTCTGATATCTAATTGGAAGACAATATAAGGTGATAATCTAATACAAGAATTAAACTTCTAATATGTTGCATTTCAAACTATTATTTATAAATAAATTTAACTAAAAATCATAAAAATTAAACACTATTTTAAATGGAGTCCAAACGTAATTCAGTAGAGAAAGAGTTCATTATTAATGAATCTTGTTATGTTATAATTTTATCAACTGGTTTTAATGAAATGATAGGCATTAGTAAAAAGTCCTCTGTAAGTTATTTAAACAAATAAAATTCTAAGTAATTTGATCTTCTCTTTTACTGAATTACCTTGAGTTTATCAAATGGTCCTAATCTTCTTATAAGCATTAATGAGACTGCTAAATCTAATTCCAGAGGAACTTAACTATTATGTTTTAAGTCTGTCAATGATTATGGATTTAGTATGGGGAGATTTTATAATTATTATTTTGATTTATTTGGATGTTGATATATTATTTTAATTTTTATAATTTGCTGTTAAAGTAATTTTGATTAAACTTCATCTAATTCTATGATGATAGTTTAAGAAGCCTAGGATGTGTAAAAGAGTAGATTCAAAAATAATAGTTTCACATATTTGTAATCTGATAAAATTAGATTATTGCTTAAATTGTTCTTAATTTCAAAAAAAAATAAATTTGCCATCGAATCCCTTTATGCATGATAATATCCATTACAGACAGTAATTATGTCCTTTAATAGTAATTAAATGTCGAATTACTTCAGTTTTGGTTGGATGGTATAAATTTAATTGAAGTTTTCTAGATTAAGAAAATCAGTATAGCCCTTAATTAAACTATGATTGATAGTTCTTAGAAGTGAATTTATGACTTTGATGTCAGTTTGTTTGTCGGCATAATTTTAAATCCATTTGAAATAGATTAGAGACTTTTTGATTTATTGATCAAAAATTTTAGATAAGTAATTAAATTACTTTTGGTTATTTCTCATTCTCAACTTAAGTTCCTCCTCTTGAGTTTCACATTTACTCTCTTTCATTAGGATTACTATTGATGGTTGAATATCTTGACATAAGTAGACACAGAGAGTGAAAACCTATTACTTATAGAATCCATATAAAACAAATTCATTTTTATTTTTTAAAGGAGTATCAGGATTATCATTTTAATTTTCCACAATCAAATTCAATAGGAGTTACTTTAAGGTTTGTCTATTTGGAGAGAAAGCTTAATCCATATTTATGACTTCAGTGATTCTACTCTTAAAACTTTTCATTGATAAATACATAGATGATGCCAGCTTGTTGAAATCTTCTTGATCTTCTTTTTTGATATTTGTTTAATTATTCTTTTGGATCAAAATTAAAGATTTTCTTTCATCGTACTTAATTGAATAGCTTACAATGTCATTAAATTTTGTAATCTTATAAAGTTTTTGCTATAACTTTTTGTATTCGATGAATTATAGTCTCATAAATTTTTCCAAATGATAGGTAAATTGCAAGAAAAATAAGGCATACATTAAGTATTTAAAATACAACCCCACAAAGGTTGTATTATGATCGATACCAAATATTAAATGTAAAGCTACAATCACAATAGTCATTGCAGTTCTCTCTAAAAAGCTTAACAAAGCTAGTGCACTATTAATTTATGAGTTTTATATTACCTTACAGACGATAGAGAAACGAAGAAGCCCTCCATATAATGTGTTTCTATCTAATTTAAATATTTCTCCATTGCAAGGTATGTATTGTATATAAGCAGAAATATTATTATCAAAACCTCAAAAATGAGGGGATATTTTTGCTTATATTTGATTGATATCATAATTATAATTAATGTGCATATGTTAATCGATCCCACCACCCAATCCTTTGAAACAAGACTGCTCACTATTGATATAATATTAATCATCCCAAAAATCCATTTTTAATGTTCCAATATCTTTCTGAAAAAGCATTGTTTAGAATCTCTAAAATCTTTCTCTAAATTTGATACTTTGAAATTAAGAGTTAGGGAATTCATAACTTAATTATTATTCAATAAAAATTCGTAATATTTAGACTAATTTAAAGGTAATTATAAATTAATAAAAAAGTAGCCGTCGTATTTTCATTAATATAGCCTGGCATTGCCAATACGATCATATCAATAGCAATTGAATGTTTGATCTCTCATTTTTGTTAGCAATCAAATCTTATCATTAAAAATTTGGCTTCGTTTCAAAAAAAAGCAACAATTTGAGTGAAAATATCAATGATTTGTCCTAAGCTCAAATAATTCCATAGGGATCTAAGGGTCTTAAAAATACAGATATGATGAATGCTGAATTAAATCAGTAAAAATAGGGCGATTAATATTAGAATTAGTCAATTAATTAATTAATTATTAAGCATTTATTCGTATATTTTATTTACTGAAATGATAAGTTCATAGAATAGATCTAAGAAATAACAAAATAAATGCTTAATTCTTACATAATATTATTATTGGCTTCCATTTTAATAAATATAAATATTTGGGATTGTTTTAATTTGCTCATTATAGATTCGTTTGAAAATTCAAAATAATAATAAATGAAATAATTTTAATTAGCATCAGCAATATTTTTGAAGGAATTTTTGAGACTGGTTGATTTGTCTTCTTTGAATATTGAGAGTATTGATGAACGCATAGAATAATTAAAAACTCAAATATTATTAAATCAATAATTTAATGGATTTATAAAAGAAGAGGAAAATTATAATCCTTTAACAAAATGGTCGGAACAAGAAAATCTTAGCTAATAGAAAACTAAAAAAAAGCAGACAAACTAGATTATTAGTAATGGTAAATAGTATTTCTAATGTGGCAAATGTTCCAAAAAGTTTAATCACCCTTCAAGCTTATCAAGACATAAAAAGAATCAACATACAAATATAAAGCAAGACTTGATAGAATTAAAATAGCTTCAAACCCAACAACAAGAAATTGTCATTAATTTGACAGATCTCCAAAATTGATTCTGAATACTGATTGTAAAATAAACAATTATATCATTTATTTTGATTTCTTCCTCAGTTACAATTAACATTCTTTAAAAAAATGATTATCATTTCTTATTCAAAACCTACAGATAAATACTTGGATACTCTCGATATACTTTAAGAAATGATAGATTTATCAAAATGCTGATCTCTAATCTGAATTAAGTATGCTATCCATTGAATGTTAGAGAACAAGGGCTTTTGGCAATACAGTTATACAAAAAATCAGAATTTTTATTCTGTCATTAACCTAATTACATTGGATCTAGAATGTTGATGTTTAAGGGGAAGAAAGTCTAAGCATTTCAAATGTTAGATTGAACGATAAGAATGTGTAAGAGGAAGGGTATACAGTTGAATTACAAGAACAGAATCAATCTATAGAGACATTTATTTGAAGTTTGCATTTTAATAAGTGATGATATGAAAGACATCACTAATAAAAATAATATATAATAATTTATAATGAATTCATCATCTTTGAGTGTAAGTGGAATTTCTGATAAAGCTTAAATCATTAATAATAAAGAGATCTTGGAGTAATTTGAGAATGGAGGTATGTTTGGAATAATACAATTTAATAGAAAAAATAATGTTGTCTACGTTGATTATAAAAGTAAATCAGAACTAAAAGAAACAAGAAAGAACATTCTTAATAACCAATAAATATGTATACAATATTGTTCCGAAGTCTGATAGTAAGATTATGTAAATATTTGGTATTTTCATTCTTTCTATCAACAAATAGGGAAAATTATGTCAAATCAGATCAAAAGAAAAATTAAATTATCTTCAATTTAAGCAATAAGTGTTACAAGTCTAGGGGCGGAGTTTGTCATTCATGTTCCAAGTGAATATGACTATCGCTTTTAATCGGCTGATTAGTAATAACTCTATAAAAAATTAGTCGTAAATAAATATTAGAAACCTTGTGTTAATGCTATCAAGTGTACAATCATAGAAAATTGCCATTCTTCTTTAAGGATGATTTTACCTTGGTATCTGTATGCACAACTGAAAATGATGTAAAAAAAGGAATTAAAAGATTTCCCACAGAACAACCTATTGTAAATCCTAAAATATAATGAATTAGGAATTGGATGTTTAGGAGTTGAGAGAACACTGTAATAGGAAGCCATAAGAGTAACTGATATATAAACGGCCTGGGCTTTAGAAGTAAATCAGCAGTAGTATGATTACGATTGAAGATTTTGATTTGATCAAAGTATTGGGAAGAGGAGCATTCGGAAAAGTATTTATATTTGTACCCTGTTTTCATCTAGGTTATGATGTGTGAGAAGAAGGATTCTAAAGAATTGTTTGCCATTAAATCATTACGTAAGGAACACATCATGGACAAGAATTAAGTAGAGCATACAAGAGCAGAAAGAAAATTATTGGAAGAAATTGATAACCCATTCTTAATTTCCCTTGAATATGCATTCTAAACTTAAGAAAAGTTATTTTTTGTAATGAGATTCATGAGAGGAGGAGAATTGTTCAAACACTTGAGAGATAAAAGAAGATTTCCAGAACAAACAACCTAATTTTATGCTGCATCTATCTTATTAGCATTGGAATACTTACATAAAATGTAAGTAGTTTATAGAGATTTGAAACCTGAAAACATTTTGATGGATGAATTTGGTTATATAAAAATGACTGATTATGGACTGGCTAAATTTTTGAAACCAGGAGATTTTTCATATTCTTTTGTAGGAACTCCTGAATATTTGGCTCCAGAAATCATTAGACAAAATGGACATAGTCTTGGTGTAGATTGGTGGTCATTTGGAATCTTAATTTATGAAATGCTAGTGGGCAGGCCTCCATTCTTCTCGTAAAACTAATCTTAATTATTTAAATCCATTGTTGAATCTGATGTTGTGTTTCCATCTCAATTGACTATTAGCAATTCAGTCAAGGATCTCATAACTAAAGTATGTTGCATACATTAAGTAGCTATTAACAAAAAATCCTTTTGAAAGATTGGGACATAATGGAGATGCTTAATAAATCAAAGAGCATCCTTGGTTCAGAGAATATCCATTTTAGGATTTGATTGATAAAAAACTTTAAGCTCCTATAGTTCCAAAATTGTATGATAAATTAGATGTTCAAAACTTCGATTAAGAATTCACCCGAGAAGGTATTTAAATAATTCTGAATTGTAGAGGCCATGAATTCAGTAGTTAATATGGATCCGAAATTGATAGAAAAGTTCAAGTAAGACTTTGGAGGTGTTACATATGTGCCTAATAACATGGGATTGCAATGAACTTATGTTTGAAATTTCATAGTTATTTGGATTAATTATTTTATGATTTTACTATTATCATTTTTTAATTGTTTTTTAACAGCAGAAGTACTCAATCTCACAACTAAGACACTCCCCATCAAGGATTCGTATGGAGGAACTATTGAGGTTATTTAGGGATCGGAGTATAAACTCAAAAACTTCGAAAATGCTGAATATGCTATAAATATAGAATTGAAAAAAAATACTACATCTCCAAAGGACATATGCTTTTCTAAATAAAGTACCATCCACTTTGGAGATTATGAAAGTCACCATAAAGTTATCTACAATTCTACCATAAATCCTGACGAAGAACATGCCAATGATCCATCATACTATTTAAGCTCTCCAATTATGACTAACATGGTTCACACTAAACAGGGGTTAGCTATTGTAACTAGTGACCATAATTTACTTAATTACAAGGTCATTCAAAATTATAGTAGCAAGACAGGTTTCTCCACTCAATTACTTTCCACTGTTGATTTTAAGGAATTAAGAAAACATGCTACTGAATTAGAAATACCTTAGATTATTTATGTGCCTTTTAATGAATACATTTATATCATTTATTCAGACCAAATTATAGGAGGTAAAGCTGAAAATAATATTGAATTGGCAGTCATCCAATTTTCAGGATTTTAAACTCAAAACTGCTACATCAATTAAATCAAAGTATATCACAACTTCCTATTTATACCTGCTGGTTCAGACGGTTTACATATATACAGATTCCAAGCATCTGGTTAAATCAATTACGATAATACTCTTTCCTCATCAAATTTATTCTTTAAAGTTGTTCCCATTCATTTAACTGATATAGTCTTCTCTACTTCTAATTAAACCTATGCGTATATATTAGACTAACTGAATGGAGTAACAAGGTTTTTGGTGTAGACTGATAAACTGAAAATTGAATTGATCAGAGATAATTTATTTGGATTAGTTCCAATAAAAAATGCAATGAGTTTGGCAGTATCCCCTGATGAATTTCTCCTGGTGCTCAAATAAGTGTAATTCATTTAGATTTATAAATTAGGGGCGTATTTCAATAATTGATTGAAGTAGGCTTATCCAATTCAGAATGGTTTTTCCTCAAAACACATCATCTGACAGGCCAATATTTTGATATTGATATTGGTCCAATCTTTGTTCTTTTAAGAGGAAAGGATGAGCATAGAATTATACGAGTAGGTATATATGAGGAGTTCGAACCTGACTATGTATTCTATTCCTAAGATGATTAATATACTGAGAAAGCAAACTCTTTTCACGAATAATATGTGTTCATTCCAAAATTACAAGATGTAGAGTTTTACAATGATAACTTTGCCATAGGTAATGATCCATCCAAGTGGTCATTCAATCAATCCTATCCATTTATTTTAGGATTAACTCAACATACTATTGTAGAGATTCCCTACATTAGTCAACCACCCTATGTGTATTGTTCTCCTAGCTCTGATGAAGATATCGGAATAGTCTATCAATATGATATCAATTTATACTCTACTGCCTGTCCAGACAAGGACAAATATTTAGAAGAAAATCCTACTATCCCTTTTCAAACTGTCTAATGTCTCTATTAGGAGTCTTTCAAGGTCAAAGCAATACAAGCATAAGGGAAATTGTATGATACATAGTTTTAAGTCGTCATCATAATTTGCTTAATTTTGATTTTAACTGCCGTAATCTTTACAATGATTATCTTGTACAGAAGATATCATAAGCAAGAGGAAAGTTTAACCAGCAGCATTTAAGGATTTGAAAACAGCAGAGGATATGATTTTGAACCAAATGAAGGCCCTTAATGATTTATATATATTATATATGGGGCATTTTGTATTTAGGAAAATTGCTTATAATCAGTATAATCATGCAATCTTTTAACCATTTTTATAATACAAAATAATGGATTCTCCAGTTGGCTTAGTTATGGTTGCCTAGCCATCCAATGATCCATTAACCCAGATTCCCTTTAAGATGGTGCCGTTACTCCACTTGAACATCCCTATTCCGTTCTTCTTATCTTCAGAAAATGATCCTATAAAAATATACAAAATATCATACCTTTATAAACATCATTAGCTTTATTAGTAAACACTCCAATTCCATGCATCTTGTTACATTTCCATTCTCCAATGTAATGACTGCCATCATTCCAATGGTATTCTCCTTATCCTTCATATTGTCCATCTACGAATTCTCCTTTGTATATTTAATTATCAATATATTTGATTGTTCCAGATCCGTGCTTCTTTCCTTTTTTAAACGTTCCTTCATATTTTGATTTATTTGCCTTGATCTCCAATCCTTAACCATTCTAAGTTAGAAATATTTAAATACTTTTTCTCCATCTTCCCAATGGCCTTCATAAAAATTATCAGAACTAATTAAAGTTCCAAATCCATGATACTTTCCTTATTTCCAAAATCCAGTGTAATTATCATTATTATCCAAAATCATTCTTCCATGACCATCCCTTAAATCATTGACCCAAGTGCCCACGTAGATTGAACCATTTTAGTAAAAACACAGTCCAAATCCATCTCTCTGTTATCTCAACCATTGGCCCTGATAAGTAAGTCTTTCATTGCACTTAAGAAATTGGACAATAGGTTAACTGCCCAATGCTTAAGCCTTGTGGCCAGAAGGAGATTCATAAGAGTTCAATAACTCTCTAGTCTTCTCTCGTTTGATCAAAGGGATGTAATTCAAGAGTTCACAGGTCGAAGGCAATTCACTTTCATATAAAGTGACGTTCATTCCTTTTTTAGTTTGAATTATCTTACTTCTTGTTTTTCCTTGATCCATTTCTATCATGTCAGAAACCTTCCTGATATCCCCTCTCGCAGTAGAATTAAGTTCTTCCGTGTACGGAGACCTTATGTCTGCAATATTAAAAATCGAGCTTTCGTCAAGCGTGTCCTCAATTAGTTGTTTTTGTGGCAAGATATCTAAATATAGATTACGATAGATACTTATTAGATGGTTGTTTTTATTTATGTATTTAGGTGATTATTATGAGTTACCCATCTATCTAATTCGACAAATTATAATTTAATTATCTCTAATGATTTTTTCCTAACTTGACTTTTATAATAATTTTTATGGGATCATATTTTTAATAAAAGTCTAATTTATTAAGAATTATTGATCATTTTTATATTCAATAAGCAGCAAATACTATATTCACTGGCTAACATCATAAATTTAAATTCAGACTTTAAATTAATCCAGCACAAATATACACCACCAATTAAATAAATTTAAATTTATGAATCACAATCTTTTTTAGTTGATTCAACACTACTTCTGACACCAATTAATAAAACAATTATAATAAATTAAGTATTCCAACAAAAGGATCGACTATGAACTTATTTGATAAAAAGCATTTTTAATTCATTATAAAGCAAAGATAAATTCACTAATTTTTTGGACACTTATAAAATTATATATTAGGTATTAATATAAAATAATATATATATTTAAATCACTCATTTCTGTTTTTTGATACAGTATTCATTAAGATTTGTTTCGCTCTCTATTTAAAATTTGATAAATCAAAGTAATTGATCCTCTTTTATATTGACATCAATTTATTATAGGTCAATTATTCGTAATCCTTATAAAAAATAAAACCGTAAAGTATCAGCAACAGTTGATTCACAACCAAAAACGATTTGATGTAGTTCGAACTTTCGAAGTAATTCTCCAAAGCAAAACAAATTAAAATCAGCAAAAAGTTGTTAAATCTTTAATCGATAAATTGTTTATTGGAAGTAAATAGCCACATCAAAAGCAAATCTCCAATGTAGAAAAAGATTTGATCTTTATTTAAATAACATTATTACTCATCTTAACTCCTTAAACGTATATCAAATCAATATAATATTTTGCTATTTGATAAATCGAACTTAATTCTTAAAAAGAATGCTCTATCTCATTATGATATTTGAGAACTTATGAATTGATTTCATTGATGTACTCAATCATAACCTTTTGGTTCTATTCCTCATTCTCTCTTTAATTATTGAAATTCAAATATTATGAAGCAACATATTACAGAAATACCTAAGTCTAGTTTTAAATTTCCTTTTGAGTGCCAAGGATTTCAGAAAATATTTATGACTGTTATTTCCTATATTAAATGTTAAAGTCTTACAAATTTGTATTTAAGAATTGCTATTCTATTGTAATTAAGGATAATTTGGACTCTACATTACTTTATAAATAACGCAGTATTTGAATTTAACAGAAATGTTATATTAGAATATAAAATTAAGTAAATATATTCCTTGAATTATATTATAAAAAATTACCAATAGTTTGAATCCAATTATCTTGTGCAAGATTGTAAATCATTCAACTCGTAATTGCAATCAACAGTCTTTCTCCCAGATCTCTGATAATGGCAATTCATCATCATGAATGATAATACTCCTTTTTCTAATTCAGTCAAGTTCGAACAATTTTGCTTCTTCTCTAAAAATTGATCCTATAAACACTGATTCTTCTCATTAACTACTTTAAATACATTATACTTGCGAATTGGCATTACGATATGACTACCGCATAGCTAATTATTAGAAATTTTCTAAAACACATCGAATATTATGAAAATTTTAAATGCTTTTGATTTAAATTTATTAAATTAATATAATTATCTACTATTTTAGTTATGAAAATAGCAAATTATTGTTATTTTATCGATATAAATCAAAATATTATTGACTTTTAATTCATAAATAGAGAATATACTAACATGATAACAACTTCAATATTAGATACTTTTGAGTATTTACATTATATACTGAATTTTAGGGGAGTGAAATTTATCTCACACAATAGGTAATTTACTTTAATCATTTATATTTGTGTAAAATGAAATCAATATATTTTAAATACTCTCAGATAAGATAAGTTGAAAGTAGATTAAGTATATCCCTTTGAAATATGAGTTTCAGTTGAATAAATATAATTTATTGTTCTTCTAATTGAATATTTGTACTAACATTTCATTTATTCTATTTAATGTCATACTAATTATCATTTGAATTGCCATCTATAAATATCATTAATTTTCAATTCATACTTTAATTTACTATTAATATCAATGATATAAGTGAAGATTTATAGATAATAGTCTTAAACTATTTCATATTTAACCATTTCCCCATTAAATCTTAAGTTGCAACTGTTAAGACTTAGATCTATTTTTATAACAACAATTTCTAAACACTAATTAATTTGTAAAAATCTAATAAAGAGCATTCCTTGGACTACTAAGATTCTTTGTTGAATGATGTAATTATTATCACTTATTATATTTGATGTGCAAATGGGCTTGAAAATAATGAAAAACTTATTAATAAACCTAACAAATACAAGAATATTAAACAATTTAATTGAATTATGTTAAAATACAGAAATGAATAAATGAAAATTGAAATTTCAAAATAAATACTTTTTTTTGTATTTTTCAAAGATGGTTTCCTCCTTATGGATTTTGATGTTATTTAATTCAGCTAGTAGATTTGAGAAGTCTTATTGTAGTTTATCTTTGTGATACCTTTTGAGATGAGATGTTTATAATATTTTTCTTTGCTCGCTTATTAGACCTTCGAATTCAACTTTTTAAGGATTCATTGTTTTTCTCTTGGTCAAAGTAATAGTCCTAGTTCGAACAGTGCAAGAGCGATCTTTTTAGAAATATGTTCTTGGTGAGGTTTTTTTGGAAACATTTGTTGCTTTATCGAAACGCTGAGAGAGTACTGATTTTAATGATCGATTGATTAATGATTAGTAGGATTAGCAAGACGTTTCGATTTTATCTTCGCTAACTTACTTTTAACTTTTGATGAGTTGTAACGTTTTAAATGAATTGTGATCAAGCATATACTGATTCTTTTTTTCAAAATCAATGAATACTCTATCGTCATTTTTTTGAATCTTTTTGTACATCCTTATATTTTCATCTAGTTCTTTAATTGATTCCCTTTAATCATAAATTTTAATTTAAAATGGATTGGAGTCAGGAAAGACAACGCCGAACTATTCTTATGCTATTTTGCGCATCTCCAGAATCTTTTACTTTGTTTGTTCTGCCTTCTTATTGATTCTATCCGATTCTTCAGGAAAATAAATTGCCATAAGTTTTATTTATGATTTTATATATCATTCTTGTTCTTCTTGGTTTAAATTAGCAGGTTCGTATTTTTGCAAGAAGAATTTCTATGTATCCTTAACGATTCTTCCTGAATTGAATCCTTGGTTGGCCAACAGAGCAGACAAAATCCTATCGGGAGGAGGAGCGGGGTCGACTGGCCACTCTCTTGGTTCTGGAGTTGTAGTAAAGGCTCCGTCTCCTATACCCAAATACCAATCAAAGGCTTCACCCTAAAGATATGAGAAGGTCGATTACATCAAATTGTTTTCCGTAGCCATCCTCGGAGAAGAACACACTCAAGTAGTTTGGAACAAAGTGATACACTTCTTCGAAGAGATAAGAATTAGAAGTCTAATCAATCTACCTGATGTAGGCGTATGCTTATTTGAGATGGAAGGAATAACCAAAGTAGAAATAAGTCCATTTGCCCCAATATTTACCAATGTCGAACTTTTTGTCAACTAGAGAATATAAATATCAATAAATACTTGAACCAACGTCATCATCTGCAGTTTCAATGTCTCCGTAATCATAAGTGCTGAAATACCAGACCCCTTTATCAATGAAGATGGAAAGAGTTCTATCTCCTGCATTGTCATTATCAGCCTAGATGTCTGGAGTATTTTGAGTCACTCTAACAAGTGTGGTCCAATCAGTGACATTCTTTAATTTGCTACCCTTGGCAAATCCATAAACGCTGTATTCAAATACTCCACTGTACTTCTCTTCATATTGTTTAAACACTCTTTGAGTCATCTTAGCCTTTTCTACTTAGACAGGTTCATTGTCTTATTTATCTTTGTAAGGTGGGTAGGGTCTAAATTTAGGAACAACAACATTGAGTAAATCCTCACTTGAATCAATATAACTATTCTTTCCCAAAAAGGCTCTTGGATCAAACAATTTACCTTAGAAGGCTGAATGTCCAAATTCTTTCTTTCCGATAACCAACCTAGCATAATCCCTCAACAACCAATGTTTGGCACTATCAATTTCAACTCTCTTAACAACATTTTAATGAGTAAGATAGACATATCCAATACCCTTTGGTCCAGTTGGAATTCTCTTATAGCAGAAATAGACGAAATTCCAATATCCTTCTAATTCTTTATCAAATTTGGTTCCTGTTGTGATCTCATTCTTATCAAGAACTGCATCGTAAGTACTGAATTGATACTCTCCTCTTCCAACAAATGCTGATACTGTTCTGTCTCCATTCTTTTAGGAATCTTCATATTGAGCATTAGTTGTGAATCTAAATATGGAATGGGATTCAGCCTTGTCCAATAAAATGAATGGATAATTCATCAACCATCTTGTCCATAAACCAATACCATATTCATAAATGGCTTCAATATCAGATCCTGGGAAATTAGTCTATGTAAATTCAACATCCAATGCTGGTTTGTCATCTTTAGCATAAATCAAAGCATCAGCATCATTTTACACGTAGAATTCAAAGTAATTATTAAGTTTGTATGGGATCCAAGCTGGAAGATCAACCTCTACTTCGACCTTATCAACATAGTGCCAGCATTATGTGCTACCATAACAAGCATGAACATGTCTAGATTTACCAATGAAATTCTTATTAATTCCATCCTTTCCGAAATAGACAGCAAGGTATTTTGGAGAGAAATGCAATACCTTCTTCAATAAACCTCCTTTGCTGACATCTGGGAAACCAAAGAACCATCCAGCGTATTCATCTTATCTGGAATATCCAACCCAAATGTACATCCAAATTCCTCTTTATTCTCCCAAAGCAATATTGGAATTTCTATTAAGATTGAAGTCAGTGTCAATGAATCCAATGTCATAGGTTCCAATTTCCATATCTCCACCTTTTTGAATAACTGATAATGTTCTATCTCCTAACAAGTTAGCATCCTTCAAGAATCCTGGCTCATTATTGGTTAATCTGATAACTGTTTATGCTTCAGTATCATCTAAACTTCCATAATACTTGAACCATCCATAGACTGAATATTATTCTGTTTCAGTTGCTCCATCTTCATAAACAAATGTTTCATATGTTTCAGTATCTTTGTTATCAGCACCTTAGATTTCATAATCCTTTGTTCCTAATTCTTCGTCAACTGGGACCTTGTATTATTCAATCCATGTTTCATATTCAGCTATTTCATTAATAAATGATCCTCTTCCGAATCTGACAACTGCATGAGCAATTCTTCCATTGAATCCATAAACAGTAGATTTCCATTATCCAACATAGAATCTGACATAATTGTTAGCAGGATCAGCATCAAATGGATCAAAAACTGTTCTTTACACTTACTTCAATTTATTGAAATTAACATATCCAACAGCAATTTACTTCAATTTTGAATAACTGAAATAGATGTAATTCCAATATCCATCTAGATTCTTTCCATAATTAACTGGTCTTCCTGAACCAGCCCAGAATTCATAATTTCCTCTTCCAATATATACTGCAAATTCAGCCTCATCTTAATCTGTAAATCCTAATCTACCAACCAAAATACGATCAGGTTTCTCATAAATTCTTGATGGATTTGTGATGAAGAATTTAGTCCACATACCGAATCCATATTCATAAACACCATCTGTTACCCAATCTGGCTCATCATGAAGTAAAGTATCATACTCAGATTCTGTTTTGTGATTCAACCATTTAGGATCATATGTTTTCAATTATACTCCAGGCCATAATTTAATCTTACCAGTCTTATAATCATCGAAATCTGTAGCATATCCCCATGCACCCTTTCCAAATCTGATAGTAGTATAGGCTGTCTTTCCATGGAAGAAAAATTAATGTCCTTGTCCCAAATAGAGAGCCCAATATTTGGCTACAACATGCCAACCTTTGAATTGTTTTTCAGCTTTGCTATCAGGCCATTCCATGTAATATTAGAAGTCTCCATGGTTATATCCAAAGTATGCAAATGTCCACAATTACTGTGATTCTTAAGAAATCACAACCTTCTCATTGATGTCACTGAACTTGTCCTTCTCTTCAACTGTATAGGTAGAAAATTCGTATTCATTTTGTTCAGTTTACCATAGTGAAAGTGCTTTCAAACCATGAGGAATTATTCCTACTTCTGGTTCGTTGGATGTAAATCTAAATATCACTTAATGTGCTCTTTCAGATCTTCTTACATATCTAAACCATGTGGATACTGAATATTCTCTATATCCATCTAAATCCCATTTGAACTTGGGATCATCTACTAAACCATCATATTCAACTTTGTCATAGTATTATTTCTCCTAATACTCTAACTCAGGGTCTGTTGGAACAGTGTATTTGGTTTCAATCAAATTTTTCATCTCTTCCTCTGTTTCCACAAATGAATTCTTATTCAAGACGACTCTAACATTGGAGATGACTCCATTGAATCCTTTGAAACCCTTCCAAAGTCCAGATTAGAATTTAATAGTTTTAACAATAGCTGGTTGAGTTACTGTGAATGTGACACTCTTGATTACTTAAGTTCTACCCCAGTAAATATAACCATTGGCTTTTCCTTCTTTATAACCGAAATAGACATAAATCCATTCAGCATCCAAATACTTGCCATAATCTAATTGTAATTCAGTCACAACTTCCCCTTCAAATACTTAGAAGTTATAGAATCCTTCTCCCAATAGTTGTCACTAATCTATTTGTGTCATCTCCACTCAAACCACCAACAGCCAAGACTTCCTTCTTTTCTGCAATCTTCACCTTACCATTGTATCTGAAATATGTCCATAATCCATAACTGTATTCAACTGATGTCTTAATTCTGCTATCAGGTCCATCTTCAACATCTTTCTCCCAAGGTGATGTTTCTTATGTAACAACACTGTCAGTTCTCTCATCTAAGGTATAAACAAGTTATTCTAATTCTGGTACTGGTTCATCTGGAAATTCTAATCTACCGAAATCATCGTCTTCTTCCTCTTCAACTAATTCCTCAACAATCTCTTCAACAATCTCTTCAACTATTTCTTCAACAATTTCCTCAACAATCTCTTCTACAATCTCTTCAACGACTTCTTCTTACTCTTCTACTTTTTCATCATCTGGTGTTGGTTCTACAACAACTTCCTCTTCTGGTTATTCTTCAACAACAACAACTTCTTCTTCTGGCTCAGGTTAAGATTCTGGTTTAGGTTCGGGTTTAGGTTCATCCTCATCATCTTCAACAATAATAATGATTGGTTGTTCTTAACATCCTGGATATCCACAACTTGGTTAATAAGCACTTGGTCCAGTTGCTGCATCAATCAATGTATCAATCAAATCTTCCAAAACATCATCTCCACAACCATCTTCCTCTTCTGATTCCCATTCAAATTCCTCTTCTTCCTCAACCTCTTCTTCTTCTGCTACTGATTCTGGCTCAGGCACTGGTTCACATTCCTTAGCCTTTTTAGCTTCTTCAGCCAATCTCTCAGCCTCTTCAGCTCTTTTTCTTGCTTCTTCAGCTGCCTCCTAAGCCTCCTTCAATCTTCTTTATGCTTCCTCAGCATCTAAACAAGCTTCTTCTTCTTTATTTTGGGCATTTTCCAAGACCTATTGTGATTCTGCTGCTTTTTCTGCCGCTTCTTATGCTTCTCTTGCATCTCTTTCAGCCTCAGTCTCTGCATCCAATTCAGCAGCCTTTGCCGAATCTAACTCTGCTTCTGCCTCATGTTCTAACTCTTCTGCTAATTCTAATTCTTTCTCAGCCTCTTATTCTAATTTTTCAGCTTCTTCAGGTGTTATATCAACTCTATTTTTAAGTTCTTCTAATTCTCTTGCTTCCTCCTCTTTTCTTCTTTATTCTTCAGCAGCTGCTTCTGCTGCCTCCTTAGCCTCTTGTTCAGCTCTCACTCTTGCTTCTTCTTGTTCTTGTTCTTTTTTTCTCTCTTCTTCCTCTGCTTTAGCATCAGCTTCCAATTAGGATGCCCATTAATCCTTGCACTAGGAAGTCTTTCCATTTACTCTTGATGCCAAATCGTATAATTAATCGATATCAACTGGAATTGTATTTAATTGTAATTAGATCTCAGTTATCTGTTAAATCAACTCTGAAATCTTGGTGGCTATTGTTTAAGCAAGTTATAATTTGTCTTCATCACCTAAAACATTTATTATGGTTATTTACTTTTTGCTTTGTTCAAAACTTCCAAATATCCCAAAATATCATTTATATCATACCAACTTGATGTTGACTCTATCTAGGATAATGATTTGAAATGCTTGGAGATTTGATGATGCAACTATTTAACCTAAATAAATGATCCCTCTTAAATATGCTAAACTGTCTGCAATACTCTGTCGACTAGGCCTTTCACCATTGCCAACACTTGTAAATCACCATCAAATCCATCTTTGTGTTTGATAATGTCAATCCATTAATCAATGTCATGCTATGCTCCCAATTATTCCTTGTAACTTGGGTTCTCACATGTCCAACCTGATGGGTCTATTGAGAGAATAGATTCTAATGGAGTAATCTGCAATCTTGCAGATGTCTTGAACTGTATAGACACGCTGACTAGCAGCCATGCCACTAACAATTACTTAAACATAAATTTAATTATAATCCGTTTTTCATTACAACTATAACATTATAAAAAAATTAACAAATTTAGATTTTGTTATTTCCCCATTTCATTAAAGCCATCCTCCTCATTTATTTGCCATTAAATTAAGAAACATCATTGTCATTAATTTATTCGAAATAATTATATCTCAAAAAAAAAGAAATTAACATCTCTTCATTTTACTTGGCATAACGCTTCAGAAATATAATGATAATCAAGCTTGATAATTTATTAAATGTAATAATATAGAAATTAATCAGGTAATTAAATGTTTAAATACATAAAATATTTTATTATTATTTCATAGTAGTCAAAGTTGGTGTTTAAGGATTTTTATAGTCGATCTTAATTCTCTAATATTTATTATTATCAATTTATCATTACTACAAGGAGAATAATAATAAGTTTACTGTTTAAATAAACTTAGAAATTATGCTAGCCAAAGATATGAACTATTTCGATAAAAATTACAGAGATTTAGAGATCCTGTTAATTTCAATATATATCTATTAGATAAATATTTTATTAAAAGGAATTGAAAATTTTAATTTTAATTAAATATGGCATTAAATAATTCAGAATAAGTGATTAAATTTTTACGTGAAACTGAGAAATTAGATTCAGCTTCATATTAATCGTTATTAAAATTGGCTGAGAATAAGCCAATTCATCTTTATGAAATTGGGAAACTTACAAAACTATTATTATTAGGTTCCAGATATTAAGTAATATTTTATACACTATTTGGTCTTGGATATATGGGGATAATAGGATAATAAAAATATTAATAACTGTTGATTGATCTAGAAAATGTGGATAAAACTAAGAAGTATTATGAAATGTAAGATTACAAAATAATTTAGAAAACAAGATAAAATAGAGTCTAAAATTACGAAATTAAAAGTTGTAGCCATATTATTTGGATTAACATCAACACTTGGTCTTTTTGTAACTCAAAGAATGGGTTAAAAAATACCCAAAAGTTTATGGTTTTACCCAAATGGTGAATTCAAATTAACTTTTTATTCATTTTTTGGATTTAAGAAGCACATTACAGCACCAATATCTGATTTTTCACTTTGCACTTCATCAAGTAGAATAAACAAGACTGTTATGATGCGATATAAAAATAAGGAATTATCCACCATTGGTACAGGAGTATCCCATAGTAATCTAATTAGATATTTGCTGTCAGCATATACAAAGACAGATTAAAAGATTTGAGTGCTTTGATAAACCATTTTATTTTTGTTTTAGAAATGATAATGCAATTAATATAAATAAATTTGTAGAATGAATACAAAACAAAAGGAAAGTCTTTCATTCTTAAATAATTACATGTACTTTGATAATCAGGTTAATCCTAAAATTCAAAAGGAAGCATTAAATAAAAACTATCAATTTGAAGCTTCACCAAAAAAAAAGGAATACATGAAATCGTATTAAGGAATAAATTATCACAGTTTATTAGAACTTAAGTAAACACCTTTAGTTAAACTGTAAGAATTACCTAATTATGAACCAACGAAATGTTCATCTGTTTAAAATGGATAAGTTAAGGCTTATGCAGCGAATACACATTAAGGATTAATAAGAAATTATAATGAGGATAGAGTTTCAATTATTTTGAATATACTGAAACCTCAGACCAGAATAAATGAAAATTGGCCAAAGTGCTCATTCTTTGGAGTTTACGATGGTCATGGAGGCTAAGGATGCGTCAACTTTTTAAGAGATAATTTACATTAATACATATCTAAATAAAAAGAATTTCCTTGGAATCCATTAGTTGCAATCAAGAAAGGCTTCGAAGCTGCTGAAAAAGACTTTCTATCCTTTGCTCTTCAATAATACAGCAAGAATTAAGCAGAAAAAAGTGGATCTTGTGCAATCATTAGTCTTATTGTAGGGGACTACTGTTATGTTGCAAACGTTGGTGACTGTAGAGCTATCTTGAGTTCTGATAAAGGGAAGAAGTATTTTGATTTATCAATTGATCATAAGCCGTAGAATGAGTCTGCAAGAATTCAATAAGGAGGAGGATAAATCTATTAAACCAGTATAACGAATGATAAAGGCATTGTAATTCAAGGACCATTGAGAGTATTTCCTGGTAGGTTATCTGTTTCTAGAGCGTTTGGAGACATTGAGGCAAAAAATGAGCAATTTGGAGGAAAGCCTAATGTAGTTATAGCTTAACCAGATATAAAAATATTTCGTATAACTAATTAACATGATTTCATGGTGTTAGGATGTAAAGTTTAATAGTATCTTAGGTGATGGAATTTTTGATAAAATGAATTCTTAAGAGGTTATAGATGAAATTTGGAGTGATTTGAAAAAAAACAAAGATAACTAAAATCTTCATGCTTAAATATCTTCAGCAGTTGACGCTGTAATAAAAGAGGTTGTCATCAGAAAGAGCGGTGACAACATAACTTTACTGATTGTTGCATTTAATGAACTTATTTAACACCAATAACAATATGCCTATAACAAATCTAGCTCTATTTCCAGCCATATTGAATTGTTATAATCATATTTAAAGAAGGAACAAGACAATGCTGAAAATAGTAGAGAAATTAATTACAAAAAAATTAATTATTTTAATCCATCCTAATAGTTGGGAAGTAGAGTATAGACATAAGACTACCATTAATAAGTTAAATAAGACGTAAGTTTTTATAAAGTAAGATCAAGTTTCAATATGTGATTATAAGTTTCATATTTTTAATAATAAATAAACTTAAGAAATATCTTAAGGTAGTTCTTTAATTAACAGTAAAATCAGTATTTTAGTTTAATAATAATAGATAATATCATAATAATTTAGTAACCTAAGTTATTAGTAAGTGTAAATATAAAATGTTAAATTTATATTTCATCAATTCACAATAAATATAGTTTGATTAAATCATTATTCTGATATCTTTTATAGTATTTGGAGCTATCCATTAGAACCAGGCACAGATTCTGAAGAAAATAGAGTCACACATTATGAAAATGTTATTTATTAATGACTATAGGGATCGATTATGTTCAAATATTTTTAGATGTCAAGATCTCCTGCTCCAAAATTTAAAATATCAATCAAATTTCTAAATTCATTCTATTAACTTCAAATATATTATTTACCTCATCAATAATTCCATTAGCATCTGTGTCCATTTACTTAAAAGTCAAAATAAATTTCTTCAAGTATTTCTCATGTGACTTTAGTTAGAAATCTAATATTATCTTCTGAAACACTGAATATTCTAATTTATATTTATCTTTTTCTTAAAGCAAAGATAATTGCTCTTCTCTTGTTAATCTCCTATCTGGATTTTTCTAAGGAACTATATAGTATGATTTTAATTTGTTTAGAAGTAATTCTGAATCCTCTTAATTGTACATATATTTTATAATATCCACAGCTTCCTCCTCATAAAGTTGCCCATTAATTCTTTGATTTAGCATTTCCTTAATCTCTGCTTAATGTTTCAATGGAAATTTTCCTCTTAGGTACATCTTTGATATTGAAAATGATTACTTTTAATAATTCTTGCATAGTATTTTTGACTTAGGTCTAAACAAAGCGAAACTCTTCATCGCATTCATTCCTAAGGATCTTACCAAATACAGCCACATCATTATCTTCTGCTGAATACTTTTTAAGTGCATTTATTATTGATGTAGCCCATTCTATTATAAGACTTTTAAGTCCATATTTCTAATTTAGAAAAGTATACATATGCTATTCCATGGTTTCTCGAGGTAATTTAGAATCAGCACACTTCTAATCGAATTTCTGTTTACTTTCATATATTTCATTAATAACATCTTTTAATTGTTTCAATGTCAAGTGTCTAATATTTACTTGTTAAGGCACTGAATTAAGATTCTAAGATTATTTTGACTAAAAAATAGTATTATTTTGTTGAATGCTGGATGATTGGTGGTTTTTTGAATAGTTTTAAGATTGATAGGAGTCGTTTTATTATTTTATTACGTGTTCTGAATTAGGAATCGATGACCTATCCCCTTTTGAATGTTTAATGAGAAGATCTAAATATCTTTTATTTTCTTTTTCTAATTCAGCATTTTATTATTAAAGTTCTGATAGTTCTAATCTTAATCTATTTTCAACTGTTTTATCGCCTTGTTGTGGTTGGTTCACTTACTTTTTATTCTCGATGATTTAGGATGTATTTTTAGATTGTGGTTTGACATTTGAAATAACATTAGACATATCATTAAAAATTTGGAAATGCATATCATGAATTTTTGTAATGATTACATCTAATTTTTTGTCATTTGCTTTGAAGTATTTCATTATTGATTTAAAGCAGATTTCATATAAGTTAAATTTTGCCTAAGATTATGATGAGGATTACTGTTAATATGTTAAGATTGGTTAAGTGATCAGGATTGTTTTATTTTAACTTCGATTGCAGATCAAGCATTATTGTTCGTATTTATTGATCAAATTGTTTATCTTCTTGATCCTCTTTCTTGTACTCTCTTATGTTATCATATAAAATCTAACGATATGCATCATTATACAGCCATCTATTCGAGATCATACTGCTAAAGTGTAATGTCTTAAACTGCACTCATGGATCTCTCAGATTATTATTCACTTTACTATTCTAAGGTTTCATCACCTCCTTCCTAATCTCCATTCACCTTTTGAGAATTCAAAATTTGGAGATTCGTAAGGCATTCTAAAATGTATTGTTCCTCCTCCTTTGATTATAATGTAATCTCAAGATGAATCAAATTGGGCATGGTTGACAAAGCATCTACAACTTAGCCTAACTAAAATAATTGTACATGTAGGATTACATCAGAGAAAATATTGTTAGAAATATCAAGAACTTCGACAGTGTCTAGCAGGCTTAAATCATCAGGCAAGTACGCCAAACGATTCCCGTGTAAATTGAGCTACATTTAATGTTTAGAATTTACCTCTTTAAGATTGCTAAAATTTGCTAATTACGGTAATAATTCCTCTAAACTTTCAATTGATCTATTGTCTTAGATATCAAATGATACTTAAATTCAAGATCTATTATTGTTACATTAGTTCCTTAGGTTTTTAATATTTGTTATAAGGCTTCCATTACAAAATTCAATTTTTAAATAAATTTTTAATTATAATTTTAATCAGGACGGATAGCATATTATATTATGTGAATTCATTTATCATCATTCAAAATCAAAGTAAGTAATGTCAACAATTTTAGTCTTAACTTAACTGATTTAGGTAAATACTAATTTTATGTTGTGATTGAATAAGACTTAAATTAAAAAGTAAATATTATAAAAAAATATCATAAAGGCTTTTAATCACCATATGTTTGGATTCAATTTTAAAATTACTTAAATAACTATTTTAGTCTAAACACACATTTTGGAAATAATTGTTAACTTTAAATTAAAATATTTCATAATATTGTTCTTAAGATCTAAATAAGACAATTATTTTGCCGATTCATAAATTTGCCTTATTCTTAGTTCATATTGTTAGTGTGACATCAATAATAGAAGTCTAATTGAAAAATTGATTTAGTTATTAATAATTATATTTAGGTAGAATAATTACATTATTAAAATACTTAAATTAAGGCAAAATACTAATAATGTAAATTAGAAGAATGATGAAATCAAATATATTAGTAGAACTTTAAATATGTGATGTATAATCATAAATAATAATATATTGATATGAATATAGGAATTGAACAAATATTTTTGGCTGAATGTTAATCATTTTTTCTCTTGATAAGTGTATAAATTTAAGCATTTGCTAGGCTAAAACTAATAAATTTAATTAAAGATTCGAAAATCGTTGAGTCAGTACATGAAAAACAACTGAACATATTATTGTAAAAGAATGTTTAATTTAAGATTGCTCGTGCTTAAAATTGAATGTTTCGCTTAATAAAAATAATAATCTAGTTTTCTCCTAATTAAATTTTAGAGTTTAAAACAATTCTAATAGGATTTAAGATTCTAATTAACAGAAAAATTAATGTTGTATTCCATATTATTTTGGAAGTAATTCTATTCGGATAAATTTGGGAATGTGAATTATGTAGATTTTGATAATGATTTGGTTGAATGTGTTTGAATAATATCAGATAATGTCATCGTGATAATTCCTATATCTTGTTAGACGCACAGAGTTTTCAGCATATGCAAATTAATGGGTGTTGTAGGTGGCTAAAATCGAGAATGATAGTGATACTTAAAAATGGGATTAGACTTGAAGCTGCAAATATTGTTCTGGCAGTGAAGTTATATATGTGCTGGACTGTTTGGAAACTTTGTAAGCCAAACACAAAATTCCAGGGCCAAGTTACTAATTTTCTAACTGAATTTCTCTGTTCTATAAAATCTAATGTTCTTTCTGCCATTTTATAGTTTGTTATTTATATTATTAATTAATAGGGTTTTACTTTTTAATTATAAATAAAATAATTTAATATGGGCATCTGTAAATCTCAAGCTATACCATAAGCAAAAGATGAATTAGAAATAAGACATGTAGAAAAGAAGCCATCTCAAGACCAAATAAAATTAAAACAAGAAAAAGAGGAAAATGAAGCAGCATTGAAAATCCAAAGCACTATTAGGGGAAAGAAAGCCAAATAAGAGTTGGAAAAACAAAAGGAGGAACTAATATAAGACAAACCTTAGGACTGGACAGAATATCACTAAGAATTTATTGAACCGCAATTGCCGGCTTACTTTAAAGAGAAAGTTAATTATAAACCAACTAATCAAAATCGCTTCTTTCCTCCATACTTAGAACCAGATGGAACAATCTACAATGGATAATGGAATAAAGGCGAATAAAATGGGTTTGGATAAATGTTAAAACCTGATGGCACATATCTAAAAGGATTGTGGAAAAAAGGCATCTTCTCTGAAGGAGGAGTACTTTATCCTAACGGGGAATTTTTTGTAAATCTAATTTAATATTATTTGCTAGATAGGAAATACAAAATAAGGAGAGCGATGCTTTACCAATGGAATAATTTATAAAGGCGAAGCAGACTATGGAATTCCTCATGGCAAAGGGGAAGAAATATATCCGGATGGCAGCAAATCTGAAGTGTAATATAAATGCGGCAGAAAGGTATAAGACTCAAAACAGAAGAATTAATGACTATATTTCTTATAGAATTTTAAAATAAATGTAGTTATAATTATTTAAATATTTATAGAATTCTATTTATAAAAAATTTTATGGTTTTCTATTAAAATTACTATTTTTATTAAGAAGACTCAGGTTAAAAATTCAATCAAAATAAGTAAATAAGATATAATCTAGAATTATTATGCAATTTGTAAAAACTAATAATCAATTTATCTATCAATATCATTACCAAAAAACATATTGTCTATTCTTTCCTACTTTATATTCAATGTTCCAGATTTTAAAAATATATGATTTGACTGGATCGAGGGATTCTTTGTAGAATTAATATAAATAATAAAATACAAGAAACTATCATAGACTTTAATTCTTACTTTATAAAAGAATTAGATGTATGTCAAAACAAGTATTATTTTTAAGAACATTGCAGCCTCCTCTCCCCATTCAGGGTTGTTCTAATCATTACTATCCCACCATGAATGATATTATGATAACCATAATATATCATAGATAATAGATGCCATTAATCCTAGGCCTACAAGTTTTACATGTTCAGGTTCAAATCTATCCAGAAAAACAGTAAACATCAATCCATGACACACCAACACATCTAAAAATGATGGCTTAGCTGAACATACAAAGAGAGTTATCAAGCCATAAAATGAAAAGATGGTCATTCCTAAATCTAAATCATAAGGTGCCTATGGGTACTCATCTTCTGGTTATGAATTTTGATCTGTCTTATTAATTTCTACTTTTGAAGTTTATAGAGGATCTGCAGCCACTTCTTCTGGTTTCTTTAATTATATAAAACTGCTTTCTTATTAGTTTGAAGTTTAACCATTTTCAATTGTTATTTTTTCTTCCTATCGAAGTCGAAACGGCCTAGTCAGTAAGTCATATTAGTAGGCTACTTGTTTGTTCAATTCTGTTAGCTAATCTATTTTATCACCTGATTACCCAACTTAGTTTTGGAGATACTCATACTAGTTTAAGAATTTCAATATTACTCTATTAAGAATGAGCTGAACTTGCATATCTATAAAACACCCAACTTCTTTTCCTAAAGGATCTTTCAATTATAGTTTTAAGGATTTCAGTTACTCTTCCAAAGTACTCAGTGAAATTTATGCTTATCCCAATAATGTTGGGAGGGGAGAATCGTTCTATTTGGTGTACAACTAAATAGTCAAAATGTAGATGTTATTTGGAATCGAGCTAAATTAAGAGTATAAACAATTCATACAATTCAATTTCTCTGTTGAACTCTGGGTTGACTTTATCGAAGTGTTCTATTGGTTTCAACCTCTGAGACTAAGAACCTAAAGCCACTTAAAGATGACAATCGGTGTATGAAATCTTTTTGGAGATATTATTTGCACTATTAATCATAAGATAGATATGTTTGAACTCTGAACTGTTGGCTTATTTATTTAGAAATATTCTTACATGTTGCAGACATTTGGGTTTAATGCTTTTTTTGTTTTTCTCTGAATGTATGAATATCAGTCTTTATCTTTTCCAATTTATTGCCAAGAATTATTATAGCACTATGTATGGTCTATGCTAAATCTTGCATGCGATAACTTTGTTCATAATTTTGATTTATTGATTTATGACATTATGCTAAAATCTAATTAAGTACATCCCGATCCATATCCTTAGTTCCAATCATTTGATCCATTTTCAATTAAATCTCATTTCCTGTCAGAGATTAATTTTTTAAAAAGCCAAATCTTTCGAATGTTGCTTCTATGTGTTTGAGTGTTATCATCTTTAAGTTTTTTAATAAAATTATATAATTATTATATAATTGATTGTTTGTATACAAAAATGTCTTCTTTTCTGATCTGAATTCATATGCTTAAAATGATCATTATAAATCTATAGTTTAGTTATCAATAGATCTTTAAAATCATCCAATGTTAATTCTAATAAAATTATACTTTTTATTCACAAATATATTAAAATATATGAGATAACATTATTATTTTTAATATTATTAAGTTGTATTTTTATTATAAATTGTAATTAAATAGTATATTAAATATCTATAAGAAAAATGAATAAAAAGTAAATTAATTTAATCTCAATTTTCTTGTTTAACTACAAGTAAAGATGAAAAGTTAATTATATTTTATATTATGGAGATCTTCTTTGCAGAATTTTCTTTAGTTTGAATCATCTCAGGTATTTATGTTATGATTATGATTTTGTCAATATTCTAATTATTAAAATATATTCTACTTTAACAATGCTTTCAATTCTAGTTCCTATTTACTCTTTAAATGCTTTCTCCCTCTTAAAGATATTCTTAAATTGTTTGCAAAATAATTCATTGTTCTCTATTAAAAGTGGAGCTAACATCAAAATATGTAAAATTCTTTTGACATTATTAGTTAAATTGATTTCAATTTTTAAATGAAACTAACTTGTTCTGAATATCTCTTTACTCCTTAAACAATCAAGCATCATCTCTATATTTTAAGCATTGCATTCTAAAATGTCTTCGCTCTATTAGTCCTTTATCTAAAATTTTGTAAGTGTCAATATCAAACTATTGACCTCAATCAATTGATTATTGAAATGAGAGAGAATCTTAACAACATCACTAACTAATTAAACTATTAATCCTCTATTTTTATCACAAAGTAATACGATCAATTTCTTAAAATAGACTAAATTCTTACATTGCTAGTATCAGCCTTTTCCTTATCGCACAATTTTCTAATTTTTTCTACATTTTCATTTAAATCTTGATTATAAATTAGATGATATTCTTGACTGTTAAATGCATAACTCTTAAGAATTAAGTCAATCTATTTATAAAGAGTCCCTTTAATGAACAACTCCAATTAATTAAACAATTATTCATATTGACTCAGTCTTGAATTTTCCTTTCTTTAGAAAATTTGATCAAATTTATAGAATTGACATCTATAAGGATTCAGCTTTTTAACCTTTTATTTTGAGCTTGACCATAAATTAATTGAAGTGTTTTCATTATTCAATAATTCGTTGTTTTCAAATGAGATTTACTTTTGATTCTTAATTTTAAAATAAGGCTAATAAGTCTAATCATATTCATTTGTTTTATTATAAAATATGCAAAAGGTTCTAATTTTTTTCTTTTGACAATAATATTGCTCTTGTATCAATTGTAAACTAAACTGTTTTTTTATTACCACAACCTTAGAGCACATAATTTTATATATTATTAGTCTAATTCAACTTTTGAAATTTCTCAAGTTCTCCATTAATTATTTTCAACTCTTCTTACATTTAATACTATATTTCAAAGAGATCGCTATATTCTTTGGATTGTTATTGATATATGGATTAATCCATCTGATTAATTTTTTTGAATTCTGTAATCAAATATTCTCCCTCCAATATTTGCATACTCTAATGATTGGCATTAAAATCACTTTATAATCGATTTAATATCTAATTTCTATCTGCTTATTGATTAATAAAGTGATCGAGCTAGCTACTCAAAATTGAATTCATGTCCTCCATTATTTTTTATTATTGCAATAAATCATTCTTTTGAATTTGATCATCAAGTTATCGATTCAGATTTACTAATTGATTCACACGTCTCTATTAAATGCTCAATTCATCCTACTCTTTAACTTATTCTATTAATATTCCTATTTATTCTTTTTCAATGCTTTTTTTCAAAAATGTTTTTTAAATTTCTTAATGATAGGTATTATGTACAATTGACTTGTCAATCATTTCTAATTTTTACACGAATGCAATCCTTTTCGATGCATTCTTTTTAGCACTATCCATTTTATAATTTAATTTAAAATTACAATATACAATTATGTTAAATTATTGCATTATTAGATCATCATCAAAGTAAAGCATTGTAAAGAATCATATAATAAATCCACAATTGCACTGAACTTGAAATAAATGAAGATCTGGACACATTTGTTGAAGTGATAGGTTAAGAGGATTGAATTCCCATTTAAAAGTGCAATATCTCTCGCTATAGATGAAACTTATAGTAGCAATATAAAATAAATTAATTTTAACGGCTAGTCATAATATTATTAATTAAAATATATGCACATAGAAGTACATCCATAGAATAGTAACTACCGTTAGAATTAAGCTGGTTTACAAAGTAGAAGAGAGAATTCTTCTAAATTATCCTAGCATTTATCACCTATAATTCCTATTTGTTTAAAGTAGAGCACAAATAGGGAGAATGAAATACCTCAAGAATTTGATGGAGAGAAAAGCATCTACAAGAGTTTTATAGATGAGTATTACAGTGTGAGATCTAATTTTCCAAACTCTCCTTCAGTCAAATTTCAAAAGAAGAAAATATTTGATGATATTTAGATTCCATCTCAAAAGACAAGTCAAATAGCTACAAGATAAATCTTAAATGAGAAGTCTTAAACCAATAATTAAGAGATCTATCACACCTATTAATAGATCTCAGAAAGAGATGCCACATTAATACAATAGCATCCCTATTTTGAAAATTAAATAAAATCACTCTAAATTGATACACAGCAATAATTTAAATTAGAATGTCTGAAAGATTCAAATAAGGAGAATTTAATTGTATTTAAAAACAAACAAATACTCATAACACTTAAGAGAGTGAATTTAAATAAGAACATATTGAATTGTGAATTAACATTTTAAAACATTGGCACTGCTCCAATTTCTGTCTTAGATGTACTGTATTCAAATGATCAAAGTATTTAATTTACTTATTGTTCTAGCATTAAGATTATCTAAAGAGAACGATTGCATAAAATCATTAACTCCAGGATATGGTCAAATGAGTACTCTTACTGTTGAAATCGTAAATGTCCCTTTTACAATAGTGAGCGTGTCTCTAGAGTACAACAATCAATTCTTTAAAACTTATTTACCCATTACAATCTTAAATTTTATTTAGGATTATTAAACTACTCAATCTCGTTGTTTCAATAATCACAACCATTATAATAAGCTGGTCATCAGTAAAAAGAATTGGAGTATTGAGAGTAAAATAATAATTGGCAATATCCTAAATTCAGAAGTTGAAATAAGAGTAGAGAACCAGAATAATTAGCTCGCATTGTATTGCCAAAGCGACTTAGAACAATTAAATTGGTAAATTTTAAATACACTTTATGTTTTATTTGACTTATGAATATTGTTATTTTCTAATTATTATGATCTGAGGTTGTCAATTGAAATGATATCTTAATTCATCCACCCTAAATTAAGTGAAAAAATGCTGAATACAATGTTAATTTAAAAATTAAAATCATCAAAATAATCTTTTGATGCTTTTTTTAATTATTTTCACATTATTAATTAATGTCTTAGCTCTAGTTAATTTGACAATAGATGAGCAGTTCTCGGAGACTGAAACGGCTTTGAAATTGTTACAATCTCAATATCAAGTGAATTAGACTGTTCGAAACGCAGCGTTCTATTTTTAACCTTTCCAAGTAGATTAAGATAAATATTTAACAGTTGAGTAAGAACTATTATTTTAAGAATAGATTGACTTTTTTGTTTCCTTATGATGGAGATGTGGATTTAGAGTTTTCAATTACAAAAAATAAGGACGATAACACTAGTTCTGATATTGATATATTTTACGATCTAAATGCATAATATTTGAGGAAGTAATATCAAATAATTCAAATAAACCCATTTACGTTTGATAAGAATGATAAATTCTACATTGATGTGAAAATTAAAGAAACTAATTTCAAAGATTATTTATATTTATTAAAAATAACTAAAACTTCAAACAAAATTTGTCCAAATTATTGTGGAAACTCATTATTAGGACAGTGTGATACAGAAAATGGAATTTGTTCATGTTTTTCTGAATATGTAGATTTAGATTGCTCGAAAAAGGCTTCTCAATTAACTATGAAAGAACCCCTTCAAAATATCAAAATATAAAAATAAGAATATTTCTATTTCTAACGTGACTAACTAAATTCTAACATTACTTTGAATTTTGGATTAATGAATTCTTAATATGAAACTTCGGGTGTTGAGATCTTTATTATGTATGAGAACTTTGAACTAGGAGTACCATGTGAATAGTTTAGCAACTATAACTTTTCTTTAAAAAATAAATCTTCTCACTCAGAGGTAATAGATCTTGCACCTTTGATATTCGACGAAAACCTATAAAGATATCAAAGATTATTGATCACCATCAGTGCCTAATACTCCGCTCTCATTTATCTCTAAGCAAGCATATCCACTTCTGAGAGTAACTTTGATATAGATTCAAGCTTAATTATTGTATACGTCCTAGTCTCAATAGCAATTGTGTTATTATTGACCTGGATCATTGTAATTGTGATTAGGTATAGAAGAAGCTCAAGAGTTCAAAATGTAGGCTATAATGTTTCTCATCCTCAAAATAACAACAATAGAAGAAATTTGTCTTCTTTGACTGCAAATCTCGTAGATCATTACATGCCAAAATTAAAATACTTTTAAATCTTGGAATTTCCAGATTTCTAGGATTTAGATATTTAGGAAACTTGCTCTGTTTGTTTACTAGAATATTAAAAGCAAGCCATATGTAGGTTTACTCCTTGTCATCATATTTTTCATGCAGACTGCTTGGAACAATGGATTATGAAACATGAAAACTGTCCTTTATGTAGAACAGCCTTAGATTATAAAACCTTGAAAGAATTACTCAATTAAAATAATCTTACAGCCTTTAAGTAACATCTATAAAAGGAGAAACTTAAAAAGAATAATATAGTTATTTAAAGTCATTTGTTCTCCAATGCTCAGACTGAATTGAGAATGATTCATAATTAAGCAGAAAATCCCTGATTGATATATGATTTGTTATTAAGTTAATTAATCTATAATGTTTTTGTGATATCTACGAAATTGGGAAATCAATTATCATAGTGAAATTTTTATTATAAAAACAGAATTTATATAATCTTACGAAGACATCTAAGCTAATTTATGAGTAGAATAGGTCTTAGAGTAACAATAATAAAGATAATAATTACATTAGTAAAAAAATAGCTTGAATATAATTTATTACATGGTTTTAAGTAATTTAAACTATCAGTTGATATATTTCATATGTATATGTGTTTAAGATCTTTGTCTCGAAGGCAAAGGTTAATTTAATTTTCTAACTGAAGAATAATTCTACTAATTATTCTATTATTTTTATTGACTTGTTGTCCTCTAATTATTAATTGATGCTTGGATATTTTCTTTATTGTTATTATAATGAATAGAGTTGTCTCGATGACCAACCAAAGCTCTTACGCTAATAACATCTTTGTGAGGTTAACCCTCATTCATTATTTAGCTTTATTATAAATTTCGCGCTTTTTAATCCGATCCTTATAAGGTAGTAGCAGACTTTTATAAAGTGTTTTAGGAAGGTTGTTAGAAGAATTTTTGTTATTACTTTTACATTGATTAAATTTAATAATTGAGAGAGTCAAAATTTTGTTTAATTTTTTACAGGTTATCTATTTATTTCAGCAATTTCACTAATTCACTTTTAGAGATTAGATAGAAATCAAATTGATCTGAATTATTGACTGATCCTTAAAAATAGCCTACTTTCTAATCAAAAATATTAGTGTGATCTGTAAAAAAAGATTGGATGTTTGGAATTGACATTTCTTCTGTTTTTAGATTGAGTGTATTCTATTCATCCTGATTTGGACTAAATGATAAGTATATTTGATCAATTGGCTCCATTTCATATTTTCTGAAATCTATCTATTTCTCGTTATTATTCAGTTAAAACATTATTATTATTTAATTAATAAAATGAAAATTATTGTTGATTTTGGTGGTGGATTAGATATTTGTTTTGAAAACAAAAAGGAGCTTACTCTAGAATTCGAAGAATAGCAAATTAAAATGACTGACCTTATAACAAGACTGAAAACACTTTGCAATCCAAAGAAATTGGACTTCTTTTACACCTAATAGCTTCGACCAGGCATTCTCGTTTTAATAAATGATGCAGATTGGGAATTAGAAGATAAAGAAGAAGCACAATTATAACACAATGATAGAGTTAGCTTCATTTCTACATTACACGGTGGTTGATTTAAAGAAATTTCATACACATTATATTAAAATTCTTTCATTATTAAAACAAAGATTAATTCAGATTTTGATTTTTGTTTGTGATTTCTTAGATCCATATATGAATCGATCCATTTTCTCTTTTTTCTCCGTTTATTGATTCAATTATTTAGTTAATGACATTTTTTCTTTCTGAAACAACTCATTCTCCTTTTAATATATATCTATTTCTTTTTGGAGATTCTTTATTTCCTTTTTCAAAGCTTCACAATCATCCTTACAATGTGAGTACTTTACTCTAAAAATTAGATATCTATTACTTTAACTCATCCTAACATTACTATTCTTGCTGGAGTCTCTTTGACCATACAGATTCAATTTCCTTTGATGTATTTTGTAATTATTAAATTTACAATTGTAAGGATTAAATTTATTCGCTTCTTCCTCCTAATATTTACTTTAACTCTTCAATTTATATAGCACAATCATTTTTCATTATTGTAATGCTTCTTTCAAATTCTTACTAGAATTCTTTTTTCAGTTTAATCTGTTGACTTTCAGAATCTATTAAAATTTGCTCTTCTGTAAACTTTCTCCTTTCAATTTCAGCCCTTAATTGAGAGATTGTTTACTATGCTTCTTGTTATTTAATTTAATGAACATTTCTTGTAATATAAATAATAGCATTACCTTAATTCATCCAATTTTGATTAAAGCGAATTATTAAATTGAGTTTCACTGTCTATTTAAGAGACATATTGAGCTATTTTATCATCATAAGATTTTCTCAATTTGTTTATTTCATGTATTTATTCTTCCTACTTTTTGAACATTTCATCTTACACTTTAATCATTTAGTCCCTCATCTTTGATATATTTTCTTTATGTTTGTTCTCAATATTTTCGATATGTTATTTCAATAAATTAATTGTATTCTCCTATTCTTGTAGTTTTATTTTATACTTTAGTTCTATAGACTTAATTTAATTATTATTTAATTATTCATCATTGTTGATTAAAGAATTAGAATTCTCTTCATTCTTTTTAATTCTAGATCGTAAAATAGAACTCAAATGAGGCGTGGACTCTTGTTATTTTTCAGGAGTCACTGATTTTGCTCTTTCTTCATTTAAAACCATTTGATCATAAGGAATTATTTATTTTTAATGATCGCTTTCAATATGCAAGGCAGAATCACAATTGTAACATAATTTTGTTATTTCATTTGGGTTACAATCAAAACATTTGATAGTTGCAGGTTTCATATTACAATTGTAACATCTAACGAATTTCCTTTAATTTTGATTCATATTTTTTATAATAAAACAAAAATTCAAAACATAGAGCATTCAATTCCATTTTGATTAAGTTCTTCATCATCATTTTCTTCTTTTCTGGCTTAGTGTTTTTCAAAATCGTCTAATCTAAATTCTTATAATTTTATGCTATTTTATTATGTTGTAAAAGATGAATGATATTTGAATATACCTCAGCAAGTTTCTGAATAGCATTTTGATCAAGATCTTTAGGAAACTCAATGTAAATTGTCCATTTAAGACTAACCTTTCTCTTTTATTGTAAATATTTAATTTGGTTTGATTACTTTGTGTGTAGTTATGTTAATCACTTTAACACCAACTAAAGCTTCCTTCAAAGACATTGTATGCCAATAAAATAAATTGCCTTTCCCATATAATTTGACACAATAACCATCAGAAATTCCCTTATCAATCGGTATTTCAATTTCTATAACTCCTTCAACATTTCCATATCCTTTACATAGTTTGCATTCATCATCCTTTGTATTACGAATAATTCTAAAATAGAATATACCCTTGCAATCAGGAAAGGGGGCTTATTATAACTACTATGTAACCTATTTTTTGTCCCTTACATGATGGATAAGTAACAGATTACTTGCCTCATTATCCTTAATATTGTTCACATATTCTTTTGATCCCATTTAAAGTCTTTTTGTGATAGGCTCCCAAGGCTACATCCTTAAGAGCGTTTTATACTATAGTTTATAAGGTTCACATTTTTGAACTGCTGATTCTTGATATTAAGTTATTTAAGCAATCCTTATTTGCCAAATTTATCATAGATCTTCTTTTTTCAGGATCTTATAACACTTCTTTTTTCTTTTAATTCAATTAGAACTTTTAAGAACCTCCTGCTGGTCTATCTGGATTTTATTTTTTTACTTAACATTTTATAAGCCTATTTAACAGCAGAAATATCTGATTAAGGAGAGGTTTTTATTATTTTATATAGTTCTTTATTATCTAAATTTTGAAGTGGTAATTTACTCTTCATATTCATCATCAAAATCAGTATCTTAATAAGCGAAGTGACCAAAGGCTCCTGGAAAAGGGATTCAAAACATTAATTTAAAAATAAAATTTATAATTAGTTAGTATAATAGATTGTATTCAAAATTTATTATGAGTTGCCATGTAATTATTTTATTTTTTTAAAGGAGTACTTGGTTTGCAAGGGGACTTTTCATTCGCAACAGCAGATCTGAATGATAATTCATTATATTAACGAATTATTGTATTGAACTAGTTTCCTTTTATTTGAGAATCATTCACAAAGTTCATTAATTCTATAAAGAGTTGTTGCAATTTGGAAGATTGGTTAACTAATTAATCATACCTTGCTTATCTTTTGATATCGATTTATTATAGATAATTTAGTTGTTCTCTCATTTAAGTGAGTTAGTTGTCCATAGATTAAGGCTAATTCTCATTGTGCATTTAATTGAGTAACTCATTGTTTTCTTTGATTATATCTTCGATATTCATTTGTTTCAACCTATCGTTATATTTATTAATATTATAATTTAGTTGGTATATTAAACAAAAATCAGTAATATTAAGGAACTCTGTCTTTGAACCCCAATTAGGATTTTGATATCTCTCTAATTTGATTCTATTGATCTGATAGTTTGGATCTCAGAAATTCATTATCCGATTTATGATTTCGATGATCTTCTAATTCGTGTCTCATCTCAGTCAACTACAAAAGTAGACCATCTATTTACTTATTTATTTAAACGCCTTATTTCGTTTTCTAGGATCTGAACCTTATCCCTATAATCCTCTACTTCCTCCAAATTATAATTCTATCCTCCATTCATCAATTATTGCTTATAATACATTATCTCTTATTTGGCTTATTCCAACTCTTGGTATAACTATTAATCGCCATTGTTTTATTATCCATATTGCAACTGAATAACATAAATAAGGTACTTTCAATCGTAGAGTATTGACTTCTGATTCCTTCTCTTGTAATTGGGCTCTCAGCATTTAATTTTCATTGACTAATTAAGAATCTTGTGGAGAGTATCTGAGTCTGTCCATCAACTAATCTTTCTCCTATTACAATAAATAGATTTTCTATTTCAATTGGTTAATTTCTTGAGAATAGACATCTCCGTTGTTCTTTCTAGATCTCCATTCCTGCACTTCCTATTCCCTGAGGACAAGAAGACTTTTAGCTTAATCAAGTTCTATCATTTTTTCTTTGGCAAATTAATTCATTTAATCCAATTTGTCAGTTAAGACTAAAGCGATTTGCTCATTGTCTGCTTTCAATTCCTAATTCTCACTGAAATGCTGTTCTTTTAACTTTTCTATTTCTGAATTCAAGAAATCGATTTCTTCATTCTTATTGTTAATAGTTGACTGAGATGCCTCTCTTTCTTATTAAGAATAGAGCAATTTGTTGTTTAAATCTGTTTAAGCTATTGTGAGTTGGTTTTATAAATGAATTTCCTTCTGAGCAGCCTTCTGCAATTCTTAAGCTAGTCGATCATAACGTTTCATTAAGTCTTCAAGGAAGGCCTTGAGTTCAGGCAATGATAATCCATTAAATTAACCTTGGTCTTGCTATGGTATTTATTAGGGTTCATTGGGAAGAACACGAATGATTTCTGTAGTTGGCACTATTTACTTAGGCTAAGGATACTGATTAGGAATAATCTTTTATGAATGCAACTAAGGCGATGGCTAAAGTAAGCAATTAATAACTTACAACTGGCAAATAAGAGGGTTTTGGAGTGATGGATCTTGGTGGTACATTTGAATAAGTTATCATGATTATCGAACTTTCTAATAAAAATAAAAATGAGTATTATTATTATATAAATTTCACTTATTACAAGATATTTCTTAATATAAAATTGAATTAATTCTATGTCCGATCATAAATACATTAATAAGCAAAAGGATCTACTCTAATACAAGCTATTCGATTGTTGTTGAAATTAAAGCCTATCTATGGTAAATTAATCGTCATTGATTGAAATCTTGTTAGGTTTTTTACTAACAGCAATTTAATTTAACAGATTCATAAAAGAATTCAAATAAAAATAGATGGAAGATCGAGCTCTAAGAACTAATTAAATGATCAATAGATACCAGGGTCATTAAACCATGAAATTGGGATCTCCAGAAGACAACCATTATGTGAAGAAAGAAAATTGGAAGCAAATTGACGAGAAAAATAAAAACTAATTTAGAGGTTATGAAAAATAGACACTGAATTTGGAACCAAAGACTTCTTATCAATCATATCAATTGGCTAACAATGATTTAGACGATAAAGATCAATATAACAATAACACTAATCTAAAGTAATCATATTATTATGAATAAACCAAACCTTAAACTTCAATTTATTATTCAAGAGAAGACAAATAGGATTAGGTCCATCTTAATAGATAAAACAGAGATGAACAACCTCCACATTCATCTGATAAATATTATTCAAAATAAAGTGCAATACCCTAAGGTAATAGAACTCCTATGGATTCAAGATCAAATTTCAATTCAAAAAATCCATTAGATAATGACAGTTAAAATAAATTTAAAAGTGAATATTAGTTTTCAGGTTTTAAGACAGATTTTAAATGGCCAGAATACTAAAGAATGTACCCTGAGATAACAAAGAATAAAAATAACTAATAAGAAAACAATAATCAAGTTTAACAGGGGCAATCTCAAGATTCGAGAGGACTTTTGGATATTGAATAAAGATTATAATAGAGAAGAGAATAGGCAGAGAAAATAGCAGGATAATAGGATAAGAGACTAAATTATTATTCAAAATCTTAAGAATATTCATAAAGATAATAACAAGTAGGATTAGAGAGCAATTAAGAGAAAATGAAATAATTCTAAAGAGAACTTAGAAATGAAGTATAAGAAAGAATAAAAGAGTAGACTAATCAGCTAGGCAAATAAGATTATAGAAATTTTGAGTTGAATTCTCAAAGAAGCCATTTGGAAAGAGATATGGATAATAAACATAACAAAAATGAAATATTAGAATTAGATTAATTTAAATATAGTTAATAGGATGCTAAATTAAATCTGAATGAAAGGAAAAATAATTATTATGATAATTCAAGAAAGGATTATGCAATAAATAGTAGAGGATCTCAATTTGATGAAAAGTCTCCTTTCTAATCAAGGTTTAATCATGATTCCAAATTCTAAGAAGTATCAAATTTAGAAAAATACCATTATGTTAAAAAATAACAATTAGATCCACATCAAACATATGATGATAAAGTAAAATATGTTGATAGATCTTTAAAGTCTAATAAATCCTAAAATGAAGAATAAATTAAATTTAACCTTAAATCTGAAGGAAGTACCTTTAAAGAATCTAATGATAGATTTTAACTCAAAGATAAATTGAATTATGAAACTAAATAATAACCTTATCAAATAAAGAGAGAGGAAGTATAATCTCAAGGAATATAAACAAGACATGACTTATATGATAAATTATAATAATTTGACCAGAAAAACAGCACCAAATATTATGATAGTCGAGCTTTTTAAGCTGACAAATTTTAAAGTAATAACTTTATTTAGGAAACAAAGCCATATGATTAATATTAATCTATTGAACCAAAAAGCAAAGCTATTGGATATAATACAGACAAATATGACAAATATGAAATTAAAATGCAAGATTAACAGATGGATAAAATGGAATTTAAAAGATCTCAATTCTAACCTGAAATTAATTAACTTAGGTAAGAATTCGATAAAAAGTATGGTTAATTTAATCCAGAAGTGAGCCAAAAATTGTCTGAAATTGATAAAAGAAGAATTTTTGAAGATAGATCTAGACCAGAGCCAATTTAAACAAAAATATCTGGAGCTAGAGAATATTTAGGTTAAAAGTATTACCAAAGAGATCCATATAGATTTGAATAAAGACATAGTTATCATGAAGAATCATCCCATCAAGATAGGTTGGCTATAGAAAAAGGAAATAGTAGAAATAATGCCAATACCAAGGCTATTGAAGATATACTTCAAGGGACTGCATTAAACAAATATATTTAAAGAGAGAAGTAAAATAAAGTAATGGATAGAGTTGTAAGTTTTACAAGTAGCAACATTAATTATCAAAAGTCTCCAATAAATGATAAAGAATAATAGTTAGGGTATGATAGATAAAATTAATTGTAAAGAGGATTTGGAAATGATAGATATGCTGTAAATGAATATTAAAAAAGATTATCTTCAGATAAAAATTTATAAAAATGTAATTTTTAACTTATTTTTAGATGGTAGTCCTTCTGGTTAAATATTCAAGCAATCTAGAAATTACGATACAATGGACAGAAGAATTTGATGAATTACAATTTGTTATTTTATTTCACTTTTTATTAAAATTAAGAAAATTTAAGAATTTTAGAGATCGTTGAATATTAGTATTTATTGTCTAAAACATTAGATAATGTTTATTAAACATCATTTAATCTAGAAATACACAATAATAGTCTAATTGATTATTTATAGATTAAAAGGTTCAAAATTACAATTTTGTTCTTAGATAATGGTTTAACGTTTTATATAAATCATACAAAAGAACGATTTCAGAACATAATCAATTAAGAATTAAAAGCTTCTTTAAACACCAGAGTCTACAAGAGCAATCTTCATTTTCATCATAGAGATTGAGTAGCAAATGTGTTTTGATTTATTTAATTTACTCCTATGTGTATACTGAATTCAGAATGCTCATAGATGAATCAAATGTATCAAAAGTACAATGTAAAGTAGAAACTTCTCCTTTAAATTTAAATTAGAAAGTTAATTCTATTATTAATATTAAGTGATACTTGGATCTTCTTTTGTTTATGATATTTATGATAGATCGGCATGATTGATTTCATACAGATTTTCAGTTTCAACCTCTGTCAATGTTTAATCATTAGATTATGGTTTCATAAATTCATTGAAGTCATTTTCAATAGATTCTATTTCTGATTTATCATTTTATAATTGTTCTATTCCTTCAATTTAATAGATTTATTTAGATTTTTGTTTTTTTAATTAAGGTTACTCCTTTTTTTTACTTGAAACCATCTTCCTTTATTTCTTAATTTGTTTTTATTCTTTGAAAATATCTTATTTTATAATTGATGTTGTAGATGGGATATTATCATAGTAAATTGTGAGTAATTAAAATAATTGAGCAATTAGTGCAATAAGCGAGAAGTATATTGTTATCATATTCCACGTTTTAGGTAACAATAAACTTTAGTTAAAGATAAAATATTACTTTAAATCTTATATAACAATGGATGATCCAGCAACAATGCTGTTAATCATGAGCAATTTTTGTTTCTTATCTAGAAGTACCACTGTGGCTAAACCTGCTAACAAATTAATATACTAAGATGAAGTTTATTAATACCTAATTTGATTAGAATATCGGTGTAAGTTTAGGATGAGACATCATTTAGTTAGAGTCCCAGAATTCTACTGGTTGATTCTCGTATATCTAGAGTAAAGCATTTAATGATAAGAATGAAAATATTGATCTGACAGCCGAAATGTTCATTTTAATTATTAAAAATATGCATTTGAAAACACGAATATCAATATTATGTTATAGCATATAAACATAATATTATGTAAATTAAATTAAATTTATTTATCGAACTTTATTCCCCAATCATTATTGTAACCTAAGAAAGAATATCAAAATTCTTTGTCAATGTTTCAAGGCTTAATTATTAGAAATTCCTCCATAGATCAATAATTTAATTTGAAATAAATTGCATATATTATATCAAAAGAATATAAATCAATAAGAATATATTTGATAGCATTCAAATGTTATTAGAATAAAAACCAAAAATAATGAATAGATTTTTTTTAAATAATATTTATAATTTTCTATAACACATTTTGTAATATGAAAATCTAAGAAATTATTTAAAAATTCTTAGGGAAGGACAGAATCTTATGACTAATTTAGAAATATTTGCATTTGTGCACTTTTTAATATTAATAATTTATCAATTATTGAATATTTAAAGTATAAATGCCATTGGTGAAAATGGTATTATTAAATTTTCTTTAATTCAAGACATTTGGATATTCGCAGAAATATAATAAATATATTATTTAAAGAATATAAATTAGGTAATTTGAATTAGGGACTATTTAGATTTTTTATTTGATTAAATATAAAGTAAATTTAGTGATATTTGTAAATGCAATTTGATAAACATTAGAAAAAGTGATAATTGCAATATTCATAAAGAAATAATTAAATATATGGCAAATTGTATATGTAATGTACTTATTTCATCTTAATCTTCTGGCTTCTCTTTCGCATTCCATGAGTTCAAGAGTGTCACCTTTTCTCACTGGTCCCATGACATTTCTAATGAGGGTTCTTTATTGACCAACCAATTGAACCTTGACTTATGTAATGCCACCTCTGGAACCTGCGCATTGTATAATTGATTGATACCTGTTCTTCCAATGATTTCGATAACAGTGGCTCTTGTTCCTTCTACTCTGTCTTTAGTTGAATCCATAATGAGTTTATCGAATTTTAATTAAATGATTTAATTTAATTTGTGTGTATGATGCAAATATTAATAAAGTAAATAAATTGTCACTCTGCATGTTTAGGCGATCTGTAGGGATTGCTAGGAGTACCTTTCCGATTGACAAACCTGATGGGACTGTTCCTGTTGACTTTTCTAATTTCGCTAGGGTCAGACAATAATTGTTTTCTGCCTTCTCTAATGAATTCTTTAGATTCAGATTATGCAGGGAATAAGATGAGTTACTATAATAAAGAAATGAGTTGTCTACTTATAGTTCTGAGTTCTCTTTGCTTAGTTTATTATTCTTCTATTCCAGGGAGATAACTTTGCTCTTCAATTCGCTAATGACTTCAGCCGTTTCTTCAGTGGGCAGCGTTTGATTGTTGGCTTTGGGACTTGCTTTTCTCTTCTGCAAAGCGGTTTTCAACTATTCTAATTGTTCCAATGCTTTTTGGAGTACAACCAATTCGAATGTGGTTGTCTTGAATATTGCTTAACTATTGTAGGTGTTAATTTTGGTTGACAATTATTTAATCTGAAGGTTGGCATTTTCCAATTGAGTTTTGAGCATTTTATTTTCATTTTGGAGTAAATGGATTTTCTAATAGAGTAATTCTAATTCGCCCAATTGTTTGACAGGTGTGTAGCTGTTGGAATCTTGCATTGGGGAGGTCGATTGGAAGTACATTTTCTAATTGGGAGAGAGTGAGGGGTTTGTTTTATTGATTGGAGTTTGATTTGCAAAAGGTATATTTGGATATTGTGAAGGTACATTAACTTATTACATTAATTAATTTAACTGTCATATGAAAAAAAATAGCATTTTATCAGTGCCTATCAAGTATTAAAATTAGATATATTAAGTGGAAGTAAGAATTATATATTAAATAGATATTTGCGTTTGATACCCCTTTGTAAATAGCGTATAGATTCTGCACTTAGCAGAATTTGGAATTCAATTTTATATCGCCACTTTCAAAATAAATAATATCCTTTGTCTCAATGCTATTGGATTCTGCTAGTGTAGACAACACCACCAAGGCGCAAATAAGACTGCACTTTGATAAATTCATAAACAATGCGAGTATTAGGGAGAGTATCAAAATTGTGGACACCTCCATTTAAATTCGAAATGATTGCATCCAAATTACGAAGCAGCAAGATTCTACACGGAATAAGGATGAGAACTTCAATTTCTCATTTGACAAAGACAATAATGAAGACAACACATCAAACCTCCAAGATTAATTCTAATTTTCATTTAAAAACAAATTATAGGAAATGTTGAATCCAGAGAAAAATCAACCCTCCTCTAGAGGCAGCAGTCGCATAGATCATTACGTTAAGAATAATTCAGTCCATCAGATTGAGAATCTTCAAAAATAGGAGAAGTTGAATTAGAAAATAATGAACCGATTGAAAAACAAATCACCTAGTAAATCACCTAACAAACGAGTTGGCATTCCGTATTAAGACTATATGAAAAGACCAAGTGTCCAAATAGATAACTCTAAGGATAGTTTCCATTCAAATCATGGCCTCAGAAACAGGCCAAGTCAATTCATTTCTGCCCAATAGAGTCCCATCTATACTCCAGAAAAACAAGAGCAAAACACTCTTCAAACCTTACCAAAAGGTAGAATAAGCATGGAAAAATCAAAGCAATATAATTCGAGAAATATCTCTCCACAGGAAATCAGTTTCTCTTAGTAACAGATAGATTAGAGCATACAATCAGTAAAAATTTGAATTAAATTGTTTAGTCGATGGTTAGCAATGGAACACTATGTAATAGTCGGATTGAGCATCAATCTAAGTAGGACAGAATGAAGAGTTTCAAGGATTTGATGAATAAATTGTAATGCATTTCGACTCCTCAGAAGAGTTAGAGAAATTATGAAATTTATATCAAACAACAAAACAATACATAAGCAAAAATAGTAAACAACATTTTTAGTGTAAAGTTATTAGGAATAAAAAATAAATGAGATATTTGCTGTGCTTGATACGAACAAGGATGGTTATATTGATCATGAAGTCAATTTACAATAGTTAAAATAACAAATTATCGATTTGTTCGAGCCGGTTTGGTTTCAAGTTCTGTGGAAGAAGATTAAGATCAATAAGAGACAATTTCAAGACATGATGCAAAAAAGGTAATGATTTAAGTAATTAAGAATTAAGGATCTTGATTAATAAGATATTGGAAAATTTATATTTAATGGAATTAAAAAGTGATAATACAACAGTTTTTATACAAATAAATTATTATTTATTAATTCAAATTAATTTGAATTTCGATGTTACCTGAATTCGGTGAAAGTGATGCGGAAAGATACGAAAAACTAGAAAAAATAGGGAGTGGAACCTATGGAGTTGTGTATAAAGCATTGGATAAATTAAATGGATAAATTGTAGCTGTTAAAAAAATGACCTAAGAAGTATTGAAAATCCGCCAAATCATTAGTTAGAACAGGAAGGTGTGCCTTCAACTGCGATTAGAGAGATCAGTTTACTCAGAGAGCTCAACAATCCACATATCGTTTAATTAAGGGACGTAGTTATTAGAAATAAGAAACTTTAACTAGTCTTTGAATATATGGAAAGAGACCTCAAGGCACTTTTGGACAGTTCTCCAAAAGATCAATCTCTCGATAAAATTACCATTAAAAAAATAATCCATCAAATATTGAAGGGTATTCAAGCCTGTCATCAGAGGCGTATTTTGCACAGAGATCTCAAGCCCCAAAATATTTTAATTGACAAACAAGGTACTCTCATTCATTTCATCTAGGCAATACAAAAATAGCAGATTTTGGTTTGGCTAGACCTTTCCAAGTACCTATCAGACCATATACTCACGAAGTAGTAACTCTATGGTACAGAGCCCCTGAAGTATTATTGGGAGCTGTTGAATATAGTACTCCAGTGGATATTTGGTCAGTGGGATGCATCTTTTATGAATTAATTACTAAAAAAGCACTCTTCACAGGAGATTCTGAAATTGATCAATTATTTAGAATTTTTAGGATTCTAGGCACTCCAAATGAAAATACATGGCCAGTACTAATGAAATTCTATTTATTTAGGGTGTCACTAATTTGAAGGATTACAAAACCACCTTTCCTAATTGGAGTCCTCAAGGGTTTAAACAATTGTTAAATAGAGATGTTGACCAATTAGCAATTGATTTGTTGACAAGAATGCTTAAATTGGATCCGACTCAAAGAATCAGTGCTAAATAAGCGCTTAATCATGTAGATATTTTAAATTATCATAGTAATACTTTTAAGAATTTTAAGTCAAACCAATTCCCAAGAAATCAGATTATTAATCCTTAATTAAATTTCCATGAATTTATTATATCATATAATTTTATGTCAGAGAGGTCTTTATCTCCAACGGATTATCATGAATTGAAGCATGTCAAATCCATCAAAGTCCCTTAAACCTCCATTAAAAAGAGAAGATCAATTTATTAAAAAAGCAATCTCGAATTGCAACTGGAATTAAACAGATGCAATCTCTCCTGTGAGTGTTCCAATTGTGGTAAACCCGGTGGATTTTAATTGAAGACCCATGGGGAATTGCCGCTCAAGGAAACTAGGTATTCATTTGTCCTATAAATCCAAGATATCAGAAAAAACAAAGGATCCTGAAAAAATTAAAAGCTATTGGAAACGCTATTATTTTCATTCTAATTTATAAATTGGAGGCTATCAAAAATTGGAAAAAGAAAATGCATAACCTTAAACTTTCTAAGAACTTAACAATCCTAAGAAGACCTGCAGTTTTGTAAACAGGTAATTTATTACCAAATACTCAACCTAATAAATAATCAACCAAGTACATTTTATCTTTTGAAAGATCGAAATATTATTTTAACCCACCAATTTCCATCCAAGAATTCCCTTGAATTATCAAAAGGTCATCATAATGAATTCTCTCATACAATTTACACTCAATAAACTTCAAGCAACCCAAGAGAGCTAAGACCCATTGATTAATCTCCTGCCAGACCCAAATCTCGTCAAAAGATCGATAATTCAGGTAAGCATATCATTTATTCAAAGGTAAAATAAAACATGGAAATGAGTACTTCTCTGAATAGTAACAACTATAGACGAGTAAGGAAAGCTAAATTAAGTTAAAGAGATTAGTGAGATCGAAAGCAATTTAGAAAACAGTTGAAATGTATTCATGCAAATCACAAAACACATTGCAGAACAGTCAGGATGAAGAAGTCTTAATGAACGAATCTGTACATCGATTTTAATAATCAAATTAAAAAGTATCAAGAAGAAGGAGCTCAATTTAATTATATTTGGATAAGATATTCAAAAATGCAGACTCTGTAAAAAAAGAACATAATTTAAAACCTTTGAATATTTTTAATGAAGAAATCAATAAATCAAAAGGCAAATATCACCTCAGATCCAGTTCTTAATTTTATTTAAATAATTAACAATCGTAATTGGTACCTTATTATGAACAAATTCGAACTACAACTAATAGTTCTTATTACAATAATAAAAAAAATAGTATCAAGACAATAAGTCTGGTTAAAAACAAAAATAAAGCTATAAAAATGAAAAAATGAATATAATTCAAATTGTATTCCTATAATTATAAAATTTAAAATGGTATTTAAAATTTATGATAGAAATATAATTTTTAAACATCTTTTGTACCTTATTATAGTGGTTGTAGTGATATTCTTGGTGTATTTGTGCTTGATATTTGAAGACTATAATGTAGAACTTGAATTTTTGTAAGTCAGATTAGATTCTTTATAGAAATATTAATTATATATATATTCAATTCAGCCAAAAGTTTATTGATAATCATATTTCAAATAGAGGAACCCATCTTCTTTATCTTTATACTTTTCGGCAATCTATTTTATTTTATCCTCCATTTGGAGCATTGTATCTTAGGAATTGCCTTCGTTATCAGTTGTTGTAAAGTAAACATAAAAAGAGTTATTTAAAGATTTCTCCTTTAACTAATCTTTTAAGTATTAAATAAGCTGGTTTCCTGTCTTTTCTTCATCTAATAATACTCTATAAATAATTTAATCAATATACTCAGGTCGGTCAAGAAAAATTAGATTACAATTATTTTATCTTTATAAAATTATCGGTACACATTTTGGGTACTTCTATTTATAGTAATTATATTTCTCCTTTCTTTCCTCTAAAGGAATGACGTCTTTGTAAGTTTTGTAAGTATTGCTCTTATTTTACATTTTAAAATTAATAATAATCGAATTTTTGTTTTAATTTATTTATAAATGACCAAAAGGAAAGCAATATTATTTATAATTTAATCAGTTCGTCAATTAAATTTTATTATTCTTATTTCATTAAAATTATATTAAATTATGTCTTAAATTCATAACGATCTTTGTATAAAGAGCATTGATGAATTGAGACAAGCATTCAAGTAAGTTTAACTTCCAAATAAATAACCATAACAATAATAATAGTCATAACAATAAAGTCCATAAAAGGAAGTCGAAAGAGTTATTGAAACTACAGCACCTACTTCCTCACATTAATAGATACATTGTCATCCAATATGTTTCCCATCTCATATTTGTCACCCAATCAATTATTAGCCTTTTATAATAGTCTAAGAGCAACCTGTAAACGAGAGAAAATCCAATAAGAAGAAGAAGAAATATGTTAAAGAAGTCTAGGAAGAAATTTAAGTTCAAATACCAGTCAAAAAATCTCGATAAAAAATAGAATAACCCAACTTTAATGTTTAAAGAGAAGTAGATCATTTAGAGTAGCTTATAAGGCAAGTTAAGATTCAAGAATAGCCTGCTTAAGTTTTAGAATATCATATCAGTGTTCCTGAATAGGAGAAGCCTAAAGATAACACTGAAATGATCGCTATGTTATCAGCATTAAAATAAGAACCAATATAATTACCTAAGGATGATTACCTAAAAATTGAGAACGCAAGATTATAGGAAGAAATTAAAAACACTAAAATATCATATCATGAACTTTCTGTCAAATATGAAGAGTTATAAAAAAGAAAGAGAAAAGAAAAAATAGTAAAGGAGATCGAATATAAGGAAATACCAAAAATTGTTGAAGTGCCCAGAGATGTGGTTAGAGAGGTAGTAAAACCATTTGAAGTTATTAAAGAGGTAATTAAAGAGGTTGAAAAGCCATCTTAAATGAATACTAAAGAAATTCCCATTTATGTACCCTAATATAAAGAAGTAACTGTTAACAAAGAAGTACCGGTTTATAAGGAAGTTCCAGTAGAAAAGGAAGTAAAAGTTTATAAAGACATACCTGTTTATAAAGTTTAACCAGTATATTATGATGTACCTGTCTATAGAGATGTTCCCATATATTAGAAGGTGCCTGTTTATAAAGAAGTGCCAGTTTATTCTGAACCAATTAATGTGTACAGAGAAATACCAATAATAAAAGAGGTAGATCGGGTTCCGGAGACAATTATAGAACATCCAAATTTATCCAGGACAAGGAGAGTGATCTCCCCCAGTTAAAATGGTAGGTCATATATACGGTCTCCATATTCAAGAATAGAATATTGATCATTAATGAATATTATGATAATTTTAATTATTTAGATGTTAAATTAATAAAATTAAAATGAGTAAAGCACATTTAGTTAAGGAGATGATTATAATAAGGGAGGAAATGAGGAATATCAATGTAAATATTCATTAATAAACCAGAATAGAATATTAACAACAAACTCTTCTAGAATCTTCGAATGCCCTCCAATTTAAAATAGAAATGAAAAGATTAAAAAATATTGCTGCTAACTGATAGCCTTAAAACCTAAATCATTCAAGTAGTATTTCATTTCAGAATAATATATACACGATTTATTGAATAAAATGGATTATGAAAAACTACTTAAAATTTCATTGAAGTTTATCGTTAAATATTTACGGAATTAAGATGAAGAAGATGAAGAAAGTTCTGAAAATGAAATCAATTCACCCAATAATATGAAGGATGTTAAAAAGTTCAGCTAAATGATCAGAGATATTGTTTCACCAATTAAAACTAAAATTACTACGTAATCCTAATTCTTCGATCCTAATTTAAGAGGCATCCATAAATCATCACAAACTTTCAGTTAAAATTAAGAATCAAAAGCAAAAACGAATTTAAGTTTAGGCATACGACAATAATCCTCTTTATTATCATCCATATAATAAGATAATTTAAATTCACCCAAATTTAATGACAATAAAATAAATGTGATTGATGAAATTTCATTTGAAAAATCCTCTATTAATAAAGATTAATAAAACAAGTATAAGTTAGATCAATAATATAATATATAAAATGAATATTACAGTTAAAGATTAGATCACCACCCTTAAACGAATGATAAAATGGATTATGATATTAGTTTAATCACTACTCCAAAATAAAGAGAATTAGATAATTATAAGCAGACATTAAATACTAGTATGAATAGTTCTTTTAAAGACACGAAGAGAAAGATGAAAAATAAGTCTTTGCTTCAATCAAAGCAATTCTAGCAGTTTGAAGATAAAAGATTTCCAAAGAAAGAAATTCCATTTACAATGCTATCCGTTGACCATTTACTTAAGAGAAGAAAAACTCCAGAGAAAAAGAGAGACTTCAATATAATTACGAATTCTTGATTAAATAGATATTATTTTAATATTAAAATTTTGTTAGGTTTATATGTTTCATAAATGTTATGTTAATTATTAAAAATACATATATTCATGTAAAAGAAATCCCTGTTTCAATTATTGAACTTAAATAACTTTTCATAGGCTTTTATAATTAAGAAGTTTTTATAAGTTGATAACAATCTTTGTCCAATTGTATATTCTTATGAACATTGAAGAAGCATTGATATATGAGGAATGTTATCCTAAACAGATCTGATTGACATCTTTATTGGAAACTCAATCTGCTTTTAGCAATCTTCCAAATAAAAATAAAATCTTTCATTTTTATATAAGATTGTCACTATCACATTCATCATCAATCTGGAAGAATAAATAAACTTATATTTAGAATGACTATATAGAATATTTTGTCATACTTGTTAATATAAGTTTCTAATTTTATGGATTTTTTATTGGTTCTTAAAGCTTGGAATGCTTTTGATATCAACTTTAGGAAATTCAATTACTTTATTTTTATTCTTAATTTATTCAGTCAAGTAATCACTACTTTGTTTAAGAATCCTTAAGGCTGTGTTATAAGAGATTTGATTCAGCTAAGAATGAAATATCAAATTTACTGATGAGTAATTATAAATGCATTGTCTAAATTAACATTTCAAATTGATTGTTTTTTAAGTTGAACCATCTAATTTTTTATAAGAAAAATAGATATTTGTGCTTTATGATTCTTTGAGGGATATAAAACTATATTTCTCAAACATAGAACCATATTCAACTTATTGCTACTCAAAGAATATTTCTGCTTGGTAATCATCGTCAATATAAACCTATTGAGAAACTCTAAATTTAATGTAATATCAAATACCCCAATTGTCTTAATATGCCTCTATAAGTATCTATTTATAAAATGTATTTATTGTAATTAGTCATTATGATGTTGCAATCCTCAATTAATTATTCCCAAAACTAATTTAGTAATTCATAATACGTAACACATTAAGAACTTATAGGAAATATTTTTGGATAAGGCTGCAATTTTTAAGATTTATTGCAATTTGATGACATCGTAAAATGTATCAAATTTGCTTATTGATGGTTTCACACTAATTCTTTCTTTAAATACTACTCATATCAACTTAATTCATACTTTAGACATCATGAGATACTCTTTATGGATGTGATAACTTTCCAAAATATGTTCTTGAGGAAGGCTTCTTACTTTCGCTTCTCAAAATCTTATAACTTTGCTTTAATTGATTGTATTGATGATGACCAGTTTGAGATTAAGCTTAAGAGCGATAATAATTATATCCATGAGATAGATCATTTTATTACTAATTCAATAGCATTTATTCGTATTGATCTTTAAACTTTTAAATGCTGATAGAAGAGATTCCTGATCTCTCACTTAATCTTGATTTTATAGAAAACTAATCGTCAATATGTTACAATTTTTATTATCTCATGAATGATATGAAATTATTATATCTTTATGGAAAATGATTCAAATACTCATCTAAACTTTCTAATATGTTTCCAGGAATGATCTTGTCTAACGTGGTTTGATGTAAATTACTAAATTCATAATCTGACATAACACTCCTAAATTACTTGCAAAGATTTGGAATGTAGATTTGTATTATTAAATCATGGCTTAAAGTATTTTAGAATAAAGACACAATTAAGAAATGCTTACTCAATTTCTTGACTCTTTAAAATATTAATTGTATCGCCTATTTCTATTTAATAAACAGATTCGTTTTTTGTTTTGATCCCATATTCTCATTTATCTGATTCACATACTTAAAATTTGAATTTAGCGACAAATGAACTTATTAGGAATTCCCTTTGTAGGACAAACTTAGTAAATTCTTTAAGAACAAAGCTTTCTCTTCCACAGAATGATTCAAGATCTAGAATGTCTACAAATCATTATGATTCAGATATGTTTTAAAGGATGATAAACGTTTTTCAAATGGAAATATCAGAATCTCCAATATCATTATATCTTCCTCCATTAAATATTAAGTAAACTGCAATAAGTTCATCCCTTTAAAGTTATTTAATTTAGATACTACCTGAAACTTAGTTATTTTACAGTAAGTTCTTAGTAAATTCTTAATATGGTTTTGTTCATTAGCAACTAAATGTTTTAACAGTATTTTATAAATTTCTTTAGTTGAATTAGATTTCAATTCGTAATTAAAAATTTATTTTGTTTAATTTTAAAAACCCAGAGTAACAAAGCTTCCATTTGCTTTATATTCTTAAAGTATATAATAATTTAAGACTCGTTGCAATTACTAAAACTCACCAATGATAGGTCTACTTTATTGATTAATGATTTTCTTAAACAATTCCTGTAATTTTGTTAAGCTTTATTAATTGTTAATTTATATAAACTTTGGCTATTGATTTTTGTACAGGTATAACTCGTAGATTTCTTTTCCTTTAAAATATGATTATTTAATTCTAAATACTATTCGTGATTGATTTTAAGGTTTAAAAATAAAAATGTAATAATGATCTTTATTGATTTAGGAGTTGTCATTAATTAAAGATTTCCTTTCTATCCTTCTTGTTGTCTTATATTCAGGAAATTCATCAAAGATAATATTGTTGGATTTTTTATAATTATATCCATCGATTTGATTGATTTACTTGATATAATTCAGTTTGGCTATGTAAGGAATATTTCTATAGTATCCCAAATAGATTTTTAAAACGGATATATCTAGGTCTACAATTTAAGTGAATTTTTGCAAGGATTAGCTAGACTGAATAACATCCCTTTGTTAAAACAAATAACTATGCAGAAGGAAGTGACCGAAATTTTCTGGATTTTCAAAATTAAATGTAAATGTCAAATAATTAACATGCCAGCCTTCTTTATCACGTGTTAAATAAAGAAGTAAAATCTATCTAAAATCATTATAATATTACTTACTGACTCTAATAAGGATTAAAAGGAATGGGATCTTTTAATTTTATATCTCTTTATTTTGGATAATTTTTAAAGTAATCCTCTACATTTGGTTTTTGTTTAGATTTTTTCATTAGATTTGAGGAGCTTTAGGAAAAGGAAGAAAAGGTATTATTCTTTGGTCTAATTTGGGGAGAGATGGAAGATCTAGGTGAAGCTTAGGAAAATCCTGATTTGGGTGTAAAACTGGATTCTTCAATAATTTCATCTTAAAATTCTGCTTTGAAGGATTAAGATCTCAATCCTTACCAGTAATTATAGGGAGACATTGCTGTCGACTATAAGACTGGAGATTACAATTCGATTGCAATAGACAAGGATTTTAATAATCTTTTATTTCTTAAATTAGAATTTTTAATACCAAAATATCTACTACCAATATGAAAGGGTTAGAATGTCTTTTTAATAAGATTTCTTCTTTATTCAATTTATCGATACAATTCCACTTGATTTTCCAGAATTTATTCAGAAAATGTGACTCTTCTAAATTTGTATCCATTTTCAGTTCTCATATATAGAAAATTATTAAGAAACAATTAGTTCAGATGATTTGAAATGTTTTGACATCCTTTCTTCAAAATGTCTTATCTTAGTAATGTTTATTTAGTTTGAATAAATTGAGTTGTAGGTTTGATAGAGTGATTATATTAGATACCATGAGATTGAAAATAAACATTGATTAATTGAGATATGAGTTCTGTACTTGAAAACGTATTTTCAAAATCTTTAGAAATATTTTATATATTTTTCAGATGTAATCTGATATCATATTGTTTGCCTTTGACTTCTATTGCAATACTCAATACAAAGATAGCATTAGTGCCATCAATACTACTACTCCACACTTCTATGATCTGCCGATATTTTGGAGTTTCCTTATATAACTTTGCTATGTCAGGATGGATTTAAGTTTTCTTAGTTTTTAATCGTTTAAATACGACCCAGGAGAAATTCTTAATCTTCCAAGAGACAGCATTAATTTGTTTGATTGGTGAATAGATCATCCAGGATTTCAAAGAACCTTGATCTATCACTTAGCATATATGAAGAATTGATTTAATTCTAGCAAGTTTCTCTTCTATCAATATATTTTTAGTTGCACCAACTTCAACAATCAAATTAGAAAAGTGTTATTTGGCTGTGCTCTTTTTCATTAAGTCTTGACTCTTTTAGATCTTTTATTTTTGGACAAAGCTTCTAAAATTCTTTATTATCATTCTTAAGGCATGTTCTTATTAGATCTTATATAATCCATCTAATCTATTGTGTAAATACTCATTATCAATCTAATGTTTGCTACCGCCAGAACTCGTATTTAAACTGTAATAGGATTAACCAATTCTCGGAGAAAAATGGAAGTCCAAATCTTGCTAACCTCTTTATTAATCAGTCTTAAAATAACTTGATTGTTCTGAAATCTCACACTATATTGATTTAGAATCCAAAATTTTAGGTTACGATTATTCCTTTACCTCTATGCGTTATTTAGAACTACTCTTCATTAAGTTTTGTTAATGGAGCTTTATTTAACTCCTTTTAAGAAGAGTATTCCGATTCTATTATTATTAGGACAAACTTGATTATTGATGATGATGCTACTTTTAAGGAGATGGTTAAGTTTACTAATTTTTCACTAACTTCTTAGGATGCCTCTATTTGCATGATTGAGGCCTTTGTAAGAGTAATTCTTGCATGTTACTACTTTCTACAGGCATATCTTGAACAGAATCTAGTTTATAAGATCCTCTTAATTCACTGGTAATGTTATTCTGTCTGAATTAAATGATTGATTTAGAATGGAGGTTAGAACTGGAAAGAGGGAGATACAGGTTCATTTTTTGATCAGAAATTTTGAGTAAAGATTCATTACCTTTGTATCTGATTCTCTTAGAAGGTTCAAAGGTTGATGCTTCTGTCGTTAATTTTTCAATTTCACTTAAATGCATATTTCTACCTTTTTTTAAATTGGCTTCTTTTTTGGTTTGATTCTTGAAATACTAAAATTCCAGTCCTTGCTTAAAAACCTCGAAGTTCGGTATTGATTGTAACTGCAAGAATTTAATTTTTCTTTATCTCTGGTCCAGTTCTGTCTAATATAACTAACTGATTTTATGATCAGTTCCAAAAAACTAATCTGCTAACTTTGCTGCATACTCAATATGTTCAATTTTATTAGTTTGCTTGTATAACATGAAATATGTTTTAGCTTTTATTTAATTGATCTTCTCATCATCCGTGTCAAGAGCCAACAATCCCTCTGCTGTCAAAGCCTATTTTAAATGATATTGGGCTTCAGCTAAAAAAAAATATAACGAGCTTTTTGTAAATTAATCAACTTTTTGCTTGACTCCACTTGGTAGCTTATCAAATTCTTTAATATGATCTCCTATCAAATGAACAATTTAATCCCATTCCTTGTCCTTTCTATATTATATACAAAGTGGTAACGATTCCTAAAAGATGTGAGTATATTTGTTTATATAATCCTTTGAGGTGAGGCTTTTCATTAATGTATTAAATTTATTCATTTTGAAATAAAGTAAGAAAATTATAATGAAATTAAACTAAGAATTTATGAAATTATTTTCAACTTTCCATTACAAACATTTGCCAATGAAATGTTGCAATTCAGTGCTATTTTGAATCACTTAGTAGATTAATGATGAGATATTTATATGAATGAAAAATTTAATCGAAAATCTTATCAAAGTATTTTAGAACATTCCATAACAATTGATTTGTTTGACTAAACAATTAAATCATATTATTATCTAGAATTTATGAGGGCTTATACATGTTTTATAATGTTGCTCATCATTTATTACTTGTGCAGCTTAACTTTTTACACTTATTTTAACTGTATTCATTTAGAAAAAAGATTAATTCAATAAACAATAGACAAATAAAATATGATTTATAAGTTTTATGAGTATATTAGATCTCATTAATGAAGAAATCTGTTGCCAAATAAAATGATTTGATAAATTATAATTGAAACTACCTGTTTATTAAAAATGATAACAAAAATTGATAGATTAAATTGCATATATAGAAAATAGTAATTCTAATGTGAATTTATGTTGATAACAAAGTATATTAATAATTTCAAAATTTAATGTTAGATACATTTTAGTTATATTATTTAATTTAAAGGAGATAATCATTAATATTTAAGAGAATATCAAGTTATTTGTTCAAAAAATGAAATAATCCTGATAATTCTCAAGGTTATAATAAATCAGGACTTGTATTATCTGCATCTGCACCAAATTTGTTACTTAGAAGTTCAAATTTAAGTAAAAACTATTAATAATATAAAATCTTCTTATATATGAGTTGGATTCTCCCATTCTTGCTCTAGTCCATCAGTGATTTCTAAAGATTTTAAGATTATTCATTTTTGCTCAGCCTCAACTTAAGAAAGAGATCAATAATAGACAAATTAAGTAAAATGTGGAATGTATTAACTCTTAAAGAGAATTTAAGAGGCAGTCTTTCTTGTTTAATTGATGTTAGTCAATTTAAGTATTTTCATTTATAAAGAAATGTTATAAATGACATTGTTATAAGTCTTGAAACTTATATTAATATAATTTATATTCAAATGTCTTTCGATAAATTACAACCTGTCATTAAACAAATTGATATGAGTGATGAAATGCAAAGAGAAGTCATTGAAGTATCAAGATAAGCCATTGACAAGAGTTCTACAGTATAAGCATTAGTAATATGTAGGATTAATAAATTGCCTCATATATCAAGGATGAGTTAAGAGCAAAATATCATGGAACGTGGCATTGTATTGTAGGAAGAAACTTTGGATCGTATGTAACTCACGAAACAAAACATTATATATATTTTTACATTGGATAACTGGCCATCATGCTCTTCAAAACAGGATGAATTATATATTATATATCAGATAATAATTATTGGTCATGTGAATTACTTATGTTTAAAGTCATAATAGTTTAATTTTGAGAGGATCTCAAATATCAGTTTTTAATTATTATATTTAATTGCAAAACAATAAACATATTCCTAATCAAATGGGATCTTGTAAGTATTTACTTTGTGCTTTTGCATAGAATATTTTTTATAAATTAGGATTTTATCTCTTTCTTCTAGATTGAATTTATTAAAAGCTTAATTTTAAAATGAAATCATCATCACTTGGCATAAAGCTTCGATATTCTTTTTAAATTGAATCAAGTGGATTGAATTCTATGCATTTGATCAATTTATTTGTTTAGGAATCATTATCATCTAACATGAATGTAGGTTATAAATCATTATTTTCTAAATGATATTTTTTTAAATTAACTTTTTTGTTTTATTGTGATTTTTTCATTATTTTAGCAATTATTGAAGCATTTTATTTTTCTGATTCAAAATTCTACATTTAATACCCTGATTAGGCTCTTTTACTATTAGTTCTGGCAGTGTTTAAACGCTTCTAATCCATATCGTAAGTTTTTTCTCTACGAAATGAATATGTCTTTCTTGCTGAACATGTAGTCTAAGGACGCATAAAGTATGTGTTTATTGATTTTTATTAACTGTTTGAATTTATTGATTAATGATCCATATACTTACTTTTTGCCACTATTTGAGTAGTTTTCATACCATATTTTTAATTTATACTATTTAATTTTTATTCGAACTCTTTGCTTATTAATTTACATTTCTTGGGTTACTGAATAGTCTTTGATTACACTGATGAAGACCTTTAAGATCGATATATCACTCGATTTTCGAAGTCTTTGACGATTTATTGGATTCTCTTTGGCTTGTTATCGTATTTTTAAGATTGCTCAAATGAACTGTACTGATTACGATAATCACCTATTTATTCAATTAGCCTCTCAGTGTCTGATGAAATCTTTGGTGGATCTATAATATCATTGCTTATATTATTTTATAGGGCAAGATCCTTTATTTTATTCAAAATCTCCCTTATTTTTGTTAAATCCCAACTGCCGCTTATTTTATCGCATTTCAAAGTGCGCAATTTTTCCAATGGGTTAAGTAAAAAGTCCTCTATCATTCCGCTTGCCAAACCAAATGGTTTTTATCTATTAGGACTGGCTTCTAAGTTTATATAAGTCAAAGACATAAAAAAATTAAATTAGTAAACAAATACAAATCATACTTACATTCTTCTTTAATCAACCACTAGGATATTGGGCTTAGCTCTATTAGCTATTCTGCTTTTTAAGATTCTCATTTCTTGGTCAACTAAAAATTTATTACATTTTGGTATTTCGAAAGAAAGATTACCTAATTAAATTTAAGTGATAGCCAATTATTAATCCCTTATATTAGTAGGCGTGTGTGTTCCATATTAATGATATAATCTATTTTTCAGCTTTTTATTGATGGTTGCAGACTCAATAATAGATTGAGCCCTACTGGTGAGTTCATCTAAAATAATTGAGTTTCCCTTCTTAATATTAGGGACATTCTTAACTAAGGGAGGGGAGTTTCTATTCTCGCATTTCATCCATTGTTGAGCAAAATCATTGAAAGTTTTATTCAATAAAGTTCTTGCTTTATCAAATTTGATTCTTTCCGTATGGGAAGATGTAACAGGTTTTGCTGCTTATTTAACGGGATTGCTTTAAATTTCACTATATCGAAGTGAAGGTAAACCCATTTTTTAATTTTTAGGCGTATTTCGATTTTAATATTCGATAAGTTTTTGATTAATGTTTCGTGATCTTAGTTTAGATCTTTCGACTATGTCGATTGACTTATATTGATTTCTGTAAAACTGCGCTATTTCATTTTAAACCCTACTCTAATAATTCTCTTCCACTTTCATAGGCTATTTAATTTGTTTTTTATTTAGGTTTTCAAAAGCCATCAATTTAATGGAATTTAGGATTTATTTTATTTATTCAGTATCGTTCTAATAGTAGCCTTGTTCTATTTGTCTTAACTAAATTTATTCTAGTTCTTTGAGAGGTGAATTCATAATATGTTAATTAATATTATTATTTTTATTTAAAGCAATATAAAAAATAGTATAAAGGAGTGCTCTCAGGGGCAAAATTTATTCTTTACAGAGGTAGGGTGAAATACTGTTATTGATATAATGGTCTAAAATTAATATAATATAATATTTTGGATCATGCACCACTTCATTGAGAGCACTCAGGTGTTTGACTATTATGATTCCGTTTCTAGTGGATATATTTGTATGAGCATATTATTGAAAGTATTATTAAATAAATGTATTAAAATAAAATATTTTGTGCATTATCTAGTATTGCCTTAATATTTTTTTGTGTTAATTTCAGGGAATCTTTGCCTTCATTATATTTGGTAGAGTGCTTGATTCTCTTCAAAACAAGTATTTAAGTGAGTTTTAAAAGAAATGATAGACTTTTTAATGAATTAGTGCAACATAAAGAGTATTGTGTATTTTTAATGATAAAAGGACTCTTTCAAAAAAAGAGAAGTTGATTTTAATAGATAAATCGTTTCGAATAAGCAGATTGTATAAATTGAAAGTAATGATAATTGTTGGGATCAACATAATAATACTGCTATATTTAGGTGCCAATTTTTATGCACCTGAGCTTTTAGATTCCATATTAGCCTTATATCGAGAGTACACCAGCATAATCCAAGAGAGAGTATCACATTATCCATTCAATTTTAGATGAAAGATCTCACTCTGTTTTAAAATGTCATCTACAACAGCATTTTCTTTTTGATCAGTTTCCCATACATGTCATCAGAATTCACCATATACTCCAAAGTGAATTGGAGTTACTTTCGATTTTTCAATACAATTTCGGCATCATATCGTTACCTTCAAGTATGAGAATCTCAACCTACTCTAGTTCCTAGAAGCAGTCCTCCTGTTGACAGCCTCATTTATGAAACCGACCCTAGCAGCCTACCCGTTGAATTTCTTCGCCTTCATGTTGATCTATGAAATCAGTATCCAGGAGCCTTTCTTTTTCAAAACTGTATAATAGTCTAGTAATTAGCACTCAGTTGAAACAAAGCTTTAAACATAAGATACTGTGCAAACTCTAGATTGTGATACAATACACTCTGATAATAATATTGGCGTTAGAATACTCCGGATTGCCCCAATATGGGTTAAACAGTTTTTAAGCCTTGCTCTCAGGACTGAAGACTTCGTATGATGGTCCCTACCTCCTCATCTTGGCAATAGCCTATTTTTTAAATATCATAATAGATGTGTTATACAATGTGAGACAATTGAGAGGTCAAGTAAGTGCGGCTAGTGATTTATCAAATGACTTTGATTTGGATCTAATCAGTTATTTGGCTTAGAAGGAGAGGTAGGAACGTAGATAGACGGTGGTTGCATTGATAATCCAGACTTAGGATAATGCGATACAAGATCAGAATGAGTAACCGCAGATTAACCAGGGTGAAGTGAATGGGGAAGTTCAGAGAAATTATATTGAATAAGAGTAGGAAGTGATTGAGGATAATGTAGAAGGGTAGGACAAGCAAAAGAAGAATCATCAATTTGTTATCATTAGGATTCTTATTGCAATTTAATAACTATATTGTGTATTCATCATAATGAGATTTCCCTACTTGGGATTCACATTATCAATTTTATGGATTTTCTAGAGTTCAATCACTAGGAATCCAGAACAGATTATTTAGTTCTTATTTTTAGTTTATTACCCAACAGCTTATTATCAAATTAGGGAATGTGAAAAACTTGATGTATTTGATTAATGTTTAGTTTGGACTTAATTATTTATTTGCTTCGGAACCTATAAATTTTACTTGAATAATAAGGAGCAAATTCAGTCTGCACTCAATTCAAAGTAATCCTTATTCCAGACTTATTTTAATTAAGAATAGGAAGAGGAGGCATTTCAATTAGCATAGTTAATTTGGGCATTTGTTCTGAGGAATAGCTACTCAATTACTTTGGTTATAGTGTTTTGGATTAGTCTCTTTACAGCAAACATTATACACACTCTGTTATTGGTGACCACAATCTTATTCATAGTGAGACACGAGAACAAAAATAGATCTAATTCCCAACATTCATTCAGACACAGAAATTGGATATGGATGGTTGTGATAATCAATATCATCATATTGCTCAAATATGTGTATATGTTGGAGATGGTAGTATTCGGTGACTTTGGTTACAACATAATTGAGTTGTTTGGATTTTAGTTTGAATACAATTTGCCATTTAATTTAGGGTTCAACGACAAGGATTTTGGATCTTTAAGTGTATTTTGGATGCTGGATTGTTTTGTAGTTCTCCAATATGAGACATATAAAAGTACTACCTATAAACAATTGCAGGAGAACTATCAAAAGATGATTTCCAAAATTGGAATATTTTCATCGGTAAGATAGTTGTACAATGTATTGTATATCAAATTTATTTTATGGATCTGCTATTGGATTTCATTATTGATACTCACCTTCTAATCCTTCAATATTATAAATCTATTTCAGATTCTACTATTACTTTATATCATCAAGACTCACATATCAGGAATGATAAATAAGGATATTCAATTCAGAAAGATTCAAATTTGTTGGAGTATCTTCCTGATGCAAGTTGGATTTGCCACATTATTTCGATATTTATTTGACTTCTCTTGGTAATTCATAATCTCTATTACATAAGCTTACAATTATTATAATCTCAGTTGAGAAAGATAACCATTTATGAATACATGTACACTCACCAAGGTTTCATTGGATTAAGTAAACGAGTACCATTTTTGATCTTTCCCAATCTTGTGTTAGACATTGCAGTATTATGTTTGGGATATTTGGGGTAAGACTATTTGCAATAGATGATATCGATCAATGATCTAACAGTCCATGTTCAGAGATCACACAAGCATACGAATGAGCATAATGAAATTGAGTTGGAGGATCTCAGCAAAAGTCTCAAGGAGAATCTGATCAATTCAAACAATGATTCTTAGATGGAGGATAGACAATCCATAGCGGCCAATTTCGCTTTTGATTTCACCTTACAATTGTAATTTATGTGTTATTCTATTATATAGTCCGTTTTTAAATGTGATATATAAGTATGTGAGTTTATTGTTACCAATTATTATCTACATCGTTATTGTTATAACATCAATCAAATACAAGATATCATGTAGTATGCTAGTCTATTTACTAATCATGTTTTATTACATCTACAAAACAAGATCGTATTTTATTGAGCAATTTCAGAACCATCAAATCACAAGCAAACTCAATGAAAGTATTAATTGAATTAAATTAGAAATCATAAGATGGAAATACATTTTCATAAATAAAGTAGAGAAGGAAGGAATGCGAGTTAGGATGGAAGACTCTCTAACATCAAAATACAATACCAATCTTATTTTAACTATTGCCATGATTACCAAAGACATAAAAATAAAGTCATTTGAATACAAAAAGGCTTGTTGGGTTGGCACTCTCATGTTTAGTATGCTATTCCTATTAATTACTTACTTATCGCAATCCTTGAAATATTTTGAGGATTACATTGACTTAAAGACAATGGTAAACATTAAGTACATCTTGTTTGCCTTTGGAACCTACAACGATTACCAAAGGGATGATTTTATAGTCAAAGACATCTATCCATATTTAATCGCCTTGATAATAGTGATCATAGACGTGAAGGCTTCAGACTTTCTCACTTCGATTGACAATGATGATTAACATCAAGAATAGATTACTAAATCTATTTAATAGACTGAATAATATCGAGTCTCTGAGAGAGAGTCCCTTTAAAATTCTGCCTCCTATTTGATTGATAATTTCTATTACAACAAATTTCAATTGTTAAAGCTGAACTTCCAAAAGGGAGCTATTCATTCTTCAGAGAGAATGTACATGATCATCCTATTCTTTTTGGCTGCTATTTCTGAAGGTATATTCAGCATCATTTACATCCTATTGTTTGCACTTGTGTTCTACTCGTCAACCAACTCAAAGTCTACTATCAACAAGTATTTTATTTCAAGTATTTTAAAGAGTGAGTGTATTAGTGGTGATCTTCCAATACGTTAGTTATCTGATAACATTATCTTAAGGCTCATCCCCAAGAATCCTGCCTGAGGAATTCAATCAAACAGAATATCTCATTTTCAACTTCTCAAATACAGATTTGCTAGATAAATGGGGGTTGTCTGGCAAAGGAAGGAGCAAGGGAACCTTTATTTTTAATTGCATCATCATATTTGCCATTTGGCTCTTTTATTACTTTTAGGAAGTGCTAAGCATCAAGATGATCTTGTTCATTGATCAATGCTACATTAATATGAAGTTAAGGAAAAAGGAAAAGCACATCTCCTCTAAATTTTACATCATCATCAAACGACTCTACATCATTGGCATAGTGTATTTCATCTTATTGGTGCAACTCTCAGTGTTATGCTATTATTTATTTGTAATCTACTCGACCAGAATCTTGAAGACCATCAATTTGGCCATGTTTCTATTCACAATGTAATTAAACCATCCTTAATATTTAGATTGTCATTGTATGTAATTGAAATACAGTTGAAGATTCCAAAGAAATAGACTGAAAAAAGAACTGACATATACAAGAGAATAATATTTGTTCAAGAAGGAGCCATCCTCATTATATTTACTATCTTGTTTGCACAGAAACTGTTCAAGGATGAAAATAATACAACAAGCAACATCTCAATAGTAGAGATTTTGATATTTTATTTGTTGCAATTGGGCAAGGATCTCTTGGAATCTGAGTAATATGAGAAGATATCGAAGGATTTCTATGATAATCTTGACACTAGATCTGAGGCTGTTGGATTGGCTATGAGTTTTGAAGCCAATAACAGAAAGTTGATGAAACTGATTGAGAGATACAAGGATAGAAATGACTTAAAGGAGAGAATAGATACCATCACTAAGATGATAAATGAATTCAATCAGGACAAGTATAATATCTATCCTAAGTAGTCGCCAAATTGATTGTTAAGTCATTAACATACAGGATCAATACAATCCTATGGCTGAACCTTTGAAACTTACAATTTACAAATGGATCGAATCTCATAGAAATCGTTTCCTCTTTGAACCTACACTGTAGATTTTCCACTTCATTGCTTGTTCCAATTTGCAAGTGTTGGAAATTGCAGAACATGAAATTTAATACATCTAGAATCAGGATTTCGAAGCTGTGATTTCTTATTTGCAAAGTTTCTATAAGGAGGCCACAAAGTACATCTCACCTACCTTAAGCAAAGAGAGTTTCATGCAGTAGTTCTTACAAAATAAGAGGAATGTTGGATTCAGTTAAAATAATGAGATAAGGTAGATTAAGAAGGATTGGCAAAATCTAAAGGAGAAGATCTCAGAACATGCTTCATCAAACAATTTAACCAGAGAGGATATTTCACAATACATCAACTAATACGATTGGAAGAGATTTCTGCTAGTCATTGGACAATTCATATTTTCTTTCTGGCATTTCATTTGTTTCATATTGTTGATTACCTATTACTTTCTAAATCATGGTTTCTTTACCATAATAATGCCATTATTGGTTTTTGCTTACGGAGCAATCGAAGAATAACAGCCAGATAAATTAATGTGGATATTCCCCTTCATCTATTTGAACTTCCTTTGTGCCTTGGAGAAGTTGGATGATCTAACTCCATTTCTGCAAGACAACACCTTTTTGGTGTTTTTATTTGGTGAGAACTCAGTCGTCTTTCAATTCATAACAATCGTAGCTATCATAATACAAGTGAACATTATGAAGAATATTGGTCTCTATGAGAAATTCATAAATCAATATGAGACTATTTATGGCAGCATCTTAAGACATCTGTGTAATGGCACTTTGAATTTGGAAGATGGGATCAAGAGACCCAAATAATAAAAAATAGTGAGATCTAAAAGTTAAGAGAGATTCTAATGTTTGAATACAGCATTATAAGCATAACGAGTGTCAATATAGATGAATCAGACGTTTACAGTTTTGCAAAAATTGGAAGATGATCTAATAGATTACCTAACCAGAATCAAACTAATAAAGCCTAACTTTTTCTTTAGAGCTTTCAGCAATATGAAACCTGGAAAGGATGTGTATCCATTCATGGCTGGCATTCAAATTATATTGGCTATCTACATATTTTTGTTCTACGATTAGATGAAGTCTATGGATTCACCTTCTATTTCAGAACTCTTGAAGTATAGTCAATTTTCTGGTCACATGGTTGTTGCCTTGCTCTTTCAAATTCTCTGCATTTTGATCGACAGATACATACTGCAATACAAACCTAAATCTGCCCAATATAGTATAATCGACGTATTTTTCAGGAGTGGAAACAACTATAATTAGAATTAGAATTAGAATTAGAACTAGAACTAGAACTAGAACTAGAACCAAGTAATGATCTAGCAATTCAACCAATTTAAAGAGCAAATGGAACCAGAGGAAGTCAAACAAATTGAAATTCAAATGAGACAAACAGTTGGAGGAGTAGGATAAAGATCAGAAGAGGTTAATCCTCCAATCTTCAGAAGAGGTAGATCGTTATCCTTTGCAGAAAAGAAACAAATAGAATAGAAACAAGTGGAATAAGTTGCTTTGAGATACAAGTACTATTTTTAGGTAGTGTTACTGGTTTCTATAAATCTATATTTATTATATTAGATTAGATAGAGCACTTGCAATGTAGCTGGAGAATGTTAATACATCACTTACAATATATTTATGATCCTCTTCTATATGTTGATTTGTTTGTACTTCTTTTTGTCTTCCATTCAGATTAAATATGGGATCAATGATCAAATAGTAAACTACTGTATTATTTTAGGCATAAAACACACTGATGAAAGGGTACAAGTTCCACAATTTTGTTATTTTTAAGGTGTATAAATTGATGCCCTTTTTGTTTGAATTGCGAACCATTTGCGATTGGGCATTTTCAGAAACGTCATTAACATTATTTCAATGGATTAAACTTGAGGAGATACATTCCCTACTGTACTCGGCCAAATGTAATTCCTATTTCTTCTCTAACAAAAAGGTTGGGGCCAAGATTGCATTTCACACTAAATTTTCATTAGGATTCTTGGTAATCATAGTGTTATTGGCGTTGTTGTTTGGTCCAATCTTTTTGTACTCTCCATTGAACCCAACATTTTAGAATGACAATCTCATTGGAGCTAACATCGAAGTGGGTTTGAAGATTAACAAAACAAACTACTTTACATTGTTTGTGAATTCACACGTGAGTGATATCCATTAGATTAGTGAATTCGAATGGAATGCTAAAAACTTATCTTAATACAAATTCTTAAATAATATTGACAAGGAGTCTCTCTAGATAGTTAAATTGACTCATTTTTCAGACACTTATTGGGACATCAGCTATCCTAGTTTGTATTCATTATCTGAGAATCTGAAGAATGTTATTGACAAGAAAGGGGCATCCACCTTCAATTTAATACAAACTTATAGGTTTATGAGACAGTACACAGATTAGACTTCTCAGTTCGTGAGTGATAATTATGAGTTGAATATCAACGCCTTGAAATAGATATACGAATCGATAGTGAGTTGTTAGGAGAATAAATAAATGAGTAATCCCATTCAGTTGTAGAAATTTTATCATGACTTCATAAGAATAGATAAGAATAAGGATATATCCATATTGGATGAGGGATTGATGAATTCAGTAATGATACAATTGAATTGTACAGCTAATGATCAGTTTTGGTGGTCAATATACTCAGATTACAAGTAGTCAGTAGGGATTAAGTTCTACATAGTGAGTGACAAGTATTCGAGTGCTTTGTTGGGGTACTCAATCCTTGGGTTTTACATAACGATAGTGTACGTGGCTGGGAAGATGGCAAGAGGAATAATGTCTGGGGGAATAGATTTGATAATGTTGTAGGACATGCCTTATCCGGATAATTTGTTGAAGATCTGCGAGGCTATAATAATGGCGAGAGTGGAGAAGGATCTGATACAGGAGGAGTTGCTGTACTTCTAGTTGATAGATGTAATACGGTCGCCGTAGTTGATGCGGAATATATCTGGAAGTTTTGTGGCGTAGAGATTGCAGAGATTGGAGATAGACAAACAGTTGTAGAAATAGAAATAGAGATGATTTAATGATTTTTGTTATTGAATTATAAATAGTATCTGGTATAGAGTAGGGAATATAAAATATACTGTGTATTTGAATATGTAGAATATTCATTGATCGTTGGGAACTATGATGAATCCTACTGTGATTGAATGTGATAAGTTCTATTCTTGGGCATAAATTTCAGTTGGAGCAGAGGCACCGTCCATTGCGGCCATGGGAGCCATTTTGTTCATGTAGGATGTTCTTGGGGCATATTGTTAGTCGATGGAAATACTTTTGATGGAATGGATTTTCATGTCCAAAGATTTGAGTGCAATTTCAGCCTAATGAAATTAATAAGTAGAAAAACTTTGTGTGTTGCATCTTTGACAGCTAATTAAAGAATTTAATCTTTTAGTTCAGATTTCTGTTCTGGTTTGACATCGAAGGATACACTGTTGATTGTGGTTACTCCTGCATTGATGGCAGCATCGATCAGCTGTCCAACAATCTTCAAATTCGAGGTTTCCAATTTTTGGCTTATGATCACTTTGTAGCCCTTGAATTTGAGTTCAGGGTTTCCATTGGTATACTCATATTCAGAATGAGGGAACATCTAGAATTAAGCGGTTGTGATCTTCACTCCTGCATTTGAGGTGTCCACTGATTGCAATGACCTATTGGGATTCACCAGGAATCTTACTTGAAGGCTGTCGCTTATATGCTGTTGGCTTTATTCAAAGCCTATTCTGCCATTTAATTTTGGATTTCAATTGCGAAGTGAACTGTGACTATTGTTGGTTCAACACTTAGAGATCCTGTTCCTGTGACATAGAATACATCTGGTCTCCTGTGTTCCACTTCAGAACACTAAATATGGAATTTGTAATTAAAATTACCTCAAAGTTGTTGATTGCTATTTATTAATCTTTGATGAATGATCCGAAAATAAGAGTGATGCAGACTGCAATTGTTAAAATTCTAATCATTTTTTATATTAAATATTAACTCAATTATAATAATTGAAGGAGCTCTTAATTACTAATTATAGTGATGTTATTTAAATTCCCCTTTATTAGGGGGGAATCAGAAATCGTATCTACTAATTGTAGTTTTAAATTGATTAATTACTAAAAATAGTGAAACCTAAATGATTATATTATTCGTATGATGTATCATCATTCTATATGGCTAATTACGAATCCCACGGTCACTTATTGCTCCATCTGGCTGCTGACTCCGTATCCGTAATTCTACTAGATTTGGACAGACTTGACCGATTCAATTCTCATGTTCAATTCCTTCAACACCACATTGGCCTATGATTATTTAAATTCCTTACTGTATGTTTAGCATCTTCGATGGCTTATTCCACAAGAACATCCTTCAACCTCTTCTTCTCCTCCTTGCTCACATCGAATTGAATCCCATTCACCTTATTGACCCTGTTCTTCACAGCTATGTCAATAATCCTAACAATCAACACAAGATCTTACTTTCCAACATCACTAATGTTGAGTGTCTCCACTGTTATCCTGTTGATCACTATGAATCCTGAGAATGTCTCATGGTATGGTTGATTCTGACTGTACTCCTTGTGAGGGGAAATAGTGAAATCGGCTGTCTGAATCTTCAATTATCCCTTGCAGTTCTCTTTTATGGCTCTACCCAATAAGGTCTATCACATACTTAACAGCATCGTCAGCTATTTAGGCTGCCTATTGCAAAGCATTCTGAGCCTTCTCGTCCTTCACTTCCACTTCCAAAGTTACCACTGCTTGGGTTGGCTCGATGATTACTGCTGCACTTCCTTATCCATAATAGATGTCTGGTCGCAAATAAACATTTGCATCACACTTTGGTTAATTAGATCAATTCCCTTACCAAATTTAGAGTGGATGTCTTGATAAATTGAGAGTTCAATGTTATTAATGAAATAGATAATACTAGTATGGCTTTCATTTATTTATATAATGAATATTAATTAAACTTCTCATGAAATTTAATCTTGTAAATACGGCAAGAAATCTTTCTCCATAACTTCGTTGTAGTCTGATCCCAACAAACTCAGGAATAACAAAATACTCAGCAACAACATCCAAATCAGTCGTGGAGATTCCATGACTCGGATCTCCTATATCGACAAAGAAGATTACATCGATCAGATTTAAAAGCTAAAGAAGAACAATAACCTACTAAGTCAAGAGCTTAAGCAACTCAAGTCCTAACTCATGTATTATCAGGTATAAAGTGTTTGATTAAGAAAGAACTCGAAAGTTTACAATCATAATGTTAAGTATCGGATACTATTTCAGTTCCACTTCAATAACAAGTCAAAATCAAATAGCTTCTCAAGACTCTTTAACAGAAGGAATCAGAAATTGAGTATCTCAAAAGTCAAATGAAGATCGATTAATTAACTGAACAATAAGAATAATTGTAAAAGTTGAGGGCAATTTGCGATATACAAAAGCAGAAACTTCTCAATAGTGAATCTGAAATTATCATCCCCTCTAAAACCAATGTCTTGAAAGACTTAGAAGCAGACAATGTTAGACTCGTCTAAATCCTAACTGCCCTCGAAGATAAAGTTAAGAGTCTTGATCACATAAAGAAATTAAACACTATACTTCAAAGCAAAATTTAGAATCAATAAAAGCTAATTCTTCAATTACAGTTAGAAATCAGATAGTACAAAGACAGAGACACTATTTTTAATAATAAACTTACTTAATAAAATAAATAAGAAAATCTTATTCAAAAATTATCTTCTGAAATCAACAAATTAAATCACTCAAACCAAATTCAATTGTCTCAAACTGATAAACTCAAGTCTAATTTATCAAATCAGTAGGACAAATATGAAAAAATTATCATGGAAAAAGATGAAGAGATTTTAACCTTAAGAATAAAAATAGAGACTCTCAATAAAATTATTAATGAGGATCATTAATAATTGTCTGAATAGAGAAACAGAAAGGCAGGTAAAAACGCACTCCTACTCAAACCATCCTCATTTGCAAATATGACTGATAGTTTTAAATTTAATCAAGACCTTGTTCTCTCTTCTTAGAGATCTCAAAGTGCAACTCAACGCAAAAAGCTTCTCCTAATTACTAAATAAGATCTCTAGTAGGTTCCCAAAATTCTGAAATACCAATTAATTATTAATCAAATAAGTCTTAACGATATCGATTAAGTATTTCTCTCTCTATATATCTTAGCATTTGTTCTGTCAAATTTCCTCAGAGGATGTTGAATTAAAAGATTTAGTTGAATCCTTCCAAAAGTCACTTTTCAAATTAAATTATTAATAGGCCTATCAATTAAGCCTCTATTTGATGGATTCTGAAGAGGGAAATGATACTTAATCTAAATAGAGAATTAGGAGTATTTTTAAAACCTTAGTTGATAATTACTAATTGCCAACTGCTTAAGAGATTATCAATATGAGAAAAGAACTCTCTTTAATTTTTAATGAATAGGGATTCTAATACATCAAAAATCAACTCACCCTCAAATACGGACTAATAGTAAAAAAGTATCAAATCTATGTAAATTATTAATATTAAATTTAGGATTTATTTGAAATATTACAATTGAAAGATATTAAATTATCTAAGTAAACTAAAGAATATATAGAAGCTTTGTTATTTTAATAAAATAATCAAATACCTAATGTTTTTTTAATCGATCAATTACAATCGATTTTTTGTGATAATTTTTGAATTTATTTATCTTATTAAATTTAGATGAACTATTTTAGAACATTTTTTTTAACATCAAAATGATTCACCTCAAAAATTAAAGAAAGAATTAACAAGAAAAAATAATAATTCAAAAAATTTTAACTGAAAAAGTCCTATTTATAGAGGTTATTCTAAATTTTTATAATGTTGATCAAATCAGTTTAATAAATATCAGATCTAAAACAGATCCTATAATTTATATCAATAAGATAATCATTACATATACTATTTATTTGAGATCTTATAAATATATTTGATATATATTCTATTAATTAATAAATGATATATTTATTATTATATTAGAAGACTTATCAAATATAGCCCCTTTTGTATTTCTAATTTACTTTCTGCATTAACTTAAAAATAAAATAGAATTTATATTTCATCTAATGAATCTAATTCTTTTTCCAAATTCGATTTGAATAAGAAGAAAAACACTTAAAAATTGATCTATATGAAAGGATGATGAAAGTGTTATATTAAGGATCTGGTTAACATTATTATAACTTAATTGATCGATATATTGATTTTATACAATTTATTTATTCAATAAAAAATGAGAGGCAATTAAAAATAATAACAATAAGTTCCAATACCTAGTTACCCATTTCCTTATTCATTTTGGTCTTATAATAATTTTGAAACAAAAGAGTTGGAAGCTTACTTATCATCTCAATCCTAAACTTTGCAAACATAAATTCCCAAAACGTGCATCCAAGATGGATATTAATAATTATGTAAAATCTTAAATCAGCATCCGCATCCTGTATTACACGCCAAATAAGCCAAACAATAATAACAAATAACCAATTTACTTGGCGAATAATCAATTGATAGCATTAAAAACACTTCAGAGATTACATAATTTTTGGTATTCCAAAACACTCAAATTGATGCAATCACATTAATTTTACTCTAGTTTTTATGGCCTCTTTATTAAAACCTAAATGTCTTTAAATTATACAATATTAAATTTTCTGAAACTGAAATGGAAATTTTATAAAAAATAATTGAAAACAACAAACTCATTAAGGTATTTATTGAGTATACCAATATAATTCCTCAAATAAATTGTCCAACACTTACCTAATTATATTTAAGAGGAAATTAAATTACTTAATCTAAATTAAATCAAATATTTTAACCAGGCACTCTTTAGGCCTTATAAGTAATTGAATTGAGTGATAATCCTCTTGGAAAAGATTGTATATATTTATATTAATGCAAGCTATTTAAATCTTGGCCAATTTTATGAGTAAAAAGAACAGTGTTCAATATATTGGACTATCAAGATGTGAAATAGCAGCCTGGGAGGATTTGAAACCTCTGATAGAAACTATTGGACCAGAAAAATTGAATGAAGCAAAATTACAAGCTTATAGAGAGTTAGAAGAAAAGAGAGATAAGCAGATTAAGGATTAATTGAAAGCAAAGAAGAAGGAAGTTGTTGCTGAAATTGAATTAGAACCACTTACACAAAATGCAGATGGAAGTAATATCCATTATCTTAAATTCTAGGTTATTCAATCATTCATAATCAGTAATTATAAATTCTGTTTTTGGCTGTGAATCCGTTCAAAGATAGTGATAAAGATTAAATTGAAAGGTTCATTTAAGCAAATCCAAATGTTTATGTTGTGCTGCAGGGATGTTCATTTGAAACCAAGACAAAAGAGAGACTTAAAAAGCGCTACAATAATATCGTATTTTGATTTATATAATTATTGTCATTATATAAATATTTTTTGGGTTACTGGACAACATCACAATTGTATTGTTGTAATTTCATGTTTAATCATGTTAATTGATCTTTTCAAATACAGTTAGTCCTATCAGTAATATTCGTATAATGATTCAAAGTTTTTATTTCATAAAACTATAAACTTTACATTTTTAAATTAAGCAAGTGAAATAAAAATTTAGTTAGATTTTTTAAATAAATTAAGGTTGTCATTTATTAAACCATGTTTTATTAAGATTTCTCAATATAATTACCATGATGAGAGTTATTTAATAATGGATATTATTCTGGGATATATAGAATGATTTGACCTTTCTGAAAAAACCTTTTTGAAGTTTTTGGTAAGATTGAAATTATAAAAATCAACAAAATTATTATGGTTCAAAGAATTCGGGGTCTCAGTTTTATATTATCAGATATAGATTGCTATTTCATTATACTTAATGAGATAATAAATCAAGTGTTTTACAAATCAGAATAGAATTTTTACGGCATCATTAAATCTCCAAGCGCTAATCCTTTTTTATGACTATCCATCAATAGTTTACTAGGTTTTTGATTAAGAGACTAAGTGCTTTATTGGACACTTAGATTTTTTTGAATGATGTTTCCGAGGTTTATTTTCTTCAATTTTTTGAATGGAGCTAAGTTATTTAGTTTTTGGTAGTGATCTGCTACTTGGTTTTATTTTTTTTTGATTTGCATGTTCAGAAATTTCATACACAATATACTTACTGCCATTCATCTTGGCATATGGTCGTCTTTTGCCTTTTTGTGGAGGGGCTGAGTAATTTCTTTAAACAAAATAATTCTTTAGATTCTAGCTTTGAGATGTTGGGGATTCGATGACAAAATCTAGCAGATCCTATTTTTGAGTTTTCGATAACTCATCTTAAACAGAAGGGTTGATTTTGTATTCTTTTTAAAAAAACTCATCTTCGAAAGAATCTAAATTAAGTTTCATATCGTATGTGAATTATTCAAGAGAATTTTATTTCTGAGGAGTTGTCAAGGGATATCCTCCCTTCAATATCAGGAAATGATTTGCATTGTTTTTACTGCAATTATTACCCATTAAATTATATTTTTCTTAGAATCTTAAAGTATTTTTTTTTAAAATATATGGTAAATATAGCATTGTATGTGAATTATAATTTAATTTAATAGTTTATTTGGTGAATAAATTATATATTAATTTTATAGATTACAATGAAATCAGGGAACAAATGTCTTTATTATTGCAAGCAATTTTTCAATCTACTATTAGGAATGAGTGGTCTCCTTATGATTGCAATAGCCATTTACATTTGGGTCGTAGCTAAAATATTCTCAGTTATAGTTATGTGCATATTGGTGTTGGGGGGAATCCAATTATTCCTATCGTTGATATGTATTGTTCAGATATTCAATTTGTTTAGCCCTGGGCACAAAGAAGGCAATGTTTAGAATCAAGTGTTACAACTTTATCTTAGGATTCATACTATTGGGATAAGTCACAATTACAATCTTGGCATTTGTTTTAGAAGATCAATTTATCGATAAGGGTATAGAGAATGATCTTAGAGTGTAGCAATTGAAAAACTTGACGAGCCCCAGGAAACAGCTGATGCTCTAAAGGAATAATTGAAAAATCAATATACAAGGTCCATTTTCATTACGCTCACCAGTTTAGGGATTTAACTCATGTGCTTTGTGTTCAGTGTGTGGTATAGGGATTCACTTGAAAATGCAAATGACAATAGCAAACTCTTATATGATGAAAAAGAAAAGTATAATGAATATAGATTTATATAGAAAATATATGAGTTTCGAAGAATATTCTTAAAAATAGCAAGCATAAGTAAAGGAAAAGACAAATAACAACAGAAATGAAGTATATTCACGAAATCCAGAATTTTATGAGTGGAAACAATAACAACAAGGCAAGAAATGATTTATAAATGATTTAATATCATGTATATTTTCTATTAAACTATCTGCAGTCAATTTATTAAGAACTAATACTCATCTAAACCCAAAGAACTTAAAGACAAGTTATTATATTATAGTGAAAAAGAATATTTGATATATGTTTCTATAGAATACTTTATATATTAATGTGACTGTTAGGAGAGAAGTTAGTGATTCAAAAATTAGTATAAATTGCGTATATTAATTTTAGACTAGTTTTGCCAAGCATTTTCATAAATTTTAGACTTGAAAAGTTTAATGTATATATTTAGAGCATGTCTTAATTTATCTATATTATGCAAGGTTGACAAGAGCAATGGAGGGATATTCAGAATATTAAATATCGATATTGAATATTGATAATATCTCAATCAGAGGACTCAGAGGGAAAAGAACTATCTTCTTAGTTGTTGGATTTTTGGGAGCTGTAATTGATTGATGGATCAACTTTTACTTTTTTTGTTTTTCTATTTTGTGTTAATATTGATGTGATACAATTTAGATTGGACATATTCTTATAGTTTGCGAATGACCTTGGCTGGCAATTGATCAATATCAAATTCTAGTTCTTCGGCTTCTTGATTTTAAACACTTTACTACACTATCTCCCAAACTCCCTTCAAATGTTCTTGAGGCAACTCTCTGATGTGTTGCCCCAATTATCTTTTTTCTTCGAATGAAATATGAGTATCTTATTTTTTTTAGTATTAAGGTTCTTTCACTTTGTTGGAGTTGGCTTTGTTTGCGGTTGGGATGCTTCTAAATAGGTTAATTTAGAGTTTTACTTTGTAGATGAGGGTGTTAATTTCTATTCATTTTAGAATGCTTTAAAAACATCATAAAAATGATTTTCTAATTGCGTGACTTGATCTTGTATTTAGCTAGAAGTAACAGATTAAGTTAGTTTTTGTAATGCAATTCTAATTTGATTCCAAAGATTCATCAAATTACCTTTTAATTTACAAGTAAGTAATACCCTCCTATTTGAAGGAAGCTTCAATTTTATCGATATTTAAATACCCAGAAGCATTGATCTCATTGAATGCTGGATGGGATTTGAACTTTTGAAGAAGGTACAATCCCTTCTTGCAATTATCATCCTATGGAATTTTGACTTATTCTTTTTGAACTGGAGCAATTCTTTGGGATCTCTTGCTTTTGTCTTCGACCACTTCCTATTTGTTGCTTTGGAAAGAGGCATCATATTTGTTAACCTTTTTGGGCTATTTCGCTAATAAGGAGGGGCATTATTACCACTCTCTATTCACGGGATTTTAGGAGATTAGATTGCAAAAGGGAATAGCCTTTGGGCATTTTGCTTAGAATAAAGTCGACTTGAATCTGATTAAGATTGAATTCCAATTAGCTTGCCATAAATATGTTATTATTTATTTATATTTCTCAATAATTTACAATTAAATTAAATATACTATCATAAAATTTATTATGACTATTCTCTAGTTATATATAAATATAATAATTAATAATACTTAGAGAAATGGAGAAGTACAGAAGAATAAGGAAGATTGGGAAAGGAAATTTTGGAGATGTTTGGTTGGTGGAGGACAATAAAGGAAGAGTATTTAAAAATAACTATTTAATAGTAATATGCTATGAAAAGAATAGATTTAGTCTTTGATACTGTGGATCCTCAAAACGAAGTCAGCATAATGAAAGTTCTTAAGCATCCTAACATAATAAAGTTTTATGATTCCTTCGAGCATAATGACAAATTGTGCATAATCATGGAATATGCCAAAAATTGTAAGACTCTCCACTATATCTAAGCTGATCTCTCAATCTACATAAAAACTAAACAGCCAGACATCCTGAACTATTTTACCTAATTGTGTTTGGGAGTCTAATATTTGCATTAACAAAAAATAGTACATAGGGACATTAAATTGAGGAATGTTTTTATTACTGATGATGGAATTGTATGTATTCCTACTTAATTCCTTTATAGATTAAATTGGGTGATTTCAGTATCTCCAAAAAATTGATCGATCTATCGACCAATACAACTTTAGGTAATTTAAATTATGTAAATAAGGAACTCCATATTATTTATCTCCTGAAATCTGCCAATCCAAACACTACAATTCCAAAACCGACATCTGGAATTTAGGCTGCTTCTTATACGAATTGTGCACCCAACAAAAGCCATTTCAAGGAGAATCCCTCCCTGCAATCCTCAACTCCATCATAAATGGCCAAACTCCTCAATTAGGCGAGGCTTTCCCCAAGTTCTATCAAGATATCCTCAACATTACTTTACAGAAAGATCCAGAACTTCGACCAGATATAGATCAAATACTCAATATCCCTTAAATTAAGGATGAACAAATCAAATTGTAAACACTTTATAAAAGTAAAGGACTATTAAATAAAAGGATATGTCCTATTGAATGTCCAGGCTTTGATGAAAAATAAGAATTCAAATAAGACAAACAATCAACTAACAAAGATATGTCAAATATACTTAAATAATCCATTACTCCTTAATATAGATAAACTTAATTGGGACTGTAAAATATCTTCTCGGAATGTGTGTCACCCAATAACAATTACTGCTAAATTCAGAAAAAGCCTTACAAAAAGATTATGACCATTAATACTCAATTGGATGAAAAAGTCGAATAGGAAATCACACAAAAGAAACCCTCCTTTGCCAAATTGCTCTTCAATCCCAAAACTCCTACATCTCCAAATAGAAATATACTATTGGCAGACTTTTTGAAAAATAAGTTAGGATAGGAAGTATTTTAAAGAATGAAAGATCTGTTGGAAAACAGCAAAGATCCAATATAACTATTAGAGAATAGGGATAAAATGATGCAAATTTTGGGCGAATAGAATTTGGATTGTATCAAAGTAATGTCTCAATTTATTTTAGATTTTTAAAATAATTATAAGTAACAGCATTACTCCTCCGAGCAGTCACTTTAGAACGATGAGTGCTTCATATTAATTTGTTACTTAGAGGATTAAAACAGTTAATAACCATGATAATAATATTCCAACGTCTGCATGGGATGAATAATTTTGATTATAATTAGCTTCTAATATATATAAAAAGCAATTTTGATAAAATTATTTCATGAATTATTATTATTGTTGTTGTTTAATTTTTGTATGGCTTGTATTTATTAAGTATTTTTTGATTCCAAAGTATTTACCATCTGAGAATTTCCTTAAGTACCTGTTCCCTAATTTTGATAGAGCTTTTAAGTTGTGGGTTCTAATGACGTAATTAAGACTTGCTTTTTATTAATTAATAATGATTACATCATTCTCAATCAGACTCTCAATGACTTGACCTTTGTTTAGACTCTTTTTCTTCTTATACCCAATCAATATTTGTATAATTAGAACTATTGTGCAGGTAGTGTATTGAATTATTCGAGAAATCTTTTTCAATCTATACCAATCAGAATCATGCGGATCGATAATGGGTACTTTTCCATTGCCTAATATCTGTATTTTCATAAACTTACCGTTATCATCTAATAAAGCATGAGAAATTTGAGTTATGGCTGAATATAACAAAACTAAAATAGCTAGAATTAAAAGACTTGTTAAATAGTAAATATATTAACATCATACGAGGGCATTAAACATGTCTACTTTTTGGTTTAAATTAATAGAGGTATCCTTCGATGATGATTAAACAAATAAACACTCCTGACTACAAGCATCATATTAAATTACTACACAGCACATTATAAAATAGTTCGTAAATCGACTACTATCATCATCTAAATCTATGATTATCCCAATTAAAGTGCAGCATAATACTAGAATTATTACCATTAGGGTAAGAATTGTGATTTTGATTAAATTCATAATTATAATCTTATAAATAATTCACAATTAAACAATTATCATTACTATAATTCAATTGTTTAACTTGTATCAATTTACCAATATACCAATCTCATTTAAATTTTGAATGACATCATCCTTCATCTTCATTCATTTTTATTTTGGAGTTAATGATAAAAGAAATGCATTAAATTATAATGCTCATGCCATTGATGGATATCTTAGAAATATTACTTTGTAAACATAACTAATTTATACAATTACTTATGATTCTCAATTTAGATTATTTTTTATATCTCTATCATAATGTTTTTTAAAATAAATAGTTTATAGTAAAAAGTAATATTTAAGATGCTCAAATTTGTTAAATTTTAATAATATAATAATATTATTATCAACTATTGTGTATTACAATTCCTGGAATGCAAGATTGGGTTAGACTCTATTTGACTTAAACAGATTAGATTATATTTTCGGTTTCTTTATTGAGGAACTTAATTTCTCCAAAGTTGACACTCTTTCCAGCAAACATGTATAAATTGAAAGTTTCATTTATTTAGGAGACTAGGGATAAGGAATAGGTCATTCCTTTTTTTAAAAACACATCTTATTCTAATTCAATGAAATAGCAATCATTAATTATTTTCAAATTGGAGTGTTTAATATTAATAATTTCATCATAAACAGAGATACTTAAATCCAATCCTTCATGCACTCTAAATAATACAACCACTTCTTTATCTTTATCATTTATATTTTAATCAAATTGGTTTTATCCTGAAAATAATTAAGTTAATAGAAATCCAGATAAAACCACATTTTAAAGGGGTAAAATATTCTCAGCAACACCACAATTTTTAGTAAAATTGAAAGCTACTTTTCTATCATTTGATTTAGCAAATGTTTTGTGTTTCCAGATCTCATTACTAGCATTTTATGGACCTGAATTCACAGGTTTTTTATTGTCTTTTTTATTTTAATCAACCAAATTGGTGATATTATTCATCATATACTAGTTTGATATTTATAATTCCATTAATTTTTTAATAGCTTATTGAAAATTTAGGATATCAAGCTATTCAACATTATTATGGGAAATTTTATTTTCTTTACAATTTGAAAAACTAGAGATCATTTAGAATAAATCAGTTGATTTTTAATCAAAATTTCTATCATTTGATTCGATAAATAAAGTTTCCATTTGATTTAATTGTTTGAATATTTCATTCTCCTATAAGTCTTGGATTTTATCATAAATCATTTTTTCTAAATCATTCAATCTTTAATTGACCTGAATTCTTATCTTACTTATTAGTTGAATTGCCTTGTCCAATTATTATTGATCAGCTATGCACAGTTTTTGTGAAAGGTATTTCATTTGTTAGTTGTAGATGTAAATTATTATGAAATTTGTAAAAGAAAATTTATATTTCAATAATTTTCTGTACAATTACGATGATGATTAAATTATCGGAGCAAAAATAAAATAAAATTAAATGTTCTTGAATTGTTGCCCTAATGTTTACTCCCTGATCTTGAAAACATAAATCTAATTTATTGATCGTGACATAATACTATAGGTTAACCTCAAAGACTAATTATCGATAATTTTAAAGAAGGACTTTTTACACATCTATAAACAAGGAGAACCTATTTCCTCATTCAAATTACATTTTCCTAATGTGATCAAATGGTAATTCGATAAAGGATTGGTAGGATTCACCATAGATAATGGAACTTATTTAACTGAAGAGGCATACAAATTAAAGGAATACTTAAATGGAAGATTGTTTTTTTCTAAAATTCAGGATTTTTACACTCCTCTCTAAATCTTAGGAAAAGGAAGCACTGCCAAAGTTCTCCTAGTGAAATCGAAAATTGGGGAATCATTCTATGCTGCAAAATGCGTTCCCAAGACTGAATCTATAATTTAAGAGATTGAAATTAATAATCTATTGGACCACCCAGCATTTGTGAAAATAAAAGAAGTATTTTTAGGAGATACAAGTTATTATATCATAATGGATTTATTGTCTGGAAAGAACCTTTCAATATTACTTAAGAATTAACATACAGGTTTGACAGTTGAGTAGTCTAAATTGATTATGCATGTAAATTAATAGTTAAATAGGCATTATTAAGTGGAATTGACTACATGCATTCAAAAAACGTTATGCATAGAGATATTAAACTAGAAAATATAGTTTTAGAAAAGATTAACAATCTTACAACATTAAAATTAGTAGACTTTGGTTTAGCTACTTATTCCAATATCAAAAAGTAATACAAGATTTCAAAACTTAGATTTAAGTATCCCAAGTGTGGTACTCCAGGATATGTAGCTCCAGAAATTGCGAATTTGACTGACTAGAATTCTATTTATGATAAGAAATGCGATATATTTAGTGCAGGGGCAGTTTTCTATAAATTATTAACTGGACGAGATCTATTTCCAGGGACAGGGTTTGCTTATGTATTAGCTTAAAATAAGAAATGTCAAATCGACTTTACTCTTTTATAATTAAGAAAACTGCCATCAGATGCTATAGTATCTAATATTATAATTGAAGATATTGTTAAAATCAATGTTATAAAAAGATCCAATCCTAAGACCAACCGCTTAGGAGTGTTTGAAATTTCCATTTTTTACATCTACTCAATAAAACGATACTGAGAAATCACCAGCAACTAATGGAACTTAAAATTCAAATTCTGCACCTATTGGACCATCTAATGCACACAAAAAATAATTTTTTGCTTAATAAAAACAGATGATGCAGACCGTAGATTTCCAACCTGAAGAAAAACCTGAATATAAAGGATCATTCGTGACAAATGATATGGTTTAATATCCTTAGATGCCTAAGATGGTCATGAAATTCAATACAACTGAATTTGAATCAATATGATAATTACATAGTTAATATAAATCTACAATATCAATCAATTTTAACTTAATTGCTACTTAAGAATTTTCTTTAGATAGTTTTTTGTAATTATACTTAAGAATTATGTTTATTGAGATTATAATTTATATATCAAATCCTTTTGCATAACTTAGATTCCCTAATTAAATCATTTGTCTTTCTTGATAAAACAGATGAATCGCTTAGGTAGCAATATATGCCGATATCATAAATCATAGTAATATTTCCCTTGAAAAGATTATTGGTATTTTTTTAGATAAGTTGGATATTTCAATTCTAAGTAATCCAAAAAGTTTGTTATTTAATGTATTTTTTAACGAGAATAGTATAAAAATATGAGAAGTACAAAATAATGTACAAATTTATTAGTATTTAATAATAAAATAAAGTCAATTAAATTTTAATTTAAAAAAGTCATGTTCCAATGCTTATTTAGGAGTCAATCTTTTTAATGGTTCTATCACAATTAAGTTCTCTATTAGATTTATCAACTCGTATTAATTTTATGGTATAAATGCTCTAAATACCTTCATCAGACTCAACTCTTAAACCATAATTGAATCATCCGGCCATTTCAAAAAGGAGTCATTCAGTTAGTATTCATTGAAGTATTCCCTGGCTTCATTTCTACACTATTAAATCATCTCAATAGGAATTGGACCGCAATGTTTTTCAATCATTGCCAAGTGAAAAAAGTCATTGCCTTTTGGTCTAAACAATTGTTGGCCTAAAATAATGAATTTTAAATAAATAACCTGTAAATAATTCGACTGCTATGCAACCCATACACCACATGTCACTTAAATTAGTCCAGTTATTTTTGAGGATAACTTCTGGTGCTCTGTATTATCTTGTGTTAATTAATTAAGAATGACACTCTGTCTAAAATACTGCTCCTCCAAGGTCTATTATTTTTACATGATAATGATTTTCTTTTTTCCTAATAGTAGATTAATTAATTTTATTACCCTTTCTATTATTTGTCTATTAGTAGAATGTTCTCAGGTTTAAGATCTGTGTGAGTGTATCCACTTGCATGCATAAAATCTAAACCCTAGAGACAGTCAAATAGTATTTATTAAACTGCTTTCAATTCAAATCCTCCGAAATATTTTCCTCTCATAAAATCATACAAAGATAATCCAAGCTAAAAATTAGAATGCCATTTTACATCCTCAAAAACTATGCAATAATTGTCCTTATGACTAAATGCTTCGTATGCTCTTACAATTTTCTCATTTCCTGGATGATATTGATTCTGTTAATGAATGGTTCTCAGTATTCCATATTCAATTTTGGCACTCTGAATATGTCTTTTGACTGATTTAATGATCTTGATGGCCTTGAAATCATTCTCTCCTCCATCAAACACCCTCACTACTCTTCCAAATGTTCCATCTGAAATGGCCTACACAAATAAATATCTTTAATTGAATATCTCATCTTTTTATAACTTGTAGTGTTTTTCCTTTTTTGTATCTACTTTCTCTCTTTATTTTCTCATCTTCTCCCTCTCCCTAGACCTACTCCATTCCATTCCAATGACTAAATAAAAAGTACTTAAATTATTTATCCCATACTCCAAACTATCATCTACTTATATATAAAAAATCCTGGTTGTTTAGCATAAAATAAATTGTTTATTTTTCCTTATACATTAATTAATTAATTTTCCGTAAGCAGTATAATTAAAAGTACAAAAACTTCAATTAAATATCTTACATACTTAAATCTCATTTATTTATTAACACAATTTATAAATATCTATTTGAAATGTTCCTGATTCTTTAAATGATTCCTATTATATCAAAGGATTGATTGTAGATGGTTAGCAGGTAAGCTCTAATAAAACTTAAATTGATATATCAATTAGTTTATTTCCTAATTTATTAATGAAATATTGAATTTATTTTTAATTTTGATTGATTTGTTGATCTTTTGTAATATCATGTATATCCCTAGTACCCATTCTCATTTTAATAAGGACTGAAGTAATTTATGGATTGAGATCGATATACAGCAAAATAGTTGATTACTATTCTATTAATCATTTATGGTTTAAAATATTAATAAATATTTAAGAAAAAAAAATGAATTCCAATAATTAGATCGAATTCTACTTGAATTCACAGCAAGTTGATTATATCTAAATGAAATTGCCCTAAGGATTCTCTTTGCACTTGGCTAGTCTAATTCATTAGAGAGAATAAAGGATTGTATTATATTGTCCTGATTAATTTAAGTCTAAGAAAGTTTCTAGGTTTGATGCTACATTCAAGACTCACAAATTGGAATAGACAAGCCAAGAAGACCTAGCACCGAGAAGAGCCTAAAGGATACAACCTCAATAATAAAAGGACAAAAAGGAGCCAGATAATAAAGCATAAAAAATTCTGCAGAAATAAAAGCATCATTAATAATATTAATAATAATCTTAATAATAGAAGCAATAATAATAATAATAATAATAGTAATAACAGCAACAATAATAGTAACAGTCAAGTCCAAAAATTGTGTAAAATATCATTTTAAATTAAGATCCAAGTTGTAAAAACAAATGACTTAATAAGAGAAACTTAACCTAGGGGAGAACATAAAACAATTGAAAATAGAATATTTGAGAGGTGTTTGGGAAATTGTATAGGAGAGTGTTTAAGCTAATGGGGAGGATGAGGTAGAATTTGACATCGATGTCCTTCCTACTAAAACTGCTAGAAAATTAGAAGCCTATGTAACAAGTCGACTGTATATTATATTATTTAAAAATTAAGGCAAGCAAAGAAACATAAAAACGATGAAGAGGATAAATCATTAGATCCTAATTCTTCAGATTAATGAATATAAATTATTGAAGTTTGTTTTAAATTACTTTTAAATTGACCTTTATCTATAAAATTAAATAATAATAATATAGATTGATCTAGAATTTATCTAAATTCTAACTCAACTCTGAACTGCCATTTATAATCCCTTTTTAGTCAAATAAGATTGAACTCCCTTCATTTTTCTTTATTAATCCTTTGAACATTTATAGAATCCCCATAAGTTGATCCAACTTAAACTGGCTCCAATTCCTGCAAAAATGATCTTTAATTAATCCTTAATTTATTTACATCAACAAATTCAAAAAGATAATACATTTGTAAACACAAAAAATGCCCATGCACATGATGCTCCAAATTAAAAAGTCCAAAATACAGAGGAATCTATTTTACTTCTTTTGCATTTGTCAAAACATTCAAATCTCCAAACTTCATCCCCTTTTGGAGTAAAATCTGAATACCATCTCAAGCCAACTAAAAATTTTCCTGTAATATTCTTAACAGTATAAAAATCAAAAGCATGGAAAATCATTATCAGTATATATTAAAATAAAGTGCTCGAAATTATTAACCCTAAAAATAGATATCTATTAATTATAATACTATCTTTTACGAAAAAAATGCACAAAATTTAAAAAATATATGAAAAAAACAAATGCCTGGATGTGCTGCTTTTGTTATATCATATTACGAGATTTCCTCGCGATCTATTGTAATCATTACATTAACCTTGTCCAATGATTGGTTTCATTTCAATCCCTTCATTTTTGGAATTCATATATAATAATTTTTTTAAAACTAATATAAAAAGAAAATTCAATTTTAATATAAATTTCTATGAAATTAATTTTATTTACATGTTATCATCTCATAGAGATGTGAAATTTGCTAACGTATATTATATATGTAATTAAGTTATTTTATGAAATTGAAAATTCTATCTTTCTGTAAACAGCATTAATCAAACATCATATTTTTATTCAAACAATTAATTAGATTAATAGGAACTAATTTAATAATAATAAATAATTATAATTATTATAAATATCTGGAGTAAAAATTGAATCATTAAGCTATTCATTTTCAATTTTATAATTTATTTTTTGATCAACTAAATAAAGAGGTTTATACCATCATCATCATTTAAATATAAATCATAAAAACATGGCTACATCCTATATTTTCTCTTACTGAGCCTATCCTTATGTATGTGAATCCAAATAACAACAATTTAACAAAAAGTAAGATATATCTAAAAATAGAATAGATCAGTTACTACAATTTAAACTAAAAATTGGAAATTTATTCCCAATATTTTTATAAATTCAATATTTGATACTTTATTAAATGGGTAATACATGCTAATTTTCAAAAATTGAGAAAGAAAATTAAAGAATTAGATTGATAGGAGTAGAATGTTAATAATTCCCTAATAAATAAACTTAGCTTGAGAATTTTTCGTATAATATTTAAGAAAATATTGATCAATTTGAGGAGGAATTTTTTAATAAAAGCTTTGAACTTGATATACACAATGAAAAGACTGCAAAATCAGAATCCCTCAAAACTGACATAAAGGAAGAAAAAAAACTTTCATTTAATTCTCTTGTCTTTGTTGAAGAGAAATAAAACAGCACTCAATTTGGCAGCTATAATTAAATGGCAAGTGAAGCTTTTGGAAATTATATTAAACTGAGAACCTAATTTAAAAGTTAATAATCTGACAGAATGAAAGAAAGCGTCTAACAACAAATACATTTGAATAATATAAAGCGCTTCCCTCAAATTTATGGAAGAACTTAATTTAGAATTACAGATATTGATGTTCAAACTTCGAACTCGAATAAAATAAGTAAATCAAAAAGGGGTACAAAAAGCAATTTTCATAGTAATTTATCTTTAAACCAGAAATCCAATATCAATTAGCCTTGGTAAAAACAGGAACGTAAAATTAAAATCATATATTTATGAGAATTAAACAAATTTATATTTAAAATAAATGATTTTAAATAAAAACGATTTAGCAAGGCTCATCTTTCTATATTCTAAAAGTGATCATCTCAGTTGTAGAGGAGAAATATTATCCACTTTTTAATATATGGATTCTTGGTTTAAATTTCAATATTATTTATATCTTTTAGAATATAATTGAATTTGATGAGAAATAACAGTTTATAAAATTAGTAAAAAATATTATTTTTTCAACATACTCTTTATTTTCTTATTTCATCCATCATAAATTAAAGAGTAATTATTTTTCTCTAGTTTTCTATTATTTAGTATTGATAAACAAATATCTTTATTATATTCAATATCATAATGTATCATCATCATTAATTGAAAAATAAAGAAATCAAAATATTCTGCCTAAATCAATAATCTCTATAGTAAAATACTTTATTTAATATGTTTGACTTATATGATTAATGTATAGGTTACTTATTTAGATAAGGGTTTATTTAAAAAGTGTATAAGTTAAAATATGAATATCAAAAATCATTGTTTTTTTGATGAAATCTGTTAGGCAGATACCTTGAATTAATGGCAGAGTGTGGACTCAAGGATGTGTTAGTGACATTATGAAGTATATTGTATTTGGATGAAGAATTAGATTATTTAAATATGGCACTTCTTTGTCTTGCTTCAGATTGTTGACAAATAGACTTCAGTTTGTTTTTGATGTTAGAGGTAGAATTTTATTATTGCTATTGTGTATTTTATTGCTATTATTATGAGGATTTATTTAAAGGACTTTTATCTAATAAATTTGAATTTGAATAAGTATTTTTCAAAAATTAACTACTTCTATATTATTTGATACTTTATGCACTTTTTTATTCAATCAGTTACTTAAAGCATTTTTGCTGTTTTTTGAGTTCTAACTCTTCAACAAGCTTCTTTTGTTTATTAACTAAGGTGATGATTCTTGAATAATCCATTTTTTTATATAGAACATCTCTGTATGTAGAGATAGGATATTACTTATCATCTTATAATTAAAGCATTATAGATCCATGATAAGTAATTTCTTCTTTGGTATTGCGATATTCTTTAAAATAAGAATGTTTTAAGCATTCATCAATGCTCAATCGCTTGGTGGGGTCATACTGGAGTAATTTGGATATGATGTCTAATTCATCCTTGGGACAACCGAGTAATGAATTAAGTTTTTGTTTAGATGGTCTAAATTAGTTTTGAAAGATTTGTGATTGTCCACCCATGGCAAGTATTTCTTGCTAATTGGGACTACCAAGAATGTCAACTATCTTTTCAAGTTAATTGATGGTACTGTTGCCAGAGAACAATGCTTTTCCTAGGATCATTTCTCCCATAAGACAACCAACAGACCATAGGTCGATACCATAGGAGTATGATTTGGAACCGAGGAGAATTTCAGGAGCTCTGAACCATCTGGTAGCCACATAATCAGTTAAGATATCAGAATCTTGTGATCCAACCATGCGTGCTAGACCGAAGTCTGCCAATTTTATTTAGCATTCTGAATCGATCAAAATATTGGCAGGTTTTAGATCACTAGTTGTAAATCTGAATAAATTACCGATGTATCATTCCTGCTGAATGTATGTATTTCAATGCTTTAATTAATTAATATGTAATGTAGCGGCGGTGCTCTGCCTATAATATGTTAGCTCTGATGGCAATGTGTAAATCTGTTTCCATATATTCAAATACAATATAGAGATCAATTTTGTTATTAGCAGGGTAGGTTTCAATAATGGAGACAATGTTAGGGTGCTTGAGCTATTTAAGGAATGTCACCTAACACACTTTGAGAATACAATTATACTTCTCTATATGTGCGCTGAGCATCAGTGGGATTATTGAATGCATCAAACACTTTTTTGAGAGCAACTACTTTTAGAGTTTTAAGATCCTTGGCTTTCCATACTATTCCATAGGCTCCTTTACCAATACGTTAGATGACCTCATATTTTTTGAGAATATGTTCATCAATATTTTCACTCATTATTATTTATAATGTTATAATTCAGTATCAGCAAGATAGTACTTTTCTTACATTTAGTGATATTTCTGATTGAGTTCAATGAACTTCTGTTTCCAAGCATTGACCTCATTCTACAGCAACGCCACTTTACTCTCCTGTGTCAAGATCTATTGTTGTTGCTATTGAATTATTTCATTGAGATGAGATATTTATTGTGTTTTTGGATCGATGTGCATTGAATACTTTCTATCATTGTTGATATTTTTGGATTCTGAAGGCATTGATGGAATGTCCTCAGTACTGGCCATTCGAGATCTCATATACAATGGAGGATTGTGAATCACATATTTAGTAGGAGAGTATTGTTTGGCAGGAGAGGGCATTCGAACTTCTCTGGTCTTTACGAAGGCAGGCTTCATTTATAAGATTGATTACCACTCGAGACATCCCAGGCATGCTCACTCTTTATGGAGACAATCTTTATAGTTGTTAATATTATGATGGACTTAGCATATTAAATAAATAAAATTAATAAATTTAATTTGATAAATAATTATAACACAACATTCAATCCACAAATAATGGAACCATAACGATCGTAATAGTAGAATATAATTTAATTAAGATATGAATGGATGGCCCTGCTGTGTCCTTGCATGGATCTCCAACCGTATCCTATAATATAGAAATCATTCACTATTACCCCTGTTACAGCCGCCTTATGAGTCTCACTTCCTTTCCCTCCCAATTCTCCTGTCTCTATATACTTCTTGCTATTGTCCCAAGCACCTCCTGCATTATTTAAGAATAACGCCTACAGAATCCCAGTGCAAGTAGAAAACATCAAAAAAGCACAAATGGCTTTGGCTGGTAGTAACTCTTACATTCTCACAACATTGATCGCTCTTAATGCTATGCCCAAAATTAAAGGAGTTAGGACACTCAATAATCCAGGTTTGATCATTTCCCTTAATCCAGCTTTGGTAACAATCTCCACACATTATTTATAATTTGGTTAAGCTGTACCTTACAATATACCTTCATTTTCTCTAAATTATCTACGAACTTCCTTGATAACATCTTGTGCTGCATTTCCAACTGCTCTCAAAGCCCAACTGCTGAATACGAATACCGTACAAGCTCCTATCAATCCAGATATGAATATTTCAGGTTATGTGATATCAATATCCAATATTTTCTTAGTAGGTGACAAGAAATTGACCTCGTCTATAAAGGCTCTGAACAACAAGAAAGAAGCCAAAGAGGCTGAACCAACTGAGTATCCCTTTGCATTAGCTTTAGTAACATTTCCCACTGCATCTAATCTATCTGTAATCTAACGCACTTATTCATCACAACCACTCATTTCCAACTATGCCTCCAGCATTATCAGCTATAGGTCCAAATGCTGCCATTGATAATATGTAGACTCCAGTACAAAACATACCCATAGTTGCAATAGCAGTTCCAAACAATCCGCCTATCAATTCTCCTTAATGATTCTTGATACCACTCTACTCTCCTAAATAGTATGCTCCCAAGACTCCTACACTAATGATAAGTATTGGAATGCCAGTTGATTCCAATCCCACACTTAATCCAGCTATGATGTTGGTTGCATGGCCTGTTTTACTTGCTTAGGCTATTGTCTTCACAGGTTCATAATGATAATCCGTATAATACTGAGTCACTTCAATAAATAAATAAGAGATGATGATTCCGATTAGTCCACACATTCCAAAATAGAGCCATGCATCTTTATGTTACAAAGGATTTAAACAATGATGGCAAATGAAAAAGAACCCAAAGAATCCAATTATCATAGCTATTCTATACCCCTTCTTCATAATACACAAGGGATCTTCAATATATTTATTTGGAATTCCTGGTTGAGTGCGTACAAAATACATCCCAATTGTAGATGATATAATGTCTAAACAATGCACTACCAAAGGGAACAGCATAAAAGTGACTTTATAATTGATATGAAGATTAGCTTCGTGTGTCAATGTTGCTCCCAATATCATAGCACTCAATATTTCAGCTGTGATAGATTCAAAGAGATCTGCACTTTAACCAGCACAGTCACCCACATTATCACCAACAAGATCAGCAATCACTGCTGGATTCCTAGGGTCATCTTCTGGGATATCATTCTCTATTTTGCCAATCAAATCAGCTCCAACATCAGCAGCTTTTGTATAGATTCCACCTCCCAATTATGCAAACATAGCTACAAATGAAGCACCAAATCCATATCCAATCAACAATAATGGTATTTTATCTATTTATTCATTTAATTTCTATTGATCTGTTATTGTAATATAACAATAAAAGTATATCACCAAGAATAATACACTTATCCCAAATATTGCTAAAGCTATATTGATTACAGCAGCAAAATAACCCCCTCTAAATGCCAATTAAATCGCTTTATTATAACAAGTTCTTGCTGCACTTGCAACTCTTGAATTGGCTTTAATGCTAACCCACATTCCCGCAAATCCTGCAAATCCAGAACAGAATGCTCCAAATAAAAATGATCCTCCTTCTAAGAGTCCTATTATTAATCCTCCTACTGGTATCTCATCCTTCTCCAATTCCCCTGATCCCTTTTGCCAATATACCAGAAATATTAACAATGCGAATATCAAACTCAAATTACAGATTGTCCCATATTATGCCTTGAAAAAACCTTCTGCTCCCTCCTCTATTGAATATGCTATTTTCTTCATTTCTTTCGTGCCCTTTTTTATTTACATTCAAATCTTACATCATCATGTCTTAGTATTTGATCCAAAATACACGTCGCAAAGATTATTGTGATAATCGATATATGCAATACAGTACTTATGAATTGTATTAGATAGGAAAAACCCAAAATCTAAACAAACATTCAACAAATCATTACTTATAATAAAATGCATGTTCCCAAAGGACTTATCAGGAATATTATCCCCTTGATATCCAAATGGTCGAATTAAATGAATTTGATGAACTGCTCTTTTTCAGGATTCTACACGCCTAATAATTCATATTAGGGTTTCTTTTAGGGTAACATCTAAACGTGTATAAATTATTTAATATATGTTATTCCTCATTTTAATCAATTTGACTTTTGCTTGTGAATATGAATCAACGTATGCAAATATCACAGATATCAACTCCCTCATTCCAATCAATCACATCATCTAATAGTTATCCAAAACCTAAACTTTATAAGACACACTAGAATTGACCAACATCACTATCTACACACATCATATCAATCATTCATACACTAATATCGGACAAATCACTATCTACCTTAAATAAGCCATCTCATACGCCTTTACAAATAATACATTCCAATCAATTGGATAAGCAATTCTCCAAGATGTTTAATTTAATATGAAATTATCATTCAACACATAAACCAATACTTTTGAATCTAATTCCATATAGTACAATTCACCAACACAATTCAGTTTTATTGGTTTGTATAATTACTACTAATACTATTAATCCTTAGTATCTCTACTAGTTGCTTAAATCCCCCCTTAGCTTAATCAACTATTTAACGCCATTTAATTTTAATTTCAACCTATTTTTCCAGATTATACTTATACATACAAAAATATGAATGGATAATCATTAGAAATTGACTTCACTTATCAATCAAATAACATTCAAAATCAAAATTATCAAATTACTCTTGCCGGATAGTTAATAATCAAGAATTACAACAACAATATTTGTGTTTAAACTTAATTACCCATCAATAGCAATCAATATCAATAATTGGAATTATTTTCTACTTCAATCATTTAATCAATTATACAGTATTCTTACAATTAAAACTATTTCAATATTGAATTGAACAACAACTGGAAGAGTGCCGATTTTCAATTTTTAATTGGATCCTTTCAAAATATTTTATATAATTTAGAAAAGGTTAATCCAATTACTCCAGTGACTGGATGGTGCAATCTTACTAAAATTCCTGTGTATAATCCACTAAATATAACACTTAATTATGAATGCAATTTTTACTTCTCAGAGGATAATATAAAATTGTTGACTTTGAATTTAGCTGTAGTTCTAAATCTTAATTTTTATTAAGTATTATCACAGATTGAAGTTGTTTGTACATCGTACAGGTTTTAATTGGATGATGTAATTTAATCCTTCAATGAGAAATATCCACCTAAGTCACAATTTTTATCATTAGCAAATCTATATATAAAAACTATCTTGAATGCTCATGTTAAAGATCATCCACTTTTTGGTAATAAATAATTAATAATTCATTAGGATCTGGATTTTAGACAATCCCAAGATAGAGTCCCAATATCACAATAAATAATGATTATTTGATGATTTATTAAAAGAAGTGATTTATTATTACATTTTAATGTCAACCAATAATTATTTTTAATTATTTTTTATGCTTTATAATATTAATTTAATTAATTTATATTGTTTCCTAAGTACAGTAATTGCATAACATTCAAATTAATTAAAAATAAATATTTTTACTATTTTGTAGTTAGCATAAAACTTATGGTGTTCAAAATGATATCACAAACTTATTAATTAATTGACAATTGTAATTATCACATTAAAAGATGGATGTCGATAAACTCAACTAAAAAGGATATAATCAATCAGAGGAATAACAAAATAAGCTATAATGAGCAAATCTACAAATACATAGACTGTCTTAAAATCAGTTCTGATAATGCTATTTCGATTCAACAATAACTATATTAAAATCTATCCAAATTTTAAAATTTTGAAAATCCATTAATTGCAATAATCAAAAATAATTTGACTTAATAAAAATTAGAATTATAACATGTGTAATACAATCCAATTTTAATAGTGAATGCCTAGTCGCATAGAGAAAACATTTAGTTTATTTAAAAGGAACTTTACTTAGAGGGAAAATAATGTTAAGGCCAACTGTCAAATTAAAATAATTAAATTTGTTTTTTGAATTTAAATTCTGTAATGATGTTCAACTAGAAATAGAAAAAAATAAAAATATATTGCTAGTCTAAGAACTATTTAAATAGACATTATCTTATATTTATATTTATAATTTATAAATATCATGCAAATTAAAAGATATCATTAATATTTGTTATTATTTTTAAATTGAAATTTAAATATTAATCATTCTTATGGGAAGTAGAGAAAAACAAGTAAATAACCTCAGATTTTAAATTTAATTCAATTCTATAGTAATTATTAATAATCTGATATCATAATTAATAAAATGATCACAACATAATAATTATAATCAGTATTTATGATTCTAATCATAATGAATTTACTGTAATTTGCATAATTTAAATCGTATCAAATATGTTTCAATTATCCCGCTTTGTAGAAATTAAACTCGGCTATGTCGACTCTGAATTTATGGTTTATTTCGCAAAAGAATAAGCAACAATGAGACCTGTGCAGTTAAAAATTTCAAATTTCCACAATTCTCATTACAGGTAGCGGACTTTAGGAGTAGAAGTGAAAATTCTTCTTGGCTTAAGAGGAATAGCTGGAATTCCAGAGATTATTGATTATGGATATACATCAACTTCAAAGTATACATATTTAATTTAATAAAGGTTCTACATAGTCTCTGAATAAACAGGGCACAGTTTGTAATAATACATTGATGCAAAAAAGTAACTAGGCTCAACGACCATAATTTATATAGGACAATAACTTCTCGGAATATTAGAAAGAATACATGCTCGCAATGTTTATCATACTAATCTAAGTCCATAAAATATATCTATCTTAAAAAATCAAGTTTATTTACACGGATTTTATTTAAACCACTTGGATGATAGAGAAAAAGTATTATTTAAAGATAAGAAGTTTTGGAGTAAGTCATTAACTAATGGTTGTACTATAACATTTAAGGATGATTTAGAAAGTTTAGGTCATCTACTAATGCATCTAGTCGATTGTAAGTATTTTTAAATATTTATCAGATGAACTTAATAACAAATCAAATGGAAATTAAGGATCGAACTAAAGCAGTATCTTTTTTAGAAGTTACTTTGAATTGCTTTCTAAATTATAATCCACAAATCCTCCACCATATCTTCATTTAAAAAAAATAATTTATAGAATTATTACTTAATGTCTAAGTGATGAAAATAAAATAAAATTCAAATAGGCTTCAAGGTAGCTGTCTTCGAGATCAAATAGAAATCATAAAAACAAACTCAGTATCATTAAAGAGGATGACTTAGAAAACATCGTATCCAAAGATTTTGTAAAAATCAATGCTGCCACTCTATTTGATGATAAAATTAATTCTTCGTTAGAATTGTAGAATAGTATGAATTAAACTTTTGAGATCTCAGAAGAATAATGTTAACTTTCGGAAATGATCTAGAATTTACATAACCAAAGTATAAGAGCAAGATCGATTGCTTCACTATGTCAATATAAATAATGAACTTTATTAACTATATTTTAATTATCTAAATTATTATATTTATATAGGGTCAGTAATTATTGAGTATAAATGGAAAGTTCATTCAAATTCATCCATCAAAGATCTCATTTGCTATTTAATATATTAAATGTAATACATCTGCAACTTGTGATTTATAAAACATTAATGAACTTGTATTCACTGATTTGTTAATGACCTTAGATTAATTCTTAACAAATGAGTTAGAAACGATAGATTTTACTTCACTCTTGTTTTCATTTATTTCTAAGTTGACATCTTTTTAAATATTGCTTTTATTATTGCTTTAACTATATCTTTAACTTTATTTTTAAGAGTTCGAACTTTGTGAGTTTTCTATTTTATTAGATTACTTTGACTTAATTTTTGAATTTGCTTGAGATTCATTAAATTATTGATCATCTTATTCATAATCATCTTATTAATATTATTCTTCTTATTCATCTTATTTCTCTTATTAATCTTCTTATTAATCTTAATTATCTTATTCATCTTAACCTTATTATTCTTCTTCATAATCTTATTTACCTTATTCTTCTTCTTCTTAACCTTAACCTTCTTCTTAATCTTCATCATCTATCTTCTTACTCTTTACTTTTTCATTTTATTCTTCCTATTAACTTTAATTTTATTCTGCTTCTTCTTATTCTTCTTATTCTTCGTTTTAATCATTATTTTCTTATTATTAATCTTCGTTCATTTCAGGCCATTAATCATTAGGTTCATCTTCTTTTACAGAAGGGGCTGGCTTGCATTTATGTTATTTCTAGATGCCTTTTCTTAGATTATTTTCCTCTGTTATCCAATTTTATAACTCATCTCTCTTCTTTTTTGCAATTTCCTTTAAATCAGTCTTTTTAAATATATGTTTAGGTTTGGTCTTATCAGTGTATTTTGCTTTTAATTCTAGAGTTTTGATTTTAATAGATGGTGGAGTTGGTTTGGCTAATTCTTTTTTTTAGGCTGCTTCTACTTAACATTTAATTTAAGAAGATGGAAAGTATTCCCAACCAGGATTTTTGGAATGATGATTAGGGGCATGGTTAACGATAATATTTTTTAAGTCTGCACTTCTCATAATTATAATATGAAAATAATTGATTTTTATATGAAATATATATTTATATGTTTAATGTCTAAATCAATCCTGTTGTAATTATTATTATAATTATTGTTATTATTATTATGAAAATTGATTGTCCTCTTCGCCCTAATGTAAAAATTATATATTCTTACCACTTCTGTGTTAAGAGGTGTATCACTAACCACGTGATTATTTTAAGTGGTGACCTCATACTTATTAGGATTATGAGGGGCTTTTTCAGTTGGTGATGCAAACTACATATCTGCTAATGCTGATTTCAATTGATCAAATTTCTATTTTTAATCTTCGTCCTCTTAGGTTTAATTTAATTCTTGAGTCTCCTCTCTATTTTCATGGGAATAATAAATACTCTTATTTTGCAGGTTATTCAACTGGAAAGAGTGGTTTAGTGCCATCAGGATTCCATGGACCGATGTTCAAGGAAAGAGTCATCTGTGTTTTCACATTTGGAATTTCCGCCCAAAAAGTCAGGTAAATTATCAATGTCGATGTGTTTCAATAATTCATCTTTGTAACTTGAACCCAAAATTGTGATTTTATTTTTTGTCTTTTCATCCAACCATATTTTAATCATGGCCCATATACCAGTAAACATCATAGGAGCATTTACAATATACATCCTAATAAATTTAATGAAAGATTTACTTTCCCAATATCTCAGGATAATTATTTTAACCAACATTTGATGCTAATTGAATGAAGTTATAGACTTGTTTAGAGACCATCTTCATTGATCCACCTTTGAGATCCAAAATTGTGAATGTTTAATCAATTCTAGTACCTTTTGCTTAAGAACATGCAGGAAATATCCTTTTAAGTAATAATTCATATGATTGAATGTAATATTTGATCAATCTTTATTCTGAGGTGATTTCAAAAAGTTTATTTAATTATAACATTCCAATTCTTTCGATATAGAGGGGTCTTCCCTTAAATAATTTACAAATTTAATACCATTTTATCTGTTTTGTGATAACCGTGAGGATAGTAGGTTCTTACTTGTGGTAATTCTTCAAACATATATGTCTAAGATTATTTAAATATTACCATAATGTTATCAACATCGTTTTCTTTACGCCATTTAATAAAGTCATTAAACATTAATTGAGTTTTGTTAATATCAAATTTCCTTGCCCTTAGAAATCTCAAGAGATATGGATCATCGTAAACTTTATCGCTCAATCCCATAGCATTTACAATGTTTCTGAAATCAGCCAAAGCTTTTAGTTAAGTTTGATTGCAATCGCCAGGAAATCTAAAATTATTACAAAACAAGAAGTTACCCTGTATAATCTTTATCCTTTTTGCTCATAATTTAAAGATTTAAAATTATTTGTAATATAAGAATATATTCGATGTTAATATGTGTTGATCAATATATACTAAATGATAATCAAGCCTTAGCGAATTTCCAGATCCCATTTCCTTTGTGTTCTACTCCAACAAGACTGGCAGAATTATAGAGGGATGTCCACAATTTTTTGGCATCTTGATTGTACAAATCTCCAATGACTTGTTTAACATAGACATTAGCTTCCTATTATTGTTTAAATGATATAATACTCTTGCATTGTAATGAGGCAATTCGGAAAAGACATGATGAACAACATGAGTGGTACCAATTTCGAATTGTAAGGCATCAATCCATAGAGGGTAATTTCTATCAATGGTACATAAAGCACCTAACAATAAATAATTTCAAATACCTTTCAACCAAGTCCAGGCGGTTTCATCATAATGAGGAACATCAGCATCAGTGTGTTACAAGAATGTGATAATAGTCAACCACATATTTACAACCAAATAAGGACCAAGATACAAAGCCATCACCTCAGCAAATGAGGTAGCTTAATACCATTTGTAAAGTCCATAAATAACTAAACACAATCCAATATTTGAAGCAGTAACTTTGGCGAGCATTTTTGGTGGGAACAATTTGTTGGGTACGATGAAATGACTAGTGAATCCTCTTGCTGATCCTCCTGTGACACCAAGTAATAGATAAAGTGGCCATCCCAACACTGCTATATTGAAAATCTAAACACAAGCAAAAGATTCCACTCCCAAAATATCTTTCATTTTTGAATATATTTTTCCCATCTTTGAATCAAGAATGACTGGGTTATGTGTTTCACCTTCAGTTAAATGATTTGTCTTAGCATGATGAAGTGCATGAGAATGTTACCATGAATAATATGGTACCAACAATGGTTCATGCAATATGAAACCTAAAACATCATTTAACCATTTAATATCTGAGAATGCAAAATGTCCACATTCATGACCAAGAACCCCTAAGTTTAAATAAATCATCTTACATATTCCTGTAGCCACAGTTCCTGTTAGAAAGGCATATGCCACCCAAATTGGTAAGGCCAACCAAGTCAAGGGGATATAATTATAAGCTAAATATGTTAGTAATAATGTGCAACTAACAGCTTAGCCTACGGAAACCAAAAATCGTAACTCGTTCTTCTTAAATAAATGTTGAGGGATTGCCTTTCTAATTTCTATTTTATATTAAAATCATATTACATCCAACTGTGATTTCAAGGTCCTATTTACTCATTATGTTTTAAAATCTTAATTTTATTTATGGATTAAAATATTTATTTAAAGAAATTTAAACATTCTGAAATCAATTGTCCATTTATCTCCTTAGCTTTTGTTATTCCTATCAACTTCTCCTATGAGATTTCTTTAATAATCTATTAATTTAATAATTCTCCATGAATTAATATTATGACATAAACGAAGAGCCATAAGGATAAGCATAACAAGAATAACAAGAATAACCACGAGAATCAAACATACCTCAATAATAAAATGAAATATAAGACATAGAAAATAATGATGACAAATATTGTTGTGGATTACTCAACAGAAGTGATCACATCTTAATCATAGTCTTGAAACTTATTATTGCTGTTCCACTTTTGCCCTTAGTTCTTCTTTGGAAAATACTCTAAGGCCTAGCATTTCTATTTTATTATTTTTGTACCAATCAACTTTACAGCTGTTTGCTTTATGTTTGCGGAAAAATCGCTTAATTTTTCTTGTATCTATTCCATTTACTTTCAATACTTTTCAAATTTATATACTCCTGCTTAGCTTTTATAGGCAAAAAATTACTTTAAGTCATCTATTTTATTGGTAGATGCTCTAAAAGTGTCCTGGACTGGTATGCAACATTTATCATCAATACAATTTTCAAATTTGCTCATTTCCAATCAATCATCTAAGAATTCACAGCTTTTATTACTGTGCCTTTATCCTTAAAAATTATTATTCCTTTAGCTATGTGCTTTTACCTTAATATCTTCACTCCCACCAAAACTGCTATAATATTTATAGTAGAAAAATTGTTTTACGCTATCAAAAAAACTATTAAATTTCTATATAAATCCACAGTAAAATATATCCTCAAACCCTTTTATGAATATATAATATTGATCATTTTGCGAGTCATTAGATTTCTCGTAGTTGATATCTTTTGCAACATCATTATAGTAAATTTATATAAAGGATTGAGATGGTCAATAATTAACTTTTATACCTATATTTTAGTCAATATATACAAGTATTTTATAGTTAAATTTTTGTATGAAATAGTGTTATCTTATTTAGGCAGAGCGATAGAGATAATTTTATATGATTTTTTAATTCTGCTTATTATTGTTCCATTGAGTAAAGTTACAAAATGGATATTGATAGATTTCATTTTTGAAATTGTAATCGTAAAGTTATATCAATTTTTAAGATTCATCATTGTTGATGTGATAATCAAAGTAATTATTAAGATTGCTGAATTCATTTATTTTTAAATTTGTGTAAATTTATATCGATGTTTAACTTGGATCATAATACGTCTACTTTACGAATTAATACTTAAAAATATTTATTTATATATTTTATAACCATTATTCAACTTCCTTGTATCTATGATACGAATAATAGCTACTAGCCTTTATAAGTTTATATTATTGCCATTATGGTAATTGAGTAAATATCTTTTTAATGTAATTCATATATTATTATAATTAGGGTTTAGTAAGTATAATTAGTGCTATTGGATCTTTTATTTATTATTCAATTTTGAATCCAATTTGGAATTTAATTGTCATTATAACAAGAGGAATAATAAATTTGATAAAGAAGTTTTTTATAGCAGTAGGATAATTAGCAATAGATTTGTGGACAGGCATAAGAAACTTGGCTAGTAGACTTAGAAATATGATATGATGAGGAATTTTCTATAATTGTATGATTGTAATATAATTCATATCAAAATAAATTGTTTTCCTCAACAAAGCACGTAACAACTTCTATTTTGGTGGCTATGATGTTTTAAACATCCTTAATGATGGCGACTTATTTATCTCTTTCAATGGTATTTTATTGATATTATAATTCGTATTCTTGGCATTATTGGTTTCTTTATTAGTTTCCATTCTTAGCAGCATTGAATTCCTAATGATAGAATAATATGATACAGCATGAGCATCTCTGCTTCTCTTGTCTTGAATGTCTCTGTTTCTGATGGTCTCTTATAATGCTTCCTCATCACTTGCTTTCTCTCTGGTCAAGCTTTCAATAGCATTGAAAATAGCTGCCAAAATGGTGTCGGTGTCCTAGAAATATATAAATATGAGGATCATACTCTGGCATTCTTGGCTTCAGCTTCTTCTTCAGCTTAGATACTTTCTTTGATAGAATCTCTGATGGCTTCCATTTTTTCAATTAAGGTCTAAACTGCAGTTGGTTCTAAGGTGGATGTCAATGCAACCATAGCAGTGATTGGATTTTCTTCACCAATCTTAGCCAATTGAACTAAAGCTTCGTTGATGGCTTCTTCTTCAATGAAGGAACCAGCTTTGTGAGCTGCAGCTACATCCCAAACTTAATGGAGTTTTGGCAAGATGACTTCAAAGGCTTGGATCATCTCCTTCATTTAGGTGGTTCTGGTTGAGAAATCTAAATTGTCTTGTCTTCTAATATCTCTTAAGGTATCATCTTTGGCTTAGAAGACTTTGATTTATCTGGCCTTTTCATTGATTTCAGCTTGATAGACAGCGATTGCTTCATTCAATCTTTTGGCTTTGAATTCGGCATCCTTGATTTCATTGATTGACAAACTAATTCTTTGACTATAATTTTAAAGATCTTTTTTGCATTGTGATCCAATTTGGGCTCTTTCGTTATCAGCATCGATTTGTTTGCCCTTGAATAGAGTATATAAAGTACCTCAAGATCACCTTTCAAATCATTCAATAATTTGCTAACAGCACTTAATGATTCGTTGCCTCTTAATTGAAGAGCAATGGTTTAAAGAATCTTAGATCCAAGTGGATGATCTTGAATTTCTTCTAATTTTCCATAGGCTGGATCATCGGAGAGAGCTAGTTTTTTATGGCCTTGTTTTAATAATAAGATGGTACTTTTTTCAAATGCTGAATGTTCTTCATCTTAGTTATGTTTTTTAGACAAAACTTGATTTGAAAGGAGACACAGAACTAATGTTATGGCTACTATACTTTTCATTATTTTAATAAATAAATCGTTTTTACTAAATTGCTTTATTAAACAAAAATTGAATTGTCATTAAATTAAGTAATTTGAAAAAGCGAATAAAATGAAAATCATATTTGTATAATCTAGGCATCAGCCAAGGCTCTCGCATTTTGAGATTTGAAAGAAGTTCTAGTCTTGTTCGCTGTATTATCATAATTCTTGGATTATTTTAGTGATCCATAATTTTATTGAAAATATTTGAGAAACTTGCTTTGACCTTGCATCATATCATCAATTTACAATGAATTGATAAATAAGTCACTATTTTTTTAAGAATTCTTTCTTCTTAATGGTGAAGTTCCCAATGAAGAATGATAACCAATCTATCTAACAGGAGTCGATTGTATAGAATTATTTCGAGTGTAAAATTTAGTCCCTATTGATTATTAATCAGAGGTCTTCTTTGAGAATATGGGTTGGATCAGATTGGAATCCTGTTTGACTAATTTGAGTTTAGTTTATTTATTAATATTGTTAGATTTGTAATCTTGTTATTATGGCTATTGCAATTATTATCCCATCTAATTTTAAGATGCTATAGTTTTATCTTGAAGAGAGACTTAGTTAATAGTAAGAGTAGTCTAATCTATTTTGTCTCCTACATGGTCACAATTGTCGGTTCTGAAATTCTCTTTGTTTCCGAAAGTCACCAAGACTTTCTTTTAAGGGACATTATTGTTTTCGCTAAATCCAATTTGTATTTTATTTAGTTTGAGTTTAGGGATGACTAATTCCTAATTAAATTTATCCAAAACTTGATGATATTGCTATTGACAATTCTGACTAGAATTCTCTAATGTATTTAATCTGTTATCAAGGTTTTTTAAAATAGATTTCAGGTATTGACAGTCAACTTTGGGTCTTCACATATTAATAAAAAATTACTCTTAACAGAATGACATAAAATTTATTTAAATTATAAAGAGTATATAAATTTGGAAAATAGTTCATTAATATATACTTGGGAACTTGATTTATGTTTTTGGTTGTTTCTCTTCAAATCTATTCTTAGGCACTATTTTCATTATCCCATTTCTAACTAATGGATTTAGCTGTCTTTAATTATATTAACAAAATTTCACCTGAAATCCTTTTCATCATGATATCCTGGGCAGATATCTCGATTACAATTTTACTAAGTACATTCAAAGGTTTTATACATATGAGGATGAAAATAATATTCAAAGATAGAATGACAAGATGAGCATTCATTAGAACAACCCTTATTTTACATCCAATTTGGACACTATTAAGGTTAATAAGAGATATCTTGTACTCTCCTACGTTTATCACTCTCATTATGATAATAATCACAAGTTGACCTAATTAAATTATAGATTACTAAATTGTGATTAAAAAGTGCGTATGGACATGCTATGGTTTTGTAATGAAACATATAATAATCCTGATCATGTTAATAGAGATGAATCAATTCACATTTGATGTCCTTTTCAAAATGAGCATAAGGACAATACATGCCAAAACAACAATTTTAAGGTTAGGGACAAAATAGTTTTCGATAATTGTCTTCTTAATATAACAATTCGTATTGATTATGTGCTTTACAACAACTATAACCATGAGGACACTCTTTTTATTCTACTTTAAAAGGACACAATTCTGCTTTATAATATGTCCCTGGTCTTCTCAAGTCACCTTCTGAATGGAAATATGGACATTGCTTATGATTATGCTCGCACTCCCTTTGACAAGGGCGTATTTTGAAGACTGCCAAATCTAAGTCAAAACTAGTGCCTTCTTCCTTTGGACATCTCTTTAAACAATGCGCTTTCTATTCAAATTGGCCTATTCGTTAACATATATACTAGTCTGCTTTATTTTCTTATTTTCGCAAGGAGGTTTAGGATTAATCATACTCAACATTCCTTTGCAAATGGTAGGATTTTGTTTTTATTCTTAGAAATTACTCAATGACAAATGGGAGAATTGAGTCTCAAATTAATTAATTTTTGGAAAACGAGTTGGTGTTTGCTGACACTTCATTGTGGATTTTCCAATTTCCTGCTTATTAAAATAATAATGAATAAATTTATTCGCAAAAACTCATTAAATACACAAGCTCTAAAAGAATAAGAAAACAAAAAACTCAAATAATACATTCTCCAAATGGAACAAGACCAATCCCTTTATGAAACTTTGACATAGGAGTAAATATTTGGTATTCTCTGCATCATCCTCACTAAATCATCTTATCACAGAACTCAATCGGAAATAGAAATCCTTAAAAAAGCTACTATTCATATAGACTATTTCTAAAAATTAGTAGAGAAAGATCAAGGTCCCTTATTATGGGAAAGATGTTTAAGAAAAATGAGCTATACATATCTTTCTTATGGTCAAACATTGTTTCGAGAAGGTATTAATAAATTTCATTTCAAGGGGATGTTGGTACTACCTTCTATATTATCTTATAAGGAAGGGTATCTATCCATAAAAGATTATTAGTCTAAGAGGAATTTTAAGATAAAGAATTAATCTAATTGTAAGATGGATAGGGCTTTGGAGAGTTAGCACTTGAGAATAACGAGCCTCGTTCTGCCTCTGTGAAGGCCATACTTCCAACTCATCTGGCAGTCTTGGAAGCTGAAGATTATATGGTTATCAAAAAAACTGTGGTAATCCTAATTTATTCAAACTAAGATTAACCAACAAAGATAAATGTATTTTGAAGAGTTTGCTAAATTGAGTATTTTTAGAGATTGGAAGTTTACGAGTATTAAATCTCTATTCGATGTAATTAAATAAAATAAATATCGACTTAATCACACTATTTTCAAAGAAGGTGATCCTTCAAATGAAGTCTATTTTATATAAACTGGTTAATTCAAAGTATTAATAATTTATGATTATTCAAGGCAGTTAAGACTTTAAGAATAACATAAGAAATTGAAGAGAATAGTTCTTAAGATGATCTATAAAAATTGAAAGATCGCTTTGCATACTCTAAACCAAGTCTATCTAATTCTGACAAAATAGATATGCTCTATCAGAAAAAGAAATATGGAAACCTTGTCATTGGAGACAAAAAGTCAAGTATGACATTAAAATTTGTTGGTGCTGGCGAGATGTTCGGAGAATTAGAAATATTAAAATAATAAGACTTATGTAGATAATTTAGTTTTATATCCACTTTTGAATCCAACACTGTGTATTCTGTCTCCAAAAGAGATTTCTTAAGAGTCTTATAGAATGACCCACCATTATTGCAAAGTCTGAACTCCTTAAATGACGATAAACTAAAATAGGCTCTGGCACAGATTAAAGCATATGAAAAGAATTTTATAGATTAAACAGAGAAATAATCCATTCTTCAAAAAACTTAAATCAAAGAATAACTTAATCCAAAATTATTAACTGATGAAGATCTGGAATCTAAAGTTTTAGTACGCAATAAAACTTTCGTTTCTAAAGTCGGTAGTAAAAAATAGTGTGTTGATAAAAAAATTAGAGAACTTACCTTAACTTTGCAACCTCCTAAATATGAAATGAATTATAGTACATTACTGACTTAATTATATGAATCTCAAAAACATAGAAGATAAAGAACTGAGCAGTAAATTAATTTGGTTTCTAAGAAAGGTTCTAAAACCATAAAAAATTCATTTGAACAAAGACCAAAAACAGAAATGATGTCTCATGACTCTCCTAAGTTAAATGTACATATAAGCAATGTTCTATCAAAATTATTTGCATCGTAGCCTATAATAAAGAGTAATTTCAACGAAGAAGAAGAGAACTAAAATAAAGAATAATAACAATTCAATATAAAAGATATCAAAAAAAGCATGGATCAGTTTTAGGATAGTTCTCAAAATTGGTTAAAGAAATATCCTACCGAAAGCACATTAACCAGAAGAATACATTCAACAACTTCTAGATAATTATAAACAAGTCCCAAATCATCTAAATTTGGGCAAATAGATAGATTTAATTCTAATTCGTTTAAATCACATCTTCCCTTAGTTTTGCAAAATAAGTATTTTAGATTAACACCTAAATAATAATGAATATAATAAATATTAATCAATGCATTTATTCCCCCTAATCACTTCGTGTATTCAGATAGTTTATTCAGTAGTTCTCGATTAATGTTTCTCTAAGTTTATAAAGCTTATTCTTTATCTGATAGACTTTCAGCCAAAGAATTAGCCTAATATTATTCTTCATTCTTACTAATTTCTGCAACATCTATATTTCTTGAGAAGTATTGCTCTTTAAAAAGTGTTTATTTGTTAACTTAAGCATATCCTATTCATAATCACATTTCAAACTAAAATTTATCACCTTTCTTACTTCTTAATAGTAGCTTCCAAGTTATTAATAGTAATTTTCAACCTTTTAATTTCATCCTAAGAACCATTGTTGTTATTCTAAACAATTGAATTGCTAATAATGATTTCAGATTATTTATTTGACTGAACATCACTCTAAGGTCTATAATACAATCATTACTTCAGAGGAGATGTCTGATTTCTCTTTCTTTTAGTTAAGTTCAATTTCTTATAACAAGCTCTCATATTTTTTTTTGAGACTATTCAATTCATTTTAAATTAGTTCTTTCTCTTCTAGAATAAGCATGTTGTTGCTTTCTAGTTTTTTTATTTCTTTCATTAACTAATCATTAATGAGTTGCCATTATTGATTTTCCTTTGTGCATTTCTCTAAATAGATATAATTATACATCATTTTGTTATTTTAAGCTATCTAGTTTTTCTTTATAAAACATTTCGCGTATTTCATCTTAATTTTAGTGTTGATTCTTCTTTAATTCATCTATTTCAAGTTAGAACTTTTTATTTGTGCTTTCTAATAAGATTACTTAACTCTTCAACACTTTAATTTCTTATATAAATATTTAAGTTTTTCCATCCAACTTATCAATCTATTATTTTAAATTATATATTTCTTTGTCCTTATTTTACACTTGTAAATTCTGTTGTGCTAATTATTTATCATTTGATTCGATTTTTTTGTTATTTAAATTGCACTAAGATTAAAGTTCATTAAGATTTTTGGTCAGTTTTTGCTTGATTTCCTATAGTTATGAAATTTCATTGTCCTTTTAAGTCAACTTTTATTCATAATCAGAGAGTGTTACATACAATTAGGCTGTGTCACTTAAATGAGTTTTTTTTGATTTTAATGTTTTGCTAAATTGAAAAATGGCATCTCGAACGATATTATTTGTTAATGCTACTAATAGTTTAATATTTTAATTGAAGATTTCAATCTAATTGTTATTTTTCTTAATAATCTTGAGTTAGTACTTTTCGATATTGAACAACATCTTATTTTAATCAGTCTTAAACATCAACCCTTGATCATTGGCAATCAAAGTGCATATCTAAGGTAAGTTAAGATCTGTAAAGGGTTGGTTATCATCTTGAGGTTGGATATTTTCCAATTTACAATTCAATTGCATCTCTCCCTCATTGAATGCTTAATTAACCTAATGATAATGTGATAATCTACTAAATCAAAGATTTTGGAATCAGCCTGCAAGAAATTGGTTTCAGCCACTAAGGGCATGCCATTATATTCAAAGTCCAAAATCGGGATTGCTTGGACCATAATTCTTAAAGGATTATTGCAGAATTTACTTAGTATCAATGTCTAAAATACAAGGTTGATAGAATTGTCCCGATACATCCTCTATTTCCACAAAATCCTAATCCTTGGTGATGTTAAACCATTGACATCTCAATGGAATTGATTATCCCTTAAATTATCCTTAATTAAATCGCCTAAATACCTTTGTTGAAAGATGCCTCTATGTGCAGTAATTCCGAATGAAGATTGCCTCCTTTCAGATGAACATTGATATAGGTCTCATCGATGATAGATTTGGAGGTCGACATTGAATAGAAATTAATTTATTTTATAATTTCATTCTATATATAGTTAATTTAAAGAACTATATTGTTAACATTTCTGATTCTTGATAAAATCTGATTGGAAATATTTAAATTGTATATCACTGTTAAACATATAATATAATTTAATGTTCATTTTACAATAATTATAATTTTTGTATACGGATTGCAATAATAAAATAAAAGATTGTTCTTATAACCAATATTTTTTCAAACTTATGCTCATTTATAACATATACACACATCATTTTAATACAATTAATACCATTTCACCATTTCCTTACCAAACCAATCAAAACCCAAAAGTTTTATACTAGTAGTTTAGGTTAATAATATAATATATGAAGTGAATTAATTATAAATTTTATAAATTAATTTCGAACATAAATTGTACTAAACTTATGACTCACACTAATGAGTTTAGCTTAATTTTTGTAAAATGATTATATGAAGTAATTCAACCAAAGTAATAAATGTATATAATTCAAAATGTTCCAAAATATTTAACTCAAAGCAAACTTCCATGAGATGAGATTGAACCCATCAAGACCAGTTTACCAATACAAACTAGAAATAACTGATTCCTCCCCAGAGAAAGTCAGCGAGGCACTCAAGAAATTCAGACCTCAACTCCAAACCTAATTGATCCTATTTATGAGCTTGAACTAGAACATTTATTCACCAAAACTAATCCAAGAGGCCGATAATGGATTAGTATTAGGCTCATTGAGTGGTAATGAGACTAATCAAGACACTGCAACTCTTAAACTAGTAGGAAAGATCGAAAATAAAGCTGATCTGAATATCATCATCTCAAGACTCTTTAAATAAGTGATCAGAAGTCAATTACAAATGGTTTCTGTGGGAAACAAAGGATAGAAACTCTTTTGGTCCAGTCGAGCACAGTAATTTAAGGACTAAAATTTAGAAGTAAGAAAATTGTTTATATCTATAGATTTGGCCAGGTGTAGAATGCATTTTTAGACCAGGAGAAGGAGGAGCTTAGAATCCCACTTTGGTTATTGATTGTGCATTCAAAATGCTCAGATATAGATCTGCCTTAGAAGAATTGAATTAAACTAGAAATCCATCTTGCATCCAAGATTAGATTGTTATGACTACTTACAACAAAAAGTTCTATAAAGTAGAAGCAGTTGATGTTAATCTCAAACCAGCTAGCACATTTACAAATGAGAAAGGTGAAACCATTTCTTTTGCTTAATATTATGAATAAAGATATAAAGTGAAAGTCGATGGAAATTAACCATTAATCAGAGCTACTGTAAGAAGCAAATAAGATAAAACAGAAAAAACTATTCATTTGATTCCATAATTGTGCTAATTGACAGGATTAACTGATGCCATTAGAAACGTACTTAATTTTATAATAATCTTAGGATTTCAATGCCATGAAGAATTTAGCTGTTGTTACCAAACCAGGAGCTGATTAAAGAATGAAGATGGCTTAAGAATTTGCCAATCAATTAGCCAACACTGAAATTGTCAACAAAAAAGCTGGAACTAAGAGATAAATATTCAAAGAGTGGGGAGTAGAAATTAACCCAGGAAGTATGGATGTTCCTGCCAGAAGAATCCACCCAGGAAACATGTTGATGGGAAATGGATTAAAATTAGATCTATCAAGTCCTTAAACAAATTTAGATAGACAAACTTAAACCTAAATGTTTTCAACTCCTCCTCAATAACTTATTTTGGGTATCATTTACAATAAGAAAACTGGACAATAAACTATGGATTCCTTAATGCAAAACTTTTAAGCTGCCTGCAATGACTTTAAATTTTAGGCTTTCATGGCTCCCAAAGTATTCCCTATTGAATAAGACAGAGATGAAGATTTAGAAAGAGTTCTTGATGGCTTTTAAAAATAAGCTGAAGCCAATAAAGCCAAAGTAGGATTCTTATTGTTCCTTCTACCAGGATAAAAGAAGAAAGCAAGATTGTATAAAACAGCTAAGAAAATATCTATGCAAAAGTTTGGTTGCGCATCCTAAGTGGTTGTTGAAAAAACACTAGCAAAGAATACAAGATCAATTGTTAATAAAATATTAATCCAACTCAATGCTAAAGTTGGAGGCACTCCATGGGCAATTGATAGTTTACCACTAACCTTTTAAAATCAACCCACTATGATTTGTGGAACTGATTGTTTTGTCAAAAGTGGTAGAAAAAATCAATTAGCCTTCTGCAGCACTGTTGATAGAAACTTGAGTAGATATTATTCTCAAGTTGTTACATCTGGAGAATTCAGCTAGCATCTTTAATCGGTTTTCAAAGCTTCTCTTCTAGCCTTCAAAGAATAGAATGGAATCTTTCCAAAATTGGTTATTATTTATAGAGATGGTGTTGGTGATGGGTAATAGGCTGTAGTACTCGCTAATGAATTGCCATAATACAAATAAGCCTTGGAGGAATTACAAATTACAGATACTAAAATCTCAGTAGTTGTCTGCAATAAGAGAGTCTCAGCCAAATTCTACACTGGTGGAAATGCCAGACCAGATAATCCTTAACCAGGAACATGTGTTGACAACCCTAAAGTCGTTGAACAATCCAACCCCAACTTTTATTTAATTTCACAAGTAACCAGACAAGGAACTGTTACTCCTTCCTTATATAAAATCATTCACTCAGACCAAGCAGGTACCTTATTATTCTTATTCTAGGTCTTGATGATGACATCAAAGTTTTGACATTTAAATTGTGCTGGTTATTCTACAACTTCACAGGCTCTATTAAAATCCCTGCTCCTGTTAGATATGCTCATTGTCTTTGCAACTTCATTGGAGATAACTATGATGATAGAGATCAAGTCAAGTTTCTACCGTTACCAGACCTTGTTAAGTAAAAAGTCCTATTTTATATCTGATTTATCAGTTCATATCAAGTCATTAAGATATTTATAAATAATCATATAGTTTTTTTAAATATCACTTTATAAAATAAATGATAGATCTATATTTTATTTGATAAAATAAAGTAGATTAAGAAAATGAGATAAAAAGTTAAAATTTTTATTGCTTTGCAAATTCTGTTTTGAATAATCAAAATAGAAATATGCTGAAACAAACGGACTTTAATTTGAAAATTAATTATAATAATATTCATTTCAGAAATAGTTCTTTTAATTCAATTTCGTAGTTTCCTTTCAAATTTTTCTTCTTTTAATCTATTTAATCAAGTAATTTTGGTTTTCTGCATTTCATGATCATTTGAATAATTCCTGCAAGTATGGTCCAAGAAAATAAAGAATATTCAAATACTTTATTTTCAAAGGCCCAACTAAAGATCTTCAGATATTTGATTTGAGTTCCGAATAGTAAATCTACAGTTGTTAATCTCGTATATTAAGAGAAGACACAAGTACTAAAGTGGCACAATGCAACTGAACTGATCAAAATCAGAACAATGTTGAATAAAAATGAGTTCATCCAAGTTTCATTTATTCTAATAATACAAATTTTGATTACTTCATTGGATGAAATTTGAAAATCCATGGCATTGAAAATACTAAATTTCCTTTGGTGACACACCATAATAAATAAAGTGTAAACAATCCAAAGAAAAACACAGAAAGAAATGCCACATTATAAATATCTAATTATATAAACAGCTTATTTAACCAAGGGGAAAATGGGATTCCATCAACGGTTATTATTACATACAATAATAGGTGTAATAGCCAAGCTAATGTAATGATGAATAAGACAATTCCTAATAACAATTTAAAAATGTAAACTAATGGATTGGCATTACCAATATCTAATTCTAGCAAAAATATTTCAAATTCTTCTTCTAGTTCACTAACTGCAGAAACCAATTTCTAATATCTTTTTTCTACTTTAGTATTTTATTTCCTTCTTGACCACCATCCAGTTGCACATTTCACATCTTTCTCCATGTCTCTTAATTATTTGGCATAACCAATCATCTAGGCTACTAATCTTTTTAATCTATTTTTTTTTTCTGTCGCTTAAGAAGCACTTTTCTAGAGTATTATATAATAAATACAAAAACTGGTCTTGTTCCATATGAGCACACAAGGTCTAAAGGCAAAGCAACCATGCCAATGCCTCCATATAAAATTAAGAAGAAATAACCAAGGAAGCACATCAATCCGATAGTAAATGTGATTGGATCGATAGTTGTAGCAATGTGATCCTGTTTTTCTTCGGTTATTGTAAAGGTATCAATGTTAAGATCGATCTCACTTGATTCGAATTGGAGTGCCGCATCTTATACTTAAACAGTAACAGGTACTAAGGCATCTCTTAACCAGAAATAGGTTAAGAAAATAGTTAAGAAAGCAAATACAAGGACCATAAATTCTTAAACTATTGTTAAGCTTATTCTTTGACACTTAGATAATGTTAATTATTACAATTGGTTTTTCATCGTCTGATTCATAATAAAAAATGGCAAGAGGTATCAGTAATACCAGCATTACAAATACTGATATATAAATGATTATCCAGCATAAATGCATGTCCAAGCCTTATTATTCTCTTTCATTAGTAACATCCAAAGTTAACATCAATGTTTAGCACCAAGAAAGGCTTAATCCCAGTACAACAACTATTTTACAAAATAATGTTGATCCGAATCCACCATCTTCAGGATGGCAATATAAAGCAAGTAGATATATGTTCACGTACATCAATAGCAATCCCAGAACGCATATTATTATTATTAAAAACACATCCATGTCGATTCAGAATGTAAAAGTATAAAATTTTAATTAAAAATTAAATGAGTGTAGCAACAAAGGGCTTGATTGAATTTGTTAATCCATGTAATTTAGAGTATCTATTTAGATAAATTGCCAAAATTTGTAAAGTAAGTTCATTTACAAATGAGAGAAATTGAAGGAAGACAACCATTTGGCTAGGGATTATATCATTGCAACAATTATGAGAATCTAATAAAAAGACTCACTCCAACGAGATAACAATATAGATAATCAAAAGAAATAGAAACAAGAAAATAATTAGCAACACAAGAATTTTAAGCTTGGACTGATTATATCAAAGAACGAACCCTAGAATTACCACAATAACATTAAGTTACTGGGAAATAATTAAATGAATTGAGAAGATCCTATGAAGTTTTCATTGCTAAAGGAGAAAAAGGACTCAGACCATCTGAATTGCTCAATGTTTTCAATGTATTTTTAATAATAAATATCAGGATTACACAAGAGTAAATTAATTTATGATCCCAGTCGATAATTGGTGTGTGTTGTAAATGGTGCATTACAACATGGGCTATCCAATGAACATGAATAGATTATTAACATTTGAAGAAATAGCTACTCTAGTTTAAACAAAAGTTTTAGCTACATATGAAAGATCTCTTGGTTAGGATCTTTTATTTAGAGAGATTTGCTCATACGGTTATTGGAACTTATTTGATCAGAGCAAAGGTTATATGAATATCAAGGACTTTAGTAATTTTGTCAAAGTATCAATTATATCGATATATTATAGATATTTAAATATAATGTTGAACCTACATTAGGCGGAATACTAAAAGAGTTTGGATTTGCAGCAAATCTGTTTTAGGGTGAATTTGCAAAGGAAATTGATCCTAAGGAGGACATAGTGAGATTCGATTTCTTCAGATATTTATTTTTAGAGAGAAATTTGTGATTATTATAATAATGATGTAAAATAACAATAGAATGATCTGGAGGAAAATTGATCCATCAGGTAAATAGCCAGGAGACAGGGCAGCTCATTCCTGTGATCTAATAATGGGAAAACTATTTATATTTGGGGGTTGGAATGGAATGAACGCCCTTGCTGACATTCATATATATGATCTGAATTCAAATTAATGGTCAGAATTATAAACAAATGGAGAGTTGCCATCTTATCGAAACAATCACACAACTGCAGTTTATCAAACAAAATTGTATGTTCATGGAGGTCATAATGGGAATACTTGGCTAGATGATCTTTATTATTTGGAGACAAATGGATAACATGGATAAGCTAGTTGGTACAAAGTGCATCCGCAAGGTTAGATACCTACTGCAAGAGCATGTCACTCTTTGAATATAGTTTCTAAGAAACTCTACTTATTTGGTGGTTATGATGGTCAAGAATGCTTTAATGAGATAGAAATATATGATATTTAAGAAAATAGATGGTTGTAACCAACTGTGAGTGGAACAATACCAACTGCTCGAAATGCGCATACAATGACCAGGTAACTAAATAATTATAGTAGATATAAGGAAAATTTGTATTTGTTTGGTGGCCATTCTGGAGCATAACATTTGTAGGATCTGCATGTATTCAATACTTATAAATTGGAATGGACTCAAGTGCTTACCAAAGGTACTTTGCCTAAAGGATTGAGAGGACATACCGCTAATTTAATTTAAAACAATATCTACGTATTTGGTGGCTATGATGGTTCAGGTAGGTCAAATGATCTATTTATTTTTAATTTCTTAACTTATCAGTGGGTCATTCCTAATCATCATGGAACTGGAACCCATTTATAAATGGAGGAGGTAGCCTTATCTCAGATCCCATAGCCAAGACAGAGACATTCAGCAACTGCCACAGGTATATATTATCTATTGAAATTGTAGAAAATGATCTTATCTACATCTTTGGTGGATTCGATGGTAACAAATGGCTGAATGATCTTTATGTGTTAGATGTTGGATTATTAGAAAATCGTACAATTTAAGAAGAAAATTATTAAAGAGTCATTTCAAATATACATAAAAATCTATTCAATAATGAAGAACTAAGTGACATTGCATTCTTAATTGGTAATTAAAAGATCTATGCTCATAAAAGTAATCAAATATACCATTTAAATTTTAGTTTATTTGGCTGCTTAATCTCTGTAATTCAAAGCTCTCTTTTTCTCAGATACAAAAGAAAGTGATTAGGAGACATTAATCATAGAAAATTATTCTTATAAATCCTTCTATATTTTTCTCCTTTTTGTTTATACAGGATTTATCAACGTGGCTGAGTTGGATATAGAATTAATGGGAGAAATCTTAAGTAAGTTTAAGTTCTATCCTAGGTTTGGCTGATCAATACTTGATTGATGGACTTAAGAATCTAATGCAGAAGAGTATTAAGAAATATATAAGTAATGAAACTGTTTGTGATTTATTAATCTTTGCATAAAAGTGTTCTGCTCATTCATTAAAAAATGCTTGTATGAATCATTTACTCAAGAATATCAATATTATATCTGAATCTCCAAAATATGAAAAGCTAGAACTACAACCCTCTTTACTTACTGAAATTACGAGAGCATTACTATAACATAAAGAATGAATTAATTTTTATATAATGTATGAATTCATTTTCAAATAAAATAGAAATTTCAATCTTTAAGTTAAAATAATTATTTATATGCTTACCTATTTAATTAAAATGGAAGAGTAACAGATTATAACAATCATTTTTCCAATTATATTTATACTAAAATTTATTAAAAATATGATAACTAATCCTGGGATAGTAAGAACAAAATTACTAGAAAGTAAATCTACTCATACTCCTTATACTCAATCTACATTTCATAGCCCCAGTAACTCAAGAACTTTGTAAAAGACTTATTTTATCATAGAGGATTCTTCAACAAAGAATTAAAAAAAATACAGGATTCAAATAAACTCTAACCTTTCTTTGTGGAAAAATAAAGTCATTCAGCTACATCATCTTGTCATACTTTTATGACTTAGATGGAGAGTGCTTAGCAATAAATTAGAGTGAATAAGTTTGGAAAAATCAAAAGCCGAAAATAAATGACATTATTTAACAATGAGGAATTTTTATCTGATGATATCCTTGAGTTGTACAATGAATATGAAAAGAATTATACCACTTTAAATAAAGTGGAGAAATTTGTTGATATATAAATTTAGTAAGTTAATTAGCCTTAATTTACAATTGATTCTTAAGACTTTTTAGCTATTAGTGATGAAAAATTAAAATTAAATGATTTAAATAAACTGAACAGAGTGAAAATACAGAGATTTAAATTCTATTATTTTAGAATAAAAACAAAAGGCAGAATGTCTCCTGTTCAGATATTTTTACATTGTCCAGATAGAGTTCAAAGTTCTAATATTAGAATGTTCATATCATCAAAGGCTGAGTTTCCAACTAAATTCAACTCTGAATAAATCATTTAAGCTAAAAATGCCAAAATGTATGCTGATCACAATCAACCTTATTTTTCCAAGGAATTTCTATACATTACAATTTACTCAGACATAGACTTCGAAGTTACAATTGATATCATCTTTGGAAACCCAATTCAGAAGATTGCACCTCGAAAAAAGTAAGTAGAAGAAGACCTTTTGGATATTCGTCCACAAACTCAAAGGGTTATTAGGAGAGATAAAATTATTTACAATTTGGATATGAAATAGTATTTGCTAAAGACGAAAAACTTTGAATAAAATAAAGTAAATAATGAATTAATGAAAGGTAGAAAGAGAGTTCAAACAATAGTTAGTGTTAACAAATAAAAAAGTTATTTAAGAAGAAAAACAAGTTGATAAAGTATGCAAAGTTTTAGCCAGAGAATCGATAAATTAATACAGAGAAATAGAAAAAATAGTGAAGTAGAGGAGAGAACAAACAAAATTGTTTTAAAATTCTTGGTGCTAGATAGTGAGTTTGTTTGATTTTTGTAAAGAAGTGAAAACAAAATTAGAAGTAATTTAAAAAATGATAAAAGGATATCAAACGACATAAGAAGGCCCAAGCAAAAGGAAAATTATTAGTTTGGTAATTAAAAACAATGGCATTAATGAAAGTTTAAATATATGGATCAACTCCTAAGGAGAGAACAATATTCAAATCAAAATTGATCTTATAATCTTATGCTTTCTTGATAAAAAAGAAAACAAAGTTGTTAGCTGAAGATGTTATCACTCGTTTTATTAAGAAGATGCTGCTCTATCTAACAACATTAAATAAATAATAGAGTCTAATAAAGAAAGGTATAGAAAATATAATTGATTTAGTGAAAACAATTCAAAGAAAGTTTCGAAGTTTGAAGTAAAAACGAAGAATGTTTAGAGATAAGTTTTGGAAATAGATAAAAGAGAATATAAGTGATGTCGTTTATTAATTAAGGAGATAAAAAGATGTTCGAAATTTATTCAGTGATGGGAAAAGGCCTACAGTTCAAATCGATGTGTAAATAATTTAAATTGATTTAGACCTGTAATGTAGAGTCTGATTGATGACTACTGCGAAAAAGCTAGGGCTCGGTGGATGAATTACATTAATAGAACTTTCAAAGAAAAGAATAGGGCAAAAGTAAGTTTTTATTCAAGTTAAATTAGAAAATTTAAAATGTGGCATTGAATTTTACCGAACCAAAATTATATGACATGCCAAATGAATACGAATTAACTTAATTAATTGATCAATATGCTAAAATTAAAAAATTATATTGAATCCAACATCTTAATTCTAGAATTAAAATTTCTGTATTTTCTATTCATTTAAACTAATATTAATGATAATAATAATCAATAATAATAATTTATAACAATAATTATTATGATTACCTAGCTTAGTCAAATAGAGAGAAGTTTATCAAAAATAACTAGTCCTTCTTATCAGTAATTAAGAAAATATTCTTAGTACAGTGCAAGGTTCTATGAGACATCTTTCCATGAGTCAATCACAAATGACTCGATCTAAAATTTATACATCCTCTCATCCTGAATCTCAATTTCTATAATTAGATAATGACATTCTCGAAATATACAATGAATTTGAGAAGAATTACAATACCATACAAGAAATAGACAAAACTAATACTAAGATTGAAGCAAAATAAAAGTTTATTGAGCAACCCAAAATAATATAACAACAGAAGAAGTTATTAAAAACCTTCGATGGATTATAGTAATCTGATCTGGAAATAGAATATATTAATAGGATATAAATAGTCAGATTTAGATTTTATTACTTTAGGATTAAAATTAAAGGAAAATAATGTAATCGTAATTAGTCATCAACTTTTAGCTCCCTTGCAGATCTTATTGAACTTCCCTTCCAAAATAACTAGCACTCAATACAAGCTATTCGTATCGACTTCAATAGAATTCCCAAACAAATTTAATGCTGATCAAACAGTTTAAAGTAGATTTGTAAAGGTTAACTCTAAACAGAACTCGAAATTATTTTTTGATGAATATGTGTATATAACCTTTTATAGTGAATTTGATGCCATCATAGGTATGTAAATCACTTTTGGAGAGTAATACACACCCACAAATGCATAAAAATAAGTCTAATCAATGCTAAATATTGATACTTTTCCTGAAAGAAGGACCATTCATCCAAAAGATAAAATTCTATAAAATATTGAAATGGCTAAAACCAAAACCTATTCGAAATTAGATGAAATACTAAAGGCAAAGCGTAATACAATTCAGAATATATTAGATAGACATACTAAATCTTAAGAAACAATTCAAAAATCAAAATGGATTTAAAAAGAAGTCAGATAAACAAGATTAATCAAATTATTAGTCAAAGATTAAATAGTGTAGTTCAGAGAAGTAGAAAAGGTTCATTAGAAAGAATTACAATTACAAATATTTGTTAAAAAGAATTGGATATTGATAACAACAATATTCAATGTCTGTAGATAAATTCATAGAAGATTAGAAGTAAATTTGTTTTTAATTCTAGAAAATAAGACACAAGAATAAAATCGCTGCTAAAGCTAAGTTATTAGTTTGGTAATTGCACACTAAAGCTTTGATTGAAGTAAGGAAATATGGTGATAATCCATTCATAAGATCACTAAGTAAATCATCTCTTGTGTTATCTACTTATACATAATACATCTAAGAAAAATGTATTACAAGAGCCGAAGGAATTTTAAGTGAATTCTTGGTGGATATCATTCTTTATTAAACTTTCATTAACAAACATATTTCATTAATTTCTAAAAGTATCCATATTGAATAGGTTTTAGTTAAATGCATTTAAAGAAATTATAGAAAACTACGATTGGTTCGAAAGAATTTCAAGGATAAATTTATTAAAGCATTCAAAGAAAAACTTTAAGTTCTTTATCAAGGAAGAGGAAGCGATTAAAAGGCTAGAATTAATATTGAATAGTATTTTTCTTAGATAATTTTTAGACACATTATAACTAAGCTGTTTGATGAATACTCAGCAAAGATAAAACATCGATGGATTGATTCTCGAAGAGCCATGAATGTTTTGTCTGTATTAAAAAAAGTAATTATATAATGACACATTTATATAGAGCTTTTCAGTCTCAAGATAAGATATCAAATTATATTCATTACCTGATGAAGCAGAAATGTAATTGATAATTTAATAATATTACAAAATAAAAAAATAACTGAGCTGAAATTTCATTATTTTATTAGAGATTATCGTAATTTCTTATATAAAGGATTTTTCATTTGTTTTGTGATATGTTATTTCTTAATTTTAAAACTAATGGATTTATGAATGAGCAATTTATAATTAAATTGATAAATTTATGACAATTTTAATTTATGTCCTAAATTTGTTTGAAAATTTATCGTAAACATCAATATTAAATAATTAGACTTAGTATCAACATAGCTAATTATGACACTAAACATTCAATTAATAATAGTTTAATAGCTATTTAAATGAACTGTCGATTTTTATTTTGATAATAAATTCCTATATATAGAGTTTATTATCGTATCTATAATATACTTTATATAATTTATTAATACATTCTAAAATAATCATTAATTTTTCTTTACTCGTAGAATCTAATTTTTCTAATTTTGGAATTACTTAAAAAATTTATTTAAATTTTAATTTCCTTTTTATAATATTGCTAATAATGAATCTATAATATCTTAGCATTCTTCTAACTTGCCCTCATCAATTAATTAGAAATTCAACAGCAGCAATTTATTAAGTGCAATATTTTGCAACTCCTAATTTTGAATGTATAAAATTGCCTAGAATAGCTTATAAATTATTTAATTACAAAGTCCTCTGCATTTTTTACTTTTTATTTAGAAGTTAAGTTTATTTAATCTGTCAATTTAAACGATAATACTATTAAATAAAAATCTCTTTCCAAATTCTAACGATCAATGTCTAATTCAATATCCTTAAATTGATTCAATGCATTGTAAATGGGTAAAATTAATTATTCGTTATTTTTTAATAGATTATTTTACATCACTTGATCAATCCAATCAAAAATTGGTATCTAAGCCTATGAATCGTATTACTAATATAAAATACAGGTAATTTGTTCTCTTTAATTTATTTGCTTAGTTCATTAATATTATCAATAACTTTTTCAAATCTGATTTTAATTTGAGCGAGATCCTATGTTTCTAAAATGTCATCAAAAACACACATATTAAACTACATATAATTAAATTAACCATACATCCAGTAGCAATATTATTGGTTTATCCAAATCTGTTATATTTAGATTATCAGCTAATGTTATAACCTCATTCATGTTTATATCTTCCAAAAACCCTCTTTTTTTGCAATAGTAGATATTAGAGTATCATGAAAATAATGTTTTATCTTCAATAATAGCAGTCCTTATTGAATAAACATCAGCTAGTAACTTAGTTGCTTTGTCAAAAAGATCTTAACTTAAGTAAAATTGTGCAAAGTTAACTTTTATGTCTAAAACATATGTTTCAAATGACTCTTCCCAGTAGGTGGAAATTAAATCTACAATTTTATTAGCAAAATCTATAGTAAACTCTGATTTAATATCATCAGCTTATTTAATGCTAATGAACAGCTCAAATAAATTCAACAAAGTCAAATTCAACTCAAATTATCCTTTAGGTTCTTATATAATCTTCTCGGCTTGAAATTTAACTTCTTCAATTCCTTGATCTATAAATCTTTCAAATTCATCGATTAAGTTTCGTTTCCTATGGATTTATGCAATAAAAAAGTAGAAGTTTATATAAAGATCCTTAAAAGTATTGCAGTATGCTTAAACTTTGTTCTTTGAAGAAATTTCTAAAATAATTTAATTGTGTATTTCAAGTTAGTCTAAATAATCACTAATAATCATTTATATTTTATTACTTCATCCAATCATGTAATTAATTAATATCAGCTTCTACACCATAATTGATCATTTTGCACATTATACTTGCAGCATTCAACTTAACTTTCAATCTTTCCACATTAATTTGATCTAGCAATTTATATTGTTTAATGATATCTAATTATTTTAATAAATCGCAATTTATTAGTTTTTAAGTAAATTCACCACTTAAAGGATTTTAATGCTATGTATATGCATAAATGGCAACTTAATACCAATGTAAAACCAATATTTCTTCTATGTAGATAACATTAAAGTATTTGTCATCGAAATTTTTAAGATTATCCTCCAAATATTCTATAACTTGAGACTAGATGTTACAGACATCTTCTAAATCATTCAAAGCCACTATTTATTCTTAAATAGATTTAATATGATTATCCCCGTCTTCTAATGAACTTAATATAATTTATTGGATTACATTTTATGATTCTAAGAAAAATTATATTATGTTTTATTAAAATTAGTTTGGTTTGGTATTTGCATTTTGAATATGTAGAGTGTTTTTGGAGAACCTTTTAAAGTAAACGCAATTTACTTAGTTAGCGGTAGAAATCGCTTTAACATATTTATATATAATTAATTATTAAATTTAGTTCTAAATTTTGAGATTATTCTATAAAATTAGTTACTTATCATGATATTTAATATAAATCTTAAAATATAAGCGATATTATTATTTTTAAAATAAAAAGGAACTTCATATTACAGTTTTTGTATTGATTTCGAAGATATTATGAACTATTTGATAACACAAATATAATAAGCAAAATTTCTTTGCACAATTTTCTTAAAGCTAATTCTACAATTTAAAAATTGATTAATGAATGTCTATTAAAGTTATTACAACTATAACCCTCATTTTTATAATTTATTTTTTATATTTTATCCTCATAGGGCAATTTATTTAATTTAGTTTTGTTTTTAGCATAATTAGTATCTAATATATCAGAACAAACAGTTTATTTTACATAATTTAGTATTAAAATTATTAATAGACTCGATTATTTTTTAAGATTTGAGTAATTTTAAATGAATTAACTTTTTATTGTTAGTCAGAGGCACAAGAATTCTGAATTTGCCTTGTCTTTGTGGATATAAAAATACTACAAAGAGTGTCAGAAATCGAATTGATGTACATATTAGAATTCAATAATATATATAATAATATAGAAAATGAATGCTCAAATAGACGGAGGGTAACAAATGGTTAATAATGAAAATGAAGGAAACACTGTTCCTAAATTCACAAAGCTTTTTGGAAGAGCAATGGATTAATTTAGATTGAGGGTGTTTTTCCTATTCCTTGAGAGATTATACTTAATAATCAGCATGCCGATTATTTTAGTTTTATTATCTTTACAAGATTGTGGGTGGAATGACTTACATTATTGGGTGTTATTTAGCAGTCTCCAAGCAATTTTTAGTTTGGTTTTGTACGGATAGTTATTTCATTTCTCCAATATTCAATCAATTTAATAGCATTTAGCTTTCCATTATGTTTAAATAGTGTTTGTTCCATTAAATGAAGTGACAGATCATCCAATAGCTCCAGAAGGTATCAAATAATGATTAAGATAGTTTTTGATCCCACTGCAAACTTGTCAACAATGGAACTAGATAAAAAGGCAGATGTAATGCAATTGTAAATAAGATAAGAGATCGTGAATTAAAGTAGGTTTTGCAAGTACAATAACATCTTTAGCAATGCAACTAATTAGGCAATATTTATTTGGACGATTTATTATATAATATCTAATCCCCAGAACAGTGGCGCAGAAGGGAATAAATGCGATAGATGGCCAATTATTCAAACCTACATTTACGGAGCTTTATTATTCTTATAATATTCCTAGTATTATTTACTAGCTGCTTTGGCATTGGTCATGCTCCCTTTTATTTTGGTTTATCTAATAGTTAGATGTTTCACTGATAGAAGAAAGAAATAACAGGCTTTGATGGCATTGAGTGAATTACAGAAAAATAAGATTTTGTATAAGCCTAACATAATTGAAGGAGAACAAGAATGCTCAATTTGTATGCAACCTTATCAAACTGATGATGAAGTCCTGTAAATGCCTTGCAGTCCACTTCATCATTTTCATAACACTTGTATATCTGCCTGGTTATAAATCCAATCAACTTGTCCAAATTGCAGATCATAATTGTTGGCAGATAACTAGCAACCACTCCTTTAGCAACCATAACTACAAGAAGAATTATGAAATATATATAACAAATGAGCTTAACTTTTTAAACTAGTTTGATACTCAATTACTCAAAATACGATATTCATTCTAAACTTCAAGTCTGTGTCTGTAAACATTTTAACGAATTCATCTAATTCAATTGAATTTGACTTGTCATCATCTACAATGTTCATAATGTCCTTTCCCAGTTTCTCAACGTAGTCTTTGTTCATAAAATTGGTCTGAAATATTTAAGGTCTCATTGACTTCTTCTAAATTGCAGATGTTTGACTTTTCATGAATAAAATCTTAAACACTTCTGTCAAGTCTTCCTTTGTAATTTTACCATCCTGATCCAAATCATATATATTAAACATGTAATCTTTTTTCTACTCCACATCTGATAATGGATGAAAGACAGTCAAATATTGCATAAACGTGGCGAAACCCATAGT